CCGGAACGCCCAGACCGGCCGCCGAGCGACGACAAACGACACAAACGGCGCCGCGGCCGATCGGAACCGACGACCTCATGAATCGCCGGCAGTACTACCTTCCAGCTTCCTGGCGAGCTCTGCGACGTGCGCGTGCATGTCGTAGCCGCAAACCTCCTCGATGGTCAGCTTCCCCGGCCTGTCGTTGGCGCTGCTCCAGCCGATGCGCTCCGTGAGGTCTGTCCGCGCGCGCTTGCTGCTCTCCTGGAGCCGGGTTGCGCGCGGCTTGCGCTCCTCCTCGTACAGCCGCAGCCTCTGCGCGACCGACAGGGACGAGTACTTGGGCGAGAAGAGGATACCCAGGGCGCCGGCGTCTTCCATGGCCATGCACGCGCCTTGCGACTGGTCGGGCATCATGGGGTGCGCGGCGTCGCCGAGCAGACAGCACTTGCCCTTGACCCAGTACGGGTAGGGATCGTGGTTGTACAGGCGCCACATCTTGATGTCCTCGGCGTTGCGGAACAGCGTCTTGAGGCGCTCGTCGAGGCCCGGGAAGGTGTTGGCCAGGTTCTCGCCCGTCGTCGAAATGTTCCACCCGTCCTCGCGGATGTCATTCTTCTCCGCCGGGTAGAAGCAGTAACAGCTGACGACGTCATGATCGGAGCACGCGCTCATGACAATCTTGTCGATGCCGTCGCCGCCCCAGAACTCGATTGCACTCCTCTCGCAAAACTCTTGCAGGCCGAGCTCCCGCAGCTTGTCGGCGCTGATGATGCACCGGTAGCAGCACGAGGAGGAGCGCGAGACCTGGGGGACCACGCCGAGCCGCTCGCGCATCTGGCTGCGGATGCCGTCGGCGCAGACGATGACGTCGTGCGTCACCTCGACGCCGTTTTCAAACGAGATTTTGCCCTCGATGGGGTCCAGGCCGGTTGCTTTGTGCCAGACCTTGAGAGTGGCGGGGATGCCGTCGCCCTCTTCGGACGTGGCGACGTGCTTGAGGTGCTGGTGGAGGTCGATGCGATGAAAGTTGTTGTATTCCGTGCCAAAGCGCTCCTTGTAGTCGCCGAGGGGATACACGCCAAAGACGTCGCCGGTGGACCACTCGTGGCGGATGAGGTCGCGCAGGACGACGGGCTTGGCCTTGGAGACGTCGATGCCCCATTCCTCGAGAAAGCGGGAGCCATTGGAGGCGCACGACAGGGAGGCGCCGACCTCGCCGCCAAAGTCGTAGCGCTCGTAGATGGTGACGCGGTGGCCGCCGCGGCGGAGGGCGATGGCGGCGGAGAGGCCGCCCAGGCCGGAGCCGACGACGGCAATGTCCAGGGGGGCGAGCTGGGGGTCGACGATGCCGGGCATGGTGCTCAGATGGCGGAAGGTATTATCAGAGCGTGGTGTGGGGGATGTGAGTTTTGTCTTTTTTATTTTGCCTTTCAGCGGCTGAGCGCGGGATCTCTCTTATTCTTATGTCTTGGGGGTTGGTTATTGGGCGCGGGAAACAGGGTCAAAAGAACAAGACTTGGATTTTCATCTCGTGACGTCGGATCCTTTTGGTGACCCTCCTTCGGTGACGCTGCGTATGATCAATGCGCTCCGCTGAGAGCGTCGGCGGCGGACCCAGTCTGAGCGGACGGGCCTGCTGGCGGCGTCGGTCCAAGGCGCGGGGGGGGGCTAACGAACGGTGGGGTGATGTGAAGCGGCGGCGGCGGGAAGGCCAACGCGGATGGGAGCGCGTGGCGTGTGTACGGAGAAGCGTGGCCTGGGAGGCAAAGCCCACGGGTCGTCGGGGCAATGCTGGTGCTGGTGCTGTGCTGCCCAGAATCGAAGCGCGGGGGAAGGCGTGGCGAGACGAAGTGAGGCGTCCGGGATTCTCCAAATCGACGGGGTCGTGCTGGGTGTTTCCAGATCGGGGGCGGGGGGGCGCTATCGTGGAGAGAGGACGAGAGGCAGAGAGATGGAGCGCGCGCTTCGTCGCTTCGGAGAATAACCGCGGAGCACGACGATAGACGACGGGGCAAGGTAAGGTAGCGAGCGCGTGTGCTTACAGCACACGCTATCAGATGGCTTAAGTTGGGCGGCGCGGGTAAGCAAGCACCCAAGATTGGGGGAGAGGGGGGAGAGGAGAAGAAGGGGGGCCGGGTTTATGTGGCGGCGAGGGGGGGTGGCTAAGAAGCTACCCCGTGGGGGGAAGACGGGAAGAAGAGCAGGAGGAGGCAGCACAATATCACAGACCACAGGCCACCCAGCCCAGTAGTGCAAAGAGAGAGTGTGACAGCGACGGGAAAGGGGGAGACAGTCTACTGCCATGTGTCGGTTGGCCACCGTGCGGGAAAAGGGTGCGTAGGGATGGCTGGCTGGCGGGCGGTGCCTGTCAGGGAGCTGTCACGTCCGTATTGGGGATCCGCGGCGCGGCTGTTGCTGGCGCAAGTACCGTGATTTGCGACGGCGACATTATCACCGACTGAAACGTCGACGACAACGATGTGCCGGGCAGCCCTGCGAGACATCGATTGACGCACGAGCTTCGAACCCGCGTATTGCATAAGAATAATAATAAAAAATGAACCAAATATTGCCCATCAGGGTTCACTGCTGTTTCTTTGGCTCGCGGATTGCGGCTTGTCGGGTAGGTGAGCTGTGCTGACTGACGGACGGTGCTTCGCTGGGGATCCGCGGGCCGGACTCCGGAGGGCCGACTTACACGGAGGAGCAGCCAGCGCCCGACGACACGCGGTGATTGTGCTGCACCTGGATGCCAAATCCCAGGGAACGCGGAGGTGGACTGCGTGTTGCTTGTTCGCGCACCAAATCATACCAACTCAAATCAAATCGACATGGCGCCTGCTCGATCGCGGAGAACATGAAGCCACGGCGTGGCGGCCACGAGGAGCTGGCTGCTGGCTGGCATCCGCCGCCGCCCGCGGGCTTCGCGACGGGGACCCTGACTCCACAAACCACTGAGACAACCACCCCGGCCCGCGCGGATCGTGGGGTTCCTGCTCCCTCCGATCGCCTTGGTCGGAGGCGACGCAGAGGACCATGCACGATAAGTGCCTGGGCATGGGAATGCGCGTGTGCGTGTACTACTGCACAGGTAGCCATCTCGCTGGCGGGACACTGCAGCGTTTGATGTGGCGCCGGCGCGGACCGAATGAGAGTTCCCACGGGGTAGCGAGGACCCGTCGATAACGCGGCGAGACCCCGGCGTTGCGACGCCGCCCGTCCACTGTGTTGTTGGCTCAACGTGGAGGTCACAAAGCGGATACCTTGACCTCCGCCCAAATCGCGAGTACCCTCTGCAAACCCTCTGGTTGGCGAAACCTTGTCGCAGTGCCGTTTCCAGTTTCTGCCCCAGCCAGCCAGCGGGATCCAGCTCCAGCTCCAGCTTCACCCCCGGATTGATATCGGCGGCGGCTCCGCCCGCGGACCGTTTCCCCAGATACGTCGGTACTGCGTATGTCCACCTACCTACCTAACCCAACCCACCGGGGGCAGGCACACGGATACGGAAGGGGGGAATGAACATGGATGCCGGTTGTGCGGCGCTGACGACTGCGCCCAGACAAAGCATTGACTATCCAGTGCGTATCCGCGTGCGACGCTGAATCTGTACCGAGGGTGGTGGTCGTGACGTACCGGGGGGGCTGGCTGAACGGCGGGCTGGGCGGTGTCGTTTTGTCACTCGCAAACCAGACGCCTCGTTTTGCTGATTACTACGGGGGAGGAACCGCTGGGGGCGCGCTAGCCGTCGACACTACTTTTTGATAACTCTGCGCTTGGCTGGGGGTTGGCAGGGAACGTGGCGACGACACATATATCTGGCGCTGGCTGCCGGACGACTACGTGCAGATGTGCGACGACGTTCAGGCAGCGGCGAGGTGACCATTGCAACATCTCAGGGGCACACATATATACACGGGCACCTGGATTGTTTTCTCTTTCTCATCCACACATCTGTTGTCCACGCAGACTTGCACTTCAGCTCGCAGATGACGCTCAACCGTTGAGTCTCGCAAACGCAGCCATCACCCTGCACGTCGGGAACTCCTCGTCCCACGAGCAGCAGACCCAGCAGCCGGCGTGCTGAGGCCCCGGCTTCGAGAGCTGATATGCCACCGGACGCCATGTCGGAAAAGACGGGCGCAGGCCGCGACGACGTCGTTGCGTCGACGACGGGCTCGTTTGGGCTCGTCGACGGCAAGGGCAGCAGCGCCGCGAGCGCCAGCCACGACGACGACGTTGCGAGCCGCGGCGAGGCAGGCACCCACGGCAGTCATGGACGGCACACCGAGGACAGCAACGAGGCGCGGCTGCGCGTGATCCGGCGCAAGATCGACTGGGCCATCATGCCGCTCATGTTCCTGTGCTACTTCCTGCAGTTCCTCGACAAGGTGCTCATCAACTACGCCAATATCATGGGCATCTCCAAGAGCCTGCACTTCGAGGGCGACGACTTCTCGTGGATGGCGACGGCCTTCTTCATCGGGTACGCGGTGGCGGAGCTGCCGCAGGGGTTCCTGATCCAGCGGTTCCCCGTGGCCAAGGTGCTGGGCGTCAACGTGGTGCTCTGGGGCGTCACCATCTGCTGCACGGCCGCGACGCAGAGCTTCCCCAGCGCGGCGGCCGTGCGCACCCTGCTGGGCATGTTCGAGGCCGTCATCACGCCCGCGCTCATCATGATCACGTCGCAGTGGTACACGCGCCGCCAGGCGACGCCCCGCACGGGCATCTGGTACTGCGGCCTGGGCGCGGGACAGGTCATCGGCGGGCTCGTCTCGTGGGCGGCGCAGACGGGCAGCGCGCGGCGCCCCCCGGGTTCGTTCGAGGGCTGGCGCATCATGTTCCTCGCCGTGGGCGCCTTCAACCTGCTCGTCGGGCTGGCGGTGCTGCTGCTCATGCCGTCGGGCCTGCGCGCGGCCAAGTTCCTCAGCGACGAGGACAAGGCGCTGCACGAGGAGGCGCTGGCGCGGGACCAGGGCGGCAACGGCGAAAAGGTGTTTCGCGCGTCGGGCATCGTCGAGGCGCTGCGCGACGTGCAGGTGTGGCTGCTGTGCCTCAACACCATCCTCATCGTCATCCCCTCGGGCATCATCACCACCTTTTCCGCCACGCTCATCCGCAGCTTCGGCTACGCGCCCGACGTCGCCGCCCTGCTCAACATGCCGTCCGGCGCCGTGTCCATCTTCGCCACGCTGCTCGGCACCTTTGCCATCCTCTACGACTTCCCTCGCTGGCTCGCCATCTGCCTGCTGCTTGTGCCGACCATGATCGGCGCGGGGCTCATGTCCTTTTACGCGCAGTCGCAGGCGGGCGCCCTCGCGGGCATCTACCTCATCAACTTTGACGTCGCGCCGCTGGCCCTCATCTACGCGCTCGTCGGCGCCAACACGCAGGGGTACACCAAGAAGGTGGCCGCCAACGCCGCCGTCGCCGTGTCCTTTTCCATCGCCAACATCATCGGCCCGCAGACCTTCCGCCAGGCCAACGCCCCCGGCTACCTGCCGGCCAAGATCACCGTCTTTGGCGTCTGCGGCGGCTCCATCGTCGTGACGGTCCTGCTGCGCCTGCTGTACGGCTGGCGCAACAAGCGGACGGCCGAGGCGCGCGCGAGGGAGCTCGAGGCCATTGACCGCGGGGAGCTGGACGCGCGCGTGGCCGAGGCGGACCAGACGGACAGGACGAACCCGGCCTTTCACTACGTGTACTGAGCGAACGATTTTGTTTTGTGCGAGCCAGTGTTTTAGTGTGCGCTTCACTGCGAAGAGTGGCATAAGGGTGGCTGCCATGTTGCCGCAGGGGGTGTCCGGCGGCCCCGGCCAGTGTAACATGTATTTTCACGACCACGGATAATTGTACATGTGTCGAAGATGCAATACTCTGTCTTGATGTTTGAAGTGAAATTGTGGCATGAGTGAGATGCCTGCCAGTGATTGATGCCCGCCGCGGCGTGTCAGGCCATCCATGCATCCATCATGGCGTGTCGTCGGAGCTCGACTTACACGGACGCATGGCGGCTCTGTCAACAGCTCACACCACCGCGCCCGTCGGTTTCAGATCCCCCTGCCCTCCACGCAGCCACCGCATCGCAATGCGTGACATCACAAAGGGCGTCGGAACCAAACACTAGTCAGTCTGCTAGACACAATGCCCGTCGCGCCGTCGTCACCTGGCCGGCCGCCTGGGTCCAACGGTCACTAGCCATGTTCTGTCGGCCGCCGGGGGCGATCATCCCCGCAGACTGGGCCACGGGCAGCCCCAAGAAGGGAAGACCCTGGCATACGGTGGCGGCCCTCGCTTGGTGAACGGGTGGCCTGGAATCAATGGCCGGGAAGAAGTGGAGGCTCCGTCCCCAGCGAGCCCGCCGTTGGGCCCCCGGAGCCGCCAGGCGATGAGTGGCCGCGACGATGCCTTTGCGACGGAGCACGTTGGCGCCCCGTTTGCTTCTGTGGGTGCACCAACCGACGGGAACAAGCGAGTGGGACTCCCGTCCGAGGGGGCCTCGTCACATCTCCGCGCAGCCCAGCCCTCGGATTCTCTCGAGTACTGAATGCGCCGGCTCGGGCGTTATTGCCGACTGATGACGAGGTTCATATCGCGTTCTGCGATCCACGGCCATCTCCCGAACCGCGATGAACACGCCAAGATTATTGGAGACGAGTCCCGCGGCCGCATGCACGATATGACATGATATTCTCTGTGCAGAAACAGTCGTCGCAGAGGCTCCATGCGCGATCGGCAGCAGTGCCAGACCCATCGTCTCAGGTCCGCGGGACTCGGCCGAGGCGCCGTGTGCGTTTCCGACGCAAGCGCTCGTCGCATCGCGGAGGTCGGAGCAGCGGTCACGGCATCGTCATGAGCGACACCAGACCCAGAGCCCGCGCCAGCGCCAGCACCAACGGATGCAGCAGCGGCAACCGGCATGATCTGATACCAGGGCCCCCCCTGGCTGGTCCGTGTCTCAGCGCATCTCGCGGGGCTTTTCGGCCGGGCGCCGTCGCTGCTAAGCTTTCCGAGCGATGCTAGCAGGTGCATGCCCGCGAGTTGTGCTTATCCGCCCCCTCTCGCCCCAGCGTCCACCGCAGGGTGAGGTTCAGTATGATGAGGTTCGAAATAAGGTATCCGTGGATAGGTGAGATACCTACCCAAACCTCCCGGCCCGGTGGTGGGTTTGGCAAGTTTGGGACTTGGCTGGCTGTCTCGCGTGGTGACAGCGCAACGGCGAGGGCATTGGCGCCATTGGACAATGGCTCCAGGTCGCAGCACCGAGGGACCAGATGGGGCTGAGACAATGGCCGATCGGCTGTCACCTGTCAGGGTGCCGCGCATCTGGAAGCTTGGGGGGACCTTGAAACAACCGACGACACACAAACCGTCGCCCGGGCTTGAATCGCGGAACCGTTGGCAAGGGATGGCGCTGACTCCCGATGCCCCCGCTCCAGTCCACTGCAAGCCCACGGCCGGATGCCAGTCTGGGCAGCTCCCGGCGCCGCGATTAGCTCGTTCAAGCTTCCAGGTTCCGACCTATTGACGCCAGCCAGCTGGGTCGCTAAAAATTTGGCGGCTCTCAGGCGGCCCTGCTTGCGTGCTGGCGATTGGCAGCGTCGCAAAATGGGCCATTGGAAATCTCGCCGAGCTGCCTGCGCGTCGTGTTCATGCGGGCAGTCCTTGCGTCCTGCGCGGCAGTGCGTCGGTTGAGAGATGCTGGCGTCGCATAGCTGTTCGAAGCCCATTGCACGGCAGTGTCAAGTCCCTCTATCCGTTCTGTTCAACTGTGCGCGGCTCCTGCGCGGACTTTCTGATTCTTGAGCCCGGACTTAGGGTAGGCCAGTCTCTCAGGGTCCAGCGCAAGATTTGCGACGCTGTCCGGCGGCAGAGCCTCCCCCACAGCGCCGCTGGGGTCGTCGCTGGCCACAGTGGCGCCGCTAGCCGGTGCTATAATTACGTGCTGGAGCGTCTCTGCTCGATCCGACGCGGCCCATCAAATGGAAGCCCGCCAGCAGCCCGGGCAGCTCGGGAGACGGAGCGCCAGCCACTTCCATCCAGCTTCCAGTGGGCTGCCAAGGCAGGGAAACCCTGGACACCACTCTGCGCACCAAGAACACAGAATGCCATCCCACCAAGAAAGAAAAGCCTCCGCAGCGTCGCACCGCATTTTCACTTGCATCGCCCGCCCGGCCCCGCGGGTCCGATCCATTGCCAACCTTGGGCGGCTAGCACGCTGGGGCCTCCCGCTGGGCTGGGCGCTGCTCGGGTCCCCCCCCACGCCGCCCGACGCGAATAGCGCCAGACGACACCCCCAGCCGCAGACCAAGAGCCGCCACAAGGGCGGTGCGGCGGCGGCCGACTCCTTCGAGAAGCATTGCGCGACCTGCTCTTCCAAGGCACGCGAAGAAGGGAGGGCGGAAAGGGGGGGAGAAGAGGGGGAGTTTTTCTTCCTCAGCCCCCTTTGCGACGGCTGCAGTCGGCCGCTGGCCATCTCGAGGCACGGGGCTCGCAGAGGCACTCACTGCCGGGGGAAAAGTGAATAGTGACGAAAGGGCAGAACACGATGCAGCGGATTGGGACTGGGACGTGGCCGAAACGGCCGCCTCCGCGGTGGGAAGTCGCCTGTGCTGGCTGGCTGGCTGGCTGGCGGGCTGGCTGGCGGGCTTCGTGGTGGACGGGCCGCGGGCTGCACCAGCGGCGGGAGCGAGACGGCGTCGGCGCGGATGCCGTTAGCACAATGGGCCATGGCATCCATGGAGACGAAAGAATGAGTCGAGCAGCCCACCCGACGGGGCCCCGTCGTCTTGCCCCAGGGCCAAACGCCCGGCGCGGCTGGGCTGGCGACGACCGGGCTCGTTGCAAAGTTCCCCTTCCCCATCCCGCCGACTAGCAACGGGCTGTTTTTTTGGGTTGCTTATGGATCGAGGTCTCCCGCCGCCCCCGTGTACGAGTACGTGCTTGGGTTGTAAATGCCGCCCGCGGATGAGAGAAACCGGGCGGGCAGCAGGCTTTTTGCGCCGGGCTCGCTTCGCGCTCCGTGGTCCCCTTTTTGAACGGGCGGCCCTCTCCGTCGTGATTTCGCACGTCCTTCCCGATTGATTCTCTTTCTCCTATTCTCCGGCCGCCTGGGTGATTTGTACAAGATATACAAGGTGGCCGCATCGTGAGACCGTCTGCTTGGTCCTGGCCGGTCCGGGACTCGCCCTCACACATCCACGCATCCACACACGTACATGTAACAAGTACACACCCACGGCGACGACGACAACAACAAGCACAACGACGACGACACGATAGACGAAAGGACACTCGTACATGCACGGCACCACGAGCTGACTCGCCATGCCGTCCAAGATTGCATCCCCCATCGAGCCGCCGGCGACGGTCGTCGTCACCGGCGCCAACGGCTTCATCGCGCAGCACTGCGTCGCCGCCCTCCTCGCCGCCGGCTACCGCGTGGTCGGCACCGTCAGGACCGCGTCCAAGGGGGATCTCGTCGCCAAGACGCACGGCTCGCACCCCAACCTGTCGACGGTCGTCGTCGAGGACATCACCTCCCCCCAGAGCTACCTCGCCGCGCTGGGCTCATTATCGCCGAGCGCCATCCTCCACCTGGCGGCCCCCTTCCACTACAACGCGACCAACTTTGAGCACGACCTCATGGTGCCCGCCGTGCGCGGCTCCACGGCCATCCTCGAGGCCGCGGCCCAGATCCCGAGCGTGACGCGCATCGTGCACACCAACAGCTTCGCCTGCATCTACGACGCCGCGGCGGGGCCGTCCCCGGAGAAGACGTACACGGCCCGCGACTGGAGCCCGCTGACGTACGAGGACGGCGTGCAGGCGGCCAACGCGCCCACGGCGTACCGCGCCAGCAAGACGGCGGCCGAGAAGGCGGCGTGGCGCTTCATGGAGGAGCAGCGCGGCCTGGGCTTCGACCTCGTCAGCCTGTGCCCCGGCATGGTCTTTGGCTCCTTCCTGCCCGAGTCGCGGCCGCGCTCCATCGAGGAGCTCAACACGAGCAACCTCCTCGTGTGGGCCGCCGTGTCGGCGGGCAAGGACTCGGCCGTGCCGCCGACCAAGGCGCCCGTCTGGGTCGACGTCCGCGACGTGGCCGACGCGCACGTGCGGGCGCTGCGGGTGCCCGAGGCGGGCGGCGCGCGCTTCCTGCTGGGCCAGGGCGTCTACTGCAACCAGGAGCTGGCCGACGTGAGCCGCCGCGTGACGAGCAAGTTTGCGGAGCGCATCCCCGTGGGCGAGCCGGGCCGCCGCGAGAGCCAGACGCACTTTGGCGTCGACGCGAGCGAGACGGAGCGCGTCCTCGGCATCCGCTGGAGGGGGCTGGACGACTGCCTGGGCGAGCTGGTGCCGCAGCTGTTTGAGATTGAGCGGAGCCAGCAGGAGTGAGGGGGGGGGAGGGGGACTTCATGATACCTTGGTAGACTTGCATGCTGTCGACTTGTATATAGGGGGGGACCTCAACAGTACTTATCGCTGCACCGTCGGGGGCCTGCTAGAGGCTGCCGTGGCCACAGAGCCGGTGCACTCACTTGTAGCGAATAATGAACTCATGACTGGACTGGGATGAGGAAGCGAAAACAGTGATGTGAATGAGGCGTGAGCGTGAGTAAAGCGTTGAGTGGAGGAGTGAATGCGTAAAGTGAGCGTTGCTCGAGGCCGTTGGGATGTGAGATAAGATGCGAGATAAGAAGAGCTCAGCGCAAGGGAGGAGGGCCAGCCGTTGGCGCAATCCCGCCCCCTCCCGGTTGTTTGCCGGTGTCCACCGTCAACGGCCGCATCTGTCAAACTCGGCGCCCCGACCGGAGACCAAAGCGGAAGCACAGTGCATACACTGTATCCGCGCCGTGTTTGCCCGCCGAATCCCGCGCAGCCCGTACAGTGCCAAGTCGCGACGCCTCCCGTCAGCATCTTGCGTGCGCACGCGAATCCTTCCAAAACCTACGCAAACCCCGAATGCGACCCCTGCCGCAGCCAACGCGTGCCCCCCCCCGAAGCGAGGCTGCAAACCGCGCAGGCCGGACCGGGAAACCCTCCCGCCCCCCTCCCTCTCTTCGCTCTCCGCAGCTGCCGCAGGTCACGAGGCTCGAGGACAACAACGCGCCCCGGGGTCCCCTTCGCCGCCCACCCCCAAGGTACGGGGCGAGACTATGCACTTGACTCGTCGCCTAAACGGCAGAGACGCGCAGCAGCGACACCCTCCCGGCCCTGGATGAATGCATGAATGACAGGCAGCATCCCTGGACTGGACTGAGAGAGCTCGACCGAGCCATGGACATGGGCGCAGCGGGACCGTCGACCGCCGCCGCCGCGACGGCAGCGGGAGGAGCAGCTCCGCGGGTCGCCGGCACCGCCATCGCCAACGACGGCATCAAGCCCGGCGGCGCCGCCAATAGCAATAGCGTCGGCAACAACATCGGCGCCGCGGGCCCTAAGGCCGGCTCGCCCGTCTCCTCCTCTAAGCCCAAGCAGCGGCGCGTGACGCAGGCCTGCGACTACTGCCACCAGCGCAGCATCCGCTGCCGGCCCTCGGGCGACGGCGTGTCGTGCGCCAACTGCCGCGACTTCGACCAGGCCTGCACCTATCACCGGAAACCTCGCCGGCGGGGCGTCCAGCCTCGCTCGTCGACGGCGTCCTCGTCCGGCCCCGGCGGTGGCGGCGGTCCGCGAGGCGGCCTTGCCGGCGCCGACGACGCGACTCCCCGTCCCACCTCCGGGCCGACGCCGCCCTCGACGACGCCCAACTCGGTCGGCTCCGCGGGCGGACCCCGTCCCGTCTCGGTCCCGTACCGCGGGGCCAACGCGGCCTTTGGGCGCCCGCAGCACGATGTCTGGGAGGCCCCCGTCATCGCCTCGCAGGCCGTCATCGTCGACCTCGTCGAGCTCTACTTTGAGCTCGTCTACCCCATCTTCCCCTTCTTCCACCAGCCCTCCTTCACGCGGCGCATATCGCGCGCCGACTACCTCACCAGCCGGACCCTCTTCGCCAACACCATGGCCGTCTGCGCCCTCGTGAGCAGCCGCATCCGCGACGGGTCCGTCACCAACCCGCGCTGGGACCTCGACTCGCTGCGCGATCCGTCTCCGGACGTCTTCTACGCCGAGGCCAAGAGGCAGCTGATCGACATCAGCCCGGACTCGAGCCTCAACGTCCTCCGCGCCCACGCCATCTTGGCCATCACCGCCATCCAGAACAGCCGGATACGGGACATGCACCAGCACCTCGGCACGTATCACACCCTTGTCGCCATGGACGCCTTGCATGACGAGTCCAACTGGCCGGCGGGGATCGGCGTCATCGAAAAGGAGGAGCGGCGGCGGCTGGTAGGTGGAAGGATCCGGGCCCTGGCAGAGCATGTTGCTAACCGTGGTCCACCAGTTTTGGTCCATCTACACCCTGGACATTTACACGTCAGTCGTATGGGGAGGCATCATCCGGTCGCGCGAGCAGCAGTCCAACGTCGCGTACCCGATAGAGGTCGACGATGAGTTCATCGAGGACGGCAGCGTGCCCGATGCCGACCACAGCCCCAATTCCGTCAGCTCCACCTCCACCCGCCGCGCCTTGACGGTGCGCTCCGACTGCTGGCTCTCCGGGTGGAACTTTATCACCGACCTCTATCGGGTGTTGGAGCACGCCCTCACGCGGTTCAGGTATCATAGCAACCGGTCCCGCCGCCAATCATTTTTGCACGAGATTTTCGAGGACAAGTCGACGAGCGTCACCGAGGCGTCCGTTCGGGACAGCGTCCTACAAATGTACCTCAACTTGCCGGCCTGCTTCAAGGAGACGCCGCAGCTTACGTACAACGTGAAGAAGGACCGCTTCGGGTACCAGGCCGCCAACATCACCGGCAGCCTGCAGCTGGTGCGCATGGTGCTCTTCGCGGCCGGCGGGGCGAGCATCGGCGAGCGGTGCCAGATTGTGAGGGAGGTCGTCGACGCCTTTGTCTCCGTGCCAGTAAGCTACCTCGTCGCCATCAGCACGCCGCTGCTGCACCATCTAGGCGGTATCGGGGCCTTTCTTGGCTCCGTGTTCGAGGAGCCGCTCAACGAGGCAGACTACAGCCAGGTGCGCGGCATCATGCTGTCGCTGGCACAGCTACTTGAGAGCCTGGAAGCGGTCCACCACTCGGCCAGCGCGAGCGAGCGGCTGCGCTCACAGGTCGCGCGTATTGATGAGTTTATGGCCTCGCAGCGCCAGGCCGTGGCCGCCCCCATGTCGATGCCTCCCAACAGGGGTCCAGTGGCGCCGCCACAGAGCGTCGCGGCGGACGGCCGAACTGTGCCCGCGGGCTCGTACCCGCAGATGGGTGGGCACGAAATGGCCGACGGGTGGTCCTTCCAGGTGCCTGCGGAGATGCTGGGCGAGCTGAACTGGAGCTTCGAGTTTGGGCAGACGTGGAATGCGCAAGTCTAGGTACGAAAAAGGGGTGGCGTTTACAGACGTGGACAAGATTCTTGATATTTTCAACCACGGGGTTGGGGTATGAGATAAAAGCACCTTGCTATATTACCGTTGACCAAGGCAACCGGCGGTCTATTTACAGGTTTTAAATACCTTGCCTCATGAATGAACAAGCTCCTCGTCGACATTACCCCCCCCGCTTCTCGACACTCCCGTCGGACGCATTGCTGCCGGAGGCGTCCCCCCGGCCGTCCACCTCGTCGAGGAGACGGCGCGCGGCGACGGCAACGTTTCCGCCGGCTTCGTCGATGCGGCGGTGGTACTCCTTCATGTTTCTGCTGACGAGGGGGCTGTCGCTGGTGAAGAGAAGGGAAACCTCCTCGAGGGAGCGGCCGGCGACCTCGGGGTAGAAGAGCCAGATGATGGGGAGGACGACAAAGTTGACGGCGCCGAAGAAGAGGTAGGTGCCGTAGCCGAGCTTGTCGAGCATGATGGGGATGAGGAACTGGGTCATGCCGCAGCCGGTGGCCCAGCCGAAGATGGTGAAGCTGTAGCCCTTGGCGCGGATTTCCTGCGGCCAGATTTCGGTGCCGTAGATCCACACGGGGATGATGTTGAACATGGTGAAGAACCTGAGGGGTGTGTTAGCGGTGACATTGAGTCCGATTCCGGGAGGAAATGTGGAAAGGGGAAAATAGGGATGGCTTACCAGGTGTAGATGAATACAAACGACGCGGCCGCGGTGCCCAGGCGGGACGACAGGTCCGGGTCCGTGGCGGCGGCGTCCTCGCTCGTCTTGATGAGGGCGGCGACGAGGAAGAGGCAGACGGCCTGGATGATGAAGGACGTGAGGAGGGACTTGACGCGGCCCATGCGGTCGATGACGAGGGCGGCGGCGGCGGTGCCGGGGACGCCGACGGTGTTGACGAGGCCCGACAGCCACAGGGACTTGTAGCTGTCGAAGCCGGCGAGCTTGAAGAGGACGCCGGCCCAGCCGACGATGGCGAGGATGCCGGACCACTGCTGGATCCACTGGAGGGCGAAGCCCATGAGGGCGCGGCGGCCGAGGTGCATCTTGCCCGAGTAGCGGCCGCCGAGCGTGATGTTGAGCAGGTTGTTGCGGCGCTGGTGGGTGGCCTCGACCATGGCGTCAATCTCCTCGACCTCGCGCTTGATGAGGGGGTCCTCGGGCGAGAGGTCGCCGCGGAGCTTGCACAGGATGTCGATGGCGTCTTCGCGCCGGTTGTTGGCGATGAGCCAGCTGGCGGAAATTGTCAGCGCGGACGTCCATATCAAACGTAGAAGAACCACCACCACGCAGGGGGTATAGAGGAGGTGGGATAGTCGGGACAGTAGAGGCAGGGACCTTACCGAGGCGACTCGGGCAAGAAGGGAAGAGCGGCGTCGACAATGAGCAGCGGGATGACCATCCAGCCGAGGGGGAAGCGCCAGCGGAACTCGAGCCCCGTGTTGCGGATGCCAAAGTTGATCCAGTACGAGATGACGATGCCGAGGTAGTTTGCGACGAAGACGAGGGAGAAGCTGGAGCCGCGGTCGTGCGACTGCGAGAGCTCGCTGACCCAGGGCAGGATGATGGCGTTCATGAAGCCGATGCCGATGCCGGCGATGACGCGCGCGCAGATGAACATGTCGGAGTTTTGGCTGGCCGACTGCAGGGCCGCGCCGAGGATGGCGAAGAGCGTGCCGATGAGGGTGCCGCGCTTGCGGCCGATCTTGTCGCCGACCCAGCCTGCGCGAAAGCGTGTCAGCGGGCGAGGAACCATCACGGACGCACCGAGAGTGACCAGACTGTCGCGGACGTGGACGTCCGGTCAGAAGGAGAGAGCATGCGCAACTTACCACCGACAAAGCATGCCCACATGGCGCCAAAGTAGTACGCGGCAGCGAGGCCGCCCTGCTTGGTCGAGTCGGTGACGACGTCGTCGTGACCTATCTCGGCCATGGCGATGAAGCCGGGCGTGGCGCTGACGGTGCCGTAGACGCCCTGGTTGTAACCTGCGCGACGAGGCGTGAGCAAAACGGAGGACGGCACAGTCAGAGACGGAGACTCGGCAAGTCAAAGCCGCGGCCGAGTCGTCATCATCACCACCACCACCGCCACCACCATCGCGGTGCGGACAGGCCGGGAGGCGGCAGTTGGGTGAGATGAGACGACACGACACGACACGGGATGAGACGAGACAAGCCCAAACGACGTACCCTCAAAGATGAGCGCCGTGGCGGCGACGAGGTTGATGATGAAGAGCAGCGCCCTGCCGGGCAGGTGCCTCCAGATGGTGAAGCCGGCCATGACGGCGGACGGCGGACGGCGACGCGACAACGATGGGGACGACAGATGATGGTCGCGACGCTGGCTGATGGTCGCGACGCTGGCGATGGGCAACGAGAGAAAGAGAGAGAGGGGCCTTGTCCGCCTGCACCAAAGGGGACGGACGGGAGCTGGGGCAAAATAGGACAAGACGCCGTTCCGTCGCGAGACGAAGAAGCGCAAGGGCAATAATATGGGCAGCGCTCGCTCAGGTTTAGTTGCCGGGCGGCCCAATGGACGCGGCCGTTGGAACAAGGTAGTGGAGAAGCAAGGCAAAAAAAAAAGAGGGCTTCTTGGGGTTTGGTTTGGCAGAAGGATGGTAGTTGGAGTGAACGCCCGAGTTAAGTTAGCGAGGCTGGGACGAACTGACGGCCTAGGTAGGTTGAGGTGCGGCTGCCGGAAGTGCGCCGAGTGCTGCAGGGTCTTTGGCGGGAGTGGAGGGGGGAGCTTTTGGGGCCCTTGGGCTTATCACGGCTCGGATGCAGGGTGGGATGGACGAGGTTGCGCCGAGGGAAAGGCATCGTACATATTTATACATGATGTTTAATTTCCTGCGCGCACCTCGCCAGCTGGGCAACATTCGACTAGCGAGTCTTGTCTCCCCGTGGGGATTGCGACCAAGTCGAGCCCGACGACGACGGTGAGCCACCAGAGGGCAACGCGGACTCCATCCAACGCCCGCCCGGGGGTGCCACTCCGTCTTTGGGGGTGGTGGGCAGGGCGTTTTTGATTTTCTTGAAGCGAGCCGCGGGCAGAGTCGAGTCGTCACGACGAGGTCACCGAAGAAGGGAAGGGGGGCCGGCATGGGCGACGCCGTGGACTGGTCTGCGGAAACGACGTGATGTCTGCAGCAGGAGACCCGTGCGCGAGCCGGCAGGGTATGGAGCTGTGGATGCATCATGGAGCAACGGGGACGGACGGGCAGGGCTGCAGGGATGGATGCCTTTTTAGAGAGGGTGGATCCGTCAATCCAATCCATGGGTCCCTGGGATCCATGCCCGATGGATGGCGTGCAGCCCTGGGGGGCCCTGGCAGCGGGCAGTAGGCGGCGCCGCCGTTGGGGGGTTCTTGGAGAGCATTTGGGCGGCAGGCAGTGGAGCCCTGGAAGCCACCTGGGCAGCAGATGTGGCGTCCGGCGTGTGCTCCGCGCGCTGTGGTACGCTGGCGTCGGGGGGCGCTGCAGTGCACGCTGCGGGTACAGTCCGCTGGTGAGTGCGGGTGGCACTGAGCGCTGGCACGGTTCCTACAGGCGAGGTGAACTGTGCTGCGAACCCGGAATCGGAGACCCATCCGTCGTTTGGTGGCACAAGGTGTTGGTTGGTGTCACCCGTGAAGATGTGGATTGCGGGATCGGTTCCGTGGCTGCCAGATGGGGTTGCGGCGGCATGTGGCAGGTGCCAGGTGGCGGCATGTGTGTGTCTGTGTGTGTGTGTGTGTCCCGCGTCTGTGTGAGGTGTGGCATGTCGTCCGTCTGTGGGTGTCGGCTCCGCGCCCCCGGCTGCTGGATGGATTGACATCTCCGGGGAACCGCGCTGCCGTGCCGTGTCCCGTGGGGGAGGACAAGGCCGTGTCCACGGTAGATTGGATGACGGGGATGGATCGTTCGGCAGCGGGCGCAGACGCGCACAATCGTGGAGGCTTGGGGCTTGGGGAGACGGAGCGATTCTGCTCAGCATCAAGTCATCCACGCTGCTGAGCGGCTAAACGGATCGCCGTTGTTGGTGTTGAGAACCAAACCGCCGTTTAACAGTACTGCCGCTTAGCCATTTACACAAAACGCCCTGTCGTCGCCCCCGTCAGCTGCCGTGCGCCCCCCTGGAGGCAGGTCACCTGCGCTGTGAGCCAGCCCTCCAGTGGACGCCAGACCCCTCGGAGAAGCGACCCCCGAGCCTTCCACGGTCGTGCCACTTAGGCGTTTAAGCGTTGATGCCCAAGCTCCAGTTCTCTCCCGCCGCCGCCGTTGCCCCCTTTCTCCCTCCTCTGCAGCCAGATGTCGGCACAAGACTGGTATTTGTGGCGACGATGCTCGACCACAAAATATTTGGCTTTTTTTTTGCGACGGGCAAGGGAAAAGAATTCTGGCTCACAAGAGGAGCCGCAGCTTTTCCCACGCCGCATTCATCAACGCGGGCGACCCCAATGGCTCTGGATTGAGTCCCCGTAACCCTTTCGTCTCGTGCCCTTATATCTCACCCCCGGGCTTCGGACGCCGTAGCTCGCTCCTTCCAATCTCAACGGAAAACATCAGACCGGATCGCCGACGCTTGCGCTGCTGCGGCGAGGAACTGAGTTGAGATATTCTCACCTTGCCCTCACTCACTCGCACAGACGACCATTCGTCTTGCCCTGGCTCTTGGTCTCTTCACCTGTTTCTCTCTTCCTCTCTCCCTATCCCTCGCACTTCGCAATTTACACCCGCTCCTTACCAACCATGGGCTCCATCGGCCGCGCTGCGACCACCGCGGCGGCGGCGGTAGAACTACCCCAGTCGCAAGGCAGCGGCGCGCCGCTCGACCTGACGGTGCTCGGCCTCAACTCGGGCACGTCAATGGACGGCATCGACTGCGCGTTGTGCCGCTTCCGCCAGGCGTCGCCCGACGCGCCCATGCACTTTGAGCTGCTCAAGTACGACGAGGTGCCGCTCGAGCAGACCATCAAGAAGCGCGTCATGAACATGATCCTCCACAACTCGACGACGCCCGAGGAGCTGTCCGAGGTCAACGTCCTGCTGGGCGAGACGTTTGCCGACGCCGTCGACGCCTTCTGCGCAAAGCACGGCGTCGACCGCGACTCCATCGACGCCATCGGCTCCCACGGCCAGACCATCTGGCTGCTCAGCCTGCCCGAGCCCGGCCAGGTGCGCTCCGCCCTGACCATGGCCGAGGGCTGCTTCATCGCCTCGCGCACCGGCATCACCACCGTCACCGACTTTCGCGTCTCGGACCAGGCCGCCGGCCGCCAGGGCGCGCCCTTGATCGCCTTCTTCGACTCCCTCGTCCTGCACCACCCCACCAAGCTGCGCGCCTGCCAGAACATTGGCGGCATCGCCAACGTCTGCTTCATCCCGCCCGACGGGCCCGACGGCGCCCTCAACGACGCCTTCTTCGACTTCGACACTGGGCCCGGCAACGTCTTCATCGACGCCGCCGTCCGCCACTTCACCGCCGGCAAGGAGGAGTTTGACCGCGACGGCGCCATGGGCCGCGCCGGCACCGTCGACCAGTCCATGGTGGACGAGTTCCTCACCACCCACCCTTACTTCGCCCTTGACCCGCCCAAGACGACGGGCCGTGAGGTGTTCCGCGACACCATCGCCCACGACCTCATCAAGCGCGGCGAGCAGCGCGGCCTGTCGCCCAACGACGTCGTCGCCACCATCACCCGCATCACCGCCCAGGCCATCGTCGAGCACTACCGCCGCTACATGCCCACGCAGTACGGCCCGCTCGCCGAGATCTTCATGTGCGGCGGCGGCGCCAAGAACCCCAACATCACCGACTACCTGGCGCGCGCGTTCCCGGACACGCGCATCGTCATGCTCGACGAGGCGGGCATCCCCGCCGACGCCAAGGAGGCCATCACTTTTGCCTGGCAGGGCATGGAGGCCATTGTCGGGCGCAGCATCCCCGTGCCGGATCGCGTCGAGACGCGCCAGGGCTACGTGCTCGGCAAGGTGAGCCCCGGGCGCAACTACAGGCGGGTGATGCGCAAGGGCATGGAGTTTGGCGGCGGGCGCGAGCACCTCGAGCCTGTGAAGGAGCTGGTCAACTATGTCAACGGCAAGGTATTTGAGAGCAAGGCGTGAGCGGTTTTTTTCTCTCTCTCTGCACGTCTCTTGTTCCACCGCCGGCATATACGATGCATACGAGACATGAGTTTCTCCTACTAGCATTTGATTAATAGTACGGCGTTGCGCGTGGGGCCATGACTTGCCATGAAGACGACACAGAGTTGCATGGTGTGCTGTGTATAAGTGATCGTCGGGGGCCAGGCGCCACGTGATGGCCTGCAGGTAGCGACGCGCACTCGTCACCTCCCTCGCCTTGGCGCCGATGAACTTTTGAGATGCGGCATCGTGGGCGGGTACAAGAACCGCGGCTTATACCGCATGGGACCTGGCCGAGTCCCCGCTTGGACGCGGCTGAGACCCGGAGGGCGTCGTGATCCATGCGAAAACAGGCGACAGGCAGCTCGGGGCAACGCAATCCTTCCACTGACAGTGTCATGAGCATCAAGATAAATAGAGTCGGCGCGGCTTCGTTGGTGAGCGCATTGGCTTCTCGACAGACAGTGGACCAGGCCGAGGCTCAAGACGACAGCAGACGTGAGTGAGCGACCGTTACTCGTTGAGCTGCATTGATCCAAACGACCTCGCCGCCGGCCCCTACGAGGCCTCACCTTTCTCTGATATCAATTACCCTTTCGCTTCAGCATGGACGAGAAGCGACAGCCCGCCGGCCCTCCGCGACGGCGCCCCAGGCCAAAAACGAAGCTCGCCCAAGCCGGCGCCGCTGCCCTCGCCATCTGCTGGCTCTCGTTCAACCTCGTCTCGAACGTCGTGCCGCAATGTCACGCCCAGCCGCACAATGGAAACGACGACGGGCTGCTCTCGTACCCTGGCGAGCACATCAAGTGGAAGCCGTGCGGGACGGTGCGCGGTCGCAGCCTCGAGTGCAGCGACATCGACGTGCCCATGGACCAGTTCAACGCGAGCAACAACCACGGCGGCAAGAGCTTCAACATCCCGCTGGTGCGGCTGCGCGGGCGCAACAACGCGACGCGCAACCTCGTCATGAACCCCGGCGGGCCCGGCGGCTCGGGCTTCGCGCTCATGTACGGCGACGGGCCGGAGCTCAGCGCCCTCGTCGACGAGCGCTTCCACATCCTGTCGTTCGACCCGCGCGGCGTCAACTCGTCGCGCCCGCTCGCCAGCTGCTACCCGGACCAGGCGACGCGCGACGCCATGGCCAACCCCAACGACGGGGACCCGGAGCGCGACAGCCCCGGCCGGTACGCGTGGACGACAAACTACGTGCGCGCGTGCGCCGACACGCTGGGCGAGCACGGCCGGTACGTCAACACGCCGCAGACGGCCGCCGACATGAACTCGATCCTCGACGCCGTCGGGCAGGAGAGCATGGTCTACTGGGGGCTCAGCTACGGCAGCCTGCTGGGGCAGACGTACGCGCAAATGTTCCCCGAGCGCTGCGAGAGGGTCGTCGTCGACGGCGTGGCCGACGTGTTTGAGTGGTACGAGGCGCCGCTGCTGCTGGCCGACTACACCGACTCGCAGCGCGTGCTCGACGGCTTCTTCGACGAGTGCGTCAAGGCGGGCGGCCGGTGCGCGCTCGCGTCGCTTGCCGGCTCCGCGCGCGAGCTGCAGGCCAAGGTCATGGCCTTCCTCGATGGCCTCAAGCAGGACCCCCTGCCCGTGTACGTCGACGCCACGACGTACGGCGTGCTCGACCACAAGGCCATGTGGCTGTCGGGCGTGTGGCGACACATGTACACGCCGGGCAACTGGTTCCAGCTCGCCGACCGGCTCGCCGCCTTGCTGACGCCCGGCGGCAACGCGACCGACGCCTTCCTGGCCTACGGACGCGGCGAGCCGCCCGCCTTCCGCCCCGTGGGCGAGGCGACCGACGTGGTCGAGCTCAACGACGGCACCGTCGGGCCCGCGCACTTCCCGCCCGGACGAGAAGCCCTCAACGGCCTGCTCTTCCCCTTCTACGCGACGCACGGCTTCGCGCTGTCGCACAACCGCATCAACCACGCGCGCCAGCAGTGGCCCGTCCCGCACACGCACGCCTTCCGCCCGCGCAACGGCACGCGCACCGCCCACCCGCTGCTGGTGCTCTCCACGACGTACGACCCCGTCTGCCCGCTGCGCTCGGCGCGGGTCGCGCGCGACGCCTTCGAGGGGGCGCGCCTCGTCGAGGTGAAGGCCTACGGGCACTGCTCGCTGGCGATGCCGTCGCGCTGCGCCGTGGGCCACGTGCGCGCGTATCTCGAGAACGGGACGCTGCCCGAGGGGGACGTCAAGTGCGATGCCGACGTCGGGTACTTTGAGCGGCCCAAGGAAGGCGGCGGTGGTGGTGCGGAGGCGCGGGCGGTTGCGGTCAACCATGCAAGGGGCGAGGGGGAGGATGGCGGGGAGGGGGGGCTTTGGGCGGCGCAGCTGGCGCTCGCGAGGAGCTCGACTTGGGCAAGCTGGCGGTCGTGATGGGACGTGGGTGTTGGGGAGAGGGCATCTCCCGGATACGAGCATGCTGGAGTAGAATTGAATGAGAAAAGCAATGAATCCCGTAATGCTGCCATCTCGGTCACTGTTGCGTCTCATCGTGTGCGTCCATCCCGCCGCTTACACGAGAAAACTCGCCGACTGACTCACAAGTTGATCCTGACCCCTTAAAAGGCACCTCACAGCACAACAAGGCAATAAACACCCCAGCGCCCTTCCAAAGCAGACAGCAGAAGCCGCGGCATCAAAGTAAACGCTCATAGACTTCACGCTTACACCAAGCCCTCGCCGTCATGTCCGACCAGTTGCACATCACCGACGCCGATGCAGTGTGGCTCCTCGAATCCCTCCCCGTGCTACAGCCCGTCCGCGTCCGCCGCAGCGCCGAGGGCGGCGAGCACATTGTCTGGTTCGTCAATGAGGACATGATCCTGCGCGTTCCCGCCTTGCAGGGCGCAGACTTGGGAGCCCTGCGTCGAGAGAAGGACATGCTCGACATGCTCCGCGCGGAGGCCGACTTGCACGCGCCAGAAGTGAGGGACGCCCTTCCGGAAATCCTTCAGCTGGGCGTCGCAGCGCAAGGGGGCGGAGGAGGAGGAGGGTGGCCGTACTCGCTGTATCGCAGGGCGGGGGGCGTGTCGGCGGAGGAAGTTCCGGGCGCTGTCACGACGGAGACTGAGCGAGGCCTGGCGGCGTTTCTGGCCTTGCTGGGACGTCCGTCTGTACAGCAAGCGGCGTCGAGACTTGGGGTGCCGCGTGGTGAAGACGTGCACGAGGGGGGTCTCACCAGCGACGCGCTGCGGGCATGGCGCCGGTTGCGAGAAAACAACCAGCTCGGAGATCTGTCCGATATGGACCTCGAAGGCTACCTCACGGCAGCCATAGCAACACCAAAGCCGGAGGCAGCAGCAGAGCAGGAGGAGCAGCCGGTGTTCTCGCACGCGGACCTCAAGGGCGAGCACATCTTCGTCGACGCCGTGACGGGCCGGCTCACCGGCATCATCGACTGGAGCGACGCGCGGGCGGCGGCGCACCCGGGCACGGACATCGGCGGACTGGCCATCTCGATTGGGGCTGCGGCGGCGGGGCGGGTCGGCGGCGGGGCGGGGCGCAGTCCGGGGACAATCCGGAGGGGCCTCCGGGTCGCGCGGTGCGAGGCCGTGGTGCTGCTGGACGCGGTGCTCAACGGCGGGGACGACTCGCCTGAGGGGTTGGTGAGGCGGCAGCTGGGGCGGGTGCTGGAGGGGGTGGGCGAGCGCCGTGGAAGCTGACGGGCGGTGACGGGATGCTGTGGGCTGGCTGGTGAATGGTGAGGCTTACAGGACGGGAGAGCTACGCGCTGACAACGAGCTGCTCATGGATGCTGTGGAGAAACTCCAGGAACTTGACTGGAAACTATGCGTCCTGGTGAACGTTTTGTTTGTTTTTGTGTTACCTCGACACTCACTCAGACCGTGTAAGCCAGATATGGCATCGTGACTCTGGAGCGAGCCATCAGCCGGCCACACATCCACCTCATGGATCGTCCATGTCGAACCCGCACCACAACCAACACAAACCCGCTCGTCGCCTCAATATGATGCAAACCAAGTGCTCCAAACACCCGGCGACAAGTGCAACCAATTCCCCCGCATGGCGATGATTAAAAATCAGCGCGCGTGCGTGAGACGCGCCCAAAGCCTCTGCGCTGGACGCGGGCTCAATTGGTAATCAGCCCTATGGACGGGGGCGCTGTAAGTCCGCTAACGCCGCCTTCCCCGGGTGGCGCCCAAGTCTCCCTCCACTCCGCTGGAGACGCTGCCACTGCCTGCGCAGGCGAGGTGGCTAGGTGATCGTTGCTAGGTGGTCATCGAGAAGTAAGGCGCCGTTGAGCGTTTCTCGGGGTTTTTTTTTTTTTTCATACCTTTTGGGATGTGTTGCGGTTACACAAAGTGCCGTATGGTCGAGGGAACTCCTTGCATGAGATCCTCACTCGGGTGTCTGGCGGGTTGGATGACGTGCGATCCAGGCACAGCGCCTCCGTTGTGAGACGACGCATGCGTGGCTGGCCGGCTCGTCGGGGTGGTGAGTGTGAGTGACTGCCACTGAGAGTGGTGACATCAATGGAGCGGGATTCATGCGCCCCGCATCAAACGTGTCTCTCATCCTCCAACCTCGACCTTGCTCGATCGCATACCTATATAAACGTCGGGCAGCCCGTTGTGAAACCGCCATTGAACTCTGTGAACCGCCGCATCCTCCTCCTCGACGCATCCACCACCGCGCATAGGCGTCCACCCAACATGGCCACCCTCGCAAAGACCATCATCGCCACCGGCGTCTCCTCCGGCCTGGTACGTCGTCCCCCTCAGCTCACTCCCTTCAGCTCCCCCCGCTGTTGCTAACGCATCCTCTCAAATCTCCAGGGCTTCGAGGCCGTCAAGCAGCTCCTCGAGCAGTCCCAGCCCTACAGGATCGTCCTCGGCGCGCGCGACACCGCCGCCACCACCGCCGCCTTTGACCGCCTCAAGTTCGACCGCGCCGCCAACCCGCTCACCGTCCTGCCCCTCGACCTCGCCGACCTGCGCGCGGTCAAGTCCTTTGCCAGCCAGGCCCTCGAAAAGGTCGACGCCATCGACTACCTCCTGCTCAACGCGGGCATGATTAAGAGCGCCGAGGGGCCCGGCCCGCACGGCTCGCGCTGGTGCGAGGCTGCTGTTGTCAACCACTTTTGTAAGCCGCCACTCGAACCGGCCCGTCCGCTGGTGTTGCCGTTACGCTGTCCATGGCGTCCTGCGACGCCCAGTCTCTTTGGAGCTTAGGCGTGCTGACATTTCATGAAAGCCCAACACTATCTGCTTCATCTGCTTCGCGACAGGCTCGTTCAATCGCGCTCGCGCATCGTCGTCGTCTCGTCGGGCGCCGTGCGCAACGTCCCCGACCCGAGTAAGCCGGGCCCCTCACCTGACTCCGTGAAAGAATGAATCATGCTGACGCCCCTCGAGGCAAGCTGGAAAAGGACCTCGCCGCCGGCTCGAGCGCGCACTTCCAGACCATCTACTGCGACAGCAAGTTCACCCAGCTCCTCGGCGCGCACTGGTGGCGCCGCCAGCTCCAGGGCCAGTGCCGCGTCGTCGCCGTCTCGCCGGGCCTCATCCCCAACACGGGCCTCGGGCGCTCCACCGACTTTAAGCTGTCCATGCAGATGCCCGACGCCAAGACGGTCCCCGAAGGTGCGTCACTGACACCGTTGACCCTCTGTCGGACCCTCTGTCGCCCTATGAGCTCCCGGCGCGTATAGTGTGATATGTACTGACAAAGGGCAGGCGCTGCAAGCATTCTCGCGGCTCTCACGCGAAATGACTTCCCGGAAGACCCCGAACGCATCTTCCTGACGAGCTGGGGCGAGTGGTGGAACAAGGACGTGTACGGAAACAGCCTCGACAAGGCGCTGCAGGACAAGTGGTCGCCGAGCAAGGAGGAGATGGAAAAGGAGGCAGGCATCGCTTCATAAGATAGCCACGGCAGCGGCAGACGGCTTGCAGGAATGCATCACTGTTTATTCCGCGGTCTAAAAATGAAGTGTTCAGCATTTCACGCTCATGGCGAACCTTGAATGAGCAGCTCCTCCAACGTCTCCAGCCATCAAAATATAGCCACGCCGTTGGGCGGACTGGCCACTCCTCCTGGGACCTGGTCATTCGTCAGCGGGTGTCCATCACTGCAACCTGCACGAAAAAGGGAGAGTCTCACATTCAGCGGCACGCTGCTAAAGAAAAACGTGTACCTCTTCCTCGTGCGGCACTCCTCGCTCAGCCGCTCGAGGTCAAACAGCTCGCCGATGGGCATCCCCCAGCCCGCCAGCAGCCACTCGTGCAGCCAGTGCTCCGGGTCCTGGCACGGCCACGCCTCCATCGACGGCTGGTCGCCCGCGACGGCCGCAAACGACTCGTCCCAGAGCCAGCGCAGCGTCGCCACGGACGACTCCACGCCGATGGCCGGCGGCACCTTGTGGTCGGCGAGCGCCTGCCGCGCGGCGTCGTCCAGCGCCCGGTACGCGCGGTTCCAGCCCGTGCGCAGGAACAGGATGTCGCCGGGCCGGAAGGCCGCGATGCCCTGGCTGGCGGCGACTTGCTTCAGCGTCGACACGGGGATCGAGGCGGGGGAGAAGGCCTCGATGGGGATGCCTTGGGCGTCGGCCCAGGCGGCATAGTCGAGCAGCACGCCGCGGCCCACGATGCCCCCCTTGTTCACCCAGGCTGTCCGTCATTCATCTCATCAGCGCGAGAAAGACAGGGGAGGGATGACAGAGAGGGGAAAGCCTGCGTGTAAGACCTCCTCGCGAAACGAACCTTGGATACCATTCACTGTCGTTGTGCTCAACTCATGCTGCGTCTTGCCGTTGAAAAACACCTTCTCGCGCTGGAAGCCGAAATGGCGAAACCCGTCCCACTGGGAGCTGCTCTGCGTGTTGAACGTGAGCTCGTCGTCGTTGACGATGCGCGGCGCCTTTTCCTTGAGCGTGTGCGAGAACGGCCGCCGACCAAAGCACGGCTGCGCCATGCTGTTGAGCGGCCAGTCGGTCGGCACGCGCGTCCCGTCGGTGATTTCACTGGCGGCGGCGCGGACGACCTCGGGCGTCAGGAGGTTGAGCATGCCGCACTGGTCGTCCGGGCCGAAGAGACCCCAGGCGTTGCCTCGGGGGCCGTCTTTGCGGAGCGGGAGGGCGTCAAAGGGCGGCTTGGTCGTCATGGTTGAAATGGGCGTGAATGAATGTAACACGCTAAGACCTTAAGTTTTGCAATAAGAAATCACAGTTGAGTTTGTCTTGGGCCGTTGCTTCCATGGAACATGAGCGTGGACGGATCGCCGTGTTGGTGCATGCGCTCTAGACGCGTGAGGGGAAGTTGGCTCGGCTACCAATATGCCGACGTCGATGGTGCAACCCCACCGGGCCATGCAACGACACTCGCGATATCGGCCTCGAACGTTGCGACTCGGTGGTCGCGTTGCGGCTGATCCCTATAACCTTCACACTTGCCATCGCATCGACTGTGATGGCAAATGTGACTTTCAGCTGGACCGAAAAAGCAACGCCGTTTCGCCTCCCAGTCACCTGGTTGATTCTCTCCACCGCGGGGGTGCACGTACGTGCGACTGCAATGTCGTCGTAGCCTCGGCATCCAAGTCGGGCGCGTTTCTTGGCCGATGCTTGAAACAATTGCGTGAGAAATTGAGTCCAATACTGTCAGCGTAGACCTGGACACAGGCTGCGCATCGACAAATGCCAGGCGTACCTCCAGCAATGGCTGCCAGCCGATGCATGTAGCATTGAATTAAACGTTGGACGAGACCAGTTTAATCAATCGATATAGCATGTATACCCTCAGCACGACCGTTCGCATACAATAACAGTACCGCAAGACAAAAAGTTACGGTTTGTGGCACTGGCATCCTATGTCCAGTCGGCCATTGAGTGTTCTCGAATTGACCTGCGTCCATGTCACTAGACGTCGTCCGCATTCCGCCTCCTCGCGTCACATAGAACGCAACAACAGCAACAACACACTACAAGCGTAATTGGGATTATCAAGACTAACGCAATTCAATTTCCGCCGAGCAATAATGATAATACATATTGTGAGTATGAGTCTGACGTGCACAACACTGCCAGACAACAGACGAGGCAGACGTCTCTGCCCCCTGCTGATCGGGATTTTTGATACTGTGTAACTGCATGTACCGCGACTCTCCGTTTCGCTAAAGTACTTTGCTAAGCTAAAACGTGCAAGAGCTCGCGAAGTGTGTTTATTCGAAGTGCGCATCGTGCTCTGCGGTTGCAGAGACCCGGACTACATGTACACATAGCGCGAACCTCAACTTGCCGGCTTTCTCAGGTAGCCCCCCACCACTTCAAGATTCACCGGTACTGCCGCCGCGAGTGCATGTGTACAGGGTACTTTCATAATCGGGACTCGGGTAGACTCCTGATTAGGCTCACACTGGCGCCCGACAACACCAGGAGCACTGTGAACTGCAGAGATAAGCTCGTCCACGCCGAGGGCGGCACAGAGCGGTCGACGCTGCGGTGCGAGGCACGTGCAACATGGACCGCTAGGAGGCACGAAATGATAATGGGCTGGCCGCGGCTATCGAACCAGCGTTTCTATGTACCTTGGATGCCAGCAAGCTGTTTCATGGCAGCACATAGTGCCGATACACCTCGAGAAAAACATATGGGCTGAGCCCTGACGGCCACGCTATAGCCTTACACCGACGCCTACCCTGGATGTGCTGCCAGGTCGTACGACGCGAAACCTGCTCCGTGGCGAGGCGCTGGGACAAGCGTCTCACTTGCATATCCGCGATGTCATGTGCATAATCGGCAACGACGTCTTGACAAGGATTTGCGACGACACATGCGCTCCAGTGTTTCGGTAATCTAGCTTGGCCTCATGTGCCTGGTATAGCGCTGATGGTTGGTGAGAGAGACCAAGTCGAGGATTACCCCTAGGCAGAAGCTTTTGAGAATTGATGACTTGAAACGGCTCACTTGAGACCGATGGGAAGGACTGGGAGGAAAGGACGTTCACTGCTACAGTGAGATCCGAACAGACTTTAGGCATGAGAGATACGTACATCAGATGTTAGGTGACGTTGAAGGGAAAGCACTGAAAACCAGTGTAGGGAAATGGAAACCAGTGTAGGGCGGGGGGATAGAGGTGCGGGTGTGACTGTGCTAAGTGTTATTAGACGCACCGTGGCATTGGGTGGTGAGGCACACCAAATGGTGGCCGTGATCAACATAGTGACAGTATCCGATTGAAGCTGGCACTGTTCCAGCTTCCGCCCGTCGGGGAGCTTCCGTCGGCCGCAGGTCAGGCCGTCACCAAAGAAACTTTGCCGGTCGTGCGATGCTGCCATAGACGTGGCAAGCTCTGAGTAAGCGCGCGTGTCCGGCCACGGCAGTTCCAACCGACATGTCGCACATGGTCTCACTGGGTGGTGATGCGTTTCCGTCGCTTGATGCGAGGCGCGGGACTGTCGGCATGGTGCGCTGCATTCTGCCCCGCGGCACGGTGCGCGATGTGCCAGGGGAAAACGCCTGCAGGGTTCCCCAGATTCGGTTGGGGAGGACGGCTGCTTGCTTGGTTGCCAGATGCGCGGCCGCGCGAGTTGGGAAATGGCGCTGACATTGCCGGCGGCGCGACGGTGCGACGCCGGGCGCTGTGACGGCCGTGTGTCTCTAGGCCGCGGGGGCGCGGCCGACGGCGGATCTGAGGCCCCCGACAGCGACGCGCCAGCGGAGCAACCATACAGGCGGCCGTTCTGGGGCGGCAAAGGCGGGCAGCCGGCGGGCAGGCCGTCGCGTCCACAGGTGCGGGGAGGCGCCCTGATCGCCTGCAGTAGCGCCCCCAGACAGCGGGCCAGTGACAGCTTCCGGGCCGGCACCACCAGCCTGGCTGCGCCGTTGACGGTCAAAGGCGGGGGATCAATCCAGTAGTGGGCGGCGGCTTTGGCGCGTAACGCCTTCTGATGGCCGCCATCCATGGTGAAAGTCTCATGCACCCCAGCAATCCAACACGGGATTATTAGGTGACACGTTCCCTGCCGCCTGACAAGTTGCGGGGAATCGCCAGACCTCGCTGGACAGAACCCGACCCGATCCCACGTCCGCGCTTCACAGACCACGCCCTGCCGCCGTCGCCGGCTTCCCTCGCCTTCTCTTTGCCCATCGCACAACCGCCGCCCCCGCGGGTCGCAATCCGTCGTCGTCGAGCGCGCGCGCGCGTTCCCGATGCCCCTGTCCTAGCAGGCATGCCGCGCCCTCGACTGCTGCCCAGCCAGCGCCGCCGGGCCGCCGAGGCGTGCAACTTTTGCCGCGAGGCCAAGAAGAAGTGCAGCGGCTCCGTCCCCTGCACGCACTGCCTGCGCCGGGGCATCGCCGGCCAGTGCGCCATCTCCTTCCGGCCCCGCGGCTCGCGCCCGCCGCCGCCGTTGGTGAACCCGAGCCCGGCACCCGCCGCGTCCTTGAACCGTGCCGATGCCGCCGCCGCCGCCGCAGTCTACGCCCTGTCTCTTATACACATCTAGATGTGTATAAGAGACAGTCCTTGAACCGTGCCGATGCCGCCGCCGCCGCCGCAGTCTACGCCCGGCCGGGCCCCGTGTCCTCTTCCGTCAAGGTCCCGGCACCGGTCCCACCGCCGAGGCCGGCCCCGCCCACGGCCTTGACCCCGGCATCCGGGCCGTCCCCCGGCCATGCGACGGCCGAGACGACGGTCCGGCGCCAGGACGCCCCGTCGCCGCATGTGTCGAGCCCCGTGATGACGAGGGCCGCCGCCGTGCGAGGTCGTGACGCATTCCGGCCACCACCATCACCTGCGTCCGAGCCTCGTCCCAGTGTCGCCGCCGTCGCCAGTGATGCCGGCGCACCGAGAGACCAGAGTCGTCCCTCGGACGCATCCATCGCCGCCAACCCACACTCGCGCATGTTGCTAAACCTGCGAGGCGAGCGAGGTGCGCATCCCTTCCGGGCCTCTTTCGAAGGCTGCGTGGATCTCATCGGTTCCGTTAAATTTGTGTGTGTGCTAAGATGACGAGCAGTCTACTTTGGCGGAGCGGCCTCCCTCTCGTTCCTGCAGGTCGTCCGGGGAATGGTGGCCGACCAGATCGGCCCCTCGCAATTCTCCCACAATGCCCAGAGCGAAACCATGCTCGAGAAGGAGTCGCCGAGCTCGAGTAGGAGTTTGCCGGCGTCAAACGTGGTGGAACTCGACTCGGCGTCGAAGCTCGCCTTTTCCCGCTGCTACCGCGCCGTGGTAAGCCATGCTCCCCCCAAGCGCTACGACACTTGCATGTGTGCGTGCTGACTCCCCCCGCTAGACCGAAGGGTTCATCGACGTGTTTGCGCCCTCGGAGCTCGAGGAGGCTTTCGTGAGAGGCCGAGAAGGCGGCGGCGTGAGAGTCAGTCCTCAGCGACGGGCGGCGCTGGACCTTGTCGTCGCCATCGGCGCGCAGGTCAAGTCGGCGGCCACGGCCCGCGACGTTGGGCCTCATTACTTTCGCCAGGCGCAGCGCCTCGCCTTTGACGGCATGCTCGAGGACCCGGACATTGACATGGTCCGCTGCTTCCTCCTCATGGCCTTTTACCTCCTCGGCGAGTGCCGCCGAAACGCCGCCTTTATGTACCTGGGCATCGCGACGCGAGCTGGTGTAGCCCTGGGCTTGCACAGTCGCGAGTCATATGGCGACATGAATGATAGACAGGACAATCTCAGGTATGTTGAAGCGGCATGACTGATGGTGACCGTTGACACTCACACGGACGCAGGATGCGGGTCTGGCTCAGCCTGCGCATCGTCGACATGCTCGCCAACTCCATCCTCGGCCGGCCAGCTGCCACGGCGGGCTTGCACTCTGACATCAACACCATCATCGACGACATGGCAGGACAGGCGCAAGGCGACGATGACATGAGGCGACTTGTCGCATCGCATCAGATCGTCTGCATCATCAACGGCATTGTCGACACGCTCTACGACAAGAAGGAGCTTTCGGTGCCCGTGGTCGAGCAGTTCCTCGATGAGATTGAAACGTGGGCCAAGACCCTGCCGGATTGCATCCGCGGCACGTCTCTTCGCGGAGATCTGGCCCCGGGGCCTAACGGACACAAAGGCACCATCGGCAGCATTCATGTATCCTGCCTGTACTACTTTGCCGTGACACTGGCCACGAGGCCGATCCTGATATCGACGCTCACCGCGCCGCCGGCCAGTGGCGGACTGGCACAGTCGAATTTGGCGTCTGCGTGCCTCGACGCCGCAGTGTTTCTAAGTCAGACGTGTGTCGAAGCACGCCGTGCCAACCTGCTGTACGGCAACATGTGCATCATGAAGTAGGGTAGCCCCGTCGACGATCACATCATACCGTAGCTCTAGCTGACTGATTTACAGGGCGCTCGTTTTCGCAGCCGGCCTTGTCCTCGGCTTCGAGATCTTCGCCAAGCGATCCATCGACTACGACATCGAGTCGGCCTTTGGCGGCGCGCGCGACGTGCTCAACTTCCTCGCGACACAGAGCCCGCAGGCCGCGCACTACTACGAGATCCTGACGCTGCTGGCCAACGCGATAGCAAAGCAGCGCGAGAAGATTGCCTCAAAGGGCCGCAGCCGCTACGTGTCGCGGCTGTTCACCCTCGACGGCGGGGATGCCGACGGGCGGGCGGACGCGGCAACTGGAGCGGACGGCGGCGAGAGAGGTGCCGAGTGGGTGCCGGGCGGCGCGGCGGCTGCGGCAGACTACACGGCTGAGCTGGGGGAAGAGGGTGTGAGTTGGATGAGCGGGAGCCGCACCCCGGCGGGGGGCGAGGAGGTGTTTCTGGGCTGGGATAGCCTGGATATTTCGCAGTGGGACAGCTTTCCGTTTATTCCGTGAGGTGATTTGCTACAGAGGAGTTTGTTCTTGCCCCAGTATTGAGGGAGGCTGCAGCTGGGACGATGCAAGTGCACAGACAAGCAAGTTTTTGGTAGCAAGGCGTTGGTGGGCAGTTGAACATGTTGGGCACTTAAACACGCGCGATTGGGGAAATAACGTGTCGACCATCGTCCGTTACTCTGTAGCAGATATTTCATGTTATTGGAAGCATTCGGGACTATGCAATATGCTTGCATGTTCACGCACATGCTTGCATGTTCACGCACGTCGTGTGGATGCTCATGGCCTTGGGTAACGCCCGTGTAAGTCGGCCACTCGGGCTTCACTCCTACAGACGAACCCCTGGCAGAAGGCAACAAAGTTCTTGCGCACAGGGCCAAGCAACATCTGCTGGGATATCAGAATGGAGCAATCATCCAGGAACTCGGTCATGCACGCCCGTGTGCAACGCGGAAGGTCGGATCATATCCTGTGCTTCCGAAGTCCCGAACCCGCACAGTCAACGTCGTCAGCTTCCGCAACACGGGTGCAAGCCACCCCAACGGCATCGTACTGTTGGCCCGCATAGCCTCGGGTCTCCAAATGCACAATGTACATCGCTTTTCCAGATCCAATCAAGCTGCGTGGGAAAAGAGGCTGACGTCGTTGCCCGGAGAGGGAGGTGGCGGGAACGTTGCCGACGCCTGTCGGCTAGTGCACCCGCCTGGGTATGGGTGTGGAGGAGGGCATCGAGGAGCTGCGCGATGGGGTTGCGCAGCCCGTGTGAAGCCTGTGGGTGTGAATGCTCGCGGTGACTGCAATCGTTATCGTTTGACGTAGCTATATAGAAGCTTTAAGGGACGCAGCTCCAGGCCGACGCAGCTCGACGTCCATCAATTCCACAACTTGCCGCGACAAGAGACACACTGCCATCTTGTTCATGATACCCACGACACGTCTCTATAGTATACTTGCCGCGGCCCAACTTACCATTGCATACCAGAGCACAGAGCAGCACCATGGGCTCCAACAGCACTCCGGGCTGGCGACGCCTGAGCGTGGGCGTCGTGGGCGGCGGCATCGGCGGCATGTCGGCAGCCATCGCGCTGCGTCGGGCGGGCCACGAGGTGACCATCTACGAAAAGTCAGACTTTGCCGGCGAAGTCGGCGCGTCGGTGTCGTGCGCGGCCAACGGCACGCGCTGGCTGCACGAGTGGAAGGTGGACGTGGCCAAGGGCGACCCCGTGGTGCTGCGCAAGCTCATCAACCGCGACTGGAAGACGGGCGAGCCGGTGAGCGTGTACGACCTGAACGACTATGAGGAGCGCTGGGGGCATGTGTACAACATGTTTCACCGGCAGGACATGCACCGGATGCTCAAGGAGTGCGCGCTGCAGGACGAGGGCGAGGGGACGCCGGCGAGGCTGGTCGTCAACCACAAGGTGCGTGTGATTCGCTTGAGGCTCGAGTTTTCAACCAGACATGATGGAGACTCCGAAGAGAGGCAAATCTACTCTTGAGATTCATGAGACTGCGTGTTTGGCGCTGGCTGACATGTCTACATGGTGCAGTGCCAGAGCATCGACGTCGACGCCGGCGTCATCAGCTTCGCCAACGGCACCACGGCGCAGCACGACCTCGTGGTCGGCGCCGACGGCATCGGATCCGCCGTGCGCGGCGAGCTGGGCATCCGGCCGGCCAAGCGGCCCGCGGAGCAGAGCTGCCTGCACACCAACGTGACGACGGAGGAGGCGGTGCGGGCCGGGCTGGTCGACTACTCGCGGGACAGCGCGCTCGAGTACTGGGGCGGGCAGGAGGGCAAGTGGGACAAGATCGTGCTGTCGCCGTGCAACGACGGCAAGCTGCTGTCGTACTACTGCTTCTTCCCGCGCGACCGGGGCGACTACGCGACGCAGACGTGGGCGGGCGAGGACCGCCCCGTCGAGGAGCTGCTGGCGCCGTACCCGGAGCTCGACCGCCGCGTCTTCGCGCACCTCGCCATCGGCAAGGAGATTCGCCCCTGGCGGCTGTGGCTGCACGACCCGTACCCGTACCTGTGCCGCGGGCGGGCGTGCCTGCTCGGCGACGCGGGCCACCCCATGATGCCGCACCAGAGCCAGGGCGCGTGCATGGCCATCGAGGACGCCGCCGCCCTGGGCATCCTGTTTGGCGAGGGGCGCTTCCGCGGCGACGTCGCCGAGGCGCTGGCCGTGTACAGCGACGTGCGCCTGCCGCGCGTGACGCGGGTGCAGGCCGCGGCGGCCAAGGCGGCGTACAACATCAATGAGCGGATAGGTACTGCGGCCCGCGAACTAAATCTGATCTTTGTGCCGTCGTCGTTCGTGGACTGACTTGCGTTACCCCCTGCAGGCTTCTCCGTCAACAAGGACACTCCGACATACAAGGTCGAGGACCCCAAGAAGATCCTGACCATTGAGGAGATGAACGCGTGAGTCCGGTCTTTTACAACCTGGCGGTTAGCTTGGGACTTGGTGCAGCTAACTAACACCCATCCAGGTACGACATGTTCAAGGACGTCGACGAGCAGCTTGCGGCGCGGCGCGGCGTCGCGTTTACGGAAAAGTACATCAAGGGGCTGCCGATTGGGCTCAAGCTGCCGAGCGGCATCACGATTGGGGAGTCGGAGTAGCATTTGCTTTGGGCGCTTTTCCGTTTCGATGTACAGGGAGCCAGTCCATGGCACGGCCAAGTTTGTTGTACATGGCCTGAATTTTGCAATACACCATTCCCGTTTATTTTTTATAATTATTGTTTGTATCATGATTCCACGAACGTATATTGTCCAGACGTCGGCTGTAGGTCCAAAGTCGGCGGCTTGTGGCAGGAACAACATAAATGCAGCATGAAGGCTGGCAAGAGACAACGAAAGCATCAATATCGTCGATGCAGCGCAGATTAAAAGGGCATGGAAATACACTCAAGTTCCAATCTTCCGGTCTGTGCCGTGATTCCTCACTTCAAGCTGTGTTGGGAACCGTCTGTCACAAGTTCAGTTCAAGTCATCACACGTTTTCCACCTTTACGCTTCGAGTCCCATTTCATCGAGGTCATGCCAACATGTCATTGTCCCAAATCCACCAGAACGCGCTATAAAACGTACACGAACACACACAAGCCCATGGCCGCATCACTCCGCCTTGGGGGCCAGGTTAATGTCGTACTCGAGCTCCAGCGACGCCTTGTCGTCGCCCTCGCGCGGCACGAACCGCACGCGCAGGTCGTCCTTGACGGCGAAGACGGAGTCGTTGCCGAGGTACTTGCAGTCCTCGTCGAAGATCTGCGTCACCAGCGACCGGTAGCCGTCGGCGACGACCATGAAGTGGATGTGCGCGGGGCGGAAGACGTGTCGGTCCATCAGGTTGAGCAGCTTGCCGGCCGGGCCGTCCGTCGGGATCTGGCGTGGGAGGATGTGTGTGTGAGCTTGGAACTGCTTTTATACCTGGCTCTGCATCGTGGGCGGCGGGGGTCAGGGGGCACACTTACGGGGTACGGCGTCGGGCGCAGGCAGTAGAAGGAGTACTTGCCCTCGGCGTCCGTCTTGAACACGCCGCGCAGGTTGTGCTCCACCTGGTTGTCGTCCTGCTGCTCGTAGAGACCTGCAAACGGGAGGGTGCTGGTCAGATCCAATGCCCCCGAAGACGCCCCGAAAATGCCCCGGCATGCCACGAGGAGAACAGCACGCGAAGCGGCTTTCCCTACGGGCGGGTACGCTGTATCAGGATTCAGAGTTGAGACTCACCGTTGGTGGACGCCTGCCACACCTCGACGGTGGCGTCGGCCAGGGGCGCGCCCGTCTTGACGTCGGCGACCTTGCCGTGCATGTACACGACCTGCGCGTCGGCGGGCGTGTCGAAGCTGATGGTGCTGCCGTTCTCGCGCAGCGGCGTGTCGTGCCGCCAAAAGGGCCCCAGGATGGCCGACGCCGTCAGGCCCTTTGTGCTCTTGGTCGCCGCGCTGAAGGTGATGTGGTCGACCAGCCTGCCCGTCTCACAGCGTCAGCACGAGCGTTGTCGTCTTACGGGCCGCATTCAAAGCCATCGACCCACGTGCCGATGCGAGGCTGCTGAATGAGAGACGGGGATAAAAGTCAAGACTCACGACTCGAGGCCGAGGACGTCGCACAGCAGCTGGCCCTCGTTGCGCTTCTCGTTGCTCATCTGCCCGGCCCAGTTGATGAGCTGCACGCCGGCCATCCACTCGTCCGTCGTGAGCTGCACCTCGCGCGCAAAGTCGTGCACGTGCCGGATGAGCGACGACATGACCTCGCGCAGGCGCGGCGACGTCGCGGGACCCATGGACTCGATGACGGTGCGCGTGAACTCGGGGCCCAGGCCGTCATCGTCGCCGCCCTGGTGCCCGTTGGCGGTGGCCTGCTGCTGCGCTGCCGAGGACATGACGGGCTGTGATTATTTGATGTGTATCTTGGTGCTCTTCTCGGAGACTCTGCTGGCGACCTTTACTGCGCTGCTAGGTAAGGGAGACAGTTGCCGCACACACGAGGACGTAGGCAGGTGTTGTGTTCTTATGAGAAAGTGAATGATATCAGGTCAGATAGATGCCGACAGGCCGGAGTGTGTGTGGTGAGACGGAGGACCAATATATCCAGAGGAATTTATAAGCCCCTCCTCCATACGCTTTACACGCAGACGGGCAACCAACCTGCCTACCCAAACGGCGCAGGTGGATGGATGGGCTGACCACGCACTACACGACACGCAGCACCCTGGAAGCGCCCGTCCTTCCATGTCTCCGTGCGTGTGCCCCTCGACTCCAATGCGACCCCGCGGACTGGGAGCCAGCCGGCTGTCCCCTCGCAGCGGCGTCCCACAGCCGCGACCCGCGACCTTGACCCGTCGCTTCGGCGGCGCATCGACAACTGTTGCGGTTTGCCCTGCAACCAGGACTTTTGCAGTTAGCACCACCCCGCATGATGAGGGGGGCCCGGGTCTGGTGCACTATGCGGGGAGTGATGTGGAGGGGGCGGGCGGCGTCGGATGCGGATCCCTGAAAGCATCGCGGCACCAGCATCACCCGTGGGCCGTGGGTGGGTAGGTACGCTATCCGACGCCGAGGCGCTCCTGTGGGGGCGTCGTCTCGGTGTCTCCCTGTCCTGTATCGTTGGCGGGAGCTCGGCCTTTGACAAACGATCGTGTAATGCTGACCCGGCCCCAATGTTTTGCTGCGCCAGGCGCATGGCTCGCGGAAACGTTGGCCGCCCGCCCGCCTCCGCTCGACTTACACGCAACGTCCGGCACGGCGGGCTGATCAACGCCTGACCAATGTCTTGTGAACAGCCCGTGCGGCCGGCATCACCCGGGACAACCTTGAACCTTGCCAATGCAATACGTCCGAAGACACTCCATGAGTCCATAGTCCGTCCATAACTGGCACAGTAACGTAGGTACAGCATCTACCGTCTGGTACCTCAGGCGGCTTCCGTCTGCTTGCGCCAGTCCTTGCCCCCTGCAAAGTCCCACGACGCCTCGTCGGTGCCGTTGGGCCTGCTCGCCCGCTGGAAACCGATGTCCACGCCCTCCATCTGCACCACGGGCAGCACCGCCGACACTTCGGCCCCGTAGCCCTCGGCGTGCCACCGGTCCAGATGCCGCGGCTGGTCGACGAGGTCTGGGTACAGCAGCCTCATCTGGCGCAGCGCCGTGCCCGAGATCTGGTCCACGCTGTGCGCGTGCCGCAGCGCCAGGAACGCCTCGCCCGCCTGCTCGCGCAGCTGCGCCCGCACCGCCTCCGGCAGCAGCCCGGCCTTGAAGAGCAGCAGGTCGTAGTGCAGCAGCGACGCCTTGCCGTGCCACGAGCCGCCCCGCGTCGCCCGGTGGTAGAGCCCCGTCAGCGCCGCGATGGCCCCGATGCACCCCGTGCCGTAGTCGGAGATGGGGAACGGCGGCACCACCGGCTCGTCGAGCCCCATGAAGCGGCCCTGCTCCCACGCGATGCCGCTGACCTGCGCCGTTGTCAGCATGCCCGTTGGTCGTCGTTGCTTCGACACATCTGAAACGGCGCTTGGGTTCATGTTCGAGGACACTCACACAGTCTGCAATCTGCTGCCACCCCGGTCGGCCCGCCCACTCGCCCTCGTAGCCGAAGCAGTTCTCGTTGACGTAGACGATGCCCCTGCCCCTGCGCGCCGCCCGCTCCGACAGCGCCTTGGGCCCGTAGCCGAGCTTCTCGAGCGCCCCCGGCCGGTAGCCGTCGACGACCACGTCCGCCTCGTCCAGCAGCTTCTCAAAGACCTGGCGCCCCTCGGGCGTCTTCAGGTCGAGGTCGGCCGCGCGCTTGCCCATGTTGCCGTCGACCTGGAAGAAGGGCACGTCGCTGAGGTGGGGGCTCGTGATCTTGAGCACGTCGGCCCCGTACTCGCCCAGGATGCGCGCCACGACGGGGCCGGCAATGATGCGGCACATTTCGAGGACCTTGACGCCCGAGAGCACGCGCCGGTCGCCCCGATCGGGCAGCGGGCACGGCGGCGTGGTCGTCTCGAGCGGCTCCACGGTCCAGGGAGGAAGCTGCCAGTTGACCTTGCCCTGTGGTTTCGCACGTCAGCGGAGCGATCCTTGAGGCGCCACGGGGGAAAAGGTATCCTACGTGAGGGGTGCGCAAAAAGTCCTCGTGCTTGTATGCCTTGACGCCCGCCTGCCGGTTCTTGGCGTTGAGAGCCTCGAGCTCATCAACGGTGAACTGTTGGACGGCCGGCTCGATGACGCCGACAATGTCCTCGTGCGTCTTGAGATCCGGGCGGTGTGACTCGAGCCCAATCATGCGCAGCGTCGTAGACGCCTCGAGAGATCCGTGGATGTGGTAGTACTCGCCCTTTTCCGCCGTCGCGTACAGGTTGGCCGACATGCGGCGGTACTGGTCCGACTGCGCCTGCAGCAGATCCGTGTCTGGTGCGGCGGACGATGCTTGTCAGCAACAAGAGAGCCCGACTCCTAGGATGGATGCGTTGGATGAACGGCTCACCTTTGAGCAGGGACCGCACATCCTTGTCCAGCTTGCCGAGGCCGCCGACGCGGGCGAGGTAGGCCTGGAACAAAAACGCCGTCGTCTTCTCCTGGTCGACGGTGATCCTGCGCGGCCTGCCGTCGCCGCCACTCTTGAGATCGGCCAGCAGCGACGCGACGCAGCCCTCGACGGCCTTGAGCGCGGCGGCAGTCTCCGTCTCCTTGAAGGGGATGAAGAAGTAGGGCTGGTCGCGGGCGCCGGTGAAGTCGACGTCGGCCCTTTTCACCTTGGTCCCGGGCGGGAGCGATACGGGGTCGACGAGCGACAGGATGAGGTCGAATATGCGAGAGGTCTCGGCGATGGAGCTGTAGGGCTCCTGTGTCGACGCCATGGTGGTGGTGGACATGCGGTGTTGGGGCCGTGCCGTGTCGTGCGTGCGTCGTCTCACTTACACGGAGAGTGAGTTGCGGCCAGTTGTGTGTGGAGTTGAGGTTGGGTGAGGGTGAGCGACTCGGAGAGCGAGCGCTGAGGGGAGAGCCAGCTGCGTCAACGGCACTGTGGAGCGGCCTGGCGTCGGTCCCTGAGCGCGCGCAAACGGAAGAGATCGGGGCGCTGGAGAATGAACCTGGAGGGCCTACGATTCCGCGGGCAGCGTCCGGGTCCTGCCCGTCAGGCTGGCTTTCGTAGGCCCGGGTGTACACACAGCCCTGGAGCTCCAGGCTGGTGCGACAGTGCGCTGCTCCCCACTGAAGCAGCCCGCCAGCCCCGCCGATTGCCCCGCCGACCTCGGCGCTTGATGCAATCCATCCACTGTCGCCTTCCAGCGCTGGGTCTCCCCAGTGTTGCTCAACCGCCAGTCCACTCCAGCATTGACGAGCCCTTGCATGGACGACAACATAGTTCTCCCCTCACCAGCCTCCGACGACACCCCGAAGCAAGGCTTCTGCCGCACAAGGCACCCTTTTCGTGCTATTCATCCTCCCCTCCCCTCCCCCAGCGGACTGCCAAAGCGGCTACTGGCCAGGCCCTGGACCGAGTCCCGATACACGCAGTGCAAGGTACCGCTGTATGGGAGCCAGCTCAAGCGGTCTCAACACCCTTGCAGAAGCATCTCTCGCATACCCTCACAGCTTTCTCCCCCCAAGCAGTAACCGACCATGCCGTTCCTCCGGGTCCAAGACCAGGACCTCTTCTACAGCTGGCACGCGGCCGGCGACGGCCCCGTCCTGCTCTTCATCCACGGCCTCGGCTCCTCCAATTCCTTCTATGCCCCCATCATCCCGTCGCTCGTCCAACAAGGGTACTCATGTCTTGCCTTTGACACGCCCGGTGAGCCCTCCTTGACCGTTCGCTGCCATGGAACGTGTTCCCCCGGTCTCCAGGGACGAGAGTTTCTAATCCATCATGCTCTGCCGCAGGTAGCGCCCTGTCCACGTTTCGCGGCAAGGACAGCGACCCGGGGATGATTTGCGGGGCAGCCAGCGCCCTCATGACGGCACTGAACATCGACTCACGGCGCGTCGTGGCCGTGGGCCACTCCATGGGTGCCATTGTCGCCAGCGAACTCGCGCGCAGCCTCGACCTCTTGGGCGTCGTCCTGATCGGGCCCGTCAACCCCAACGAGGCGCTCGTCGACGTCTTTGAGGCCCGCACCAAGCTCGTGGACGCAGGTGCGAACTCTCCACTTCCCGTGCTGCGGATCAAACTACGGCAGTCTACTAACTTGCCCATTGTAAAGAGGGCATGGAAGGCGTCGCCGCCGTGGTGCCGTCCGCCGCGACGGGGCCGAAAGCCACGGCGACGCAGCAGGCCTTTATCAGGACGCTCCTCCTCGCGCAGTCGCCCGAGGGGTACAAGTCGTTGTGCCGGACGATACAGCGGGCGAATCGGCCACAGTACGAGGACATCAAGTGTCCGTTGCTCATCATCGCAGGGTCGCATGACAAGACGAGCCCGCTGGGGGGGTCGGAGCACATCTTGCAGAGGTAAGCTTGGATCTTTCTACGCAACGTGGTCGTGGGAACGAAACCCGGGGGCTGACGTGTGAGAACAGCTGGGGTGCCGGCGAGAGCCAGAAGCGCCTCGAGGTACTCCAGGGCGTTGGGCATTGGCATTGCATAGAGGCTGCGGAGGAGGTGCTGGGTTTGGTGAGCGGCTTCGCGGCTCAGCTGAGAGACAAAGTCGCATCTACGAGTTGACGTGTAGAGGCAGAGAGACGTGATATGTGAATGCTTGAATCTAGAATAGAATCTACCACGCTACATGCCGACGCTCGGTGTTGCAAATGCCATGATGTGTAGTTACTTGCTGTTGGCCGCCGCAATCGCCCCCGTATCCTTTATACCGCATCGTCAAGTCAGCACCAAGGGAGGAAAAGTTGGCAAGCTGTTGTAAGAGGGATACGCACCAAGTACACCTGATAATACTTCATCCTCCACCTGCCGTCGGCGGCCGACTTGACCAGCTCGGCCCTGGCCGCCCAGTCGACGTCGACGTTGGCGCCGCTCTTGAGCCCCAGCGCGACGGAGCCGTAGATCATGAGCTCGTTGGCCCCGGCCGAGAAGGGAAACACCTTGTACACGGTGTGTCTGCGCGACGAGACGACCGTCCACATGCCCTCGCGCGCGGCCAAGATTTCTGCGCCCGCACCGATCAGCCATGGAGGCGCGTCAAAAAGGGGAGACAATTCTGCGGGTTCATACCGTCTCGCCCTCGGGCCTTCTTGGACGCCATGATAAAGGTAGCGTCATCCGTCAGCATGTCGACGTAGCGGTCGTGCTCGCCCGGCACGTCGGAGATGGCGTAAAACTCCTCGAAGAACTGGACAATGCCGGGGTCGACGGACGTCCCGGCAGGATACTCTGCCTTGTAGGAATGCGACATGCTGGTCTGGGCACTGACGAGAGACTTGTCTCTGGGGTATTGTGTGGACGAGGTTCTCAACTTCTCAGTCCTGGTTCTACACTCTCAACACGTTTGGTGGTCTGGTGTAGGGTAAGTGAATTTTATGCGCGGTGATGCCTCTGTGGCAGCAGCAGAAGGACAAGGGTTCTGTGTGCGGCAGATTTGACGGTGTCGCAGGCAGCGTGGACCGGGATTCACTTGGCACAGTCGCCTCGTTTAGCGCTGTCGGGTCACGGCAATGAGTCCAGGACCCGGGCTGCCATGATGGGCTGCCGTCGCTCCCACGCGAGGACCGCTTGTGTGCGACGGGAGCAAGCGCTGGATGGACGACACCCACTGTGGCCGTCAGAAATACAGGGCCCGAACTGTCGCGCTGACACCCGACGGCAGTACCCATTCACAGTGTGAGGATTCGCGCCGCGGACTCGGTTTGTCGCTCGGGTAGTCTGCAGCTGACCCCGCACGACGGAGCGGATACTGTGCTGGCCAAGTCCATGCAAGTGAGCCTCCACTGCTCCAGATTGCGCGGCTCCCGACCCCCTCCCCCTCCCTCCTCCCCCGCCGCCTGGGCTGTCAAAGTTGGTAACTGTCGCGTTGCAGCTCCGTCAGCACACAGCTCGGACAATGAGACAGGACGGCCATGGCCGGCGCCCTGATGTGCCGCGTCGCCAACGTGCGTTCGGATATAAAGCTCATCCAGGGATACCCCTCGCGGCCGTCTCATCCGGGTTACAACTTACAAGTGAACGTCTCACCCACCCGTCATCCCCATCCTCATCCATCCACGAGCTCACGGACACCCGTCTGCCTCCAAGAACATCCACTGTCACGCCACGGCCTGTCTCGTCACACCACGTTCACGTCGCCCGGCGAGGCTTCACCACTATTTATAATCGTCAAGACTGCCCGAGATCCCTCCATCCTCCCCTCACGCCCGCCTCATCGCCTGCCAAGTGACTTCAATCCCTTCGCAGCGCTCACGCCTTCGCCCTGACCCGAGTGAGCCGTCGCCAGAGAAACCAGCCTCAAGCACACACACGTCCGCCAACATGTTGGGCAAAGTCGCGCTGGAAGAGGCCTTTGCCTTGCCTCGCATGCACGAGAAGACGCGCTGGTGGGCGTCGCTCTTCGCCGTCGATCCGGACAGGCACGCCGCCGAGATCGCCGACCTCGTCGACAAGCGCATCAAGTACATGGACGAGCACGGCGTCGGCTACACCGTCCTGTCGTACACGGCGCCCGGCGTCCAGGACGTCTGGGACCCCAAGGAGGCCCAGAGCCTGGCCGTCGAGGTCAACGACTACGTTGCCGGCGAGATCAAGGCCCATCCGGATCGCCTCGGCGCCTTTGCGTACGCCCATGTCCTCCCTGGCCCCCGTAGGCATTCTCTCGCTGACCACATCGTGCAGCACCCTCTCCATGCATGACCCGGAGCAGGCCGCCGCCGAGCTGAGGCGGTGCGTCACCCAGTACGGCTTCAAGGGCGCGCTGGTCAACGACACGCAGCGCGCGGGGCCCGACGGCGACGACATGATCTTCTACGACGGGCCCGAGTGGGACGTCTTCTGGGCGACCGTCACGGACCTCGACGTGCCCTTCTACCTGCACCCGCGCAACCCGACCGGCACCATCCACGACCGCCTGTGGGCCAAGCGCAGCTGGCTCATCGGCCCGCCCCTGAGCTTCGCCCACGGCGTCAGCCTGCACGTCCTCGGCATGGTCACCAACGGCGTCTTCGACCGCCACCCGCGCCTGCAGGTCATCCTCGGCCACCTCGGCGAGCACATCCCCTTCGACATGTGGCGCATCAACCACTGGTTCGAGGACGTCAAGAAGCCCCTCGGCCTGTCGTGCAAGCGCACCATCCGCGAGTACTTTCGCGACAACATCTGGATCACCACGAGCGGCCACTTTTCCACCACGACGCTGCAGTTCTGCATGGCCGAGGTCGGCGCCGACCGCATCCTCTTCTCCATCGACTACCCCTTTGAGAACTTTGCCGATGCCTGCGTGTGGTACAATGGCGTGCACCTGAATCTCGACGACAAGCTCAAGATCGGCCGGGAGAATGCCAAGAAGCTGCTCAAGTTGCCGACCTTCAAGGACAGCGAGGCCCGGATAGCGTAATGTGTTTCGGCCAGCGGCGTCGGGATCATTGACATTGACAGGGAGCCACCAACTCAGAGAGCGCGGCGCTATGTCGCCCGATTGTGAAGCATGTGCCTTTAGTTATTCTTGTATATACCTGTCCAAACGCCGCATTTCTCAACAACGAGACCGACGGGAGGCGCCACGTTAATGTCTGACGAGTCCGTACATGAAAGCCAGCCTTGTACTCAATTTCCGTCATTGCATGCGCGCTGCTTCCATGCCGCGAGGGCTCGAGAAGTATCACTCCCGTACGCAGACGCGCGGATCCCAAGCCGTCCAATGTTACTTCACCATTACTTCTCCACGTCCGAAGAGCTCGTGGACGGTTGTGTCCTTGCTTTCGGGCTGAAGAACAATCCAGGGTGACCAACGCACAAGGCAAACACGGCGACGACAATGAGCCTATCTCGACAATTAGCCTGACATTCATTTGACAGAAGAAGGCAGGCAAGGGAAACTTGAATGCGGAAACCTATGCCGGGGAACATGGAGACTTACACTCCCTCGAGGCCAATAAAGAGCCCTTGGTCCGTGATCAGGTCCGAATCCCTGTAGCCCTTGCTGAGCTCGTAGCACCGGTAGATGGACCGCCCGAGGATCAAGGCGATGGCGAGGCTCAGGCCGCTGAAGAAGAGGCGCATCCTCGTGCTCAGCGGAGGCGTGGCTGCGTCACGGGTGTAGCGGAACATGTAGTCGGCGAACAGCAGAGAAAAGATGAAGAGCACGGCCACCTGCAGAGCGAGTCCGGCCATTGCGATGTCGACGCCGGTGTTGCTGGACCCGGAGCTGGTGGTGGACAGGGCGCCGCCTGCAGCCTGGAGGACAAGGCACACCAGGTCCGCGGGGATGAAGATCCAGTAGAAGAGCTTCGGCTTGAAGCGAGAGAGCCGCGGTGCCAGATGCTCGATACTAGGGTGCGACGCCGGCGTCAGCCTCGGACCAATATCAACAGCGCGTGCATATGCGAAAGAGCGACTTACGTCTTCGACAGGGTAACATAGATGGAGGCCGTGTAAAAGACAGGCCCAGTCGTGATGAAGACAATCTGGATCATGAAGCCGCCAAAGGAGAACGGGTTGTTGTAGAGGATGATGCGGCCGACGTAGCCAATCATCTCAACCAGACAGCCAAAGATCATAAACGACATGAACCCCCAGCTTCTCCACTTGACGCCGAGAAAGATGTGGACTGCACCGGCAATGGCAAAGAGGACGAGAAAGGTAATGTTGGCCGCCAGGGAGGGCCGGTACTGGTAGACGCTCCATTCGACCGGGCACAGGGCGAGGGTGCAGTTGGCATCGGGGCCAAAGGCGATGAGGTTGTTTGGCAGCGCTGGCGGCGCGGATGTCGAAGACATGGCTGGTGTATGGTGCTACCTTATGCCGAATCTAACTTGAGCCGTTGACCAACCGTCTGACGATGAAAAGTGTACAAGGTCTAGTCGCGTATTGTGCGAGCCGTTTACGCTGATGTCACTTGGCGTGAAGGGAAGCTGCCCTGCTGACGTCGCGACTCTGGCTCAACATGACGAGCAGGGTTCTCCTATTATATACCGGCCCAAGCCTGCGCTCGCGAGGATCAGAGGTAGCATTGACGAAGCGCGTCACGCCAGCTGAGCGGGCGATGGGCATCGATCAAGGGACGCCATTCGGCGCGGTCTGCGCCATCTTCGAAAGGCTTTCCCAAATCTCATGCGCCCAATGGGCGCTGCGCCTCAACAGGGCTGGCAGAAGAAAAGGGAGCCCTGGCCGCTCGCTCTCGGTTTCCAGAGCACCCACGGTCTGGTGGTGGCAGAAAATCGTCGTCAGCGCCTGACTGTGAAAGTCAATGACGCTGACGACGCGCGACGGAAACTGGCTGGCGGCTGCCGAGACTCCACACCACCCCGTTGTCAACGGCGTCGCTTTCGCTTGGCTTTCTGGAAAGGGCTAGGCCTCCCAGCACGCTTGCAGCACGCAACGCAGACAGAATCCGAGTCCGAAGCGGCCTTGTGGCGGCGAATCACGAGGATCACCGATTGCCGGCGCGCGACAGGCCTGACGAGCGCGACTTTGTCAGATCTGGCACCCATTTCAACACGAGCCGGCAATCGTGGCGGAATGGTAAACTTGAGTGTTACTATCCCTTCTAGCAACTAACACGAGGCTGCTGGTTGCTCTCCCTGCTCGGGTCTCCTTGGGCTGGGCATGCGTGTGCTCTCGTGGGCTGGACGCCTCAAACTGAAGGAAGATGCGTTTGCGTGGAGGCCTTCAGCCCGTGGACCTGTGCGCGCCAGGAGTAATCGGCCTGCCGTGATGATGCGACACCTCCCCTGCATTGTAGGAGGACCGTGTCGGGGTGGCCATCTGGCAGTCTTTGACGGATCACAGCAATTGTACGAAGTACAGGCCGCGCGGAGACGTGGCTCGGGCGCCACTAGGTCCCGCGCACCACGTTTGATCCTGATGCGGCTCGCAGCGGCAGGCATCTTTGGACGCGACCTCACGTTGCGACCGACCTTGGCAATGTCAACCCAAGTAGAGTGCATCGGGGAATCGAGAAGGGACGCTGGACATGGCTCGAAACACAATCTTATCGATCAAGCACTGGAGTTCGGGCGGGAAGCGTCTGATGCAAGGCGATGGCAGACAGCACAGCGCGACTACATGGAGCGCTCAGACGACGCGTCCAGATAACACCGTACTATGCGCATTGCAACTGACACAGACATGGCACCGCAACGGCCTCCCAATTTTGATCCAACGCTTATGTTATGGAAGACATGCTCGGTCCACGTGCGCAAGGTATTACGACCTAGGCATCTAAGATGGGGCAAAATAATATATGTTATCGGCTATAACTGTAGAGGCGTGGCGAACTATCTGCGGTATCACAAAGGCGAGTCTGCGCAAATCTCAGATGATTGTCTGCCCCCAAGACCGCATGAAAGCCTGCCAGCTGCGCAGACAGACGCCGCTTGTGCAAATATTGATTCAATTCCATTCTGCCGCGTGCCGGTACAACTCGATTTAGTTCAACGGACTTTGGGGGTGTGTTGCGCCTCCTCGGAACTCTTTCGGTGAACTCTGAACGACCAGACAACGAAGTGGTTGCTACTTTATCTAATTCAATGGCCTTGGCCTGCAGATGTTGCAACGAAGAAATTTGCCAATGCACGCCATCTTCCTCAGGACCGACGGCTCCTCTGTGGTCGAGCTATGCATCCCGGTAGGCGAGGACGGTCCCGAGTCTCAGGCCTGGGGTCGCATAGGCGAACCCGACGTGGCGGGATTATGGGTAGGTGTTTAAACCTCTTATTACCTCGGCACGAGCGCCTGATGGTGCATGGCCGCTATGTGCGGATGGTGCGGCTAACGAATGAGTTGATCACTCAGGACTAGGTCTTGATCGCGACTGGCATCTACGTGCTTTTGAACTTTGGTACTACCCTGTGCGCGTTTTTAAACCATTTTTGCAGCTTCCTGGCGCAACTCGTATGGGTCTTTTTTTCCCGGTACTACACCGACGTCGAGTCCGAACATGGCCCATCCATGTACGCATACCACATGGCCACGCGCAGCATCCTCCTCTCAGCCAACACATTCCTGCTTCCCGCAACCTGCCTCGGGAAGCAAAGCCTTGCCCGAAGTCCGCTGCGACGTGTTCAGGTCGCTGCCGCCATCGCCGCCGTTGGCCTTGCCATGAACGAGTTTCTCTTCAGCCAGCCAGCAAGCTCATTTGACCACATTGTCCTATATATGAGGATATACTGGATCGCGCCTTGTTTGGAGAAAAAGACGTCGCTGCCGGTGGATGGCGACGAGCCCTTGGCGTGGGCCAGACACTGGGCATCTGCAGCGGTCATCACATATGCAGTTGGGACTTGCCTGCACGCGGTGCTCAATCTGCTTTTGCCGAATGGCTGGGGGCCCAAAGCACCTGTTTCCTGCGATGCCCCTTGTGCTCGGCGCGACTGCAACGAAGGGCTAATTGCTCCACGCCACGAGGAGAGAAGCCGCTCGGAAACTCCCCATGAGACTGGCACAACAGCGAGCTCGCCCTCAAGCTCTACCCTCCCTTTGTCCGTCGCCAGGTACGCATTCGTGGTCGGTGCTGTCGCCGAGGAAGCCTGTTCATCGTTCTTTGCCAGACTCATGGTACTGCTGTTCAGCGTGCTGCTATGGTCTTGTCAACTTGCTTTACATCCTTTCGTTCTGGCAATGAATTCACTGCATCCCGGAATGCCCGAATGGGCCGTGAGCGCCGCGCCAATCAGCACAGAAATAACTCTTGGTCAGGTCAGCGCGATGGTCCTCTTGCTTGACTCACTTGTGGGCATCTTGAACTATAGCATCGGTAAGTAAACGCCACCCCGCTCGAAACATGAGACAAGGACTTCGCTGAGCGTGCATAAAGAGAGGCGGAAGCAGAAGGTCCAGCAGGATGACGCCCTGGCAGCACTCGACAACTGGCACGGCGGCCCCCGGCGACCTCGTGATGTACGATGCACCTGTTTGCGGGCCGACTACACATTCTCGGATACCGACCCCGATGGAGAGAGCGCCTACCAAGTATGCCTGAGGGATTACTTCAAGACGACCCTGTTCTTGTCGTGGACAGCAATCATCCTCTCCCTCGCGGTGACGGGGGGCACGCCCGTACTGCTCGCAGCATTTCTGAGCGGCGACGCGCGACTCGGCCAGCATCAGGTGCATCAACTTCTTCGAAGCGAACAGTGGCAGCCGGTCATGCTTGCATACTTTGTCGTCTCGGTGATGGGGCTCGGGCTATACTTGTCGAGGTGGTCGCTGTGTTTCTGGAAGGCGCTGAGACGATTTCGTGGCCGCGCGCGGGAATGACTACGTCTCGACAGCTTGAAGTCCACGGCCCGGCTCACATTGCGTTAGCAGCATGGTCCGCCCGAGAATGCAATGGTACACGCGACGTCGATACGAAGAAAAAGGGGCGCGTGGGGTTTGAAGGCGCTGAGTGGCCGTATGGATCCGGGCGGGCCACATCAATTCATCGAGTCCACGCTGGGGTGCATGATGGCAACAGGATTTCCGTCTGTGCAACGGTTGGGCGCCTGGGCGCCCGGTAGAAATCACGCTGGCAATTGTTATGTTGTTAGGTCGGTCTCGCGACAAGGCTGTGCTGGAGGCATCGCGGAACACCTTGTGATAGGCACGTCCGTGGGCTTTGCTACAACGTAACAGGGAGACTCATCGTACCGTAAACCCGATGTCACCGATACGAGCTTTGGTGGTGGTGCATGCGGACGGGCAAGACGCTCCGAAACCCTCCACGTGCAGTGACTCGGTGAGCAAGGTGCTGTTCTGCCAAGGCCATGTTTCGGGTCGAGGGGATCAAGTTCCCATTGAAGGCGACTTCACCCTGCGGACGGGACCGCGGGCACATGTGCCCAGTGAGCTGAATTGGGTGACGCAATCCGCGTTCAATGTTCGGGGCAAGCTTGACCGATGGCCGACCCGCAGTTGGCATCACGCTCCACGGGTCTGGTGTGTCTGGGGCCCCGGCCGGAGGCAGTTGAAACGGCATTTTGTCCCCACTGCCGGCTCTGGGGGCCCGGCCTTGGATCTGAATTCTGGACGCTGATACGCGCGCTTCGACGGTCTGGCCCCCTCGAGTCCTCGACGCCCCTTCTCGCCCAGACATGTGCGTCAAGTGCGACTTCTCCCGTCCGTCCGGAATCACGGTTGGCGTGCAGTAGCGTCCACGGGCCTGAATTTAGCCATCTCTGCCGGGTCGATCCATGTCGCGTTCGGGACAGGATCCCCGGCACTTGGCGTTGGACGTTGCTACAGCCAGCCGGCCTGTCCTCCGCATTTGCTGAGCCGCGGCAACTTGCAAGCAGTATAAATGCAGCATGATGTGACCTCGAGCCGCAAGAAATGGCGTCTGTAACCGCTGGCTGGCGTGGTACACAGATTGGCAATATATTGACGGTCCTTTGTTCTGCGCGCATCGGTATCCCCGTCCACCCACGCTCTACTCTGGCCCCTCGGTCACGCACAACGGCATCGCGTCATGCATCGGATTTGGAACATATACGGTAGGCGCATCGCATGCATGATACTTGGCACACAGCTCGCTCCGACCACGGACTCTTGTTCATGTCGCCCTGGCTGACCTCGTGCCAGTCCTCGCGTCCTTCGGGACCATAGGCGGGATGCTGTTCGGCTTCGACATCAGCTCCATGAGCGCCTGGATCGGCTCGGATCAGTACCTCGAGTACTTTGGCCACCCGGGCTCGACCGAGCAGGGCGGCATCACGGCCTCCATGTCCGCCGGCTCCTTTGTCGGCGCCCTCGCCGCCGGCTTCCTGGCTGACCATCTGGGCCGCCGGGGAGCCCTCAAGGCCGCCTCCATCGTCTGGATCATCGGCGCCGTTCTGCAATGTTCCGCGCAAAACGTGGCACACCTTGTCGTCGGCCGCATCGTCAGCGGCCTGTCCATTGGCGTCACCAGCTCCCAGGTGCTCGTGTACCTGGCCGAGCTGGCGCCATCGCGTATCCGTGGCAGGGTCGTCGGCATCCAGCAATGGGCCATTGAATGGGGTAGGTTTGAGCGCCTGCTTTCCGCAACCGGATGGGCATTCATGACTTAACCGTCGTCCGCCACAGGTATTCTAATCATGTACCTCATCTCGTATGGATGCTCCGTCACCATTGACACCCCGGCCGCGTTCCGCATTGCCTGGGGCGTGCAGGGCGTCCCCGGCTTCGTCCTGTTCGCCGCCTTGTTCTTCTTCCCAGAGTCTCCGCGCTGGCTCGCCTCCAAGGATCGCTGGGAAGAGGCCCACGAGGTCCTGGCCAACTTGCACGCCAAGGGTGACCTTGGGGACCCGGTCGTTGTCGCCGAGCTCGAGGAGGTCCGCGAGGCCGTTCGCCTGGCCGCCGAGTCCCAAGACATTGGGTACCTGGGCCTTTTTGCGCCCGGCGTCTGGAAGCGCACCGTAGTCGGAGTCAGCGTGCAAGTCTGGCAGCAGCTGCTGGGCGGCAACGTGATGCTCTACTATCTTGTATACATCTTTAATATGGCTGGACTGGTGAGGCGTTTGGTCAGCTCGTCTGTTTCGGCGATGCATCATGCTAACGCGGCTTGATAGTCTGGCAACGTCGCCCTCACATCGTCAATCATCCAGTACGCCATTTTCCTGGTCACCACGGGCGCGATCCTGCCCATCATAGACCGCCTCGGCCGACGCTGGCTGCTCATCATCGGAGCCATCGTCTGCGGCGTCCTCCACTTTGCGACTGGGGCCATCATGGCCGTGTACGGCCACCATGTCGACAGCGTTGATGGTAACTGCTGGAACCCAGTGTCGCTTGTTGCGCATTGACTTACCATTTATAGGAAACGACATACTCAAATGGTCCATCTCTGGGGCTCCGGCCAAGGCGGTGATTGCGCTGGCCTATATCTTTGTCGGCGTTTGTAAGTCATGCACCCACTACCCGCTGCACCGGAAATGAACTGCGCTTACACGCATCGCGAACAGACGGCCTCACTTGGGCGCCAGTGGCGTGGATCTACTGCAGCGAGGTGTTTCCATTGAAGTACCGGGCAAAGGGAGTAGGGCTGGCTGCGGCAGGCAACTGGATGTTAGTTTTCAGGCTTTGGGATCCTGGCCTGCATCCCATGTTTACGCTGGATGAGACGGATCGCTGACATCCAGCATAGCTTCAACCTTGCTCTCGCCTTCTTCGTCCCGCCCGCCTTCACCAACATCCAGTGGAAAGCGTACATGATCTTTGGCACATTTTGCTTTGCCATGACCGCCCACGCCTTCCTCACATACCCCGAGACGGCAAAAAGGTCTCTCGAGGAGATTGACCAGCTTTTCGAGCAGAACTTGACTGCCTGGCGCACCGGCCGGACAGGTGCGACGTTTGAGGACAAGGTCGAAGAGGTCCGCCGCACGGGAGGGATCCGGGAGCGCAAGCAAGAGGTGGAAGATTTGCACGCGGAGCATGCCTGATCCGTGTCATCGCCGCGCCTGTCGCGGAGACTAATCGAATACTAGCGGACCGCGATGTGCAAACATGTGCGCATGGATAGGCGGAGAGCGGCAAGAAAACGTGTAGCATTCTGGAGACGACAAAGGTTTGGACATGTGCCCATAGCATCGCGCATGCAGCCAGCTGTGCAAAGCAACTACACTACCTTGGTAGGGTCTGCCTGGGCTTCGTCCGCAAGCTCTGCCAAGTCCCTAAATGCGAGCCCCTGGAAGAACTTCTCCCTGTGCCTTTGCACCTTGGCCCACGGAAAATGCAGCGCCTCGCTGTGACCCCACAGCTCGAAGATAGCGACGGCACGGCTCTCCGGGCTCTCGTTGGCCACGCACTGCCTGACGCTCTGGGCGAGCGACTTGCGCTTGAACGTGTACGCGGGGTCCCTGCTCTTGACAAAGTCCCCGAGCTGCCGCCAGGACATCTGCGCCCCGGATACGTACGTAAAGTCTTCCCACGAGTGCCTGTCGTGCTCCAACAGGGCGATGGTCGCGCGGGCCGTGTCGCGAGCCGATGTGAAATTGACGAGCTGGCTCCCCTTGCCGTACAGCGTAAAGGTCTTTTCGCCATGGTTCTGCGGCCACATGTCGCCAATGTCGCCGAGGTGCCGCTGGCTCGCAGGCACAACGTAGTCGGCGTACCACCCGGGGCAGATGGCCGACCAGCTGACGTCGGTCTGGCCGCGGAGGGCGTCGAAGACGGGGACCAGCTCGTCGGCCCAGTCCAGGGGCTCGTCGGGAAATTCCTCCAGGTTCCCGGCCCAGGCCGACGGGATGAAGCGCTTGCAGGTGGCGGACTGCCGGCAAGCGGCTAGGATGGAGGCGTGGATCGCCGCGAACTGCGGGACGCCGCCCCTCAGCGTGCAGACGGCGGCGTCGCAGTCGGCGAGGGCGTCGCGGAGCTGCTGGGCGCTGTAGTCCGCGGCGACGTGTTGCGCGACGCCCAGCGCGTCGAGGTACGGCTTGCGGCTGCGGGATACGGCGACGACGTCGTGCCCACGGGCCTGCAGCTCTTCTACAAAGTACCGTGCAAGCTCGCCGACGGCGACGATGGCGACTCTCATGGCGGCGGATTGGCAGTTTGGTGAGACGAAGGGCGTCAACTCACTGAGGGATGCATCAAGGACAGGGAGGCCCCAAGACCCGTTCCCTACCTGCAATGACCCTGCTCAAGATGGTATTTAATACCCCGACTTTCGCGTGCTGCAGCATTAGTAATGTCTTGCACGGGACAATGCATCTATTGTCCCGGAATGGAGCGCCCTGACAGTGACACAGTCTGGCGCCCCGGCCAGGCTCGGCAGTCGCGCAGCAGACGGTGGAGTCGGCTTCGGAGCCCGAGCCCGGTCGGATCCGCCGTGTCCTGCCCGGTTGACGACGGCATTGCGGCGGCATTGGCTTTGCCGAAAACACTGGGCTGTCCGCGTCCGAAAAGCCCAGGGATCGTGCGAGTTGTGTGCCGTTCCTTATCAGTCTGGCGAGCGTTGATACCGCCTGACATGGGACGACCCGTTGACGACCCTCGCCGCCACCGACGGGCTCAACTCGACCTTTCCGCACGCAGACAGGAACCAGTCCCGGGTGGATCGAGTCACGTTCAGAATCATTGGACACGCGGAAAGCCACCATGGGCTGACCCTGCTAGCTGCCCTGCGAAAGAATTGTGGAGGCTTTTTCTCCCGCGCAAACCATGGGTGTCTCCAGCAGACGGGAAAGCCACACAGGTCGTCAGACTGGGGGGGCGCGACACCATGGCCGAAGTGTGGCGTGACGTAAATGAATTATAATATTTTATCGCTCGCTGCTGCCCGGTGCTCGGGGGCCGTCGCCATGTGTTGAATTTTTCTGCACCTCGGATTCTCTCGATATTCTTTCCCCCCGGCGTCTCGACGAGCCTCGCGCGCGCGATCCCCGCAACCCGAAAATGGCCGTCAGCAAGGAGGCAGACGCCAGCGCCGAGCATGGCCTCAGCGCAGACTCGTCGTCGGGCAAGGACGACGCCATGGCCATGGTGGGCGAGCAGCGGCACGCCATTGATCCTGCGGTCGCGGCGCGCGCCGTGAGGAAGATTGACTGGTTCCTGATTCCGGCCATGATTGTCGGGTGTAAGTGCCACACTGATCGAGACGGGACGGACCCGGTGCGACCCAAACTTTGGATATGGAGGGGGGAGTTGAGGGGATGGAATCGCCCAGCTGACCAGGAGACACTCACCATCTAGACGGCTTCGTCTACTACGACAAGGCCATCCTGGGCTCCGCCGTGCTCTTTGGCATGACAAAGGACCTCGAGCTCGCCGTGGTCGACAAGTCGACGACGCCGCCGACGACGGACACGCGGCGCCTCAGCTGGGCCACGTCGCTCTTCTACTTTGGCATGCTCGCCGGCCTCTACCCCATGACCTTTGCGCTGCAGCGCTTCGACATGGGCCGCATCCTCGGCGTCGTCGTCATCGTCTGGTCCGCCATCTGCATGCTCACCGCGGCCGTGACGTCGTGGCAGGGCCTGTTCGCGCAGCGCTTCTTCCTCGGCTTCGTCGAGAGCATCATCCCCACGGGCTTCATGTGCATCGTCTCGGGCTACTACACCCAGTCGGAGCAGTCGCTGCGCCAGAGCTGGTGGTTCAGCAGCACGGGCCTCTTCACCATCATCGGCGGCGCCCTCAACTACGGCTTCGCCCAGATCAAGGGCGGCGGCCTCAAGCCCTGGCAGTACATCTACCTGCTCGCCGGCTCCCTGACCTTTCTGTTCGGCTGCTTCTGCTTCGCCGTCCCCAACTCCCCCGTGTCGGCCTGGTTCCTGACCAAGGAGGAGCGCTTCGCCGCCGTGGAGAGGCTGCGCCACGGGCAGACGGGCGTGCGCTGCACCAAGCTCAAGGCGTCGCAGCTCAGGGAGGCCGCCCTCGACGTCAAGGTGTGGCTCGTCGCGCTCATGATGGCGAGCGCGTACACGGTCAACGGCGCCGTGAGCGGCTTCGGCCCCCTCATCGTCTCGACGTTTGGCTGGAGCACGCTCGCGTCGATCCTCTTCCAGTTCCCGCTCGGCGGGCTGTGCTTCATCGTCATCCTGGTCACGGGCTACCTGGGGTCCAAGTTCAACAACATCCGCATCTTTATGCTCATCTTCACCTGCCTGCCCGTCATTGCAGGCTGCGCCATCATCTGGAAGAGCGAGTGGACCTACCATGCCGCCGCGCCCGTCGTCGGCTACTCCATCACCGGCTTCTTTGGCGGCACGGTCAGCCTCATCATCACCATCGGCATGTCCAACGTGGCCGGGCACACCAAGAAGAGCTTCATGGCGGCGACCATCTTCGTGGCCTACTGCGTCGGCAACATTGTCGGGCCACAACTGATTTTCTCGCAGACCAAGGACCGGCACTATCCCGCGCTATGGCTCGGCCTTATCATCTGGTGAGTATGAACCGCCGCCGACAGGAGGTTGTAGATGAACAATTGCTGACCATGCTGACCCTTACAGCTACGTCATCTGCATCGCGTCCGCCACCGCGCTGTACTTTGTGCTGCGGAGCGCCAACAAGCAGAAAATGGCTCTCCCAGAGGACGAGTCCGAGCGGGCAAAGCTGGCGTTTCAGGATCTGACCGACAAGGAGAACCCCTACTTTCGGTACGTGTACTGAGACAACGAGGGGAGTTCGTCAAGGGCCAGCACTGTATATAGACGAGACGGCGATGGAGCCGATAGCCGCCATTCACGCTCGTGGCGGATGGGAGGCGGCAAGGCTCGGCGTTAGGACGGCGCTGCGGCGGGGTGGCGTCGACTGCACATCTTCTTCAGCAGGGCATTGGCATGCAGCGACATGGAGGGGGTCGCGGCAGATGTTATCAGATGATCAGATAAAACCAGGCTCCCCACATCACGCTTCCGGGTTGGATGGGAGTCGATGGTACCCTGGTCCGACGGACTATTCAAAGCCACAATCTCGGCCTTTTCCCAACGGCGCGGACGCGCCTGAGACAGCCGGGGGTCCGTCCAATAGAGCCTCCCCTTCCTTGACTTCAGTCTCCATGGAGCTTCCGGCTCGGTCACCGCGGCGGCGCATCCATTGTCTCCGAAGACTTGGCCGCGAGCGTCTTATACCTCTTATAGCACCTAGATAATCACGACCGCGCCATCCCCCTGGGGTGCCCATGGGAGTCGTCGAATCCTCACCTCATTCCTGATTGAACCTTTTTGAAGATTGCCAACGCCTGCAGCCAGCACCTTCGCCATGTTCGAGAAGGCGACGCTCATCGCCAAACTGGTTGGATACAGCGTCGTCCTGATATGGGGTGAAATCAGCCACGCGTTCAACGCTTTCCTCGTCCGCCGCCGCGCGCAATGGTTCGGCGCCACGCCCGCCGCTGATCGCACCCGAAACATCGTCATTGTCGGCGCATCCTTTGCTGGGTACCACGTCGCTCGCCTTGTAGCTCGCAGTCTCCCGCCGAAAAGTCCATACCGCGTCGTCGTCGTCGAGCCCAACAGCCACTTCCACTTTACATGGGTGCTCCCGCGGTTCTGCGTCGTCAAGGGCCACGAGAACAAGGCGTTCATCCCATACGGAGGCTACGTCGCTGGGGCGCCCGACGGTGCGATCCGATGGGTGACGGGCCGTGCTACGAGCGTGACACGTCGCGCCGTCACCGTCGAAGGCGGCGAAGATATCCCCTATGACATGCTGGTGATTGCGACGGGGTCAAAGGTTAAGGAGGGCTTGCCTTCGCGTGTAAATTGCACGGATAGGAACGAGGGGATGGAACGCATGCGGGCAATGCAGGACGGCATCGCCGCAGCCCAGACGATCGTCGTCGTGGGAGGAGGAGCCGCCGGCGTCGAGCTCGCCACAGATGCCAAGGCACTCTATCCGGAGAAGAAGATTACACTGATACACTCGAGGAGCGCTGTAATGCATCGATTTGGCAAGATCCTACAGGTTGCGGCTAAGGAAGGTCTTGAGAAGCTAGGTGTCGAGGTCGTACTCGAGGACCGTGTCGTCGCCGAGGACGCCGTTGGCAAGGTGGTCATCCTGCAGTCCGGGCGAACGATTCCCTGCGATTTCTTTGCAAGTACCCCTTGGTGACCTTGGCCCGTGAAAAACCCTGGGCTAATATGCGCGAAACTGGTAGGTCAACTGTACCGGGCAGAAACCCGCCTCCGACTTGGCTGCGACACTGTCGCCAAACGCCATCAGCTCGACCGGCCATGTCCGTGTAAAGGACACGCTGCAGATCGCAGACGATGAAATCTCCAACGTGTATGCCTGCGGCGACGTGGCCGAGAGCGGAGCGCCAAACCCCAATGCGCGCGTCGCGATGCGTCAGGCCATGATAGTCGCGCAAAACATTCTCCAGGAGACCCGAGGGGAAGCGCCAACGCATATGTACAAGACGAGCTGGGCAGACGGCGTCATTAAGCTGACGCTCGGCCTGGTATGCCCATTCCCCTTCTTCGATACGCGCGACAGGGTGGAGCTGACCGAAGCTGCAGGATCGATCGGCCGTATACACGGGTGACGGGACGAGGGAACTCATGTTTGGCAGCAAGGAAAAGGAGGTGACGCTGATGGCGGCCTCGGCGTGGTCGCGCATGGGGCAAAAGCCGTATGACGATGACTACCAAGGGCCCGAACCGCAAGCAAGTGGCGAAGGAAAGGTAAATATGCAGTGAGTGATACATTAGAAGCCTCGTGTTGTATTTCATGCGATGATGCATGCTTAGCCCGCTCGCCGCATCAATTGAACCGCGCAACCCACACATCCATAGTCCGCACCTTGCTCCCCTGCAGTGCCGCCACTGAGCCGATGACGGCGTCCCTCGACGACCTCAGCAGCGACTGCACTGGAGTCTCCTTAACGTGCGTAGCAATTTCGTCGAGGAAGCTCGCGCTCTTCACGGAGCCCGTCTCCCACGAGCCGTCTTGCAGCGCCTCGTCCGGGATCAATATGGCCTCCTCGTCGAGGCTCCAGCCGCTGGCTCGTGCAGCTTCGGTGATACTCTGCGGGCTGAGGAGACATCGGATGTTCGCCTCACTGGCCTTGTTGTGCGCTTCGAGAAACGCCCTCGCCATGGAAGCCAGGACATGCGGCACCGCGGCCTTCTCCGCCGCCGTGAGGGCATACTCTGCGATGAGGAGTGTCGCCGCCCGGTCGCTGAGCGCGGCTAGAATCGCGGACAGCGTCTCCGGTGAGGCAAAGTACCAGATGCAGTGGCCCAGCACGACCACGTCCCACTCCCCATCCGCACCGCCACCACTCGTCAGGAACGCTTCCGGGTCGGCGTTGTACCAGGCGATACGCCCGCCGACGGGAGACGCCGAGAGGTGGGCCTGCGCCTGGCCGAGCGTCCAGGGCGCGCCGTAGTCCAGGCTGCCCGGGTCCACGGCGTCGACGCGGCCCTCGGGCCCGACGGCCTCGGCGAGCACGGCCGTCAGGGTGCCCTGGCCGCACCCGATCTCGAGGACGCGGCTGCCGGGCGGGATGCGCCACTGGTTGACGAGCCGGATGCGGTGCTCCGCCTGGGGGAGCTCGACGGCGATATGTGCATCGGCATTTCCCTCGGGCGCGATGTGGTATCGCGCGACTGTCGCCGCCACCGAGAGGGGGAGGGGGACAAAGGGCGTTGTCGTTAATGTTGTCATGTTTGCGCAGGTGATTGTTTCCTCATCGGATGAGGCGGTCGTTGAGCTGTGGCTTCAACTCTGATATACTTGTCCTGTTCCTTCACTGCGTGCGCTGTCTTGGGCCTCACCTGCCGTTTCATTCGTTCAATCGTGAGTCATCAGACGGGCTGCTGCGACGTGCTGCGTAGTGCTCACTGCTGACGATGCAGTGGAGCAAGCACAACAGAGCTGCTTTAGACTGTGAGTCGTTCACCCCGCATTGAAGTGGCTCATGGTCCACGGCTTTGCTGTTGATGCTCACCACATAATAAACGCTGGGGCATTTGACTCACACATGGGCAAATCCGGCGCTAACAAGACGTTCCTGACCTGGCCAAGCCCCAAGGGGAAGGTTGTAATCGCCTTCGTGCATGGTCGGCCGCGGCTCCGACGTGCCACGTATGTTGATGAAATGGCGAGCTCATTGAGCAGCTCCAGAGCTTCTCTGTACTTGAGCTTGCCAATCCATCCGGCTCTGCCTGCCGAGCTGCTGGGCGGCGGATTGCACCTCTGCGCTCACGACATCCCGGACACTCGAGGCGGTAAATGCATTTGTCAGATGTCAACATGTATCCAAATGCACCTGCACACAGCCACCGATCCTCCCAGCATCTCGCAGGGTTCAACGCCGCGGTTTAAACATGACAGATATACCATTCTTCACGTATTATGTATAATTAGACGCGTTCGAGGCACGCCGTGACAATACGGGCAACAACTACCAATTGACACCTCGCTGCTCTCCTTGCGACCGGCTAATCGCGGCGCAGCTCACAAGGATGCCTCTCTCCTGCGAAGCCGTCAAGTTCCAAGACGGCCCGGCCATCGCAAACGCCTACATCAGCGCCTTCTTCGGCGACCCCTTCCATGACACCACCATCCAGGACGTGCCCTTTGACAGGCAGGTCGCCGGCGTCGTCCGGCGCTTCCCGCGCAACTTTATCCAGCCCAAGAGCCATTACCGCAAGGTCGTCGACACGGACACGGGCGAGGTCGTGAGCTACGCGAAATGGGGCCTCGTCAACTTTGACGGCGAGAGCATCCTGCCGCAGGACCGTGGTGAGTCTGCACCAGGATGGACTGGCTCATTTGCGGAGCATTGAACATTTGTATCATGTTTGAGCGCGGAGAGGCTTATTGTTGTACTCTTGTGACGCAGACGTGCCGCCAGAGTCCGTCGAGGCGACCAAGGCGCCTTACACGGACCCAGAGGGCATCAACGACCCCTTTGCCGACTGGTTCACCGACCAGGTCGAAGCCGCGCGCAAGGCCGCCCTCGGCGACAGACCCATGCTATGCAAGTCCCTCACTGCTTTTCACGCTCCATCGCCGGCGCATCTGACAAGTTTCCAACCTTGCAGGCCTCAAGATGCTCGGCACCGTTCCCAGCGCGCAGCGCAGGGGTGCCGGCGCGCTGCAGGTGCAATGGGGTGTCGAGTTCGCCGACCGACACGGACTGCCCTGCTGGACCGAGGCGTCGCCGCACTCAGTGCGGATCCTGCAGCGCTTCGGGTTCAAGACGGTGCAGGAGGTTGTCTGCCCGATCGATGAGCGCCGCGGAGGCGGGACGTACGTGTACACTTGCGTGCTTCGGGAGCCGCAGACGGGAGCCAACAGCACGACAGGCGAGGTGAACGGGTCAAGTCAACCGTAGTATAAAGTTGATCCATAGGGTACCGTACAATAATGCAGCACGGCAAGCTCCCGGATCAGAACGTCGTCTGAATCGATGGGTAGTCCTTGGCCTGAGCGTGCAAATCGGCAAATATGGACGCCGACTGGTCGCCCGCCAGGTCGCTCATCCTGTTCAAGTCCTCATCCTCAAGGTGCTCTAGCGCCTCCATTGGCTCTTCCGCGCCGTCTTTCTCGTCCTCCTTTTGCTGCTCCACGGCCTTGTCTATCCCAGAGGACTCCCCAACAAGCAGCACCTGCGCGTTCACATAGTCCAAGTGGTTTGGCCGCGACGGCATCCATCGCAGCGAGCGGAACTCTTCCTGCAACCTGTGCATTCGCAAACGCTTCTTGTCAGCCTGTTTCGTTCACTCGCATTCGGGTGCGAGTTTGGACTCACTTCTTGGGGAATTCTGGACCCTTTGGAAGCCGTGCGTTCGCGGGGCCCGGATACTCCGGGTTCTTGGTGCTGAGGATGAAGCTCCCCTGGTCCTTGATGCCCAGCTTCTTTTGGACCTCGCCCAACTCTTTCGGCAGCGTCGTCATGTACGCCAGGTGGCTCTCCCTGCCCGTCGTAGTGAGTGCGTACACGCCCTCGCCCACGGGCGTCGCCGCCGGTGTGTGCCGCGTGCCAGCCGTCTTGGTCTCGTAGTCGCTCGAAGCGAGGAAGCTTCCCTTGATCTCGTCGTACGAGGCGCCTGCCATGTCGACGAACGCCATGAAGCGCTCACGTCCACTCATGGGGAGCTGCTTTTTGGGCAAGGCCAGGACGCGGGTCGTGCCGGCGTCGCTCAGAGGCCCGCTGCCGAGCTTGGCGTCGGTGGCAATCGGTCTTAGGAGGATGAAGGTGCGCGCAATATCATCCACTTTGTGAGGCTCCTCGACGTTGACGCGACCACGAATAAAGAAGTAGATGATGCCTTTCTCCAAGATACTGGAGGGCACGTCGGGTTCGTCACCGGGGCGCTCCGCGGCACCAGACTTGGACTTGGACGCCGCCTTGTGCGCTCCATTCTGATGGTGCGTTTCATGGTCCGAATGTCCGTCCTCGCGCTTGGAGTCGTCTCCCTCTCCCTCGCGACTCGGCTGTTTCTCTGTCTTGGTCCGCTTGGCGTCTGGCTCTTCGTGCTCGGTTTGGTGCTTGTCGCCAGTTTGCTGATCCTCCGCCTCTACATTCCGGTCCGCGTCGTCATTTGATCGCGCCATTGCTAGAACGGAGTACTGGTGTCAATTGGCAATTTTAATCCTTGTTCGCTGGCGATTTGTGGTTTGACTTTTGCAGCTGCGATTTCTCCAACGGCGTCCACAAGCCGTTTTGAACTTGGGTGCAAACTTTGGAAACTCTGATGTCATGGACTTGTAAGACACAGCACTCATCTCCAGCGCCGCCCTAGTCGAAATGACTGCACAATGACAGCACGCTCACACACCGTAGGCAGTCAAACGTGAATCGATCTGAAACAAAGACTTTGCGGAAGCGACACGCAGCGCTGCCCGTCCCTGCTCATGATGGCTCCTCACGCGTCGCTCTCACGACGCCGACGCCACCAATGTCATGCTCAAGCAGCCAGAGCGCGTCTCTCGCAAAGGGCGCCGCGGACCCTCGCACGCGGAGCGCCCATCGCAGCTCGTCGACCCTCGCCGCGCACCACCCCATCTCCTCGGCAGTTTCCGCGGTTGCCCACAGGAGCGCCCCCAAGGACCCGACGTGTGCCGCTTGGTGCGCGGCTGCTCGACCCCAGAACGCCGCCGTGTGCTCTGGCTCGAGCGACGCCATCAGCTCCGTAGCGACCTGAAGCTTTGAACGTGCTGCCGAGCGCACCCGGCTGCGGACCGCCTCGCTAGTGTCAGGCGTCAGCGCCCGCAGGAGCGCCCGGTGGATGGCAATCTCCATGGAGGCGTACGCCAGATGCAGAGAGCCGTTGGCACATAGCTTTCCTCGCTGCTTGCTTCGGAGATGAAGGGCATCAGGTAGAGCGGCGTACCACGTTCGTAAGCGGACAACCAGAGGCTGTGCGAGGTCCACGGCTCCGGCGATGCCTATCTGGTCAAGCAGCCCGGCGGCTCGTGTCGCCTTGAGGCTGAAAAAGGTGCGCAAGACGTCAGTCACGATGCAAGTAAGCTCAATGTGGGCACAAAAAATGTCCCAGCCGATGCGGGCATCCATGTCCACTGCCGCGCCCAATTCCTGCTGAGATGCCAGCTCAGGGAAGTCGGAGTCCGTGCAGGGGCGAACATCCCAGTCGTCATCATGGATCAGGCATGGCCGTCCGTGGACGAATGCGCCCCAGCGATCCTCCATGTAAATGGCCCAAGCAAGGCGCCGCCTCAGGCCCATCTCCCAGGACGGGATGGACCATGAGCTGCAGTCAAGGTGAAGGCCCAGGTCCTGCGCAACGGCAACAAGCTGTGCCGCAAACGCACGGCTTGATGTGTTGTTGTCGCCGTGATCCCCCGGTCGTCGATGCCGCTGAAGAAGCAGCAAGCCAGCTTCGATGATGCTGAGCTTTGGCCGTCGCATGTCCCTGTTGATGGTCTGCTCTGCCAACCTTTCAAGGGATGCAGCGTCTGGCACGCATTCGCTGCCGGCCAGAACGCTGTCGTACAACTGCCAGTCCAGGGCCACGAGATACACTGCGGCCAGCAGCGACGGCGCAAAATGGCGATGGGATATGCGGTGCTTGCTGATGAAGACGTCTTTGTGGAGGATGGGGAAGCTGGGATGGACGATTCGAAAGTAAAGATCGACGAGGGTGCGGCCGAGGGGATGCACAGCTGCCTCGATGGCGTCCAAGTCGGCTACGCGCTGAGCCTCCGAAGTGACTGCCTCGTCTGCACGAACAATGAAAATGGTTTGGTCATCGAGACGGCGAGCGAGCTCAGGCGCGGTAGGCGCTCGAGCGGTTAGAGCCGACGGCGGACGATGAAGGTCGAGCAGGATGGGATCTCGATAGTCCGTCGGCCCAACATATTCGGCATGGGTCGTGAGATCCAACCCTAGTGTATCGTCGAGTATGGCTGGGGGCGACACCGGTATGCCATCAGGCGGCGCCGCAAGGTCAGAGTGATTACTGGCCGGCGGGGAGGATCCCGGGCGCCTCGAGTCGCTTGGTGAGGCGACTCCATGAGTGCTGTCTCCAGGAGATTCCTCTCCCTGCACGAGAGAGCTTGCTGTGGGGCGTTGTCGAGCAGTGCTCTCATCGGCCGAGTCCCGGCGTTGTGTGAGCTTGTTTGGACCGATGTGAGGAGCTGTCTGCACCCGTCGCTGACGCGGGAGCGGACCCTTCAAGAAGGTGCATCTCTGGCCGTGAAAGGCGCACAGCACGCATTGGGTCCGGTTCCCCTCTTTGACACAACGCGTCTTCCGCAGACGGCATGTGTCGCATGGCCGTGCCCGTGGCGGAGGATGGGGTGCTTTTGCGGTCGGCGCGGCCGCAGCCGCCGTCGTAGTGGCTTGGGAGCCGCCGCCGACGCCGACGGCAGACATGCCTCGGGCAGGTAGCTCGGGTACGTGCCCTTGGACGAGCTTCACAGGGCACCAGAGGCACGGGCGAGCCGGGAGCGAGACCCACGGCAGCGCGCCTGTCGGGTTTGGATGCTGTCCCCTGGGCCCTCGGGCACGCGATGATACAGGGCGGGGCCGCACAGCTGGTCCACAGAGGGCATCTGTTCGAGGACAGGAGGGAAGGCGAGGAGGTGTCGAACGCAGAATGCCGTGTGCTCGTCTGGGGGGTATGGCTTATCGAGAGCGCCGGCGGTCGGGAGGGCCCGTCTGCAAAGCATGTGCCGACGTCTGCGATAAGGGGAGAGTGATGGGGGGGTCGGAAGGTTGCGTCGACGGGATGGCGCCGCGGCTGCTACGGGGGCGGCGCCTGGGGACGAAAATCTGGGGTCGGGACCTGGGAACGGGGGAAGTCGCAGCCACGGAAGGCGCACCTTCCTCCATGTCGTACCGTACGTACACGATACGTACCTTCGTATCTTGTTCTTCGTCCGGGACGCTGCACCGGCAAATGGACATGCCCGCCATCCACAACTACGACACGCCATCGGTACCACAACCGCGTCGAGTGGCTTCTCCTCCGGGTCGGACTGCCGGCAACACGGACGTGCGGCTCACGCAGACGGACGCCGTGCGGCTCGAGTCGACCGCTCCAGAACCGAGCCGAGCTCGACGTGGTGACTTGCCTGCCACGAAGCGTCGGCCATGCGACACCCCGTCGATGCATCAAAGACGGAGCTGCTTATCTCTGATAAGGCGCCACGCCTGGAGCAAAGACATGGACGCCGGGGGTCTGTGTGATGTCAGCATTGGAGGCACGAGATAAACCACCTCCGTCCGCCATCAGCCATTGGCCAGCGGCCCAGGGGAAACCTTCGACGGCCCACCGCGCCCTTATCTCTCCCCCAGACCACATGCGGTTGACACTTCGTTCACCCGCTGCTCGCAGGACCATGACCAAAGCATTGCCGTCGGCCCGGCCGCCCATTGGCTGTCTTCGACGAAGGGCCGCTTGACACTGCCCTCTCCGCCCATAATGTGCACCAGGTGCGGTGTATCCAAACTTTGGAGACGGCCAAGCGTTCGCCAAGTTCTCGGGGGCGTCACCGTGCCACGAGCCCTTGCCTTTGCTCAATTGATGATGTGAGCCTTCAGGGACCACTGCTGCTATCGGCGCATGGTGGTTGGATGGCAAGCTCGGCCTCCCCGTTGTTTGTCCTCGGGGCAGCCCGCGTCGCGCCGCCGAGCCTCATATTCCAAGCCAACACCGAATGGCTGGGCCGTGTGCCGTGTGCAAACCCACATTCGCCGGCGGCCGCGCGCGAGATCCCAAAGTTACCTCTGATTCAAGTGCAACGGTAGGGTTGAGGAGGATACAAAAATGCTGCAAAGCCTCGCTGGCATATGTGCCATCGCGACCAACAGCTCACGCTGGGCTTCTCAGATGATATCTGCTCCTGCTGTCAAACCTCCCAGGCTCTCGGGATAGTCGAGTCATTTATCGGCACAACTCAACCTGACGACAAGCCGGACCTAAGCACATCGACCAGCTAGTATTGGTCTCCCTGGACCCTGCAACTGCCCCCCGCTGACTTCCGAGCATGGCGCCCTTCATGGGGCCTCCCCAGGGGGTTGACAGCCCTGAAAGCCTGGCACCAGATCAGATCCCGAACCCCATCTACCGAGTCAATGGAGAGTCTTTGCCAGACAAGGAATCGCCACTCACTATTCAAGAATGGTGTGCTACCCAAACCATTGGGAAGGCTCTGCAACGCCTTGTAGCCCTCGTGGAGACAGAACGCGCCGCCAACGAGCACACTTGTGCCTGGATTACCCTTGCCAGCCCAGACCAATTACTATCACAATGGGACGAACTCCAGTCCAAAGTCCGCGACTCTGAGCTTTTGCCTCTATATGGCGTCCCCTTTGCTGTCAAAGACAACATCGACGTTGTTGATTTTCCGACCACCGGAGCATGTCCAGCCTTCTCAACCCAACCCGCCACCCATGATGCCCCCGTGGTTGCCAGGCTTAAGGCTGCGGGAGCCATCGTCATCGGCAAGACAAACCTGGACCAGTTTGCAACCGGCTTGGTGGGCACTCGGTCGCCACACGGGGCCGTGCCAAACAGTTTTGACCCTGCCCGTGTAAGCGGCGGCTCCAGCTCCGGCAGCGGGGTCGTCGTCGCCTGCGGCGTAGTGCCTTTCTCTCTCGGCACTGACACGGCAGGATCCGGTCGAGTGCCTGCGGGCTTCAACAACGTCGTTGGATTGAAGCCCACCCGGGGGGCCCTCAGCGCCAGGGGTGTTCTTCCAGCGTGCCGGACCCTCGATTGCGTCTCCATCTTCGCTCTCACTATCGAGGATGCAGAGACGGTACTCTCCATAGCCGAAGGGTACGATTTCAAGGATGCATATTCGCGGGCGCGACCTTCCTATGACGTTCCTACACCGGTACCTGCATTCGGCATGCAATGGTCCCAGAACAAGGTCCCGTCGCTGGCCATCTGCATGCAGCCTGACTGGCATGGCCGGAAGGACCACTGCCCTGCATACGACGCAGCACTTGACAAGGCCCAGAAGCTAGGCTGGAAGCTTACTCCTGTAGACTTTTCTGACCTTTTCCGTCTCGCAAAGCTCTTGTACGAAGGACCTTGGGTCGCCGAGCGCTACGCCGCCATTCGCGACTTCATCGAGCGTTCCCCAGAGGAAATGGACCCGGTTGTTCGCGGCATTGTGTCCAAGGCTGGCAACTTCACTGCCGCAGACGCCTTTGCATGCGAATACAAACGCCAGGAACTGACTCGAGAAATCGAGGCAACATTTCAGTCTTTCGATGCCATCTTGGTTCCCACCACGCCGACATTCCCAACCCTTGAACAGCTCAAGGCCGAGCCCGTGTTGGAGAACTCGCTCTTGGGAACCTACACCAACTTTGTCAACTTTCTCGACTGGAGTGCGATTGCCATCCCCGCCGGCTTCAGGTCGGACGGCCTTCCCTTTGGAATTACTCTGATATCCAGCGCTTGGCAAGAGCCCCAGCTTTTGCGATTATCGCAGCATTTTTTGTCGGCCACTCCGCGGCGTCTTGGAGCCACCAAGGCTCATCGCGCAGCCGACAGCATACCCGCAAGAATGCATGGCAATCCCTGGACACCGATTGCCGTTGTCGGCGCGCACCTCACGGGGTTTCCGCTGAACAAAGATTTGACTACACGAGGTGCCGAGTTCGAGTGCGCAACCACCACGTCCAAGATGTACAAGCTGTACGAGCTTCCGTCCGCCTCTGGCGTCAAGAAACCAGGCCTTGAGAGGGTCACAGATGCAGGCCAGGGCCAACATATCGCGGTCGAAGTGTGGAGGATGCCCCAGCCCACCGTCGCGAGCTTCCTGGCTACCATCCCGTCGCCCCTCGCTATCGGATCCGTCGAGCTGCAGGACGGTCGCTGGGTTCGTGGGTTCGTCTGTGAGCCATGGGGCTTGCTAGGGGCAAAGGATATAACCGACTTTGGTGGCTGGAGGGCATACATGAAGCATCACACGCTTTGCAATGGGATCTGCAAGAACGGATCAGGGCCCTGTCGGCCGACATCCCCAAAGGCCATCGCGAAAGTTCTCATTGCCAACAGGGGCGAGATCGCTGCTCGAATCATCAAGTCGCTGCACAAACTCAACATTGAAGCTATCTCAATCTATTCGGATGCCGACGCCTCGTCTCCACATGTCCGCAACGCCGATGTGTCGTTGCGCCTTGAGGGCACCTCGGTCGCTGAAACTTATCTCGACGCCAGGCAGGTTTTGCAGCTAGCAAAGTCGGCACAAGCCGACGCCATCATCCCCGGCTATGGCTTTCTGTCTGAAAACTCTGACTTTGCAGCTGCAGTAGAGCAGGAAGGGATGGTCTGGATCGGGCCAACACCTAACCAAATGTCCGACCTGGGGCTCAAGCATCGCGCCAGGGACATCGCCAATAAGTCGGGTGTTCACGTGGTTCCCGGCAGCGCCGGGCTGTTGGTATCCCTGGAAGAGGCTCGTCACGAAGCGGACAAGATTGGGTTTCCGTTGATGCTCAAGAGCACGGCTGGTGGCGGTGGAATCGGACTGCGCCAATGCAACGACCTCGACAGCTTCGACGACGCCTTCAATGCGGTGCAGCGGCTTGCGTCAGCCAACTTTGGGGATTCCGGAGTTTTTCTTGAGCGGTACATCGAAAACGCTCGGCACATAGAAGTTCAGATCCTGGGCGATGGCAAGGGCAAGGTTATTGCCGCCGGCGAGCGTGATTGCTCCCTGCAACGGAGACACCAGAAGATCGTGGAAGAAAGTCCTCCATTTGGTGTGCCTACACACGTCCGCGCAAATATGCGGGCAGCCGCAGTCCGGCTGGCATCGTCGGTGCAGTATCGCAACGTTGGCACAGTCGAATTCATCTACGACGTCGACTCAGAGGAGTTTTTCTTCCTCGAGGTCAACACACGCCTGCAAGTGGAGCATCCCGTTACCGAGGCCGTTACGGGCCTTGACTTGGTCGAATGCATGGTAAACATTGCCAACGACGACTGCCACGAACTGTTCAGTCGCGATACCGAGGACATTGCCATCGATGGTGCTTCCGTCGAAGTTCGACTGTACGCCGAAAATCCTCTTCGGAAATTCCAGCCTTGCTCCGGTGTAATTAGCAAGCTGCGATTCCCCTCAAGTCTCCGAGTTGATACCTGGGTGGAAACAGGAACCGAAGTCTCAACGCGCTATGACCCTCTCCTAGCCAAGCTCATAGCCACTGGGCATGACAGGGCGGATTGCCTGCAGAAGCTGGCGGATGGCCTCGCCCAGACAGAAATTCTCGGGGTCCAGACTAACCTGGAGTATCTCCGTCAGATCGTGTCATGGTCTCTGTTCCAATCAGGGAACTGCACCACAAAGTCTCTGGACTCGTTTCAGTTCCACTCCCCCAACGTCGAGGTGGTACAGCCAGGAGCAATGACAACAATCCAAGACTTCCCGGGCAGAACCGGTTATTGGAGCATTGGCATCCCGCCATCCGGCCCGATGGACCACCTGTCTTTCCGAGTCGCCAACCGCCTCGTCAACAATAGTTCTGACGCCGCTGCCATGGAATGCACGCTTCAAGGACCGACGCTCAAGTTCCATTGTGACACTGTCATTGCCGTTACCGGTGGCGTAGCCGTCATCACGCTTGACGGTGAACAGGTCCAGTCAAACCGAGCAATCCCCATTCGTGCAGGACAAACACTTGCCGTTGGAACAGTCGATGTGGGCTACCGTATCTACGTGGCGGTTGCTGGTGGCATTGACGTGCCAAAGGTAATGGGCAGTCGTGCCACATTTGAGCTTGGAAACTTGGGTGGGAAAGACGGCGGAAAGCTCCAAGTCGGCGATATCATCCCTCTAAGAATGATCTCCACCGCCCTTTCGAAATTGGACGCTTCGCCGGTTGCCCCAGCCATCCAAATACCGGCACAGCCCGCGGCCTGCTGGACCCTTGGCGTTGTTCCTGGTCCCCACGGCGCCCCAGACTACTTCACTCAGGAGGGGCTCGCAGCGCTCTTTTCTGGAGAGTGGCGAGTACACCATAATAGCAACCGTCTTGGCGTCCGTCTGACCGGGCCACAGCCAGAGTGGGCGCGTCAGACCGGCGGGGAGGCCGGGCTGCACCCGTCAAACATTCATGACAGCCCCTACTCGATTGGCAGCGTCAGCTTTACCGGCGACGAAGCCGTTGTCCTCGCTTGCGACGGCCCCAGCCTGGGTGGCTTTGTCGTATTCTGTGTCGTGGCCTCCGCGGAGATGTGGAAGCTGGGCCAAGTCCGTCCCGGAGACGTCATTCGTCTCCGGGCCATCACCACTGAGGCCGCCGCGAAGATGGACGACGCACTGTCAATTGCTATTCAAGAGTTGAAAGAGTATCCTCAGATTGAGGACCTGTGTTCCGAGCTGGGGCAGATTGACTACTCGTCCAGTGTCGTCGTCGGCAAACTATGCCGCCCGGACGGAAGGGTCACTGCTCGTCAAGCCGGCGACCGATCGATGATTGTCGAATTTGGTGAACAAGAGATTTTTGACTTGGCTCAAAGCTTCAGAATCCACGCCCTGTGCGAGAGCCACGCCAAGAGCGCAATTCCTGGCGTGGACGAGTTAACCCGCGGTGTGCGATCCGTTCATCTGATATATCACGCCGGGCTAGCGCCACAAACCGTCTTTGAGCGGCTCTGCAATCACATATCGTCTTATGAAGTTCCTCGGAGAGTTCAGTCACGCACCTTGTGTCTGCCGCTCGCGTTTGACGATTCGGTAAGCAAGGCCGCGGTGGAGCGATACGCCGCAACGATCCGATCAGAGGCGCCTTGGCTACCTAGCAATGTCGATTTCGTCAAGCAACTCAATGGCCTCGACGACATTTCAAGCCTCATGTATGACGCAACGTTCCTTGTTCTCGGGCTCGGCGACGTTTTCCTTGGTTCTCCGTGCGCCGTACCACTCGATCCGCGGCACCGCCTATTTGGGACAAAGTACAACCCATCTCGGTCGTTTACACCCCGGCGTTCGGTCGGCATCGGGGGCCAGTACATGTGCATCTACGCGACTGACTCACCAGGCGGCTATCAGCTAGTCGGCAGAACAGTGGACATTTGGGACGCGCAAGCCATTTCGACGGGGAAAGCTTCCCTGAGCTCTGCGTCTGACCCGTGGATGTTTCGACCCTTTGATCGCATCAGGTTTTACCCAATGTTAGAATCGGAGCTCGACGCGAAACCCATCTCGCAGCTTGTCACGGTCACCAAGGGGCAACTAGACCTAGACGAGTATGAGTCCTGGATATCTTTGCACCAGGACGAGATCGACGCGGTTGCCTCGAAACGCGCGGAATCGATTGCGAGCGCACCCTTCCTCGAGGAGCTGCGGCAGCCGTACAGACCAAAAGCCCTCACCAATGGCCACAAAGAAGACGCCGCATGCAACCTCTCGGTGAGCCCAAGCTTGCACAGGTTAAAGGCAATGATGCCAGGTCGCTGCTACAACTTTGTCGTCCGGGACGGCGCCGAGGTTCGCAAAGGAGATGTGCTCGTGAGTTGCCCCATTCCACTGAGACAGTGATGTCATGCGTATGTGGACCTGCAGAGCCTAACACTTCTTAGATGTGGATTGAGTCGAGCAAAATGGAAATCGAGATTCGTAGTTCAGCTAGTGGTCGATGCGTTGGTATTCCGGTCAAGGAGGGGAGTTTGGTAGATGCCGGCGAGGTGCTGGTTACGATTGAGCCTGACGATACCGCTTTTTAGTGGCGCGCTGATGCTGCGCAGGAGCGCGTCGGAAATGACCCCCGAGTATTCGAAGCCACCAAAGTTATCAAAAACCTCATATGCTGCTGAATATGAGTTACATGAGATGCGCCTGTCAAGCCCTCACAACCTGAGTCATCGCCGAGCCGACGCCTGCCGAAGTACCACCCATACAGACGGCATTTGTCGGTATTCATGCCGTGTTCAGGGGGTAAGAGTTCTCGGCCCTGGTAGATTCCATGTGGTGTACTGTGATGCCTCGCTGTGTCAACCGATGAACTGGATTAACAAATGCCGCATATTCCCAGAGCCATGGCAAGATATCCAGCAACCAACCACAGACCTCATATCCCAAGTGCAGTGCCTAATTAGGCAACCTGGCTCACTACACGCCCCACGCATCCCACTCTCCTCACCCCCCTCCACTTCCCTCCACAAGAAGCTGGGGTGCACGGCTTCAATACCTAGAAAATCGTAGCGAAAGAACGATGAAATCTGCCTGAAAGAGGTCTGCGTGTAAGGCGCCACCCCTTCACACCCCTGGGGCCATGTCAGATACACGCATCAGCGTGGCTCCGATGCTGGTGGACACGCGCAGTGCGCTGACCGAAGCCCTCCACCAGACAGTTCTGGGATCTGATGACAGCCGGCCCAGCCAACCCCCTGAACTGCATGTGATTGAGGTCTTCCGCAACTGACCGATTGGTGCAGAGGCCGTTCCTTGCCCAGTTTTCATTCGAGGAAACGTCCTCACGTCGATGTCCAGGGCGTTAGGGCTTGCTGAGGCGATTAGGGTTCAACAACTGAGGGATATTGGGCAGCATCACCCATAAATTGGTACATATGTTGCGACCAGAACGCGACTTGGACGTCTTTCTACGACATTCATCTTGTTACGATGTGACAGTACTCGACCAACTCCAATTACCTCTAGACCCGGTCCCTTGCCACTGATATCAAAAGACCCTTCGAAACATGGCCGCCCGTGGCCTCCTCACAGCGCGGAAGCTGCGCACAGGCCGCAGGGACCAGAAGTGGTCCGACGTCAACTACAAGAAGCGCACTCTCGGCACGTCCTTTCGCTCCTCGCCGTTTGGCGGGTCATCCCACGCAAAGGGCATCGTCCTCGAAAAGGTTGGCGTCGAGGCCAAGCAGCCCAACTCTGCGATACGCAAGTGCGTGCGCGTGCAGTTGATCAAGAACGGGAAGAAGGTCACGGCTTTCGGTACGTGTGCCACTGTCCAACAACCTGGTCCGGTGGGTCCGGTGTCGGGCAGTGATTAATGGTTCTATTCTCTCCAGTTCCGAATGACGGGTGCCTCAACTACATCGATGAAAACGACGAGGTTCTGATTGCTGGGTTCGGTCGCAAGGGCAGAGCGAAGGGCGATATACCGGGTGTGCGGTTCAAGATTGTCAAGGTTTCTGGGGTTAGTCTTTGGTCGCTGTGGAAGGAAAAGAAGGAGAAGCCTCGACAGTAGCAGGGATCTGCGTGCTGGAGGGATGACAACGCTGCCCAGGTAACAGCAGATATGAGCTCTTGTCATTCTTATACAGTGGCAGCTGGCACCAGCTCCATGGTATCTAGCAACATCGGGCACATGCGGGCACTATTCCAAGACGATTGCACTCTTCATCACAATCCGGACAGCCGAATGGCACAGATAATATTGCCGTTCGTAATACCATGAGGCGCATCTATTTTTATCCGTTTTTCTACAGATTGTGAGGCTCGAGCTGCTCCTTCGTCGCCTCTGCCACCCGGTGGCCCCCCTTGGCCTTTCGGTCCGCCGCCAGGGACTGCGCAAATTTGGACTTTTCACGCAGCCAGGGTCCCTTCCAGTAGATGAGATAGACGGGCATGGTAACGACAAAGGCGAGACACGCCAGGATGGTGCTTGCGTATTCGAGATGGAGGCCATTTGGCGCAATGTTCGTGTAAAGAGGAGTAGAGTATAGGGCGGCAATGCCGGCCAAGAGATCGCGCGCGAAACCATTCCCACCCGTCGCGCTGGCTGAATATGGCCCGTAGGCAGCGAGCATGTAGCTGATTGTCGACATGTAGATGCCGTAGTTGGCGATGGCGATGAGGCAAGAGAATATCATGGGGGCGATCCAGTGTACCTGTGGAGGGCCGAGCGACGTCCAAGCAAAGCCAAACAGGCCAATGGTCTCCAGGGGCGCAAGGTAGAGCAGCCACTTGAGCCTGTGCTCTGGCGGCAAGTAGTCGGGGCCCTTGGTCTTGGTGATCCTACTGTCCCTAATGATCCAGGGGAAGTAGCTGACGTACGCAATCAGGTAGCCAATGATAATGGGAATAAAAGCCCAGGCGAGCTCCAGTGTTCCGAAACCCCATTGCTTGAAGACGGGAGTGAACCCCTCCTGGAACGTGAAGATCAAGGCGTCCGAAAAGCCTGATAAGAGGGAGCAGGACAGGACAATCGGCTCGCGGAGGAACATCTCGAACGGCCGTATCCACGTCACGCCAACCTCCTCCCACGAGATGCGCGGATTTTTGACCTCATTCGGGCCGTAGATGTTGGGGTCTTCGCCAGACTTGCGGCGCCGCTTGGCCTCTCGGTCCATGAGGATCGTGGCTCGGCTCTCGGGCATGAAGAAGTGCACGACCTGGACAGCAACGCCAAAAATGAGCTGGATCCAAAAGTTCCAGTACCACGGCAGGAACTTCTTGATGGGCCCGCCGACAATGGGGCCTATTGAGGTGCCGCCAACGGATGACAGGACAACAAAGGCCACTGCCCAGTCCTGGTCCTCGGGCTGGTAGAGGTCGGCCACCATTCCAAGTGTCACACTGCCGCCAGCGGAGCTCAATCCACCGAGGGCCCGCGCGACAATGATGCTTCCAAAGTTTGGCGCAAGGGCGGCGAGAATCTGCCAGATGTTGACGAGAAACAATGAGCACCTGTCGGCTCGGTCAGCAATTTTCAGCTCGTCCATCGAGCTCTGGGTCCGTGGACGTACTGCAGGATCGGCCAGCGTCCAAACTCCTCGCTCCACGGCGCCCACAGCTCACACCCAAAGGCATACAGAACGAGAAAGGCGCACTGCCCTGCTCGGACGGCCTGCTCGCTCACTTCAAAGTGTTCGCTTAGGGGCTCGACGGCGCTGGGGTAGACGCTGGTGTTGAAGTTCATGGACATTTGCACCGCGAAGATGGACGACAGAAGCATCCACTTCTTCCATGACGGCCACGAGTACCCCAGTGCGTCGTAGCATTCTTCCTCGGTGATGATGCGCTTGCCATCTGGCGTGTACTGGGGCTGCTTGCTCTGAGACGGGGCTAGACTGTCTTCGCTGGTCCTGCCGCCAGATTCTTCGTCCTGCCCGGGAGCATTCTGGAACAGGCCCTCGTGGGTTGTCGACTGTGGGGGCTTTTCGTTCTCGACTGGCGACTTTTCGGGCAGATCCGAGGTTGGGCGCTTCTCCGTGGATGCGGCTAGGTCAGGAACGCCGGGATGGCGATTCCCTGGGAGCCTTGCGTCACCGTTACCCATTGCTGACGGTGAGTTGGCACCTGGATAACCACCGTTGTGGGAAGTAGAGGTGCCGAGAGGCCTTGATCGTCGGACATGCTGCTCCGGTCGGTGGAAACGGACAACTATTTAAAGGAGAACCGACTGTAGAAATGCGCACCCACTGTTTTCGTACTTCGCGGTCGCCATGGTACGGCCATCAGACGTCACATCTGGGCCCTGGGTCCACCCATCACCCTCGAGCGCCGCGGTGAAATCCATGGTGTATCGGCCGATACTGCACCACCGAGTTCGTATGTGAAGGCTCTGCGGCAGTGGGTTTGTGGATCGGAAAGTCGTGATCGAGATCTGTTGGTGGACCAACAAAGCGGTAGTTCAGATGTCGGGCGGAGAGCCGCATGGCGCTTGACATCATCCCGCGAGTCGAAGGCACAGGGCTGGGCCAACTTTCAACAAAGTGTGGAATATTTGTGGAACGAGTGGCGCAGGGGCAGCGGCAGCAAGTGCTAGTTGAAGTTGACGAAGGCGCTCGGGCTGCCTAAAGAAGTAATCCGCCGCCTGGCGACGAGAACAGCACGATCAGTACGAATGAAGACGGTCGGCTGGTTGCTGTGTGCTTTGGCATAAAGGCGGAGTCGCTATCTCTATTTCCTCGGGTGATCGTCGCAGAAATAAGCTTCAAGTTGAAATTGATGTTTCACAGAGCGAACAGACGTGCATTTGCTTTGCTGACCTATCGTACGCGAACCGTTTGCAAACTGATTGCACTTTAAGAAGACTCCAGGCATTAAAGAATATGCCTTGGTCCATTTTCTCACACGTCGTACCAACCTGAGTTACGGACCGGGGCTTCATCGAGATAATCGGCTTTGATGTCGTGCGCCATTGACCGACAAGGTCCCCGCCGGAGCCTTCCAGCCGTCGACCATGTCTTTATGAGCCGCGACAAAAGGAGGCACTCAATGTGGCTTCCTCTATTCTGAGTAGCAGAGCCCAAAGTTTTCATCAGGCCATTCCTGTGTTCCTCGAGAGACCGGTGTTGGCTTGAACGGATGCTAACCTCGCTGCAGGGTAGCCAGCATTGGCGGTCATCAGAGTACTACGGGTGCCGTGCTACAGTGGGGGCAGGGCGGGCGTCACGGCACGGAGTTTGGAAGTTCCGAAAAGCCTCGTGCTGCCGGCTTCGTACATTTATGATCCTAGCGGCCGTTTCTTTCTCCGTTTCTCCGGTTGAATGAATTGCAGGTTCATTCCTGGCTGCGCCTTTGTGGCTCCCCGACTATGGCGGCTGCATGTGGCAAGCAACAAGTCAATGTCCGAAATTCCCCGTCCGTCACCAAGCCCCAGCCATTCTGCCGCTCCATACTTTCAGCGCCTTGCATCGATGAACGCACCTGACTGGCTAGGCCAGCACGGAGCGGCCATAGACGACGACGATGCCATCAACGTGAATCCCTGCGGTGCGGAGGAGTCATGCCGCCAATGGTGCTCCGAGAAAGCGCCTGGCGCCAATGCTTGTCAATGGTTCAGAACGAGTGATACCTTTCCACAATCTGAGCTCTTGGGCGGGGCGAGACACTTCTTTCGGGTCCTCGTTCCGGGGTTGCACCACGAACCTGCCGGAATGTCGGGCCGCTAGCCGGAACAAGGCTCTCCCCTTCTACTTTGAGTTTCTCCGAGTCTTCCTGTTGGCCATGCCTGCGACTTACGTCGTGCGTGGTAAATCATCGCAGACTTCGGTCTCGACGGCCAAACGTCCTGTCTTGGTCTTGGGCTCAAGTCGCAGCCATCAATGATGCTGACGTTAGATAGTACTGTCAGGGAACTAGCCTCTCCGATCTCCGACCTCGCACAGTCGTTTGCGTTGATATCATTGATGGCAGGGGGTGACGCAAACAAGCTGACCTTGCAAGGGATTCTGGCCAAAGTGGAGGCGCCGCGCGGGAGCCAAAATCTACCCCTAGCTGTCAGGCACCGTCGAAACTGTGTTCGTCGGGGATACGCGGCCCGGTGCACGCGGCACCCCGCATGCTGCGACTGGGCTGACCTACTATTTGTTCCATGCTTCCGCCCCCCTTATGATTCAATGTTGCCTGAAGTTGTTCCAACAACACACGACCCTCCATTCAAATTTACAATCAAATGGCTTCTTCGCATGATAATCTCTTTTGGCGTCGGACCGCCCCCGGCGTGTGGCAGCGCGGGGTCGATGAAGTTGAGGCGTTTTATTCGACAATGGCTCTCCTCTATGAGGGTAGCGGCCGCATGTTCTTCGGTATAACCGGATTCTTGTCCTTCGCCGCGGAAGCCCCAAAGGATATGACCCCAGCAGTGGCGGAGAGGCAGATGGATGAAGCCTTGGCAAAAGCCTGGATCAAGCTCCGCTATGATCACCCGACTCTTGCCTCTCAAGTGACCTTGGAGCGGGAAACCCAACAATGGATAAAGACATACAGAGAGTTCGGCAGTGAGGGCGATCAGAATGACTGGCTCGAAAAGACACTGGTACCAATCTCGAACGGCCAGACAGGACTACAGTGGGCCAACTCGGATCCTCCGGCTCCCTTACTCCCGACACTGTTCGTTATCCGACCCCCTATCGCCACAGCAGAAAAGTCTAGAATCCGGCGGGACCTCGTCTTTCGCTCTCCCCACGACGTTATTGATGGCATCGGCACCTTGATCATGCTTAACAACTTTATCAACCATGTCTCAAAAGCGTATGACCAGGGATCAGCCTTCAAACCGCCGGTCTTGGACGGGTCAGAGTCAGCCAACCTGAGTCCGACCTATCGTGTGGCTGCAAATATTCTCCCTGCACCTACGGAAGCGCAAAAAGCCCAAATGGCTGCCATACTTGCTCAAAAGACTGAGCTGAAGGAAGATACCGAGGTCGAAGTACTGTCTGTTCCCTTCAGGCACGGTGCTGTCATTCCAGGCTGCCACAAACGCGCAGCTTTAGCCTTGTCAAAGGACCAGACATCGCGTCTGCTGAAGGCTTGCAAGATGGCCGGCGTAACCCCGACGCACGTCTTCCATACCGCAGCTGCCATGGTCACGAGGGACATCCAGCCCTCTCCAAATGAGGCAAAACGAGTACGATATGTCAGCTATATCTTGCGCAATGAACGAGCGAACTGTTCGGAGCCCTACCGCACCACGAAACATCCAGTGGCGGTCTACCATTCTGTTTCAGGGCAAAGCATCGTTGTCGACATGGACCTCCTGCCCGTCGACGAGCAGCAAGACAGCCACGCACGGAAGGCAGAGTTTCTGTCCACTGTGAGCCGTATGAAAGCATTTTACCACGGTGTGCGAGATGACGACGACCACGGGGCGCTCGCGCCCAGCTTATGGGCCCTTGGAACTCCGCGGCTGCCGCCTGTCTCTCAATCACCGCCGCTCCCTGTCCCACCTCCCAATTCTAGTCCTTCGGTTTCGATTTCGAGTATGGGTCGCGTAGATTCCATCGTTGCACGGACGTCCGGCTCCATCCGGGTTTATGATGCCTGGGTTACTGGCGAGGAGCTTGGAAGCGGACTTGGCTTATTCCTGGGCACGTTTGACGAGGAGTTGAGCCTCAGCGCCGCGTACAATGATGCTTGGCACACGGAAGAAGAAGTGGCAGACTTTTTACAACGATGCACCACAACTGCTTTTGAAGGATTGGACGTCTCACTTCCTTGAGTGAGTCTACAGGAAGGGGGTTTATTCTCCGTCCCGGCTATAGCGACAGACTCTGAAGCTGTTGAATTAAAAGTCGCTCAATTCCTTGATCCGACAAGTGCACTAGAGCACGACGGCGATGTATTTTCATACTGCCGATCTTCATGGGCCACCAAGTGAATGAATGACCTCAACGGGGCGCGAAGACGCAGGGTATGACTTGGAGTCTGGCACCCAAGGTCACCCGATTCGCCGGCTCGATGGAGCCACCAGCGCAATTGCTGTGCCACAGCGGCCGCTCCGAGCGCTATGCACTCCGCACTTCGCACATTTCACTACATAACCAACTTCAACGTTCGAACCTCCGGCGCGGGACGGTCAAGCACAACGCCACGCCTCGCGATCGCCATCATGCGGATCCTGCTGCACTCCCACTTCCCCGCAGGCCACGCCTATCCCATGCAGGCCGTCGCCCAGGCGCTCGTCTCGCACGGCCACGACGTCGTCTGGCTTACCTCGGCCGGCAACGAGGCGCGCGTCCGTGCAACCGGCGCCGCCTTTGTCCCGACTCGCGCCCTCGCCAGCCTCGACGAACCTTTGATGCGGCGGGACGCGACGGGTCTTTTCGAGCCTCCCAGGATCCAGCTTCGCGGGCGGCTGGCGGCGCAGTTGGCCGACTACCGCGCGGTGCTGGCTGATTTCCGCGCCGATGTGCTGCTCGTCGACGTCTTTCCCCATGGAGCCCGGGCGCTGTACGAGATGGGCGAGATTCCCGTCTATGCTACACTGGGCGTCATTCCGCTGTATGCTTCGACGGCGGCCTCCCCTATGCCGGCGTCCGGCAAGCCGCCCCCTGCGTCCTGGATTGCCGTGTTGGCAAATGCCGTCCTCCATACGCTCCGTCGATGGGTCTTGCTCCCGCGGCAGGTTAATTCAGTCATCGATTGCCAGAGGGCCGAGTTTCGCCTGGGCAAACTTCCGTACGGCGAGCCTCCCGAGTTTTTTGCCTACAGTCCGCACCTCCACATCCAGGCATCATCCCCGCGGCTCGAGTTCTTCCAGAAACCCAGTTCGCCGCAGCACCAACGCAACACAATGTATGTCGGTCCGCTCGTGACGAAGGGCTCCGTCGACACGACCAGTCTTCCATCGTGGTGGCCCGAGGTTGTTGCGCACAGCCGTGTCGTTGGCGTCACGCAAGGGACGCTGGCCATGGACCCGACCTCACTCATCCTTCCGACAATCTTGGCGTTGCGAGATGACCCGACAGTCCTGCTTGTCGTGGTGTCGCCGTATGTAAAAGACATAGAAGCTCAAATCAGGCGTCCAAGCAACGTTCGCTACGCTACCTGGATGCCGTACAATGTCCTCCTACCCCAGCTGTCCCTGCTCATCACCAATGGCGGCTACGGAAGCATCACGCAGGCGATTTCGCACAAGGTCCCGCTCCTCTGCGCAGGGCAGTCCGAAGACAAGAGAGATACGGCGGCGCGGGTCGTTTGGGCCGGGGTCGGCATCGATCTCAAGACGGACAGCCCGACACCCGAGCGCGTCGGAAATGCGGTGCGACAGATTCTCGACGACAGTGGGTACCAGGAAAGAGTACATGTCGTTGGCGACGAGCTCAACGGCCTCGGGGGTGCCGAGACTGCATGTGTGCTTCTCGAGACGTTGGTCGCAGACTCTACAGCGGGGCCATGAGATAATTCTTCCTGCTTGGACATCATTCCAGGGTTTTTGGAATACATTCGACATCAATACTCGCCCACCCCTTTACCTCCTCCAATTCGCTTTACTACGGCTCCTGGGTCATTTACACACCCATCTCCCTCGCTCGACGCATACCTCACTTTCCAGCCCAGAACCTGAGGAAAGCCTCCTTCTTGCTCGTCGGTGGAGCACGCTTCTCCGGCATGTCCTCTTCCCGCAGGGGCAAGCCGTCGTTGCCAACGTTGGTCACCGCATTCTGCTGCTTGCCCAAGTAAAAGTTTGTCTGGAAGCACGCCGCGATCAGCGGGATAAAAGCCAGGCCCAGTGCCGGGGCCAAGCAGTAGTAGAGCGTGCGGCGGTACGCCTCGATGCACCCCTGACGCATCGGACTGTCAAAGGCGTACAGGGTGCGAATGGCCTTGACGTTGCCAAAGATCTTCTTGACGTCCTTCTCTGTTGCTGTGGCGGGCAGGTGCGCGCGCAGCTGGCGGGGCATCTGGTAGGACCAGATGACGGCGACGATGGCGCTGCCGATGGCGGATCCAATCTTGGACCACAGTGAGAGCATTGCTATGGCCAAGGCGACGTCTTGGTGCGGGACCGACGCCTGCGACGCGACGCGGGAGCCGACGACGGAGAAGGCGCCGCCGCAGCCGACCAGGATCATGGAGATGACCATGGCGGCCGTGTCGATGGTGGCACGCCGGCCGTCGAGCAAGATGCCCATGCCGATAATCTTCAGGCAAAGGCCAAGCAGCTGGAGCGCCTTGTATCGATGCGTCCACCGCTGGATCAGCCCGGCCACGACGCCAAAAATGCAGAGCGCCAGAGTCAGCGTGTTGCCGTAGTAGACCCAGTCCTGGTAGCTCCAGGGCTTGGCGATGAGCACGTAGGAGCTCCAGTACAGACCGCGGATCTGGCCAGCCACTGCAATGCTGTTAACACTCCTGCTCGACCGTCGCTATATCAAGGAGTGGAGAGTCGAGGGCACTCACGCATGTAGAAGCTGTCAATGATGACGGCCATGAGAAACGTCTTGTTGAAGATCAGTCTCCTCGGCGCGCTCGGCATCTTGGCCCACTTCATCTCATACACGACATATGCGATGAGCAACACGCCGCCCACTACCATCATGGCGATGAGCGAAGGGTTACGCCACCCGCCGACCGCATACGTCTTGAGCGAAAACGGCAGCAGCAGCAAGCTCCAGCCGAAGCCGAGGAGAAGCAGGCCAAAGGCGTCGATCTCGTGCAGGATACGCACGGCGGCCTGGGTCCACGTCTCGTTGGGCTTGGCCGCGGGGGCGACGACGAGGCCATGCGGCGCGTCTTGGCCGGTCTCGTCGGCGAGCTCCTTGGCAGCGCGCCGGGCGGCGTTGGAGGAGGCCATGTTGACGACGCCGTGCTTCTTGGCCTTGCGGTCGAGGTAGATGAGGGTGACGATGGCGGGGCCCAGCGCGGCGGGCATGATGATGGCGAACATGCCGTAGCCCCTGAGACGGTCAGTCAGTCTACGCCTTGTGGTCTTGACGAGAGGCATCACAGCAGCGGATGTCACTCCGTCGGGAACGAAAGGGGAGTTGATAACTCACCATCGCCACTGGTTTCTGGACGTCATGGCGTCGACAATCTTGCCGGCAAACCACGTGTTGATGATAAACGGCGTGCTCAGCAGCGAGCCAACAAACCCACGCCACTCCAACGGCGTCAAGTCCGCCACGATGATATCATTAATGAGGTCCAGCCCATTACTCCCAATCGCCACAAACACCTCGCCGACAATATACGCCGCCACGGTGCGCGACGTAGCCGCGACGATGTACCCCAGCGTGTAGAAGCCCAGGGCGAGGACGTACGTGTACGGGCGGGACGTGATGTCGGAGACCTTTGCGACAAAGGGCTTGCACACGGCGCCGATGACGCTCGTGGCGATGGACAGCGTGGACAGCACGGAGCTGTGCTGCTTGTAGTAGGACGAGGCGTCGATGCTGTAGTACGACGTGGTGGACTGGTCGAGCGAGTAGGCCCACGCGCAGACGAGCACCGAGGCGCCCACGAGGAGGAGCGTCTTGCGGTGGGATTGCGCCTCGCGGTAGATGGCCTCCATGCGTGTTACGCCCTGTGTCTGGACTACCACCGCGGGGTTGGCGTCGGCGTTGTCGTGCTCCCTGGCGTTGTCGGTGGGCTGCCGGGCCGTGGTGGCTACCCCGTCATCTGAAGCCGAGGCGGAGGCCCCTGCCGCAGAGTGCTTCTCGTCGATCGGATGCGCAGCCATGTTTGAATGCTGTGGCCGTTTGAGAGAGAGAGGAGGTGCACTGTCTCGAGGAGATGCACTCGGAAAGACCAAGTCTCGAGTCTCGACCGCCGCACATACACAACCAAACGGTGCGAGGACGCGTTGGCAACAGTTGAACAGACAAGGAGCACGCAGCAGCTGCGAGTACGTCCGGTGTCGGGAACACGACGATCCTGACCCTCCTCTATATAGATTTACACACCACAAGCATATTCACAACCACGTTCCACTCAAGGAACAAGTACCAAAAAAAAAACCTCTCCCCTGTCCCATCTCGTCGCCACCAAAACTCGAAGAAGAGCCTAGCTAGTATAGCTAGTTAGCAACGGCCGGCCGGGCGCGCAAGCTACCGCATCGCAAGCTTGGCAGCGCCAAAATCTCACCCGGTCGTGGATCGCCGGGTTGCCATGGGACCATGGATCGTAACATCCGCTGGAGCAACAGCAGGTCTCAGTAGGCTACTAAAAGCGAGGCCTATCCCACGTTAGCATGCAGCGAAAAGCCGGCCGCCTCTTTTAGGGGAATAGGGCAACGTTGGGGGGTTGCAATTCCACGAATCAGGGCGGTAATCTAATCTAATCAGATCATCCACAGTGCCACACACACACACACACACACCTATCCCATCTTGGGGCAGGCGTCGGACCCCCTCCAACCCCTCCATCCGGATCAGAAAAAAAAAAAAAAATTGTTCTTCGCCGAAGAACTGAACTCTTCTGTGCTGTACACCTGGCTTCGCAAGGAAGTCTTGGTCCTGTGTTCCGTCAGGGCTAATAAAGGCGAAAACGGCTCGTGGTCTGCGTGCTGGGCTTTCGCTGTAACAAGACAGCCACGAGGGAGGCCAGAGCCGGTTGCTGGACGGGGTCCCACAGCAGCAACCAGAGGCGTGATCGGCCACCCTCCGGATGGTCCTGGTCGGGCCACCCCCCTGTCGAGTCTGCGCGTTTCCCTTGGCTAGACGACCCTGCAGGCTCCTCGTGTTGGGCGGCTCTAACCAGCCCCGTACGAAGAGGGTATTTCGGTCAAGTTATTTACCGCTTGATCAAGCGTGTGTCCCAGAGGAGGTTCTACTTCTACGGTGCGAGTCCGGGTGGCGTCCGAGTTGTGCCGATGGCGCATCGGGGGGTCTCGACGGCCCTCGGCAGAGTATACGTCCACCGTGTGCCACGGGGCCGGCCGGTCGACGACGACCAACCTGGCCATTTCATACGGATACGAGTCGCCACGGTTCCGATGGGAAAGTTGCTGGTATTGGTCGAGTGCAAGGGCTGTCAGGGTTGCATTTCCCCTCGATGGACCGACCCCGTTGGATTACCACGAGCGGAGCCACTCTGCGAGCATTCCCCTAAAACTCGTGGTTGACGTGCCACGGGAACAAACGCTCCACGGCGGCGACGGCGGCTCCACCAGGCGCGGGCCTCGCACTTGATATCCCAATGGGGAAACGACTGGACACAGGACGCGCGATGCAAGTCTATTGCGGCCTGGGACTCTCCAGACCCCAGGGGCGGCTACTTTTTAGGTGCCGGCGCGTCCTTGGTCTTGATGGCCTCCTCTTCTACGTTCCTCTCCTCGCTCTCTGCCCTTTCCGTTCCGTCTTCGTTGAAGAGCGTTTCTTGCGCTGTGTGCGTCGTCAGTAACCGCGTGTCTTGCAAGGCAGTGTTCATCCCCGGTAGAAACTCACCGCTCCAGAGCTCCGAGTACACGCCCGCCCGGTCAATCAGCTCGCGATGGCTGCCCATCTCGGCCACGTGCCCTTCCTTGAGCACAATGATGAGGTCCGCGTCAAAGATGGTGCGCAGGCGGTGCGCGACAAAGACGCTCGTGCGGCCCTTTTCACGCAGAATGCCGTTGATGTTAATCATGAGCGCCTGCTCCGTGTGCGTGTCCAGGGCGCTCGTCGCCTCGTCGAAGAAGAGCAGCGGCGGGTCCTTGAGCAGCAGGCGGCTCATGGCCAGGCGCTGCTTCTCGCCGCCCGAGATCATCATGCCCCGCTCGCCGACCTTGGTGTCGTAGCCGTCGGGGAACTGCTGGATGATGTCGTGGATGCGCGCCCGCCGCGCCGCCGCCACCACCTGCTCGTGCGTGGCCTCCATGTTGCCGTACCGGATGTTGTGCTCCACCGTGTCGTTGAAGAGCGGCGTGTCCTGCGGTACCACGCCGATGGACCGCCGCAGCGAGTCGACCTGCACGTCGCGCACGTCCTGGTCGTCGATAAGGATCCGGCCGCCCTGCACGTCGTAGTATCGGAAGAGCAGCCGCAGGAGCGTAGACTTGCCGCAACCGCTGGGGCCGACCACGGCGACCTTTTTGCCGGCGGGGATCGTCAGAGACAGGTTCTGCAGGATGGGCCGGTCCGGGTGGTAGCCGAACGTGACGTTTTCAAACTTGATCTCGCCGCCCTTGGGGAGCGCGAGGGCCTTGGCGCCGGGCTTCTCGGCGATGCTGACGTTGACCTTTTGCAGGTTGAAGAGCGTCTCCATATCGAGCAGCGACTGCCGCAGCTCGCGGTACACGGAGCCGAGGAAGTTGAGCGGCACGGAGAGCTGGAAGACGAGCTGGTTCACCATGACGAGGTCGCCGACGGTGAGCGTGCCGGCTGCGACGCCGTCAGCCGCGAGATACATCATGGCCGTCAGGGCGCTCGAGAAGATGATGTTTTGCCCGCTATTGAGAAAAGCCAGCGACGTGGCGACCTTGATGGAGCTCTTTTCGTACGCCTGCAGAGCCTTGTCGTACCGCGCCACCTCAAACTTTTCGTTGTTAAAGTACTTGACGGCCTCGTAGTTGATGAGTGAGTCGACTGCGACGGTCGATGCCTTATTATCGGCGGCATTTGCCTGGCGACGGAACTTTGTCCGCCAAGCCGTCGTCCAAATGGTAAAGGCCGTGTACCCGACCATGGTGAGGACGGTAATGGCGGCAAACTTGGCTCCGTACTGCCACGTCAGGATACCGCACACCATGCTGATCTCGAGCGCCGTGGGCAGGATGTGAAAGACCATGCTCGTCAACAGGAAGCTGATGCCCTTGGTACCGCGGTCGATGGCGCGCGTCAGGCCGCCCGTCTGCTTGGAGAGGTGGAAGCTCAGATCCAGGCGCAGCAGGTGGTCGAAGACGTTGCAGGCGACCCTCCTGATTGCCTTTTGCGCGACGGACGCGAAGACGGCGTTGCGCAGCTCCTGGAAGACGGTAGCGCCAATGCGCGCCGCGCCGTATGCCACGATCAGACTGCCCGCGATGGCGGTGGCCGTGCCACCCACAGCGGCGACGTCAATGTTCATGGTGTCGACGATGCTCTTAAAGTAAAAGGGCACCTGCACGTTGAGCAGCTTGGCGCCAACCAGCAGCGCGACGGCGAGGCCAACGCGGAACTTTGTGCCCAGCTGGCCCTTGGGCCACAGGTAGCGCGACATCTCCCTCATGATGGCCCAGTCGGCCTTGCGCTGCTCGGCGGCCGACTTGTCGACGCCGGCCAGGGGATCGCTCGCGGCGGCGGCGGGCTTCTTCGGTGTCGGGCTCGGGGGCGTTTCTGTGGTCTTCGTCTTGGGCAGGATGGCGCTCGGCTTCACCGGGGGCTGCTCACGGCGCAGGGCGGCCGAGGTTCGGAGGGGCTGCGCCGCGACGGCGACGGCGGGCCGCTGGGGGAGCCATGGCGGCCGGCTGTGGGCCTTGGCGAAGCTGCAGCGCGGACACAGCAGCGTCGGGCGGGATAGCAGTCGTGGAATCATGGTCGCGGTCGGCGCTGCGAGAGCATCGTGCGGTTCCGTGAAGGTGTCGGGGCGCGTTATTCGGCTGAGGGCGTCGGGCACGGGACCCGCTTACGCGGGGGAGGGACAAGGACGGGAGGTGGGTGAGACGTGAGCTGTCCGACGGGCCCGAGTCAAACGACGCGCGTGCTTGCTGACGTCTGGTCGAGTTGCGGATATGACCCAGCAGAGAGCGCGAGCGGAATTGGGTTGCGACGCGCGAGCTCTGAAGCTATCCGGGTGCGCACGACCAGCTGCGCTTGGGGGTTGCGGGAGTGCTGCACCTTAATTTATCAAGCCCCCGGGGCCCAGAGGTAAGTGGAGGTGGAGACGGACGCCCAGCAGAGCCGCTGAGCCAAGACGGGGAGCCAATGGCGTCAGAATTCACACCTCAGGCAGCGTCAGACGCTTCAGGGTCTCGTCTCCATAATTTGGAAGTCCGACTGGCCGAGAGCCGATTGCGGGCAGTATGGTATTCGCATCCCAGCCTCACCCTGACGCCCGTTCGTGCTACCTCTCCAGCGCAGGGCATTCTATCTAAATACCTATACCTGCCCATAACCTCCGTGCGTCGTATACGAGACGCCATCAGGCATCTTTATGGCCGCTTATCCGTGTCATAACGTCGTGACTCCGTTCCTCCACCCCACTTTCCTGCGGCATGCCTCAGCATTCTCCGCATCGAGTCCCAGCGGGTCTCCTCTCCGCGTCAACCACGCAGGCTACCCGCGCGAATGCCCATTCTCCTTCTTCGCCGGCAGCGTCCTCCGCTTGATCCACACCTTGACCGGCGTCTTCGGATGCCTCGTCGCCGTCAGCTTGTACGTCTTGGGCAGTTCCCAGCTCTGCCCGTGAGGCGGTTCCATGTCATAAAAGGAGACGATGATGCCCGCGTACAGCATAATCTCTCGCAGCGCAAAGGCCCTGCCCTTGCATAACCTCGGTCCGGCACCTGCGGACGACAATTAGCCAGCTTGTTCCGCAGCAAAGTTTCAACGCACTCACCAAATGGTCGCATCGTTCCCATCTCGGCCACGACCGTCTTCTTGCCCGCCTCGTCCACCTTTTCCTTCAGGTGCCTCTCGTGATGCCACTCGTGCGGGTCGGGGAAGAACTCGGGATCCCGCTGGTGCATCTCCTGTGCGACGTGCACGTAGCCGCCCTTGCGCAGCACAAAGGACTGCCCGTGGCTCTTGTCGTCCACCACCACGTCCTCGGCCAGCCATCGCAGGTTCAGTGGCCCCGTGTACACCCGCAGAGTCTCCATGTACGCGGCAAGTAGCAGCGGACACTTGTTGAGCAGGCCGTCCAGGTCCAGCGACTCCAGCTCTGCCGGCACCCACACGGCGTCGCCAAAGTCGTTGGCCGGCTGCACGACCCTGACGTACGGCGCAATCTCCTCGCGGACCTGTTCCAGCAGAACGGGGTCCCGATACAGCTCAAACAGCACCCACGGCACGAGCGCATTCGCATTCGTGTTCATGGCCCAGAGGAAGCCCAGGTCGCAGCCCGCCCGGCCATGCAGCGACAGCCCGTGGCGGCGGTACGTCTCGTGCCGCGCCTTGACCACCCTGCTCACGTTGTCGAGGTCCTGCCACTTCAGTCCCGGCTCCTCGCCACTGACATGCTTGTCGAGCGCCTCGCCAAACTCGCGCGCGCAGGCCAGCAGCTTCCTCTGCGCGTTCCTCGCGCGCTGCAGCCGCGGCCAGGGGATCCAGTTGGGGATCCGGGCGGCCAGCAGCACAAAGGCGCTGTCAAAGTCCCACATGGACTGCCAGATGTCGGGAAAGTTCTCCACAAAGTCGGTGCCGTAGAGGGAGACGTTGGCCGTCATGGCGATGAAGTTTTTCGTCAGCAGCATGAGGTCGGCCTCGACGTAGCTCTCGCCGCGCGGGTTCTCGACGACCTCGGCGCCGGCGAGGCGCTCCCACCCCATCTGGTCCGCCGGGTACGAGTTGAACGTGACAAAGTCGGCAATGTTCTCTTTGATGTAGACGATGGTGCGGCTAACGAGCTCGCCCAGGCCGGGGTCCTGCAGCAGGTGCTTGAGCGAGGCCCTGGCCTCGTCGGCCAGGCTGGCGTACACGGCCTCGTCCTCCTTGGTCATGCCGAACATGGACACCAAGATGTTGCCAGACGGATCCTGCGCTATAGACAAGGGCCGGTTCAGCAGGGTGTTTGCCATTTCCGGGCGGAAGACGAAGTGGTGGAAGCGGCCGAGGATGCGCAGTGAGAAGACGCCATCGGCGTAGTAGCGGCTGCGCAACTTGGCGAGAAAGGCATCGCCGCCGAGCAGCATCTGCGGCGCGTGGCCCAAGAACGGGAGCCAAAAGGACACCTTGGGAGGTAGCTTTTTGTTTCCATCTCCGGTGGCTATAGACGGGCCGCCTGATAACAGCCCGGTGGTGAGTATGAGGACGGTTATCGTGGCGACGGCGGCCAGGACGAGCGGTTGATTGAGGTAAGCAACGAGCAAGTCGAGGCTGCCGCCATATTGCATTCCTTGAGAATCCATCTCGAAGCGATAGCTTGACTGCCACAAGCTGTCTACCGCGTTTGCAAAGTCAAAAGATGGTAGCCGCCCGTCAGAGTTGTTGGTCCGTCCTCGGCGCCCGTCACCTGAGCCATGTGCAGGACAAAGGAACTGGAAGGCAGATGACCCAGGGCCAACGGGGGTTCTCGGACCGAAGAAGTCGCCGTAGCTGGTGAGGTGACACGGCGGGGAGGAGGATGGGCGGATCCTTGGTCAATACATGGCAAAGCCCAAGTCATGCGATGGACTCTTGAACTCGAGGGCGCAGTTTTGATGTATTTGTTCAAACTCGGAGGCTCACCTCAGACAGACAGTGGAGCCAAAAACGTCAAGGCCGCCCCGGGCAGATTCATAATTTTTAGCGGCTCCGGGGGCTCGTCAGGGCCGCGGCAGCAGGTCCGAACAGGGGCTTCGGGGTGGCGCACCGTGCAGATGGCCGGGTCGGGCCCACCCGCGGAGGGTAGGTACCTAAACCCAGCCATTCACTGCGCTGACGGGGTCATCAAGCGGGCTGGTATTAGTGCGTGCCAGCGCTGAGCAGAGAAGACGGGGTGGGCGAGCACTTCAATGGCGGCAGAGAGACGCGGGAGCTGGAGGGGACTGGCAGCCCCCAAAGCCCCCCCGCTATTATTCGAGGTGGATGGATGGATGGCGGGCTTAACACGGGCTGCAGCGGGCGAACGTCCATCGGTCCCATGCGTGAGACGGGCATCTTCGCACCTGCACCTCGCAATCTCCATGTGCATCCGGCCGCCCTTTTGCATTGCGCCGCACCGCAGCTCGACATTGGGGTTCAGCATTCCGTCTGATCCGTCGACCCGCCCGCACGCCCGCCTTGCCTTCAGCACTCCTCCGCCCGGGCAGCCGCCCGCCGACGACTGGGAACAGCCCGCCTCCGTCGGGCTGCATAAGACGTCATTCATGGACGTCGGGTGACGGTCCAGTGCTCCGACGCCACGCCGCCGACAACGGGCGTCGGCCCCGAGACATGGCAACGGCGCCATGCGGCTGCCCGCAGCGGCGGCTCTGCACCTGACGGGGCGACGTGCAGGCTGACGGACCGGTTCATGAACACTGCCCGCACCTCAACCTCGACTGGCGTGTGCTGGCCGGCGGTTCGGCACCTCGATCCCTCCCTGTGTTGGTCTCGACGCTGTTGATGACGGGACTTCTGCTGCCGCCCGCGGGAATGGAATGCGAGGCCAGGGCCGCGCTGTTCTTTTCAGTACGTCCTGTGCAGTACTGTACAGTACAGTACTGTACCTGCAATACCTGGGATTGCCTACCGTGGTGCTTCGGCCCAACTTTGGCGCGACTCACCTGCCTAGATAGGGCATGATGGCCTCACACGAGCCGCCTCGAAGCAGCCGAGCAACACATGTCCTCTCACGGGATCCTCTGACGCTGCCCGTCTCCAGCCAACCCATTCCTCCGGCTCGCAAAACGCCAAACACCCTTCCGCAGCGCCCGTCTCCCACCTCCCCTCCAGCCCCAAATGCTCCGGCAATTGACGATGACCGTGAACCCTGCGCGCCCAGATCAGCCACTCCCGCTGTGGATGGCCGTTCCTGGGTGCGCCATTCCCGTCACTCGCCCACCCCGCCGCCGCCACACGCCCAAACTTCAATTCCCGCTCGCTCCCGGCGGCTGTGGGTTGCCGCCTTCACGTCGAAGGCGCCAACGTCGTTCTGGTTCAGGTATTCGGGGTCAGGCGCCGCCACTTGCACTCCCGGCGGCTCCGCGATCGGGGTCAAAGCCTCCCAACGGGCCGAAGCTGTTCTCGTAGCCCGTGCGGTAGTTACATGGCACCAACGGGCCACGTTGACCCGGGCGACACACCTGCCAGCGATGCTGGGGCATGGCGATACGACAGACGGCCGGGCGTATACCATCGAGGGATCGTCGACGGAGCTCGGATACTTCCTCTGCAACATTCCCGCTGACGAAAATGTCAGTGCAGCTACAGCAAAGATTCCCCGTGCTCATGTTGTTGCTGCTCCCGGGTGCCAGAACTCGTCACTTGTAGTTCGACTTCCCCAAGGGCGTCATGGTGCTCACCCGCAACCCGCTCACCGTATCACCGACTTGACTATCGCCTGTAGAGCCCGCAACAACGGAACCTCTCCTCGAGCAAGATCGCCGTACTGACAACGAGGCCAACCGCGCCCACGGCCGTTTATCGCCGATCATATGCTAGCCAAGAATGTTGCCATCTCCGCGATTCGCCCGTCACGTCGTGCAGCTCGCCGACCTCGACGCCCATTTTCACCCGCTTCTCTCCCATGCAGCGACCGTCATTCCCGTCGGGATACATGCAGCCAGGGGGGCGGGGTCGCCACGACTTGTCAGTCGCGACTGTTCGGGACAAGTAGTCAAGTTGTTGGATGCTCAGCGCGGAACGGGAGGCGCCCAATCTGAATTGTTCGCACTTGTGCCACCGCGGCTCGCGCCAGATATGCCGTGTCCGGTGCCGAAACGTCGACCCGTGTGGCACGGCAGCCAGTCCGCTACCCTTGCATGAACATGCTGCAAGGCGGAACACGTCGCGTTTATGGGTTTCAACTCTCTCGATCCCTGGGCTACACTTGACCTGGCGTCGACGTGGCACGTCCGTTATAGTTGGCGGCGGCGGCAGCCTCCATGTAAGCGAGGTTCCGTTCTATATTGCTACACGTCGTGGACATTTGCCTCCAATTACTGCCTGCGGCTGCACCTCAACAATGTGACTGACTGGTTACCTGGTCATCGGAGGGAGGGAAGCATGGCTACGTCCCGAATCTGAATTCTTAACTTGAAACGCAAAGACTGCAGGTGATAACCAATCCTGCATCGGCAAAGGAAGATAATGCCTTCGATACCTAATCCCATGTAGTCCTGCCACTCACTGCTCCCCAGTCCATAACACGCGCATCATAGCACCCCATGTTTAGCCCTCATTCCACGCTTCACTATAATCACCTCACCATGCTTCGCGTACACGAAGTCTCCGAGGCGCGTCATCAGCGACGGCCGCTCTTCACTCGTGTTTAGCCAATCCATCGGCACGAAAAAGTGCTTCGTCGTCTCGCTGTTCCCTCCGACCGCCGAGCTGCACACCCAGAGCTCGCGGTCGAGAAAGACGGCTCGGTCGTGGTACACACCTACTACGCCGTCGAGCTGCCGGTGGTTCAAGTTTCCGGTCTCCGTGGCTTCCTCGTTGCCCTCGTCAAATTGGCTCACGTCCCAAAAGCTACATTTTGTCGGGTTGCCGCGCTCCACGGCTCTTGCCTCGAGTAGCAACTTGCGCCCGTCTTGTGTGGGAAGGGCTCGCAGCAGTACCGCCTTGTTCTCCCACGTGCTCGCAAGCCGATGCCTGAGTTTCACACCCTTACCGTCTCCCAGCTCGGCAAATAAAGTCCATTCGAAAATCCTGGCGAGACCGAGGGTGAAGAGAATAACTTTGCTAGGATCGCCGGGATGTGTCAACCAGCAGGGTGTGGCATTTTGGCCCTGCGCGAATCTCTCGCCAACCTCCTCTCCATCTTGTAAGCAGAACATGCGACTGCTCAGTTGTGTCGACACCAGAACGCGGGCGTCGTCATGACTTATGAGGATCTGTCGCCCGCCGCCGTCCAGGCGCGGGTCCAAGCGAAAGTCCAGTTGAGCCGCGCAAGACCACTTCGACGACGAGAGGGGGTCGATTCTCGCCACCATGATGCGCCCCGAATCATCGCCTGACGCAATGTAGAAACCGCTCAATGACCAGGCCAGGGCGTTGACGTTGACTGTGCAGGCATGGTTGTACAGGAACTGAAGCCGTTTTCCGCTTTGTGTTTCATAGACAAAAATGGCACCATTGCCCATACCGCAGCACACATAGCTACCCGTGCTGTCGCTGACTATCGCCGTGATGCTGACCAAGCCCCTTGATGCTTCCATTGCTACGCTAGGCGGTATCCTGTTGAAGCTGCTGTTCTCAGACTCGGCGCCACTCACGGACGAGTCCTCTCGCGCGTTAACCAGAAAGACATCTGGTGTCCAGACGTTGCAATTGGAAGAGCGAATGTCGTACAGTTTGCTGCCGTCTGGACTGAAGCACAATCCATTGATTGAGTCGGTGTACTTGTCGAGCGTGTAGACGGGCTCCAGGGTATCTGCTGTGAAGATCCTCAGCACACCATGTCCATTACCTGTGGCAATTAGTGTGCCCTGCGAGTTGCATGCCAGGATATGTGACTGCAAGTCCAGCTCTGTAGTTGTTTGGCATTGGGCGTCGAAGCGAACCACCGATCCATCTAGCTCGACACCGTAGATGTTACCGTTTGACTCGTTGAAGCATGGTCCAAGCCCATGCCTCATTGGGATCTTAGCTACCATCTTCAGCCTTTCGATATTCCACACCTCCATGGGCCAGCCTTTCCAAGCAAGGCTTATCATGGCCGCAGTTCGATTAAATGTGACGCCTCGCGGTGTGCCGCGATGCGAATTCTCGGCATGCTGGTGTGTCCATCTTAGCTGTTTCCTTATGTCTCGAGCAAGGTCCCACGTCGTTAATGAGTTGTCGGACGTGAATGAAACGACAGTCCCGCCTCCCGGGCAGATGGCGAGCGCGATACACCGAGCCCCGGCTGTGTTGGATTGCTCGACAACCATCTCACCCGATTTCAGGTCCCAGACCTTGACCCATTTGAAGCCCCCTGTGACAAGACGATCGCTGAGGCTGTCGATGTTCACCGTCCCTATCGTCTCTCCGTGCGAAAGTCTGCGAACCTCTTGGCATGTCTCCGTGTCGAGTATGACTACTTGCCCTTTGCTGCCCGAAAGAGCGACGATTAGGAAGACATCGCCGCAGACAACGGCCTTACAGGTCTCGCCCTCCCTGCCTACCGTGATATGCGCCAAGCAGTCGTCCCAGCTTTTCATTCCGGCTCCCACGACTGCCACCTCGCCCGCTGCTCCAAACTGGGACCCAATACGCGTTTTTGTCGGACAGAAGGGGGGAAGAAGCCTGTGGACTGAAAAGGGGCATGACAAAATGTTTCGGCCGTACTTGGGTCCGATCCGGACTAGGTCTACAGACCAGCCGGAGATCAGTTCCTTGTCGGAAAGGCTGATGAGCGGCGACCGGGCAGCAAACGCTTGCAACCCCAGCGCAGCCATTGCCAGGAGTGACAGGTCACCCAACAAGCCCACAGCCTCGATCCAGAACAGCACAGAAGTTCGCAGGAACTGCCGCACTGAAGCTTCCAGTGGCTCGTCAATGAGCGCAGTCTGGACGTGTTCAAACCACGTCATGGCCGCATATCTCAACAGGGGATGCACATCGTCCATGTCCACGCTGTTTTGTAGCGTACTGGTTTGCTCGCTGATTGGTTCCGAAAACGCGGCCTCCATCCACATATCTAGGCACACTTTTGCAAGATACTGGTGTGCGCTGGGGCTATCAACCGCAAATTCGGATGTCGGGTTTCCGAGGAGGAACTCGCGGACGGTCTCGTGGATCGGCTGCACCAGTGACGTTGTCTCATCCACTTTGATCAAGTGTGGACAAACCTTCCTTATCGTGTACTCCAAGCTTGCGAGGCGGCCAAATGATGGGGTGAGTATCTCCTGGAGCTCACGAGTTCTCAATGGCCGTGCGGCGCAAACGGTATTTTGAATAATGGCTCTGGCAAGCTTCTTGTTGCTCTCTCGCATCTTTGACATGCCGTCCAGGATCTGAAGAAATTATGAAGTCATCTCTGTCGGCGTTGTCTGCAAGGCATCTCGCACTCCATCAATGGTATGGGCCGTGAGCAGAATCTCCTCAACAACAAAGCGAACCCACAGGAAGATCCCTTGTGACTTGTGCACAATTTGATGAACAATTCCGTCGATCTCGCCATCGTCGAATGGGAGACCTTCTAGTTGTTGTCTGGCGTGGGCAGCCATGTCATTGCGAGTATCAGCCGCTTCTATATGGTCGCATCTCAATACCCCCCGGGCTACACTACGGACAGGTTAGCCGGTGCACTTCTGGACACGGATTGAATAGGGGAACTTACGAGCTCTGAAGCACCCTTTGTATGTCCATGCCTACCCTTGATGTCATCAGAACGCGCATTGGAGTGACTGATTGTATTTTCCCCACGAGTGAAATGACTTCGCTGGCAGACTCGGATTCGTCAAGGGCGTCAAGTACCCAATACCAGGGCGCCGTTGACCCCTCGCTCAAGTTGAACAGGGTCTCAACAATAATCTTCTGCCAAAGCACGCGTGTCGGCATGGATTGAATCTTGGTATACTGATCGTCGATTTCCGCAAGCTGCTCGTAGAACTTGGCGGAGTGTATGGCCATTTGGGCGATAACGGATAGCATGAATGATCGGGTTGTTCGGCTTGCGGTATTGTTGCCTCTAAAGAAATAGAAGGCACAAATCTCCGACTCTTCGCGAAGTTGATCAATGACTGCACTCATGAGAACCGACTTTCCCGTGGCTGGCGGGGCACTAAGCCAGAGATACTTGGCTTGGGATCCCGTCTCACCGTCTCGCCACCACCGAAAGGACTCTTTCCGACTTAGCCACTGGCACGAGTCGGCAATCGCTCGATTATCCCTGAAGAAAAGCAGATTCTCGTTGCTTGTATCTTCCTGTCCCAAGATTGTGGATATGAGCCTACATGTAGGCACCATACCGGTTCGTCGGCTGTGGGTCAATGGTTTCCCAGACAGGATTCTTGGAGTGACATGTGGTCCGGGGACTACTTCGCGGTGAGCCACTGGAGAAATACGGCACTGGCCCGGCACACACCTCCGGGGACAAGCTTGTTCGTAACAAGATGCAGCAAAAGGTTCCTGATGGCCGTGTACCCTGGATCTTCGGGAGAGGCAAATTTACAGATGGAGCGATGATCGCCGTCGATGTGCGAGGAACCCTCGTTTTCGTATCCCAGCACGGCTGAGTCGCGTCCGACAATCATCTTGGACGAAATGATTAGCTTTCGCCGAATGTTGACGTGTGTACTTCGTATAAGGATAAACGAAAGGCTCGCTCACTATGCGCCGGCCAAGTGGGATCGGTGTTGGCATGGTCTCATAAAAAGACCACAGGGTTAGATGCTTGGCACAATGGCGAAAATCTTCATTGATTGTTGTCAAAAGACCTGATTGAGTCTTTAGCTCTTCCAGGAAGGCTTTCGACCCAACCGTGGCGGCTAGAACTGCGTGGAGTGTGGCCGCAGAGTCCGATCCTCGGTGAGGAGTTCCGAGGAAGATTATGGCGCCCTCTTGGATGCAACGAGCAACTTGTGCATACTTGTTGTCTTGCAGCGCAAGCATGAATGCCTGTCGAGGAGCCTGTCAGCCGATTGCGCACTCGTAGCGTCGTCACGCGCTTCGCAGAACTACCTTTTTTGCAACAAGTCCACCCATGGAATGGGCAACAAATATTGTGGGAGAGTCTGCCATTCCACTCGTCATGAGGTCAAATATCAGGCGCTTCGCGAAGTCTGTGATGGTGCAGATATTCTTCTTCCTTGTAGCAAACTCGGCGGCGTATCCAAACGTGCACACTCGGACCGTCTCGAGACCAGGCTCCTTCGGCAGCCAGCATTTTGGCCAGAACTACTGCCGGATTAGCTTGGGAATGTTTCCGAGCTTGCACACAGATGTTGACTTACAGTATCCCGCCTCGATGCATGCCGCCAGGTCTTGACCGGATGCCCGCCAAGACCATGGACGAATACCACGGTGGCGACTGGGCAAGATACGGGATCGGTGTGCTCATGGAGGCCCAACTTGGGAGTCTCCTGGGCCTCTGCTGTGCCCGCGTCCGCCGTTCGAAAGCGACGTAGTATGCTTCTGGCCCCCCGAGGGATCTGACTCCGCTCGCCCAGCCTCGGAGAGTGCATTGTATCGAGTGACGCCCGCTTCTAATCTCACGCTGGTCAGCAGAATGCGGAAACCGCTCAAGAAGACCAACGTGACTGGAGCCTGGCAAAATCCACTGCTGCGGGAAACGGCACGCTCGCTGGCGGGAGGGAGAAGTATTCACCACCAGGCGGTTTCCATCGTCACAAAACGAGACTGAGTAGCGACCGACACGCTGTTCGTTTCAGTGGCATGGTTTCTTCCTCCGGGGAGACGGGCTATTATGAGGACATGGAGCGGGGTGAACCGCCGTTGGGCGGATGTGTGCTCCTTATCCCAGCGGCAGGGATTGGTTTGAGCCCAAGCTGTCCAATGCTGAGGATCGGCCCGCGCCTTCCTCGGGAAGGCCATGCAGGACTTTTCGACTCTTGTCACACAGCATGACATTGCGGCGGCAACAGCCCCAATGAAACAGGGACGGCAATGCCTGGGTATCCTTCTAGGTTGGGCAAGAAAACAATACCCCTCCATATCACTACTTGTGGAGGTTGGCCCAGATCCATTTGGCTTGCCACTGCGAGGGTGTCACCACCAGACCTGACCGATGTCGATTCGCATATCCTATACGGACATCATGTCGCGTTTCTTGTTGCAATGCCATGAGCTCACTGAAGGGGGGACATGTAGGGACGCGACATTTGGATAAATGGCCTGAGGCAGCAGAATCTAACGTGTTCACTTGATGTGGTGCTTTTGGCGGAGACGGCAATCTGTACTTCGTAGTCAAGTAGATGTTCCTCGTTGTGCCAGGGCAGTGCCAACTCTTTGTGGTGTGCGGGCATAGGATGGCAGTGACGCGCTGCCCGTTGCTGCTGTTACCGCCGCTGTACATGTTTGCAGCGGCTCTCTCGCCGTCTCAGGTTTGCGCACCTTATTTGTGTGTGGCCAGGTGGGCGGCAAGGGGTTGGCTAGGTAAATGTTTGATGCCGAACATCTATGCGGCTAGACCTCACTATCTGTGCAAACAGCACTACTCTTCAAACACCGACAACCGACGGGCCCATCTGTCAATCTTGATAATTTCATTTGCTGCAACTAAGCCTCAACGCTCTCCCTGGTCCGCCTCAAAGGCAGCAAGATTGGCTTTCTCTATTCGTACATGCTCATCATTGTACTCTGCCGAGGTGTACTTGCCGGCGAGGTAGCGCATGTTGCTTATCATCCTATAGGCATTGTTAGCGGCACTTCCTCAACAAAGTCTGTACTAATCACTTGTTGCCGCTATCGAGTCGTGGACCTCAAGTCGACACGGACCGCGCAGACTCACTCTTGTTTCGCCTCTGCCGCCTCTGCCGAGCCCGGAAACATGATGCAGAGGTGGAAGTTGAAGCGCAGCTCGTACAGCGTGATGCGGTCATCAAAGTCTGCCTTGGGATGCGCAATGGGATAGTGCTCCGCGTACGCCCTGAAGTATGCCTTGTTGAACCTGTTCCGGACGGGCCGCCAGTTGCCCAGCTCATACTCGTTGTGTGCGTAAAACGCCGCCGAGTCGAACACGACGGGCGCATCCGTGTTGAGGTTCGTGGAGCTGTTTCCGTACCTTTACGAGCAACAATGCCCTTCGTCAGCCTCTCTTGTTCAGGGGGTGGGATCAAATCACTTGATGTTTCTCACCAGAGGTCGCCATGTACAAGGGCCGGACGGATCGGGTTCGGCCCCTGTTCGAGCGGACGCAACAGTCGCGGGATGACGCGCTCAAACACGGGCCCCATCGCCTCAGCGAGCTCAGGCTGCGCGCCGTTGACCTCGACGTCCAGCTGCATCATGCACCGCAGCCCGTCGGCGAAGAACGCCTCCCACGAGTCCCACCAGCCGTTCCGCTGCGGGATGTTGCCGTTGCACGTCGGCACGTGGAAGCCAAACTTGCCCGTCGGGCTGACGCTGTTGCGGTGCAGCGTCGCAAGCTGGCTGCAGAAGGCGGCCGGCTCGGGCAGGTCGCCGTCGGCCATGTCGATGAAGTCGCTGAGGAAGAAGTACACGCCCGTGGCGTCGCGGCACGAGCCCCAGGCGATGGGCTCCGGCGCAAAGGTCGGCGCGGTCTTGTATATGGCCGTCATGCCTTCGAACTCGCCGCGGAACATCTGCCGTCCCAGCTCGCCTGCTGCCATCTTGAGGAAGAAATTCCTCTCAGAGCCGTCAGGGGCCGTGGTTATCACCTTGGCAGTGCGCGTCCACAGCGATGCGCCGTAAGCCGTCGCCCTGCTGAAAGAGCATCCTGGTGGCAAAGCTGCGGAAGAGGAAGACGTGTGTAAGACTCCAGCTCATTGAGGGCCCGCAGGTGTATCACTCAACTGACCTTGAATGATGGCCGGATCTATTTCGATGCTGTCTCCGATCCCGGGAATCACCTCGTCCAGCGTCGGGCCATCCTGGAGAGGTCGAAAGCCAGCCAGAGGAGCAGCCTCCGCGGTGATCAGTGCCGTCTGCATTTTCCGCTCTTGTGCCACAAACTGCGCCGTGTAGGTGAGAGTCGCTGTCAGCTGGGAGAACACCTGAGAGCTTAAAAGACGAGATACAGAGCAGAGCGCCTCGTTCGACGTCGAGTTAGCTTCCTCTTGCATTGGCCGCCAAAGCTCAAAAGGCGGCTGGTCACACACGAGTTGATTCAGTACGTAGCAACAACTTGTGGATTTCAGCCTCGAGAGGGGATTTTGGCGTGCCTGTCCAACCAGGATTCCATCCCTTCTCGGGTCCTGCAGGGGCTTCGCCATCACACCCCGTCTCCAGCTTCTCGCTCACGTTGCACGGCATCACAGTGGGTGCCTAACCCCAATGTTCTACTGTGCCCCATGCAGCGAGCGTCGTACTGTGCTTGTTTGCCCGGTTGGTCGTTGGCCCTCTGCCATGTGCTGAGACTACGTACTTCGTATATGTGGTCGTCGAAGCCGGCCCGCGCTTCATGCCATGTTGTTTCTGCTCTGTCAGCAGGATCGCGGGCAACTCTGCCCCCCACGAAGCGGGGATGTCTCCTTATACGACCCAAGTCGTCCACCTCGAGCCAATTCCGGCTTGTACGACCTCAACCCTCCTTGATATTGCTTCACAGTTCATGTCGCAACAGCACACCACCACTATGTCTTCCACGGTCCCCGACTCCGTCTCCGCGTCGTCGTTCCCCATCGGGTCCCACGGCCGCGCGATACCCTCCATCGGCTTCGGCACCTTCCAGCCCGACGTCAACCCCACCCACGACGTCGCCGACGCCGTGCTCCGGGCCCTCCACGCCGGGTACCGCCACATCGACACGGCGTGGATGTACGGCGACGGGGACGCGGAGCGGGGCGTCGGCGAGGCGCTCCGGCGGTGGGGCGGACCTCGGGAGGACGTCTTTATTGTCACGAAACTGTACGCCTCAATGCGAGAGGCTCATTCGAGACCGAGCAGACATGCTGACGTGAGATGGGAACAGGGCGAATGCGCATCATAAACCTGAGGATGTCTTGCCGGCGCTGGAGCTGAGCCTCAAGAACCTGGGCGTGGAGTACGGTACGTTCATGTTACAGGGCCATATTTAATCACCTGAGCAAAGTGCTGACGGAAGGGGAGTGTCTGATTATATTTAGTGGATTTATATCTGATGCACAGTACGAGCTGCCGGGCTTGAATGCCTCCAGAAAGCTCCAATTCAACCAAAGTTGACACTCACGACACCCAGGCCCCGTCGCATACGAACGCATCGGCACCGGCCCAGATGAGTGGAAGACCGTCCGGCACCCGGACCGCCGCGTCAGTCACCCCCTCCAATCAAGCAGCTTGCATTCGTCCGCGAAGCTTACCTTCCTCTGGCTGAATACAGCCCAAGATGAACATGGAGGCAACACGGCGCTACACCGCGACGTGGGCCGCCATGGAAGACCTCATCCCCACCGGCAAGGTCAAGGAGATAGGTAGCCCATCTACCACCCATCGTCCTACCTCGCCCACCATATCTTAACAAATTCCATTGAAGGCGTATCCAATTTCTCCATCAAAAAGCTAGAGAAGCTCCTCCGCGGCGCGCGCATCCCCCCCGTCGTCAACCAAGTTGAGCTTCATCCGTACTCTTCCCCTTGTCACCCTCCACGCCATGTCCCATCAGCCTGACACATCCCCGACGCTAGATACCTGCCGCAGGATGACCTCCTGGCATACTGCGCCTCGCACAACATCCACGTAACCGCTTTCTCTCCGCTCGGTGGAAAGCCGGTCGCGGCTGTCGCTGCCAACGCAGACGTCCCCGGCCCGCTGCACTCCGCCGCTGTAAGCCCCTCCAGAGCCCAGTGTACGGTATGACACGTGCATGCTAAGCCGACGAAAGGTCACCTCCGTCGCACAGAAACGAGGCATCACGCCTGCACAGGTTCTCCTGAAATGGGGCATCCAACGCGGCACCAGCGTGATCCCCAAGGCATACACCCCCTTGCACATCCTTGACAACATTGCTGCTGCGATACTGCCCGATTTGCCCCGAGAAGACGTAGAGGCCATCGATAGAGCACATGTCGCGACTGGAAGCGTCAGATACATCAACCCTGTCAAGCACTGGGGCTTCGACATCTACAACCCGAGCACTCCGGACCCCAGCGAAGAGCCTTAGAGTAGCAGGTTGACCATTCACAGCTAAGATCAATCGCATGGAATTTGGTTAGCTATATAGCTAAACAGCCGAGCTCGTCTCTCCTGTTTCGATTGCGCGTAGGAAGCTAAACAGTCGAGCCTCGCCATGAATGATCCCAGGCTCGCATACTTGTGACATTATAGTAAACACGTGTTCGCCGGCCTATTCGCCCGCTCCCGTCCATCTCGTCCGTCTGTCACCGTCGTGGTATAGCGAATTGCTAATGAAATCATGCCGCAACCTTGGAGGGCAAATCCTCCATATCCTCCATGTCGCTGTCCGAATCCGCCGCCTGTGGCAGGGTCTCCTGGTCCTTGCTCTTCGCGGGCGACTTGAACTTCTTGGGCGTCTTCTTGGGGCGGAGCTGCTCGACTTCAATGTCCGAGTTCTCTGGCTGCTCGGCAGTCTGCTGCTGGCCGACCTCATCCGCGTCCTCGATGGGATCCATGTTGGCAATGGCCGCCCTCTTCTGCTTCTTCCTGGACGAGGGTGGCTTTCCAGAACCTGTCCTCTTGGCAGGCGTCGCCTTCTTGGTCATGTCGGGCGTCTCGGTCAGGGCTGGGTCGATTTGGATTTCCTGTTCCTCCTGGACAGCTTCGCCGTTGGTCGGGGGAACATCCTGTTCCGCATCCGACGCCGTGACAAACTCTGCGCTCTTCTCGCCGCCCTCTCTTTGGGCCTGCGTCCCGCTGACGCCGACTGTCGAGGATGGTATCTGCTGCACGAAATCCATTTCTTCCGCATCGTCGTACCCGTCCTGGACGACGTCGGGCAGCTCGCCGTTTTGGTTGTACTGCTCAATCAGGTGCTGAGCGCAGTCGCGGGTTGTCATCGTCTCCCAGCCTGGCACCGTCTGTCTCAGGCGGCGCCAGAGCAGCATCTGGGTCGTACGGTGCCATTGGTTGCGGTAATGCTTGTCGACCAGGCGCTGCCACGGTATCTTCTTGTCTCTTCCGACCGCCGTGCCCTGGATAGCGAGGACCAGACGGTATTTTTCTTCGTCGGGCATGGCCGACAGCTGTCGGCGCGCCTTTTCGAGTCGAAACGAGATCTGCGCGTCGGGTTCACCAGACAGCAGCTTGTCCTTGCCATTGACGCGAACGTTGAGCGACTTCCACTTGGTGATGCATTGCAGTCGGCTCCGGGTCCGGTCCATTCTCTCACTGATGTTTTGCCAGTCAATAAGCTCCTCGTAGGACCTCGTGAGAAGGTGATGGTTTGGCTCTGAGCCACGCAGCTCGTCGATGGCTTCCATGGCATCGATGACGTATTGCGTGAGGCGCGCCTCCTCTGCCTCGTCCCAGGCGTCTTTGCGCTGATAAGGGCCGCAAACAAGGTAGTTGCGATACCGGTCGCGCAAGTCTTCCGGGTGGCGGTTGATGAGGGCGGCAATCTTGGACCACTTGGTCCCGTGGACGCTGATGAGCTCGTTCAGCTCGGCATCTTGCTCCGCGGTCCACGTGCCGCGGGCGACGAAGTTGTGGAACTTCTTGCGCGTAATGTTGATGAGCTTCTGTCGGTGTCGGTCCGGGCACTCGGCAAAGATGCGGACCCAGAGTTGGGCATGCTCGTCGCCAGCGGTTGTTCCACCAGGCGCATGAACCATCTACCATTGTTAGCATCACGGCCACGGCGCAAGGGATTGCCGGTTGACGTACTGCATTAACCTGCTCCTGGCTGAGACCATGCTCCGCTCTGAACCCTTCTACGGCTTTGGCGATGCGTGCAAGCTCGTCGTCCGAGAAGCGGCCCTGGGTGTAGCCAATGAGGCGATTCTTCCTAGAAGGCTGCGAGCTCTCGTATTCGCCATCATCTTGAGAGCCGCCACGCATCGACTGCGACAGCTTTTCCCGCTTCGGCTTCCGGCCCTTGGACGTCTTCTTGGCGGCTGCTTTGGACCGCTTCCTAGGCTTCGGCGACAAGGCTGTGGGGGAGGGCAGCTCCGCCAGTGCGTCGCGGTTTGCGCCGTCGTCCGGAATCTCGGGCGGAGGCTGCTCGAAGAAAGTGGGCTTGGACTTCTTCCGCGTCGACCGTGTTCTCCGAGGCGATGTCGTTGCCTGGGTGTCCTGGGTAGCCTCGGGTTGGGGCTGCTCCTCCGTGGCCATGGCCTGCTCCTGCGCGTCTGCGAGCGCCTTTTGACCATTTCTATGCTCGTTCCAGGCTTCTCGGGCAAGGGTCTCGACGTCAGGGTCGATGTCCATGGCGTCAGCGGGAGCGGCGTGGTGTTCGGGCTCGCCCAGGTCAACCTCCATTCGCTCGGCACTCGCAGGAGGAATGCTATTCTCTCGTGATCGCGCCTCGCGGGACTGGCTTCGGCGGCGGAGGTGGGCGACGGTGGGCGACCCCTGCGGATCCGCGTCGGCCGCCTGCTCTTCTTCGATGGCACTTTCCACCGACATGCCCTTGTCCTTTTTCCGGTGCAGGAAGCCCGTCGAGGCCGCCGTTGTTTCGGTACTCACCGCGGCATCTCCTTCGGCGCCTTCCTGCCCATGTGACCGTCGCTTCTTGCGTCGCTTGCCGTCGGCCGAGTCGGAAAGCTTTCGCTTCTTCTTGGAATGTGTCGATGGAGCAACAGCGTCGCCGTCGCCATTGAGCTCGGGTGATCCGGCTACGGCCGCGTCGCCTTCACCAGACTCAGCTGCAGCGGCCGCAGCCACCACATCCGGCTCTGAAGCAGCAATGGCCTGGGCCTGGCTGTCGGGGACCTCTGGCTCGCGTGTCGATCGCCTCTTGGACTTTTTATGCTTCTTCTTGCCGCCGTCGCCCTCAATGACCGGCTGCGAAGACTCCACATCGGCTGAAAAGCTCTGCTTTCGGTGTTTTTTATCGCGTTTCGACTTTTTGGAGGACGTTGACGGCACCGGGTCCTCGGACATGATGGCTTCGGGTGCATGCCCGCTCGAAGGGAAGGGCGCGTTGACCTGGGAGGAAAACACCTGGCTCGCGTTGCTGTCAAACATCTCAAGCGCGCCAAAGTCGACCTCGGCGCCTGCCATGGACGCGTCCTCGTTGTTATCGCTGGCAAAATCGTCCATGCCCTCGGGCATCTGGTTGTCGAGGTCGGCCATGTCTGCGTGGTTTGCGTTACCCTGGAGGCCGTGAGCCAGCGCGGGGTCTCCCTGGCGAGAAAGGGCAGCGGTTTCGCGTTGCGCCGGTGCCTGTCGCTCGAGCCCGGCGGACTGCGATCCCATCAACGATCGCAGGGTCGATGCAAAGCGAAAGTCAGGCCATCGGTTGCTGGTAGTGGACATCAGTCAAGGGTAGGCCTCTGGTCGCGAGGCTGGGTTACGGTTTTCCGACCTGGCGGCGAGCAGTTGGCTGGCTGGCGTGGGTGGGGCGGCCAGGAGAAAATTGGAGGCGCGTCGAGCGAGCTTCGGACTTGGTGAGCTTGAGTTTGCGCCTGAAAACTCAGGCAGCGAGGCACGACCGCTTCCACCGCCGCGCCCCTACCTGGGGGCATGGGCTCGAGTCGCTGGAGTCGCTAGACTGGACGCGTCAACACGCGACGCATGAAATCTAATGAATATGAATTGGCAATGAAATATCCTGTCGAGGCATCTGTACATGCAAACATGTCTATCGTTCATCAAACACCGTCCGTCGAGCGTCAACATCCAACATCACTTGTCATCGTCATCCTCCTCCGCCTGCTTCAACTTGACCGTAATAGCCCCCCTGCCGGTGGTGATGTCGTACTGCCCGCCGAGGACCAGGTCCTTGGCCACCAGCTCTCTCGTGCGGCCCAAGCTCTCGATGTCGCCGATGCGCTCAATAGTGTCCTCGAGGTGTTTGCGGAACCCCTCCTGCGCGCAAATCTCGCGGAGCGCAAGGTGCATAGGCACGCTGCTGGCGCGCACGTCAGCCTGGCTGGTAATGGTGAACAGGTTCATGCGGTCGAGGTCGCGGATAAAATCGCAGCGCGTCATGAGCTCCTGGGCGATGTGGAAGGGATACGAGGGAAGCAAGTGGCCGACCACGGGGTCGTACGTGCGCTCCATGTCGCCCTCTTTGTCGACCAGCGCCTGCGCGAGCACCATCGCGGCAGCCTGCCATACACATCAGTCAGCCATCAATAGCTTCATCATGAGGCCCGCCGTATACTTACAGCCCACTTCTGCTGGTCCATGACGTCGTCGTCCATCTCTGAGCCGAGGATCCAGCACTGGTTGAGAAACCATTTCTTCTCCGTCTCCTTGATGCGCTCGCACGTGCCCAGCATGTCGCGGCTCTTTGCGACGCGGTTCAGGAAGCTGAGCCGGCCACCGACTCTGTCGTACACCTCCTCAAGCCGGGCCTTGGGCACATGCTCGCCAAAGTAGCGCATGCGATACTTGTGCAACGCGCTGATGGCCTGCGCCTTGGGCAGGTCCGTGACGGGCAGCACCTCCATGCGCGCAGACAGCTTCTTGAGGCGCTCGTAGACCCAGTAGTCGTCCGAGTTGAAGACCATGGTGACGAGGTTGGCGGCGGCCCACTGCTCGGCGCGCTGCTGGAGGAGCTCGATGAGGTCGCGGCCGTCCTCGTCGTTGCGCAGCAGGTGCATCTGGTTGACGATGACGACGAGGGGCTTGGCGCGCTCGCGGAACAGGCGCATGGCGACCTTTTCGAGCTTGTTGAGGGCGCGCTCGATGTCGAGCAGGGCCGTCGACTCGCGGGGCCCGCGCTCGCTGAAGTAGCCGCCGATGTAGTCCTCGTGGAACTCGTAGTCGAGCGCCTTGCCGAGGCGGATGCGAAAGATTTCCGGGTCCGAGTGGGCCTCGAACATGGCGACGCCGTCGCCGTTGTTCTTGCGCATGGCCTCGATGATCATGCTGCTCTTGCCGCTGCCCTTGTCGCCCATGATGAGGTAGTAGTGGCCGACCTCGCGGCCGCTGACAATGTCGTCGATGTGCGTCTGCTCGGGGCGGACGACCCAGTGCTCGTCATCGGAATGGCTGTGCGCGTGCGGGACATCCTTGCCGATGGCGGCCAGCTCCAGGACCGGGTCGCCGGGCTTGAAGGCGCGCGTCATCTTTTGCATGACGAGCATCTTGTAGCTCTTGTGATAGATGTAGCCGGCGGCGGCGAAGCCCAGGCCGAGCACCAGGATGGAGGCAAAGGTGGTGGCTGCCGACTCGCCCATCTTGGCGAAGACGGACGGCTCGTCGGGCCTTTTGCTGCCATTGTTGCCATTGTCCGACTTGGTGCTTTTTGGGAGAGGTTGTTCTGCTGCTGCTTGTCAGTGAATGGATCTTCGCGTCGGCATCGTCGACTCTCTGCGGCGCCTCATGCAAGAGTCGCCGTTGAGCCCCATACTTCGGGCGCTTCCCGAGACGCAGCGGCTCCTCCCTGTCGCATCGCCGGCAGATGGCTGCAAGGATGCATTTCCCGATCGAGACTTGGGGAGCAGATGGACTCACCATTCCTCCTGGCGGGCTGTGATGAGAACGCGTAGCAGCCATGCACAGCCGGGCGCGGGTCGGCGCGGCAATGCCTGGCGACAGCCCGCAACCGGACAGGGCGCGCGCGTCGCAGGGGTAGCAGCATCATGTCCGTGGCCTCACGAGACGCGCAGGGTGTCCATCCATTCTCTGCCCGACGGTGTGATGCTTGCCCGGGGTCCTGAACGACGCCTTGTTGCACGAGGCGGGCGGCCAACAGATTGCGTGAGGCCACAGGGAGCAGAGCAATCAATTCGGACTGAAGGTTCAGACTGCAGACTTTCGTCGGCGTCGTCGTCTAATTAAAGACGCCCCGAGCAGGGACCACGGGGGCCACACGCATGGAAAACCTAACAGACGGACTAACTAACGTTAGGTAGCTGTGAGGTGGCTTTTCTCAAAGTGGGAATTGTTGATTGAAATCGTCCCCCCGGGGGCGCCGCTGTTTTGCGCCAGGCTGGCGTGTCCGGTTGGCGGCCTCACACCTAAAAAGGTGGACCTTTCAGCTGCCCGCGTCGATTGATGTCGCCCGCAGCGCGCCCATGCCACGTGCCTGCGCAAGACAGCGGGAGAGAATTGGACGGCTGGCGCGCCTGAATTGCTGTTCTTGATTTGGAGGTTTGCCTCCATTGGTTCAATGTTGTTTCTGGTTCGAGTCCGCCAAAGCACCGGCGCCCGACCGCACAACAACTGACTGAACACGGACACTCGCACCCTCAAAAGCTCCTCGCTCGCAGAGAACATATCGGCGTCCCATCAATCACTGGCTGCCGTGGCCCGGCATGCACAATCACCACAGCGCCCAGGCTGGGCCAAGTTGTCGTCCAACCAGGCAGCCCGTCCAGTCATCAATCCGCTTATAGGTGCAGGTGCTGTCAAAATCGTCTATTGGCATTACAGTGGAATACACTGGGCACAAGTCTATCGTCCTGGCTTATGAAAGAGTAGAGCATCATCCTACAAAGCCAAACCAGAGCCTTGTCCCACGAGCCCACCCTTTTAAACAGCGGATTTCTGGCCCTGAGGGTTCTGTGTGAAGGTTAAATGTAGGCTCTTCTTGCGGCTAATGAGGAGGCTCCATGTATTGTCTGGAGCGTAGATCTGGAACGAGTGTGTATCGTAATCCTTCGGCTTGCACTTCTTGCGTGCAACGTCAGGAAGGGCTTCGACGGCCTCTGCAAATTTTTTGTAGGGGCCAAACCTTTCCGAGGATTTTTTCTATGCTCGTCTTGTCAGCCACCAGTGGTGAAAAGTTTCAATGCAACTGTGCATATAAAAGCCTAGACTGCACCGGGGGGAACTCACCTCGTTGCACACCCATACCGCAATCCATTCTCGCTCAGAAAGCGCGAGTCTTACACACGTACCCCCCTGCATTGTCACTCCCCCACCATTGGATTTCTCCCAGCGAGGATCGCGCAAGTAGTCCCGGATCACCTTGCTTGCTTTGTCGTATTCGACGGTGTTCGCCGCTTCATACACGCCGCAGCGCACTTTCCAGCCGTCAAACTGTGTCTTCTTGTCCCGCGGCTCGAGGAAGTCCAGGGCGGCTAAGCCACCGGCATATCTGGCCGTAGCGACGAGGCCAAACACCTGATTGAGACCACCTGTGTTAGCAAATTGGATGGCACGTATCGCGTCTGGATGTTACTGACCTCGCCAACGAGCACGGCGGTGAGACCGAGGCCAATCGCAAGCTTCATCTTATTGCAGTACTCGGGTGCGGAATTTGCTCCAGCATCATCATTTCGAGGGAAAGAGTCGCTGCTCTTTATACTGGTTCAGCGGTCGCGTAATAGATATAAACGATCATTCGAGTCCTCTCGCGGCTGTGCATGTTTCGACAAGCAGTCCGCGTCCATCCAACGAGGAGCCTAATTGAGACGACTGCAATGCGCAAAACTTGGTCTGTGTTCTGGGGAGTAGGCTATGCTGCGTTTGAAGGACGCTTGGGCCCGGACTCGAGCCAGTTTCAAGCATAGAATTAGGGCATTAGATGCAAGATTAAGTATGTCCAAGCTTTGGCGTCTGATGCGCCGGGCGAATGTCGCTGGCGTGAAGGCGCACATACGTTCCATCCCCGATTGCCTCGTTCTGTAGAGATCGTCCCGCGTCTGGGGGAGGTACAGGCCCCAGGCGCCCGGTCCAATTCTACCATGCCCCAACGCCGTAAATAACTTGAAGAAACTTTCCATAACGTAAGTCAACAAGATCTCGAAGGGTTGTACAGGCCACGCATGACCAAGAGCATTGAACGCGGCAGTGCCACAGTCGAGACAGGAGTCGCAAGGCGCGGCTTCGAGATGCTTCATTGTTCCATGTCTGGGCTCTTCGAGCGCCTACGCCTCGCCCCTGGCATATGCCATACATTGAAAGCGCGACGAAAATATCACGAATGATTTGAGGGTCATCGATTACTTCGTTCAACAGACGGGGCCTCTTGGCGGGCTCCCGAGCGCTGCCAGACATCCATGCGGTGAGATGCATTCTGCCTCATCTTTGCCTTCAATGTTCCGTCGAATGCGTACGGTCAAGGAGTTTCTAAAGCCTCGTCACATGCCCAAACGTCCTAGTAGAGTCTCTGTGAAGATTGATGCAGCACAGGTGCTGGTAGAGCTGTGAGCCTCCTGGGTTGAACAACATCAAGATGCAGTCTGGTCGGAGAGCAACATTAAACATCGAAGGGCTCATGTGCTCTCGGCACGGCCTAGTGTGACCGTATGCGTGCAGTGATTCATCTGTTCCGACTGTAGCGTGCAACTTGCCGTCATGGGCCACAACTGAACAGCTCCCACACTGCCAACTGGGCAACCCAGCCGGCTGCCAGCTGCCAGCCACCGCTTTGCGTCCGCATCACTCATCCCCACGCACCTGTTCAGTCGCAGTTTCACAGCTCTTCTTCCCACCACCCGCACATCTTCTTTTTCTTTCTCCCACGCCGCCCATAATTCCGCCATCCATCAACCCCCTCTCCCTCCTACATATATCATGTCGTCTCGCGGCACTGCGCGTCATCTAGCGAGCCTCTGATTTCTCCTCAACGCTTATTTTTCATCTCGGTCAACCGAAAAGCCTTCGCCCCAGAGACCGGCTAGGCGAAAGAGACAAGGAGATTCAACAAAACGCAAACGCCGCCTTCAAGGCGACTGGGGCAATCGCCATGGCCCCAAAACCGGCGCATCTCGAAGAATGGTGGCTCACCACCGGCCTCGAGGACCTCAACCGTCTCGTCGACAATCATGACATTTCCCTACGTCCTCGCGATGTTGGCTACGTGCAGGCTATCCACCGCAAGCTACGCGCGTTTGACAACGACCCAACCCTCGAGGTCAGCCTGACCGAGAGCATGGTTTCCATCTACAACAACCAAAAGGCCTTTCCCACGGGCGATTTTAACCCACGCAGGAAGATGAGCGAGGCTCTCGGTTCCATCTTTCGCAGCGTCGGCGACGGCGGGATTCAGGCTTCCCGTGCGCTCGACGGCCTGGACCACCTCGACGTGGTGGAGACGCATCGCCAGGAACTCCTCGCCGCGACCCGCGAAGCCGTCCGCAAAGGCGGCACTCCGGACGAGTATCACCGGCGGCTCATTGACGAGCTCGACCATCAGACAACAAACCGATACCGCCAGTTCCACATGGGTCTCCGTGCCTGCGTAAGTCTACACTCCCAAAACTTAATTCGTATTAAATTGTTCGTTTTTTCCCCCTGCTGACAGCGCATCTCCCCCGCTGCAGGTTCTCATGGACACCCTGCGCCAAGGCAAGGGCAGTAAATCCGCTGCGGAGGTCATGGCCCGCCTCAACGCCCTCTTCCCAGCGACCAGCATCGTCGAGTGCGAGACTGACGTGGATGTCACGCCATACTCGGCCGGTTTGCGGGACAGCATCCGCTTCTCCGTGTACGAGCACCTGATGGGCGAGGACCCGCACTCCCAGGAAGCTCTGCAGGCCATCGACATGCGCGTCTTTGCGTGGTGCGACATCCCCGGGTACGTACAGGCGTAGGAGGCCATGATGCGGTACTCGGAGGAAGTCAAAAAGCTCGAGATGATTTGCCTCTCCGCGCTGGGCGCCATGGAGGGTGCCGCCGCCAGCGCCACCCAGGAGCCTGGACGACGACGACGCGCCGGCTCATCGACAGGCTCGTCCTTTGTGGCAGTGTCCGACGGCTCGGCCTCCACGAGTCCCTTCATCGTCACGCCAGCGGTTGGGAGCCCCGAGTCGACCATCCTCGCAGACATGTCGCAGCCGTCGTCCTCCTCGGCGCGCACCAGCTCGCGAGTCGCCTCAGCGCCGCCCGTCCCGAACCCACTCCTCAAGGGCATGCCCGGGCGGGAGCTCTCGGCGTCCAAAACCGACGGCGCCGCGTTCGCCGGCGACCACGCCGCGCCGCCCATCCTGACATACCCGGACGACCTGTCCACGACCGAGTTCGACCAGCATCCCCTCGCCCGCGAGATGAACCTCAGCTCGGCAGAAAAGGCACGCCTAGGCCTCATCATCCCGAAGCAGATCCCCAGTCGAGACTTTTAGTACAATTTCGACAGCGATGACGAGCTCCTGGACGAGGACAAGGTCGCCAGCAAAATCATGCCCAAGAGTCCCAGCAAGGGGCTCAGGGCGTTTAGACGCTTCACGAGCGCAAAGTCGGACGCTCCTCCCGTCCCCCCACTGCCACCCATTCCGGAGTCTCTCAAGCCCGCGTTTACCAAGGGGCTGGCCAAGCTGCTCGAGAAGCGCAAGCTCCGAATTGAGCAGGCCGACTCTGAAGCATCGACGGGAGCCGCAGCGCCGTCTGGCAAGAAAAATGGCACTCTCTCCGCGGCCTTTGGCCGGAGCAGCGGCAGGCCAGCGCTCAAGACCAAATACTCTAATCCGGAGCTACGTTTGCCAAAGTCGAAAGGCTCGCACAAGACGTCCTCGTCCGGCAGCTCTGGCCGCCTCACGCCAACCTCGTCGAGAAGCCCATCCTGCCCCGTGAGCCAGAGCATCAACGAGCAAGTCGAGACGTACGACAAAGTCGACAAGAATCCCGCCAGCTTTGCACTGGCACCCCCGCGAATATCGCCCATGGAATACACCCGCACATATCTCCTCGAGAAAGCCGCCGCGGAGCGCGAGGGCCGCGAGTGTCAGCTGCCACCGCCGGAACAGAACTGGCACTGGACCCGCAACTGGGAGGGCTTTCTCATCGTTCCCTCCATCCCGAAGAGCATCAACCGCGAAGCCCTACCGCAGGTCGCCGACCCCGAGGAACAAGATGAATCAGATGCCGAGTCTATGACGACGGTCAAGAGGGACGAGCCGCCATCGGCGCCCTGCCCTAGACTGTCCCTGAACCTTGGTGGCATGACCACCTTGTTCCCTTCAGTCATGAACCTTGCGCGTTTGGGTATGAACGATGGCAATGACAGCCTTTCCCCCAGCAGAAGCGAAGCGAGCCACCGGAGGCACATGCGCAAGAGCCGAAGCTTCTCGCTCCCTCAACACAGCTTTCTAACGCAGATTACAGAAGAACAATCATCAGACAACGACGAGCCTGAGCACAGTCTGCTGGGACTTCGATCGCGTTCTGCTGAAAGTCTGACTCGCCTTGAGCCTGGAGTCGGCGTCGCTGTACCATATGACCACGCCGGAACAATGGCTTGGCTCAACCGTGCCGAAGTCTCATCTCTCTACTCAGCCGAGAGCGCCGACACGGCCGTCCGGGTTGACGTCGCTGGACCGAGCACGCCCAAATCCGCTCCAGCGTACTCACCCTCTTCATCCCCAACAGTTGGATCGGACACCGGCCGACGTGGAGATATACCGCTTTCGCCCTCCCAATCTGCTGTGCTGCTGTCGCCAGCATTGGCCAGGCCCGTGGTCGAGTACAGCCCCGTGTCCTATGCGTCGTCGTCTAAGAGACGCGCGTCTACAGTGTCATTGAGTCCCAAACAGATCGACAAGGTCAAGGCGTTGGTAAATGTCGGACGTGAAGCCGGGTCAAAAGTCAATAGTCAAGGGGTCCTCGAGAGGCCCAGCGTGGGGCAGTCGATGTCCGGGCAGCTGGAACAAGCCGGCTCAGCAGTTGACAACAATGCGGACCAGACCACTCCCACCACGGAGCCTAGCCTCCATCCAGCCCCCCTCAAGGTCAAGAAACAACGCTCTCCAGAGGCCAAACAGGGTGACGCGGAGCGCTGCTCCATCATGTGGAAGGGCCTCTCCGACGAAATCGGCCAGAAGCTCGCAGAGTTTAGAAAATTCGGAGATGCCGACATAGCTCGAGATAGCCTTGCACAGAGAGCTTCGCAGATCCAGCCTGGTACAGCGTTTACTCCCACCAAGAAGGTACGTCATCCCAGTCCCCGAGGAAACGTCCCAAGAAGGGCTGCATTGAGGTCTGACTTTACTAACATGGAACAGGGCATGCTCGAGCAGCATCGCGCGGCGTCTGCGCTCGTGTCACCATCGTCGTCCGAATTTACAATCGACTCGACCTGGGCTCCTTCGCTTGTCATTCCAAAGAGCGAGAGCCAGTCTGGCTTCACGCCGAGCGGTTCCAAGGCTGAGCACAAGAGGCGCTCGGTGCTGCCCGACTCGCCCACTTTGCCGGCGCAGGACACGTATGGCCAAGGACACGCTTCGCCGCCGTCGGACTCTCTTGCGAAGCGCCGTCGACAGGAAAAGAGGCAACAGTTGATGTCTCCAAGACATAGAGTCCAGTCGGAGCCAGCAGTTCCTGCTCGAGATGCAAGCAGAAGTGCCTCATCCCCGGCCCTTCAGCTAAGGGCCGGCCACGGCAGCAGCTCTGCCGGTGGCTATCCAGCTACGGCAAAGACACTGTCCTCGCGAGACAGCAGCTTTGCTCTCAACGAGTCCAAGGCCGATGGCTCCGTTACCATGCTACCGCGACTCAGAGCGTCAACCCCTGGAAGCCGAAGCAGGTCTTCCGGCAGTCAGATCCCCGTACCAGTCTCTCCTGCGACCCATTTTGACCAGTCGCCCGGCAATCGAGTCAAGAGGAGGCCAGCTGCGCTCAGGTCCACGACGCCGCTTGCTTTCCAGCGCTTCGATACCGCTGCCCGCCTCGCTACAGTGGCGGAGAGCTCCGGCAACAAAAGAAAGTCATCTACGTCTTCCGCTGACAGGGACGCTCGCACGATCCGGGGTCCCTCATCGTTCAGCAACCTGCTCCGCAAGTACAGCCGGTCTAGAATGAACGAGAATGACGCAGAGGGCACCAATGCTGCCCCTCAAGGACGAAAGCAGTCGGGCGGAGACGCTGGAGCGAGGCCAGCGCCCGGCACAGTTAGAATGAATGAGCAGCCAAGACGTCTTCGAAAGGTTTCCAGCGAGGGACACGCTCTCAAAGACAAGATGGAGCAGATCGATGAGAGTCGAGATGGGCTTACGACGAGCTCCGAGAGTCTGATGGGTCTCCAAAGCTTCATCGACAAACAATCGCCATCCAGACTGCCCTCGCGATCGCCGGCGCCTTCCATGCCGTCGGCTACGAACGAGCTGAGGAACCTACCCAAGTCGGAGCCCGCGCACAAGGCCAGGATGTCTCTCGGCCCTCGCGCCGACCCTAGGCCCAGCCGGAAACTTCAGAAGCCGAGCAGAGAGAACCTGCGGCTCGCTCGCGCGTCTAGCGGACGGTTTTAGCGAGCATGTTGGTGGCGTAATGGTTGACGGGCACCTAGGGGCCGCGTCAACCCATGACCTGGAATAGGCGGCTGAGAAACAGATGTATGATGTGCGCTTGACGCCTGAGCAGATGAAGGACCTCCCTGAACGGAATGGATTGGAATGTGGTGAGCAGGGAGACGCGAGACAGCCGTGTCTGGCCGCCTTGGAGCTACGTTGTCACTACTTGTTCCCAGACTTGGTGCTGAGAGGCTGCGCAAGTCCCGGAACATAATTGCCATGTGTCAGTAGAGACTGGAGAGCGCTAAGGCAGGGCAGTTGGTTGATATGTTGGAGGACGAACGGTGGCTTGCTTGGCTGTAAAATAGCTCAACCTATTCTCTGAATCTGCTATAGGCTTGTGCAGGCGTGTCAGTTGTGACGGCGCCGTCGTGGACTCGGGCCAGTTGCGTCGAACGTGTAAGTCGTCGGCTGGTTGGCGTCGTCGGTCGTCCAGTGGCCAGCGATGGAGCATGGCAAGGTGCATCCCCGCGCACGCAGGTGCTCGATACGCGCACGGCTGGCCAATCCCGGACCGGAGGCGTCCCTCCATCTTGTGCAGAATCGGCCGGGGTCCTTCTTGAAGAGGCATCCCGCTGGCACCACGGCTGCTCCGTCATGCACGGTTCTGCTCCTCGTCTGGCAGGGGGCCATGTGCGTCGTGCCGTCGCAACGGGGCCATGCGAAGTCGGCGTGCGCAGTCCAGGCCCGAGACAGTGGTCACCAGCCTCTACGGGTCATCTCAGGCGCTGCTCACTCGTTTGTCGTGCCGCTTGACTCTTGACCGCATCGCACGGCTCCGGAGGGCGACTCCGGGGAAGCGCTCGGCCGGTTCACAGACAGCTCAACTCGGTGGCGCACCCAGCCCCCAAGCCGCCCTGGTTTTGCCATCTCTGGAACACGCGAGAGCCCCTGAGGCCACCTATCTCGCAGCTGAACCTGGCGTCGCGTGGCGGTACTCGTGCAAGCGCACGGGCATTCCATCTCCATGGACTCCGGCCGGCAAGCCACCGGGGCTTGCACCCCAGCCAAGCAAACCAACCTGGGGGTCTCGTGAACGGACAGCGGCCCAAGCTCTGTGAGCAACTGCCAAATGAACCCCCACCCATCAGCCATCCCTGCTGGCCTTGGTGTGGCTGGCCGTAGCGGATGCTGGAACCAGACTGGGGTTGCTGGGCTTACGGGCCATGCGCGGCTGCCCCCTAGTCCCCTGAGATGGTGCAGCCAACAATCTGGGCTACCCCGGCGGCGGCGTCGATCATGTCGAGCCCCAGGTTGCCTGGTCTGGGGGAGCAATTTCAGTTGTGCTTGACAGCTGAGCCAGGACCGGGCCGCAGCGCCCATTTTAGTTGCTCTGAAATAGCAAATAAAATCGTTCCCGAAGGACATCCCAGCTCGCTTCCGAGCAGCCACAAGAGTAATACTAGTTGGTCGACATGTTGGTCCGCCGAGCCCAGCTCGTCTTGTGCGGCTTTCGCAAAGTCAACTGCCGGGAAGCCAGCGGTCCTGACTCCTGATACGTAGTCGACTTTGTGAGAAGTTGTTGCAAAGTTATCCGTTACCGCGCCAAGTTGGAGCCGAGCAAAGGTGCCGTTGAGATAACCTGCGGCACCGCGCTCCAGGCGATATGGTTCAGCACTCCGCAGAAGGGGCCTGATTTGTGATGCTGATGAACAACAACCCGGCACCCTCGCGAGTGAAAACCGACACATGCCGACGGTTGCTACGCCGTCGGGGCATTTACGGGATCCGCCGGAGATGATGCACTGTGAGCGCAAGCGAAGTGGTGGCATCGTTGCAGACTATTAGTGCAACCCGGAGACGCGGATCGCAGCGCGTCACAGCCGGTGATCCACTCACTCCCCGAGCGGGTGACTGCTCTGACTCTCTATCACGGCCCGTTCTGCGCCGCCCGAGACACACGCGAGGAGTGGCGGGCGCTTGCACTACCGCCGACCGATCGGCGCGAGAAAGACCGATGCCTCGCCAGCCTGTCTCCCGGAGAACGTTGCAAGCCCGCTGGAACCGTGACAGCCCACGCGGCTGCGGTGAGTCTCGGAGACCTGGACGAGTCGTCGAAGCTCTCGAAAACTGTGGTGCACATGGGTCACCATGGATCGGGAGGGCTGCACTACCTTGGCTGGGGAGGTGGGCAGACGCTCCAACAAAACCGCACCAACACGATCTCGTCTCAGCAGTTGAATGTCTATTGGCAGCCAACTCCAGAAGCCAGCAAACAGATTCGTTCCCTGCTCTCGCTTGGTGTTCCACGGCGTGTGGAGCTTCGTTCGAGCCCAGCCCGCTGTACCGGGCGTCGCGGAGTCGTCGTGCTTTGCTGGTTCTACAGACCAACGTGGTTCAGCTCGAGCCTGGCGGGCGCTTGTGTCGGAGACAACCTCTCAGTCTTGCACTGGTTGACAGCCAAAGTCCCGACCGCCCGAATCATGTCCACATTCGACCTCGCCATTGGTCTTGACGCAAGATCGAGGTCGTGCCAATGTCGTCACTTTTGGGTCTGCAGGCTGGCAGGGTCCGCTACCCGTTCGTACTTGGACGCAGCATGTGACGCGCAGCACGCAGGAGCAGTGTCGTCGCCGACGCACTCACCGCACTTTCACACGCTCTCAGACCCAAGCCATGTGGCCCGATGATAGCCTAGCCTTGGCCTCGACCGGCCCTCGACAGGCCAGCCGTCGGCCAACTCCCGGCTCCCCACCCCCAACATCAATCGCCATTGTCCTGCCCTCGCTTACTCTACTGTACAGTACTATGCAGTACGGAGTACTTCGTAGAGTTCTGTACCAGACGACATGGCGAGCCTTCGGCAGCGCCTGGCCGGCCGGGCCAGCAGCCCAGCCAGTTGCAGCCAGGCTCGTGCATTCGGCAACGTCAGAACTCGCATTGGGGCGTCGCCTGCTTCGTAGCCTTCTCACAAGAGAAATGACACAGTGCTCGCCGCGACAACTGCAACCAAGCCAGCGAATGGCAGAGTGTGACAAATGACATCGGCTCTTTGGCGGCAGTATTGACAGGCATACTAGAGTGTACACCCTTCGTGTTCGTGACAACAGCTGGGCCTCGCTGCGAATTCGCCGTGCCCAACTGAATCAATTCGGCGAGTTGGTAGCCGCTGTTCTGCATGCAAGATCGATCGCGGCCTGGGAAAGCGCATGGAGCAAAACGCGTCTCATGCTTCCGCACTGCTGACCTACTTGCGCGCCATCTTTGCACAACTTGTCGACTGGATCCAGGAGCCGGTGCGGACAGCCGCCCGGGTGAGTCGAGATGTACTCCCTTCTGGAGGCGCATCCTCAGGATGAGACCGTCGTCACGGCTCACGGGATTCCAAAACGAGGCACAACACTTGTCCAGTCTCGACGAGCGGCCCCGGCCCGGTGGCTCAATCCAGTGGCTGTCATGTCACGGCCAAGGCGTCATGGCGCACCCAACCAGTGGAACGGCTCGAACCTTCACGGGATGGAACTGATGGAGACGCCACTGGCTTCCAACTCTTCAGTCCCCAGTAGCACGGGCCATACGGAGGCTGACCCGTATTTTGCAGCCAACGGACAAATAATGCAATGCGTTTGCGTAGTCAATGAACCACGGAGACGGTAAGAAGAGGCGCCCGCTCCGCTGTCGGCAGTCCAAAGGCCTACGGTGGCCTAGCGAGGATTCCTTGGCCAGCGTGCTTTGCTCCAAGGCGCCGCCTCCATCGAGAAAGTGCTCCGACGTTGTGTTCGTCGTAGCTGGAGCATCACTCACCCGCGGAATCACGGCTCCGGAAGTACCCTTGCAAATTGGCAGGCTGACAGAGAGCCAGTCGTGATCTACCTTATTACTGAGCCGCCCTCCCAGGACCAGGTGAAACAGACAGTCTGGAGGCGCTGACTGAGGCATTGTCAGGCAACCCTCGCGAAGGCACACTGCAGCTACCTGATGGATCAGTCGTCGGTATCTTGGGCATCGCCGTCGGTCATTTCTCGCCGCTGCTGCATGCATCTGTGTCCAGCTCAGTGAACCCGGGACAGGGGGAGGATATGTTTGATTGGGCCACTGCATCTTTCATCGCCGAAGTTTGCAATTGCAGGACTACTGCTCGACAGATGGCAATTCGGCCTGAAGGTGATCTCGTGGAAGGCCTCAAAATTGGTGCATCTTCTCCGCAACGGCATGCGCGAATGCAGGAGGCAGCCGTGTTGCTTTAGGTTTCGTATTCCAAGGCAGGGATGCATGTTCATGCGCGACAGATGCAAGATCCGTCAAGCTGTGCCAGTGTCCGCTTGTGGGGGCAAAGTACAACGTTGTACTTCTCTGTCTCTCATAGTTATGTCTGCGACATCCAGGAGAGGCAGGTCGGCGAAGTGCTCCTCTTGGACTGTTATGGGAGCAACTACCGCACTAGGAAACCGCGTCACCATTTTGAGTTTGCCATTCTGGCAACAGGAAAGGCGTGGATAGCGCACGCAGGTATCGTCATCTCCGCCCCTGCCACTCGAGGATAAAGCAGGAGGTGCGATCGAAGGACCGGTTGGTCTCGGTACCCTTATCACAGCACCTTTCCAACGATTCACAGTGGAATTCGAGGGCCAGAGACAAGCCCGGAGGCCTTGCGCGGCTTGCTGATGTCGTGTCTTCAGTATCCTTTGTTGATGCATGTCGGCAATCGTATTGTCGCCAAGAAGTGAGCAAGTCCCAGGCCAAGTTCTCGGGATTGACGATCATGTCCTGCAGGCTGGCCCGTGTGTGTGGAGATCAAGGGTCCATGCTCTGGGCAGCTGCCCTGTCTCGCCAGGATTTGTCACCAATGCCGTCGACGGTCTTTGGAGCTTACCTTGTCGAAAACAAGGACATCGGAGTCAGGAAGGGGTGGCAGGGCTGCGAGGTTGGTGAGCTTCCTGTCAGTCAGTGTCCTACCAACGGGTCGCCACGGACTGGCTATGAATGTGCTGCGCAGCGAGGCAGGGATCACACGATGCACGCCAAGATAAATGGGCATCACGTACAAAGTATTGCCTGCGAGGCATGCATGCGGTTGGCAGCCAGCATGGAGAATGCCCCGAGTTCTGTCCAACAGCCGGAACAGTACCTAGGGAAGGGTATCAGAGGCTTACCTCCCTGTGGTGGCTTGCTCCAGTAGCTTGATTGGGCTGTGCCCGTCAATCGAGATGATGACGAAGCCCGCTGGTCGGTCTGAAACCAGGTCCAGAAGCTCACATGTTTGCGACAGCCCTGGCTGTTCCACCTCGCGAATGGTCCGAACTCGCTGCAGGAAAGTAGTGAACTGGCATCCCAGGGACGTTCGGTAGCTACCCAAGTCACTGTGATATGTTGGTCCTCGACGATACCTGGTGCCGGTCGCGCCGGGACTAACACGCAGTTGCGGTTGTACGGTGAGCATCGGCTTCACGGCTACTTCGACTCTTGCTTGAGACTGCCCTGTCGCGCGAGGCACAACTCCACACCCCAGGCAAACAAAGAGGCTGAGGCGGCGGCCGCAGGAACTTGGAAACACGAAACCATTGTCGTTCAGCTCACCGGACGCCGGAATAGATGGTGTGCGTTTCGAAACGTCGTGGATGCCAACCCCGGCAAGGCGACACTCGAAACGGGATGGTTCCACTGCCCGTCCACTGGAGCCGTCGGAGACCAGGAATGAGCGGCGCTGCGGGCCTCGCAATATCGATCGCATTGGCACGAGCACTGGTACTTTGCCGTGCTGGCCATGATTGCTGAGGCGAACTCCTTTCAATACACAATGACCCGTCGTTGTTGGCCGTGAGCAGATACGATGTTGGTTCGCAATGGCGAGTTGCAGCTGGGAAATGGCCCTGGCCGGGCTCGCTGGTGTTGCCCCGGGTAGGCAGGAGCGAGGGCTCAAGCCGTACAGTACATACACATCATTGGCACTGTCCTGGCCGCCTGTTTGTGGGGAGACATTGCGAGATTGCACTGTGTCTGATCCTCTCGCACTGTTGGCTCATTGCCCCGAGAGACAGGGACAGTTGGGCATGGTGGACGTGAACAGCATCCACAGCGGTGAAGGTCCCCCTTCCATCACGACAGGCTTCACGGTCCAAGTCAAGCCAGACGGCTGCCGGGCGACCGAGGACAAGACGACTCGCGCTCCTCAGCTTGGCGCGCCAGGCTGCTCGATTGCACGACCAGTTGAAGGTGCATCGGCTGTCAGGCAGTCAATGACCTACGGCTCCGCCAGCTTCACCTATTGCCCTTGACAGCACTGTCTGCGCCCGCCCCTCGGGGACGTGCTTGGTGCAATCAACAAAGTCTCCCGTGCTGTGAACTTCAAAGTAACGTCCACTTTGCGTTCGAGGCCGAGCTCAGTCCCGGAAGCCGGGATGGAAGCAGAGTGCTTGCGCTGGTCCCAGGTGCCCGGGTGCAGCTGCGTTGCTGGACAAAGGCTAACCCGAGCGCTGGGAGTGAAGCATAACTGAGTGACAGACCGAACTATGTGTTGCACGTCCGTGGCACCTGCAGTCGCTCACAGAAGCCGGCTCCGACAGTCCGTGCCCGAAGACAGCATGACGCTCGTTCGTCTCGTCCGGTCTACAAGCCCCAGCCAGGTCTGAGTGGGGGTTCCACACACAAAGGGCTGATGCGGTCGCTCATGATATCATGATACAGAACGGCTGCGGTTGCATCAGAATCGGGGCTGCCACGGGGCTGCCGGTCCCGCTTCCAATGCACCGGGCTCGACGCGGATGCTCTCGAGTCTCGACGTTTCAAGCGCCCAGATGTTCCAGCCATCCTGGGCGGCCGCCCACAAGCAACCATGCTGAGACCGCGCCGCGCCGCACTGCTTCCCCGCACCAGGATGCGATGCTCGTATGCAACGGCAGCCATCACACCATGGGCTGCTGTCCTTGGTGCTGGCCGACCCGGTGGCTGCTCGACATTTTCTGCTTGGCGCTGCAAATAGTTCAACGGGCGCTGGCAGCAAGATAACTATTTCTGGCTCCGCCTTCGCTCTACTTGCGCTTGAACCATCGATCAGCACCTGGCCACTCCCTGCTGATGTGCGTGCTGTGGCGCCCAGCTGGGTAGGTTTCCCAAGGGGGACTGGCATGGGAGGTATGGAGGTCAGCAAGTCCGCACCTCAAGGTGGGTGTTCCGTGCATGGCATCCCGGGAGCTGTGACCAGACGAGGGCCAGGAAGGACAAAGTACACGGTTGTACCGACCCAAGAACCCCTGTCAAGGGACCTGGCCCACGCCGGGGATGGCCAGGGAGGGGGCATGGCATGGCTCCCCGGTGGGGATGGGCGAGAGGACTCGGCCTCGTCCATTCGCGGCTGCTTCCAAGGACAAGGCCGCCCAAAGGGGGCTGTATCAGACCCCGCGGTTGCACCAGCCAAGAGTTGCATCGTCGTTGCACGGGAACAACGGCACAATTCGGGCATATTTTCCTCGGTCGTCGCGTCCTTGGCGCACGTATGATGGCGCCGCTTGATGGCCTCGAGGCTGCCACTGAACACCCATCCCCGTGGCTACCAGCGTGAGGCACAGGGCACTTGGTCGCATTGCTCCGCGCAGGCCATCTGAGATGCAGGTCGTCGGCTTCGAGCTGGCGCCCAACCAAAGCAGAAGCCAAGATTGGCACGAGTGAGGCCCCGGGCCTCGCCGGGTGTGGGGGATCACTCTCGCGCTTCCACACATGGCCTGGCCACACACGCTCACCGAAGCCCGCGTGAGGTGTTGGCAGTGCCAGAGCCGTTTGGGGGGGTCGTGGTGGTGGTGGTGGCATGAGGGCCCGCCGTCCTGCTGCTCGCCTGGGCCGACTGCGAAATAAGATGCAGCCCGCGACCAGCTCGATCGGCAGCCGTTCTCTGCTGCCTCCCCGGACGTGTCGTCGGTCGAGCCTGGATCTTCGTCAACCTCGCCCGTCCTGGACAGCTCGCGCGCGTCCGCTCAGCCGCTGGCGCCAGTGTCGACATCACCCCGGTCACCACCGCACCGCTTCCGCTCCTGCTCCACAATTTCCGTTGATGGCCATCCCGGTGTCGACTTATGACCCCCTTGTTCCCTGTCTTGCCGAACACCAGGTTCCTGCAACTTGTCCCGCTTGACATATCCGTCCGGTGTGCGCGTCTGTCGGCCTGTGTCTCTTGTGGGCATGCGTTCGCCGTCAACTGGCAATGGAACAACCGCTGGCTCTCGTGACTGACACAGGAGCTATGGCTTGGCCGCCGGAGAAGACGACGCACTCTGGCGATGCGGCGTGGGACGCCGTGGTCCTACCGTCACCGTCGCCAACTGAGTCCACATGGCGAAGAGGCTCCATGCCAATCTCGATTCAGACGGGACAGATATCGCCAGTGAGCTCGGCTATGGAAACTACACTTGACGGGTCGTCCGTGCCGACGACAGGTGCCTCCGCATCCTCGTCTTGCACCGACTCGTGGAGCATCGGCTTCGGCGACCGCGACGACGGTGACGAGGATGTTCAATGGGACCATTGGGAGCGCGGTTCGGACGATGCTCTGACGATCCCTAAACTTGAGCCCGTCGACGACGATATCAACCTCGACGACGTCAAGGCGGCCCCACATGCGCCTGACATACAGACCGGCGACACGCAGGTTAAACAGAAGCGGCCTCGCGGACGACCCAGAAAACACCCCCTCACACCCACTATCAGCGCGAGCAAGATCACAAAGGGCCGATCCAAGACTGGTTGCATCACTTGCAGGAAGAGAAAGAAGAAATGCGACGAGGCCAAGCCACGATGTACGAATGAGAAAAGCCGTCTCGTCCCCTGGCCAGGCGCTGACTCTTGTGTCCGCAGGTATGAATTGCGAGAAGAATGCTGTTGTTTGCGAGGGATACCACGAGAAACAGTTATGGAAGAGTGGCAGAGAGAGGGCTGAAGAAGGTAAGTGTGCGTGCTTCACAGAGGCGAATGCCGTCTGACTCGTCCCTAGAACGTCTCAGACGAGAATCTCTACCCACCGTCACCATGCAACCCATCTTTCTTGGTGTCGAGACTGTAGAGGACAAGATCTTTTGGAAGCACTACATCAACCACTTTAGCAACGTCCTCACCGTTGAGGGTGAGGCCCGGAATGCCTTCAAAGACATCATCCTGCAGCTCGCCAACCAACACCAAGGCCTCATGCACTCCATCCTGGCCCTGAGCAGCAAGCACATTGACTTTGACTCCCCCTACGGCAGCAAGATACTCCAAGAGAACGCTTTGGCCAGCCGCGAGTCCATTAACCAGCGGGCCGAGTACCACCATGGCGAAGCACTGAAACGTTTCTACGACGACATGAACCACCCGACCAGCACAGAAGACCCGGACCATGAGACCGTTCTGGCTGCGCAGTATGGCCAAATCCTGTGCCTCCTGCTGCGGACCCGAGCGGAGGGGAACCCACGGGGCGAGCACCGATTTCATCTGCAGGCCTACCAGAAGCTCATGCAACAATGCCCGCCAGAGGACACGGCTTTCTATACGTTTATCACAGAGTTCTTCCAGTACCACATCTACGCTGATGATCTGCTCTGGCACCCGGAAACGATGGCGGATCGGCTAAGCTCACCGGACTGGGAGCCCCTGACACCCATCGCACCGCCTCGTCTGTTGGGCGTGGCCGACGGGCTGTTTGGGTACCTGTCGCAAATCACGAGCATCCGAAACACCATTCGCGCGAACATGGCAGCGTCCGTGGACCCGGTCGTCGACTACATCACGTTGTTCAAGGCCGTTGACATCGATGCTGCCATCCGGGAATGGTCTCCGCGATGGCCACCTGGAGACAGCCGCGACTGCGTGGCACCCCTATATAAGCAAATGATGTGGGTTTACCTGTTTCGATCCATCTACCCGCCATCCGCGGCTCCGGCACGACGTTCGACTTTGGGCTCGTTACCGACAGTGCCAGCCTCTCCCGCCGCACCCCCGCGCCGCGCGTCCATGGCTGCGACGGTGCGGTGCGAAACGTCATCTGGCTTCGACCCTGCTCCGATCCGGAGCTGCTTATCCTCGCGGAATCCGTCGCGCACGAACTCGATGCATGAGCTGGATTCTCAGCCCACGAGCAGCAATGGCCAGGCAAGCAGTCATCGGGGCTCCTCTCCACCACCAACGAGGCGCCCGGCGCACGATGACAGACGGATCACACTGGCCGTGGAGGAGTCGCTGTCGATTTTAGAATCGTTCAAGCCGTCAGACCCCGCACAGACATTGCTTTTGATACCATGTCTGATTATTGGCACGGCCTGCTTCGATGTTCCTCAACGAGATCGTGTCCGGGCTGCCATCAGGGTCGTCCGCGGCTACACGGGCCTCCGAAATTGCGACCGCGTCAGGGAGCTGCTGGAAGGAGTTTGGACACACATGGATAAGGGAGACTGGGTTTCGGTTTGGGACTGGCAAGGCGTCGCCAGGGACATGGGGCTTGACTTTATCTGCACCTAACGACTTATGACATGCATTTTGGGGCATACACGGCGGAAGGGATGATCTTTTACGCAGCCGCGAAAAGCTTTCGTCACCAACGAGTAGTACCAGCTCTCCTGCTCCAGCCGGCTCACGCTACACCAGGGAACGTTTCATCTGCCCGGAAGAGTTGGTCTCCAATCCCAGGACACGGGAGGGCCACTGTTCAACACAACTCGGCCCGGTTCGAGGATCACGGTACGCTATGGGACGTGATTTTGGAACAGATTGCGCGATCGGCACCACGACGGGTAGCCTGTGACGGAGCGTCGGACGGAGAAGCAATCTGTGGCTGTCCAGGCGGCGGACCGGGCAGGAGTGCCGTCCATGACGATCTTGCGGGCGGGCGCTATGGCTCCGTGACAAGGACGGCGGTCTATTCACCTGCGTCACGGTTCAGAAGGTGGCCTTTGACAGCATTCGTCGCCAGAGAGGCGGGTTGCATGAAGTCTTTAGTTTCAGCCGGCCTACCGTGACGTTGGTGTTTTGGCTCACACGTGGGCACTGAACTGGACGGGCGGTTTGGATTTACTAGGAGTCGCCAGTTGGGCCGTTGCCTGCGATGTTTTCCTCTGGCTGGCTGATGCGCGTTGTCCTTGCTCGATTCTACATGAGATTCGTGAGCCATGACGGCAATGGCATGAATACAGGGGCGAGTTCAGCTCATGCCGCTAGATATCGGGCACTTTTTGTGCCATTACTCACCTCACTCTTCCACCTCGTCGTCGCTCCCGTGCCCGCTGCTATCCTCTGACCGTGACTGTCCTCTATCCTCCTCACGACTCCGCTCCTCACCCTCGTCCTCATGCTCTTCCTCATCCTCTCCCTGCACCACCAGCCCCTGCCCAAACGCATCCGCAAACGCACGCGCCATGCCCGCGTCCCGTATCGCAAACACCACCCGCAGTCCGTCCCATCCCTCGGCCCCTCTCCCTCCTCGTCCGCGACCACACAGCGCCGCCCGCCACGCCCGCGCAACCTCCCCGACGGGGTTCCCGTACGCGCCGCACCCCCACGCCCCGAGGACGACGTGCGTGGCGCCCCGCCCGCGGAGGATGCGCAGCGCGGCGCGCATCTTGCGGTGCGCGAGCTCCCTGTCCTGCGGCTCCGCATAGGCCAGCGCCGCTGCGACTTGCGTGGCAGGACGAGTCTCCGCCGGGGAGATGGAGGTGGCCGTTGTTTCTGCACTCTGGACGATCGTGTCGGGCATGCGTAGCATCGCTGCCGTTAGGACGTCCACATAAAACCTCTCCGATGGGGGTAGCAGCATCGCGTCTGCTCCGATGGCGGAGGCGGAGGTGGAGGAGGAAGAGGAAGGGGCAGAAGTCCAGGAACGGCACACCAGCACGTCGGGCGTGTACACGCCGCCCACCTCGGGGAGGCGATAGAACGACTCGCGCAGCGACGGGTAGAGCGTCGTGCGCGCGCAGAGCTGCTCCTCCTGCGACGTCGCGCCCGTGAGGACCCCTCCGCCGGGCCGTAAGGGCGACGCCATGTTAAGGACCGCGACGCGGCCGTTTTGCTGCTGCTGCTGCTGCTGTTGCCGGCGTGCACCACCTCCGCTTCTGCCGCTTCCGCTGTCGCTGCCGTTGTAGTTAAACTTATCGCTGCCGCTGCTGCCGGCCGTCTCGGCGACGAGCCGCGCCGCGGCCTCGAGCGTGTCCTCCACACGGAGGGTGATGTGCATACACGGCGGCTCATGGTCCTCCTGCTGCTGCTGTTGTTGTTGCTGCGCACCACCTCGGTCTCCTCGTCTCCGTGATTTAGAAGCCGCTTCATTCTCCTCAGCGGGCGATGTCGATAGCGATGATGACGACGTGACTGTGCTCGTCGTGGGCATCCACGGCGGCGGGTCGACGATCCGCTCCGCCGCCTCGACGCCCTTCCGCGCCCGCGCATTCGCCTTGAGCAGCGCCGGCACCGTCTTGTTGATAAACGCCCTCGCGGCCTTGGCGCGCGCGTCCCTCGCCGAGGCTCGCTCCGCTCTGGTCCTGGCTGGCATATTCTGCGCAGCTTCCGTGCCGTCTGGTGCGGGCGCTCCGGTCCGTTAGACCGAGTCGTCTGCTGGTACCTCCGCGTCGTCGAACTCCGTCGGCCGCAGAGCTATGCGCCTTCAAGCTCTACTCTCGTGAAGGCGAATGGGTTTTGGAGAGGATAGAGATGTGTGCGCTTCGGCGAGAGATGCGCTGGGGACCTTGGTGGTCGGGACGTAGAACCTTGACGGGTAGAGCTGCATGCAGTTGTGAGCGCGTGTAAGTCGCCGGGTGACGCACTTCCCAAAGTGGCGACCTCAAGAGTCAGACTTACGATCAGCACCATGATATCTCGCAGAGCTGAGCAAAACACCCGACACCTCATTGGCCACGTTCAAGTTCACATCTGCGTCCATGTTGCGCATTAGAAACGCATTCAATTGGGCCGCTGTCATTCGTCGCCAAAGCCTCATCCAGCGCAACCGGCAAAGCGTCCATCATCACTCATCCTCCCAGGCACCCTCGCCGGGGGCATCAACACACGCCATTCTCGCAATTCCCCTAATATCACTTTTTCCATCGGCGGATTCATCCAACCCGGAACATCAACTCCGCCTCAGCCGCAGAAACGCACACACACGCAGGCGATTCCGGCGCCGACACGTCGACGGTGAGACCGCCCTCCCACACAGGCTTTTCCCCGGAACACTCAGTCATCCGTCCTATTGCCCTCAAAGTAAAACTTGCCCAATGGCTCGCCTCCGCGGCCTGGGCTGCCCAGCGCCGTCGAGCCTACCCTCTGCTCGCCCGCATCGAGCGGTGACACAAGCCTCTCAGCCGTCTCCCTCGTCTGCTGCCGTGACACGACAGGCCCCCTGAAGGTTGTGTCCACAAACGTCTCGTCCCCCGATGGATACCCAGGATGGGGAGGATCTGCCGCGACGCCGTCCATCATGCGGGCGTCGCGGCGCTCCTGGATAGCCGACGCGCTCATGGGCGTGTCGCCACCGCTGGCCAGGCCCCCTCCCATGGGCGTATCGCGGTCGCGGCGTGCGTCGCTGAGGCCCGAGTTAACCCGCTCCAGGTTCCATGCCTGATGCGCGGCAGACGCTCCGGGCGGCACGCGGCGGTGGTAGATGGGTCCCGAGACGGTGCTGCCGGCGCCCTCGCCGAATCCCACGAGCGAGGCAGAGCCGTCATCGCTCATTCGATCTTCGTAGCCGCCGACGGACCGCGTGGCCATGTCCTCGTCCATGGCGTCCGGGTCAGCTCCCAGGCTAGTGACGGACTCGGCCTCTCTGTAATTGGTATCGGTGCTGAGCATGTCCTCGTCGCGCTCGCCGGCCATGGCACGCGAGCCCTCGCCCTCGCCAATGTGGCTTTCGGTCGCACTGGCGGTGCCGACGGTGCTCATCTTGGTGACGGCAACGGGCTGACCATTGCTGTCAAAGTAAGCCGGCGTCAGGTGTTGCGAGGCGGGGAAGTTGGGCGGAAAGCCGGTCGTCGAGGTGGGCGTCGTCTGGGGCGAGAGAGACGAGGCGCCGCCGCCCTGACTGGGTGTCTGAGGCGCGGCGCGCAATGTCGATACTCGCTCGAGCCCGGCCAGGCGGGAGATGCGGTCGGCTCGTTCAGCCTCGAGGCTCGTGGCGGATGGGCTGTGCTGGTGGCCACGGCCATGGGGGCCCGAGGCGAAATGACCGCGATGGCCATCTTTAATAGCGGTCGTAGACAGGGCGGACAGAGAGGTTGTCGTGCTCGTCGGCGTGCCGCTGTTGGTCGGGCGAGCATCAACGTTAGCTGCGACTGCGCGCTTCTGAGGGACCCTTCGAGGACTTACGGCATTTCAGAAGGCGTATCCGGGTTCGAGCCCGGGGGAGGGAGGTTGATGAAGGTGGGATGCGACGGCTGCGCCATTGCAAAGGTCGTGGACGGGGAGCGCGTCGTGGGATGTGATGCTGTCGCGGCCGCCAATGCGACCAGAACGGTTGGCGGGCGTGCGCCTCGTCAAGAGCTCTGTCGCTGCACGTCAGGATGCAGTGCGAGGAGCGTCGTCGAGTCTCAAGGGGCGTGTGCAGGAATGCTTGCGGGAAGCAGCATTCGCAGGTTGGCGGCAGATCAGGCGAGGGGCATGAATGAACTGACTGTCGAGAAGGACAAAGAGCACGAGAGGTGGGAGAGACAAAGGGCGGCCAGAGACGTCGGGAGAGCTCGCCGGCGTGACTGTGCTTGGACGGGAGACACGTTCCAAGGCCGGCGGCGGCGCAGGCGTGGCGGCAGAGGAACGACGTACAGGCCGTCGAGGCAAGTGAAACGCAAACTTTCAGGGTCCTGGGCGGCTGGCTCGCCGCCTGTGACTGGCCAGGCAGCGCGTGCCGAAGCTGCGATGCCGCCTGGGCACTGGACGAGAGAACTGAAGCGTGCTGCCAGGGCGTCCGCGGGGCTCCGCCGTCCAGTTGTTTTGGGGGGGTCCCTTCACGGAGGTGGTGGATCGATGCTTCCCTCAAGTGGCCGCAGCGGGCTGGAATGGCTGGCACCACTGCCGATCGCGGGGTCTGCCCGCCCACAGATGACGTAGGGGCGCCGCAGGTTGCGACGCACGCTGGTGATTGGCCGCCTGGGCTGGCCAACCAGCCCTAAAGAGTCACCTGGGTGCTGGGGACTAGGTAGGCAGAGCTTGGGCAGCTCGCGATTGCCCAGGTGCCCGCCCGCTGCTATCGCCTTGAAGCCCCTGAAGCGACGCCGTGGGAGACCCCAGCAGCGCTGGAGTTCGCTGGCGCAGACGCCGATACTCGGGCACAGCAACCTCCAGGGCTTGCATTCCAGCCCGTCTCACTGATGCTTCAGCCCTGCACATCCAGCATCACGACAACTGCAATCGCTCCTTATTTCAACCAGTATGCTCGCTCTTCCACGTTGACGCGTCAGCCCGCAAGCTGCAGCCCATCACATCGTGTTCAACGTCTGCCTCCCTGTCTGTCTGCTCACCCGCCCCGCCCAGCCGACCAGCCCTGCCGTCATCCAGGCGTCTCCAACCATCTATCCCAGACCACCGGCGCCCGCCTCCCATGCATCCCCCTTCTCCCTGCATCTCCAGCACTCGAGATCCGGCCCCTTCCCCTGCCCCAGCCTCGGACCGTCAAAAGACCCCTGGTGAAAAGTCGATAATCTGCGCCTTCTCCAGCTTGGGCAGCATGCTCTCGACAAAGGCCTTGTGCATCGGGTCCCGCTGCACGTAGTAGTCGCGGTCCTCGACGCTGTCAAACTCGACTACGAACGCGTGCGTGATGCCGTCCTGGTCGTCGTTAGCGTTGCCGAGTCAATGGTCAGTCTTGAGAGAGTCCATCACGTACCTGTCGCTGCTCGATGCTCGAGTCGAGTCCGCCTACTGATGACCGAATGTACGGCCGCGAAGATGTCGGGTGGAGGCACTTGTCCTTGAGCCGGAGCATCTGGCTGCAGCACTGCTCGGGAAGCGCTGTCAACCAGCACTCTTCTCTGTCTCCCCATTTACTGTACATCAGTGGTCATGACGTTGCGCCGACGTACCTCTTTGCGCTGCTCCAGTGTCAGCTGTGCCTTGAACTGGAACAAGACGACGTGCACAAGTGGCCTCGTCGTTTGGGCTTCAGCCTTGCTGGGAGCCGTCCTGGTCTTCCAGAATCGCAGCATCTTTGCGGTGCACATGCTCGTGACATTCAATCGTACGCGCAGCGGCAAGGTGCCAATACAAATAGTAGCAGCCTCTGCAACCGGCTTGTCTCGCCGCATCGCGATGCCGAAACGTGTCGGGCATGCAAGGTGTGACGGAGCAGATGGCTGCCGACGGGCACTCTGCTAGCCACGCAGCATCGTCAGTCTGCCACCCCTGCTTAAACAGAGGCTGGACGAAGCACACCACCCGCTAAAGACAGTGCGTGTCTGGTGTTGAGTGCTGCTGACCTGACCCCCTTTGGCTTTGCCCGTGTATGGCACATCACAACTAGCTTCACCTCATCTACATCCCGAACCTCTCTCAGCGAAAGGCTCCACAGTCTGACTGGCATCTCGCAATACTTCTCTTGTTCGCGTACCGCGCCGTCGCAAATACCACTGTGGCTGCTGTATTGAATCGACTCGAGTCAAGGTCAGTCTCTAGATGCCCAGCGTGCTGCCCTGACCGAGCCGTGTTTCTTTCCTTGTTTCTACGCCCGCCCCGCGTTTTGTCGGCTGTCGTCGGCCGCGGCGCTTGTACGCCCCGATGTGCCAGCCTAGCCTGGCCTTGCCAATGGCCACGATGCCCCATGGTCATCTTGCAGCTGTCGCACGCATGTTCCACGTGTGAGGCGCGAGGACCCGACGATCCTCGGCGCCAGCCGACGCTACAGTCGTTTGTCTCAACTGGAGCTCCCCAGAGCCAGCTGCTTGGGGAAGCTCTGGGGAGATGCATTTGGCTTTGTCTGAGAGCTGCTTTTGGCGTCGTTGAATTGGCCTTGCTGTTGGTGACGGGCTCCATCATGCCGCCGTTATGAGAGGACCGTTGTCCGTGGCCGCCCGCCACCACATATCCAACCTCCTATGGCGGCTACAGGACATAGACAAGTCATGTGTAGTGAATTTCTCGCATTTGAAGCACAACGCAGCTACATGTAAGCTTTGCCATGCCTGTTCGGAGCGCACCAACCCAGGCTCTCGCAACAAGCGGCTCGGCAGAAACCTATCACGTATCGCCTCAATGGACCGCACATTGACAAGACTGTGCATTACTCTGATCGCTGCCATTCTAAATACAAATTCCATTCTACATTATGACCCTCTATCCATATACGTCTCATGTGCAAGTGGCATCGAGTAGGTTGACAATCCGCGCCCAGACTTGCTATCGTACTAGTACAAGTTGAGTGTAGAGCGCCAACACCGCGCGAGCCATCCCATATGCTCGCGCAGCGTGCCACCTACACTCTCAATTCCGGCACGGTGAAGGCTGCTCTGCCGCTCCCATGCCTGGCTTCTGGAGTCCAGCTTTGTCCCGCAGCGTTCACCGTAGCCAGCCCACCCGCTCGCTGGCTTAGGACAAGACCAGGCCAAAGGTGACGAGGCCAGCCGCCAGGGAGACGGTGATGAGAGTCGCGTCGGCGACCTTGTTGCCGGCGCTCTTGGCCGTGGAGGTGCTGGTGGCCGCCTCCTTCTTCTTGTTGGTGCCCGTGACTGAGGCAGTGACCGAGGCCTTGGTGGTGGCGTGGGTGGTCTTGGTCACGACGACGGTCGTGGTGTGCGTGGTGGTGACGTGAGCCGTGGTCTTGGCCGGGGCGACGGAGCTGGCGGCTGAGACGAGGCCGAGGAGCATGAGCACGACGGCGAGGAAGTTGTAGAACTTGGGGGACATCATTTTGATCGTGTTGTGGGAGGTGGTTTGTTGGAGAACTGTCCGATGTGTCAGTGAGATGACTCTTGTAGGTGCCCTCAAAATGTGCGTCTCTTACAGTTGAGTGAGTTTGTTGAAGATGAAAAAGAGTTGAAGGCTTGCTTGAGTATCTGATGAGGATAGGTTTCTACAACCAGGAACTCAACCAGCTCTATATACTCGATTGCTGTCTACAGGCCCTCCTCTATGTCTCCGCTCCATGCGTCATCGTCCACTGCGCGTCTGTCGGCATTGACGTTTCGAGCCACAGCCTGGCCACGCAACCGCCTCGGCCAGATGTCGATATATCGGGCCGCGCACTCTATACGGCAGACGCGGCACATGTCGCAGGAACTCGCGTCGCCAGCGCAACGAAATGCCGGTGCGGTGTGGTATTGACGTAACGGACAGCTATGTGAACTGCAGCAACGCTCGGATTAGATACGGCCGCCTACCTCCTGTACAGTACAGTATCAGTCCTATGGCCATTTCGAGCTCAGGGTGGTTTCCCCGCGACAACTACTAACAAGTGAGCGCTGCGAGGCCAGTGTCAGGCCTGCCGCCCAATCTCGCGGCCCGCGGCGCGACCACCCGTGCTAGTTGACGGAGGCCGCCGCGTCATGGTCCGAGAATAATTGATACCACCCAGAAAAGGCCTCGATATTACACCCTTAACCCCCATGCGGTGGGCTCGCGGCATGTCTCGTGTCTTCGATGAAACGGTCCAGTGCTCACGAGCCACGCCGGAGCCAGCTGGCGAACCCTGCAAACTTGCTCCGCCCCGTCAAGATTATACAGCGTGCCCGGTGCTTCATACGTCTGTCTCGCACGGGCAGAATCTTGGTTCTGATATCCGGCAACCATCGCCTTTATCGAGGAGGGATCATTCCTCGTCGATGTCGATCTTGTCGCTCGGCTGATCGTCGACTGGTGTCTTGCACGACGTCGGGCCGTGACGGTGCGCGAGAAAAAGACTCGACCAAGTCTAAACCTCGTCGGGCCTCTATCCTGGCCGAGTTTTCACTTTATCATGGCGAGAGAGTCGCGGTGTGTCGAAAGGAGCAGTGCAGTATCGTAGCAAATTGACCACAGCCTATCTTGGTATCCTGGAGTGTTATTACAGTCGCAGCTCTGGGCTAAAGCAGGGGCGCAATAGTGGTGGTGCTGAGAACGCACAATCATCATTCACGCAATCAGCACAGGAATAGCTACGCCGATTTCCTTTCAAGGTTCTATAGTGCGCGCAATGTCGTTGTCATTTGGTCTTCATGTTACTGCGACTCGCAAACCGCATGACTCGGTTCAAGTCAATGCCCCTCAGAGCTTCCTTGTGGTTTCCATCAGGCTTCTACGTCGTCGAGGGAGCACATGCTCCACGAACGGTGTCATATCTGGCTCGTGACCAATGTTTTCCGGTCAGCCGCTGGAACAGACACTTGATCTGTCGTATGCAAGCACATATGCATCGGGCTCGCTCGCTCCGTCGGTGAGCTCTTGCGAATCTGACGCCACTACCGGCAGGGTTCCGCTGAAGACGATCCGTCCCTCACACGGCCGGCCCTGCGATCGCGGGTTCTCCTAGCAATCTGCCTTTCCAGGTTGCTCTCGCGGGGCGAGGGGATGCTACGTCATTGCCGGATATGTTCGCGCACGAGCCCTCAGGGGTCCAGGTCTCGAGGCCAGACAGAGTCGAAACAGAGCGCGAGCCGCCTCCTCTTCTACGTGCGTACGTCGCCATAATCCCGAATTGGGTCGGCTTCGGGGCTAGATTTGGGTTACAGAATATCGTCGCTCACGTGGACACTCTCCAGTCCGCAATGGTCGTGTTTCCATCACGGCATGCTTTGCGCAACCGCATACGCCACGGCTTGCAGATGCCGTTTGCGTCACCAGGTGACGACTCCATATTGCTGCCTATACATTTAGTCAGAGGTTCAAGACCTCCATGTGGTCGAACATGAAGCTGTGAGCGGGGGAGCTCTCAATTGCGTGGAGTGCTGGTGTCTGGTGTCCCCGTGCGGATATGATGTGTACGTGGCGTAGCGATATTTTGGCCTCTGATGCCGTGTCCTTGGGAAATGCAAACACATCTCATCACATGTAGGCTCCTTTCGAGGGGCATGAGTGTTAACTATGGTATAGTCATCTGGCGGTGAGAAATGTGCGTGTCATCCAGTCAATTTGAAACGACACCATACCAGACCAATCCCAGAACTGCTCCCATGACAATCGCGACTGGAGGACTGACGCCAAACCAGTACCCGCCAACATAGCTCGACGCCGTAACCACCACCCACCAGGGTTCCAGCGCAAGACTGGTGCCCTGCTGAAAGCCCTCGTCGATGTACCCGATCTGCCAGAGGCGATATACGGCCGTGTAAATGAGACCAACGGCGGCCGCGTTGACGCCCCTGAGCATCGACTTCACCCAGCGAAGCCCGCGCACCGCGCTCCAAATGCCCATCGTACCGTGGACCGTAATGAGACCCGGGGCGAAGATGGCAATGAAGCCCAAGACGGCCCCAGCAGCCGAGTTGTAGCCCCCGTTTATCGCCGTCAGCGAACCCAGGTACACGGCGAAATTGAAGTTTGGCCCGGGAAAGGCCTGTTGGATGGCCAGACCGATCAGGAAGTCTCGGGCAGACACCCAGCCCTCGGCGACGACATACTCCCGAAGCAGTGGGATGACGACGGGCCCACCGCCAAAGATAATTGTGCCCGCGAGGTACATGTTGGCGAAGAAGCTGAAAAGAAGCGACTTGGCCTGCAAGGTACCGCGAAGGACCATGATGACGATGAAGGTGACCAGGAAGCACACGATGACGCTGAGACCAAACTTCCACGAAAAGTTCAGCCTGCGTTCCGGTGGGATGGTGCGCGGTTCCTGTTCAGCAAAGGAGTGCCCGTCCTCAGTGAGCGGGAGGGTCGATTGTGTCGCTTCTATTGGAGCTTCGTTGGCCGGTTCTGGCGGAGGAGCAGACGCATCAACACCTCCGCCTCCCGCTCGTCGAACCCGCCTCTTCACAGCCATAGCCCTGGTGATCACTGCTCTCACCGGCTTATGGAGCCAGCGCTGGTCGTGGACCACGGTTGAAACACCAGCAAGGAACATGAGCAGCGGAAAGTACCACAGTGCGTTGTAGAGCATGCCGGCGGCAGCACCGAGAAAGACCAGAATGCGCGTCATCTTGTCGGTGATGGCCTTTTCTGACAGCTGGACTGCGGCAAGGACAATGATGCCCACTGTGGAGGCGTTCAGGCCGGAGAGCAGGGCGTATACCGGCCGGGGCAGAGACGTTCCGATATTGGACACCCCGATGGATAGTCCGTACATGCCGAAAGCTCCGGGTAAGCTGTCGCGATTGAATCAACTTCTAATATCTTACATCGAGGGATATCGACTGGCAGCTCGTCCATTCTTACCTCCATATGAAGAAGCCCAGCACAGCAGGGAGAAAGCCATCATGGATGAGATTGATGCAGTAGTGCATCTTGGTGCTGCCAGGGCCCGAGAAGGCCTGGCACACGCTGAAAAGCTCCTGGTACTGCTGGCCGATCAGCATGCATCACGTTGTGTCCCATAAAACCGTGATCACGCACCACCTGCTCGTCGATCCATTGAAGCTTCTTTACAAACTTGTCGTGAAACTGTTACGGACCAATCGGTCAGCGATTGCTCGGCCATCGTGAAACGAAAACGGACATGGAGCTGAAGACTCACAATCTTGAAGTGAACCGGTGGCCCGCCAAATGATGTGAAGCCGAGAATGTAGTTCTGGCGGATCGTGTTCCAGAATCGAGGCCCCAGGCCACGGTGAGCCTGGCGGTCCGGCTGTCCCCTGGCCATTGGCGCGATGGTAGCGGTGATGAATGAGTGTACTTGCGCCTTCCATGCACGGAGCTTAAGCCGAGAAAGCTAAGACATCAGTGGCGTATGTTTGTAGTTCAATCCCATCGTAGATGAGCAAACAAGGAGTTTGTTCTTTTTCAAGATGCTCAAATTCAGCAGCGCGACATTATTCGCAGCCACTCATTTCAGGCGGCGCCACTATTGCACCAATCTCCAAAAACACTTGTGCCCACGTGCGTGGGCATGTTGGAGTTGTCTCTCTTGGCACCGCCACGCCCATCCATCAGCCCCAAAATTCGATCCTTGCCTTTTTTGCCCACCCATGGTCTTTCCAAAGCGAGTCCCGGACTTTACATATGTAGACCGAATAGGGTGAAGGGTGCGCTCGACTCTTGCGCGCACTGGAACTCTTCAGTCCCTAGTCGCAAGACAACGGGCCTTCTACATGTAGTGAGCGACATGCCTTCCCGGGCCGGCGATAACACATGTTCCCTCGCGTTCCATAGGGGCCGCGCTGAGATTCGCCCACAGACCGTGCACGATGAAGTATCATAGCGTAGGATCTGCGAGTACATTGGAGGTATCTGACAGCCTCGGGGTAGTACAGGCAGACACTCTCTGTGGCTTGTCGGACCCCGAAGCAGGTTTGCATGCCAGTGAAACTAGCAAAGCTCATCACATGCACAACGGGAACTACTTTGTATCACGGGCCTCAACTGGCAGCTCATGCACAACAAAATGTCTCACTGACAGCGCATGCTACATACAGATGCCTGACCACATGTTGGAACGACAGCTAACATCAATGCCAATGTCTCCAGAGTAATGTCCGCAGCATCATGTGGACGGTATCCGGTCTCCTTGCGCGTCAGCCATGCCGCTCCAATAAAGCTATGACACAGGCAGCAGCATCTACGTGTCGTGTTCTTCTTGGCTTACTTGGTTACATAGATCTTGAGCAAGTTGAGCATGTTCAGCTGTGAAAACCTTCGATCATTGACGGCTGGCATTGCGATATCAGGGCCTCCTGTTCACCCCCGCAGCAGAAGAAGAGCACTTGCATCTTGATTCCCTCCCGGTGTAATGTTCATCGGCTGGACAGCACGACAGTCGGCTAAATCGCAACCTAGTCTGTCACTGATTCCAGACCCCCCCTCCCTAACAGCACGGACGTGCAACTCGCTCAACGCAACCGCTCGCCACGGCAATGGCACCGCCAATCGAGCTCGACGCAACGCTCAAGGAGCTATATGAGCTGAGCGGCAATCACCATGGGGAGATCTACCTCATCACCGTGTTCCCCACGGCCCAGGCCCAGACGATTCCCGGCCTTGCCGCGTGCAGGAAATACGCCTTTCAGGACGGCCTGTGGCCCAAGACAGGGAGCATCCAGGCTCGCCTCTTCACCCAGGTTCTGCCACAGTGGCTTGCCATGGTTGCGGGTCAGATGAAGCTTGTCATGTTCGATCTCGAGCAGCCGGGAACCGACGACGTGGATCAACAGGCCCGCGCGGATACCGCAGAAGTTTTGGGCCAGATATGCGAACGCCAGCGCCCGACAGTCATATACGTGCGGAACACATCCGATATCGTACTCCCCCCCGAGGCCGTGCTGTCGGTGGTCAGCCCGCTTCACTGCCTCGAGCACCTCCCAGCACTGGTGCCATTCGACAGCCAATATCGGGCGCTCTCGAAGCGGGACTTGGCTCTCTCCAGCGTCCCGACTCCGCCGTCTACTGTCATCGACACGGTCCTCGACGATGTCGACCAAGTCCAGGAGCCGCGACTTCGAAAGACGGAGGTAGCGCGCATACTGGGTGTCATCGAGCAGACGGCACCACCGTTTGTGATCAAGTTTCCTCAAGGACGCGGTGGCTTTGGGACCTTGATCGTGCGGAGCGAAAGCGAGCGTGCCGAGACTGTCACTCTCCTGCGTCCCGAAATCGACAACATGCTTCAGCAGCTGAACCACTCAAATCGTCACCTGCATCCGGCGAGCCTCATTGTCCAGAAAATGGTCCACGGCTCGACCGTGGCTCTTTGCATGTTCTTACCCAAGGATGGAGCCCCAATCATTTCATCTTGCACTGACCAGCTCAACGACAATCAGGGGCACTGGGAGGGCTCTCACATCGACTACTCCCAACAGTCGCGTTTAAGGGACGAGGTTATGCCCGTGGCAGAGCTGATCGGTGCCCATCTGCGTAGGCTCGGCTACTACGGCCCGGTCGGCGCGGAAATCATGATCGGCCCTAACAACGAACATTTTGTCGTCGACCTCAACGCGCGCCTGACAGCGTCGCATCTGTTGGGCTTCATGAAGGGGCACTTTAGTGTGGATCGGGGCTTGAATGACGCAGCCATCTTGGTTCCGATTGTCGACATCAGCTTGCGCGAGTTCAAAAGAAAGTTTAGCAAGGAGTTGGACGAAGGGCGGATTGTCATCGCGGGTTGGAGCCATGGACCGGAGGGAAAGCTCAATGTGACGGCCATTGTCGTGGCCGCGGAGGACATGTCGGGCCTGAACAAACTCGCGGAGCGTGTCCATGCGCTCAAGGCGGTCAGCAGCTTTGCTTCGCTGCCTACGTCTTAATTGTTAGAGACAGGCACTTCTATCACCTCCATATAGCCTTGATTCAAGATGCTGCTAAACTTAGCTGATTTTCAGACCAGAGTCAATGTCGTGTCCATAAGAATATGCACCGACATGGCGCAGGCACACGCGATGTGAGGTGGCCAGTAGCATTGAAAACATGAACGGAAGCGCAACGCTCTATTCTGGTCTTTCGCTATGGGTCTTATCGCAACATGTCTATCTTCTGTGCCCACGGTTCTTTGTGCTCGCGCAATCATCCCGGTTCTTTTCCATCAGCTTCTTAGCAATCATTAAGCGCATACGCCGTTGAAGTGCTCGCGCCTTGCCCAATATCCCGTCTGTTAAATGGTCCTCTATCGCATCCGGTTCATTCCATCGCGTCATCAAATCGTGTACCTGTACCGCGGGCTGTCGTCGCCCAGCTCCATCAGCTCGTCTTCGTCCATCTGGCGGTGCTTCTCGCTCATCTCGCCGCTCTCGCGCCGGCGGTTCGCCCGCCAGAACCAGAACCACATGAAGCCGTAAATGGCGGTGCCCATGGCCACCATGCTGAGCGATACGGCGTGCCCGCGGATGTACCGCGGCTGGTCTCCCTTGGGGCTGCGTTGTCACGGTTGTCAGCGTTCCTCCATGTAGTTGCGTGGGTGTGACGGCGTATCGAGGTAAGGACTCACTATATGTAGGCTGACATGATGCCTGCCGCGCTCGCAACGGTGAGTTGCATGCCCGTGGCTGTGGTCCGCTTTCCATAGCGAGGCGAGTTGTTCGGCAGCTGCTCCATTGTCAGTGAAAACTCACTCACACGCAACACCAATCGGCGGATTATGACTATGAGGGGCGAAACATACCCATGCCAGCGGCAGGCCGACAACGACGTACAGCCCGCCCGCGACCAGGAAGCACGCAAAGTAGTGCACCCCCGGCGCCGAGTCCGACAGCAGCACGGCATAGCCCACGGCGCTGATGGTCCCGAACACGACGCAGAAGACGCCGCGCATGCGCAGCCGGTCCGACACAAACGCCATGGACATGTAGGCGGCGGCGCCCAGGAAGTAGCACGGCACCGTCAGCAGCTGGACCTCGGCCGTCGACCACGAGCCCAGGTCGTTGATGATGGTCGGCAGAAACGTCGAGTACCCTAGCAAGCCGACGAGGCGATATGTTTAGCGTGCTGTTTCTCGGACCTGGTTTAAGTTGAAAAGGGGGGTGGACGAGAGGGACGAGAGGGACGAGAGGGACGTGTACTCACCGTAGAGCATCGTGTCGACGCCAAACTCGGCGACGCAAAACGCCCACACCTTCCAGTCGGTAAACGCCCTGCGCACGTCGCGGAAGCTAAACTCCTGACTCGACTTTGTGCTCGCATACTCGCGCTGCCTGCGCACCTCCATCATGGCCTTCTCCGCATCGCTCAGGAAATACGCCGACGCCGCATCATTAGGCAGCGCAAACCACGTCACAACGCCGAGCACCACGCTGGGCAGGCCCTCGACGATGAGGATCCATCGCCAGCCGCTCATGCCGCTCACGCCATCCATGTGGCCTATGCCGTAGGCCAGCAGGCCGCCCATCCCACCCGCGATGGCCGCGCTCACAAACAGGTACCCCACGCGCAGGGCCAGCTCGTGCTTGCTGTAGAAAAACGTCAGGTAGATGTTGAGGCCGGGGAAGAGGCCCGCCTCGACGGCGCCCAGCAGCAGGCGGCAGGCGAGCAGCGCGCCGTACGAGTTGACGAGCCCCGTGAGCGTGGCGATGACGCCCCACGCCAGCACGATGAAGGTGATCCAGCGGCGCGGCGTGAAGAGCTTGAGCACCAGGTTGGACGGCACCTGGCACAGCAGGTAGGTGACGAAGAGGATGGACACGGAGACCTGGAACTGCGTCGACGACAGGCCTAGGTCCTTCTCCAGCCCGTAGAGCCGCGCGTTGCCGATGTTGACCCTGTCGAGGAAGCTGAAGAGGTAGAGGCCCATGACGAGCGGGATGATGTGCAGGTCCAGCTTGCGCACTAGCTTGCGCTCGTCCACGCCCCGGCTCAGCTCGACGACGTCGAGGTCAACCTGCGTGGTGGGCGAGGAGCTGTCGGTTTCTGGGCCACTCGTCTCCGCCATCCTGTCGGCGCCGCCGACGGTCGAAAGGGCGCCCATGGTTGTCGATTGACTCTGTCTTGTCAACTCGGGTCGGCTATCTCAGCGACTCAAAGTTGAGTGGCGGCAGCAAACCGTCGCCCAAACGCTCAACTCTCAGCGTTGGCAGAACCCAAGTCGAAAGAGAGAACAGTGGCAGGAGCGCACAACAAAACAATGAAAAGAGCAATGAGGCAGCACTGAGGAAAACCACCACGAAAAGCTTCGCGATAGCCAGGCTTCGCCGCCCGTTATCGTCGTATGATCGCGCAAGGGGCGTCGTACGAGCCGCGTCGGTGACCGAGCCCGAGGGTTGCTGAGGAAAAGCCCTTTTTTTCTCCAGTGAGCAAGGAACCAACGCGATCCGAAACCCCCTCCAAGACACGCTCAGGCAAAAAGTAAGAAAAAGTCTCGACAGCCCGTCTCAGCAAGCCATTGGGGTCTCAGAATGTGGACGGGGGGACTGGACTGGACTCTGCCCTCTCGGGTCGGGTAACTGATTTAAAGGCGAGCTCGAGTTTGTCCGTCAGCACAGCAAGTCGGGTGTGACGCAGAAACGGACCCTGCGGCAAAGCATGGAGAAAAAACGGTTCTCTCAGACTCATAGCCGCTAGCTAGCATGCTGCATAAGAAATAGGCTCTTCTTTTTTTTCTCTCTTAAACTCCTTGCAGCTTTGCCTCTGAAACTCTAGAACCCGCCCCACCCGATACCGGCGCCCGCATTCTGCCGCAGTGTGTGTGAGTGACGGGAGTTAGTCAGCCATAACATGCGCAATTGATTCTGAACTGCCGACTCTGCTTCTCATCCATCAGCCATCAAGGGGTATGCGCTCCGAGACCCCCAATCTCCACGGCCGATGCTCTCCGGCCTGTCACGCGACGTCCAGTCAGACACACACGCGTCGGGCACAAACGAAAGAAGCAGATTCCATTTTTACAACCGTCGTCCTTGTGCTGTGCACTGGTATATCCAGAGGCCCATGGCTCTCCTCAGAGCCGGTATCGAATGTTCGCCCATGTGCCCGCTCCCGACGCATGGCATCCGCACCAATCGCCACAAGGCCGCTATCTGCTGCTTCACACTGCCCGCATCCACGGATCGGTGCACCTGCACACCGAGCGCGCGCAGAGCATCGTCACTCCTCCATAGCAGGGGGCCAGAACCAAGTTGCCCCACACCTAACAGTGCGGCCGTTCAGAGCAGGTTTCCTATGTACAGTACCGTGATTAAGATCCCAACATCGAATCCGCAACACCCGGTCGTTGGCACGCATGCCCCCGGCCCCGCTCTCAGATCGCCTCCGCTGCGCGACTGCATTGCCGTCGTGTGTCAACCGTACATGTGTGGCCAGCCACCGCCCTACCGGTAGGGCTGGCCGGGCATCTCGTACACCGGTCCGCTCTGGGGATGCGTGACCTGATGGCTGTCAATCTCCGAGGCCGCCGGGTTGTTCCACCTCGCCGCCGCGGCGTTGGTGTCGCTGCCCAGCTCGGCAGTGTTTGGCGACACGGGGCTGACTGAGTCGCCGGGAGTGGGGTGCCGAGGGAGCGCGTCTCCCAGGTGCTGGCTGTTCCGGGATGTCATGGTGGCGTTGGGGCTCGTCTGCGCGTACGCCGCGCCGTAAGGCTGGGGCTTGGCGTAGCCGGCGCGCCCGTCTCCCATGGCCGTGCCGCGATAGCCCTCGGGCGAAGTGTTGTGCTTCACCGAGTTGCGGCCCGGGGCCAGGTAGCCGGCGGCACCGACGCCCGAGCCGACAGCCGTCGATTCAGACATCGGGGTGCGGGAGCTGCCGCCGTGAGACGGGCCGACAGGCACCTCGGAGGCGCCCATGAAGTCGTCGTGGTCGGGCTTCGGGCTGCGACGGCGGCGGAGGCAGAAGAAGATGATGGCGCCGATAATGGCCAGGCCTGCGATGCCAGCGCCGACACCAATGCCGGCCTTGGCGCCCGTCGAAAGACCGCTGCTGTCGCCGCCGTTGCTGGCGCCGCCCGTGGCGGTCGACGTCTCCGTCTCAACGGACCCGGACGACATGCTGGTCGAGGTAACGACCAGAGTACTGGTGACGGTGATGGTGGTCTTGGCATTGGCCTGCTCCGTCTCAGTGACGATCGAGGTACTCGTGGTGACGTCGCTCTTGGTGGATCGGATCGTCTTGGTGACGCTGTTGACGACGGTCGAGCCGCCGCTGCCGCCCTCGGTGACGGTGACGGTGTCGGTGATGGTGGCGCGTTTCAGGAGCTGGTGCTTCTGGTGGTGCTTCTGCAGGCCAGGCGCGCCGCGCTGGACGGCCACGGGAGACGGGGCGGCCGTCGGTGCGACGTCAACATTGACCGCGGGCGCGGTGCGGGGGGCGAGATCAAGATCGACGTGTCGCTTGCGCGGGTTCACCCACTGCGTCGACGTCTCGTAGACGGTCTTGGTAGCGGTGTCGGCATTGCTGCTGGTGACGGTCGTGGTCGAAAACACAGTCGACGTGATGAGGACTGTGGTGGTGACTGTGGTGGTGAGGGTGGTGGCCTGGGTCACGTCGCCGCCGCCCGAGCCCGTCACGGTGCGAGTGACGGTGACGGTCGTGTCGCCTGCGGTCGTAGGCGGCGTCGAGGATGGCGTAGTAGGCGAGGGCGAACTGCTCGGCGTCGTGGGCGTGGGAGTCGGCGTCGTGCCAGCACCGCCGCCGGTGCCAGACGGGTTCTGGCGAACCGCGACCTGGCCGGCCTGGGCAGCGCCCAGCAGCCCGAGGGCGAGCGACAACGAGATGCGCATCTCACCGTCTGCGCGGATGAAGATTCGGCGTCGACAAGGCCTGGCGTCGCGGTCGTCGCCTTGACGGATGTCCCGGGCCTAGGAGAGGTCAAAGGGGGGAGAAAGGTGGTGTGTCGTCGGGGTGCGCTGGAAATGCTACGGCCGGCCCGTACCCCCGTCTCGCAATGACAGGAGGGACGGCAAGGGCACGGAGAGAGGGAAACGAGATGTGGACTGTAGGAAATGTAAAGGATAGTCGGCTAAGGGAGGGAAACGAATGAGCGCGGGTGGATGGAGATGAGACGGCGGGAGGAGTACGAGTTTGGGACCGCCAGGACGGACGGAGGAGGGAGCCGTTCGTTGGCTCGTGGCGCAGGGTGAGAATTGCTGCACGAGGATGACGAAGCGCCCGCCCCCCATCTCCCCCCCAAAAGCCCGGCGGCGGCCACGCAGCACCTTAGCGGACGGGCGGGCACCTCACGCACCCCGACGGGACAGTGAGGTGGACGCCAGACATGGAGCTGGGGCCCGCTGAAGTGGGTGGTGGTGGCCCAGGCTGGATGGCTGGTGCTCCCTCCCGTCGCGGACGGCGCCAGGGCCCAGGGGAGCGAGCGCTGTGCAGCCGGCGGGCAGATGGGCAGAGCTGGAGCCCTGTTCGGGTGAAGGTAGTGCGTGGTCCAGCGCTAGCGGGCGCAAGCGCCGGAGGCGAACGAACCGGCCGACCCCCACTGCGAAGCCCTCAGCCACCCAGCAGCAGCCGCCGCCACTGGCAGTTGAGGCGGGATTCCACACGCGCACAGGCGTTCCAGGTTGCCAATTGCCCGCTTGGCAGGCGACTGACAGGGACTGCTGAGAGCGAGTGCTGCTGGGTGACCACGAGGTGCCCAGGTGCCCGTCCCGCGCCATGGGTCGGCAGACGCAGCGTCGGGCCCCTTGCGGTCTAGCGACCGTCTCCCTGTGGGGAAGCCCGCCGATACGAGCTTTTCAGGGCCCGAGGCCCTCTGCGACGACGTCACCACCACCATGCACAGTCCAAACGCGCGCCTGCCCGGTTGATGGAAATGGGTCAGTCAGTCAGTCAGTCAGTCAGTCACCACGACGAACCGGAATGGGACGACTGCGATGGGATCGCATGCGAAGCCATCATCCTTCCGTAGCGGGCAGTGAGTTGCACTGCGCTGCGCTGCACCAAGGAGGTAGGTCGCAATGGATTGCAATGGACGCTCCCGTGGCAGCATGCGCCGACACGCAAAGGCCACCGCACCCCCTCCGCAGAGGCGCCGAGTCGGCCGCGCGAGACTGCCCTGCCCGTCGGGTTGGAACTGCCCCCAGACACCACGCAGCAGCGGGCATCCAGCGCCCGCCGCCCAGCTCCCAGGAAGTTCTTCACCTCCTGCTGCTGATCAGCGTCTCCTCGCCGCTCCTCTCGTGTTCGCTCATTCATCCCGTCAGCCGTCTGTCATGCGCTCATCATATAGCCCCCCCAGCCCCTCCTCGACTTGGCGGGCATCCCGTCTCGCCCGTCACGACGGGCGTCGCCACGGACATGTCCATGCGTCCGGGGGGCGGCCAACCTAGGCCTGCGCCTGCAGCCCGTGGCGCCCGCGCAAGCCGAGCCCGTCCCATCCCTTTTCGCCCCCATCATCATGCCTGCGTGCGTGCCTCCCACGCTGCCGTCACTCTGGCTGGCCCCTCCCATCATCCCGTCATCGTCTTCGACTCCCCCCTGGTCCTCGATATGTGGGGATCCCCTGCTGATCGCCTGAACATGATTTTTCTTTCTTTCTGTTTTTAAACCTCCTCCATCCCCCACCCCCTTGCTCCGTACGAAAATCTCCGGCGCTGCCGCTGCCACTCACCCACTGCCTTGCCCGTGCAACGACGGGTACATAGGTAGGTAAATAGCCGGGCGGGCGCTTCTCCGCCACCGGGCAATGGGCAATGGGTTGAGGTAGTTTGTCTTTTGTGTCACCTACCGCGACGCGCTCGCTGCTTGCTTGCTTGCTTGCTTGCTTGCTGCTGCATCGCGCGGCGCCGGCGCTGCACTTCTTGGGGAAAGCTGAAAGCCGGCAGGGTCCAAATGTTGACGCCCAGCTCATTTTAAAGTTTGCGTGAGACAGACGAGAGCCGGGCCACTTGTGCCCTCCCAAGGAGAACACGTGTGCCCGTCGCCGTCGCCGCCGCCGCCGCCGCCGGGAGAGCCGCCCGGGAGAACCAACCTCATTAAACTGAAGTCTGCCGGGCCGCAGAGACATGCATAACGCAGGCCCCAGCCTTGGCTTTTTCTTTTTGCTCGCTGCAAGGAACCCGTCGGCGCTGCAGCCAGCCAGGCACGCACGCACGCACGTCACGCGGTGAGGCTGGCCGCTTGTAAACTCAAGTTCAAGTCGTACAAAGTACCTTGATATACTATGTGACCAGACGACCCTGGGCAATCTAAGCCCTTCCGTCCTGTAAATACATTCATGCCATCCTCCTCTTCATCCCCCGGTCCAGGTATTGCCGTTCTGTCCGCCGCCCATGCCCGGCCGTGCTCGTCATATGCAGTCCTTTCCCGGCCCTGCCGCCCCAATTACCCCCCAGTTCTTCTTTGCCGCCTCGCGTCTCCGTCTATATAAGTGTCTGCGTCCTGCGCACGTGTGCCGCCCAGAACAGGGTCGACGTAAAAGGAGCGAGCGGAAGAAGAAAAGAGGCCGACAGCGAGTGCAGAAGCGAAAATGGGGGGGGATGAGTGGTTCTGGCGGGAAAAGAAGCAAATAAAAAAATGCGACAGGGCCTCCTCCATCTAGATGAGTAGTAACTTGGTCCGCCTCCATATACAGCCGAGAAAGTGGTATCCAACGCGCGCAGAGTCTAAAAGTTTTCCTTTCCCCAGACAAACGAGAACCTGTCACGCTCAGTTAGCATTTTCTCGCTTTCTCCTTCTCTCTGGCAGGAGTCTGCAGGTCCAGCCATCATGCCATAACTCACCCTGGTTCCGTGTACTTGTTGCAGTAGACGTGCAGCGCGCTGCCCAGGCCCTTGGGCCCGCAGAAGAAGACGCCCGCCTCGCCGGGGGCGTGCAGCTTGCGGATGCCGCGAAAGATCATGTCCCAGTTGGGCCGGCCAAAGTTGGTCGGGCTGCGCAGGCCCGTGATGGTGTCCTTGTCGGCGTTGGCGTCGTTGATCATGATGTTGGTCGCGTCGTCGGCCTTGATCTTGGCCGTCAGGTACGTGTGGATCTCGATGCGGTGCTCCAGGTCCTGCGCCTCGACGGCCAGCAGCAGCGAGCGGAACCACTCAAAGGACCCGAAGTCGCGGCAGATCCAGAAGAAGTACACCTTGGACAGCCGCGTGCGCGTCTGCGGGTAGTTCATCCGGTACCAGATGCTCTTGAGGATCGACGCGAACGGCGTCACGCCGATGCCCGCGCCCACCAGGATCGACACCTCGTACTTGAAGACGTCCTCGGACGCCGACCCGAACGGCCCGTCGATGTAGACGCGCGGCAGCACGCGCCGGAGCGCCGGGTCGACCCCGTTGGCGCCGCCGCCGGCCGAGTCCACGCCCACCACCTTGCTCGCATCGCCGCCGCCGCCTTTGCCGCCGCCTCCTCCTCCCCCCCTCTTGCCCCATTCGCAGCCCAGCGCCTGCGACACCGCCATGGTGAAGTCGCCTTGGCACCGCATGTGGATCGAGATGTAGTCCTCCTCGGGCGCGCTCGTCAGCGTAAACGGGTGGTACTGCCACAGCGAGACGGCCGGGCAGCAGAAGAAGATGTACTGGCCCGCGCGCGTCTTGGTGTGCTCCTTCTTGATCTGGATCTCGCACACCTGGCTCGGGTGCTGGATGACCTTGGAGATGTACGTCTTGTGGCGGCCGCGCAGCTCGCGGGCCACGCGCTCGGCCAGGTACGCGAAGCCGCCGTACATCCAGTACTGCCAGAAGACGCCGATGGCCGAGGCGCCGATGCTGGAGCAAAAGGGCGCCACGTCGGGCTGGATCATGCAGAAGGCGCCGTGGATGGCCCAGAAGAAGAAGAAGAGGATGAACATGTGGTGCGTGTACCAGAAGCGCTCGTAGTTTGCGCGGCGCGGCTTCTCGACCGACGTCACCACCATGCCCATGAGCGCGATGAGCATGATGTAGCCCGTCCAGCCCGGCCCGCTGGCAAAGTTGGCAAGCAGCCAGCCGTAGAAGCCCAGCTTGTTCTTGGCCGCCACCTGCGCAAAGTTGTTCCAGTGGGCGATGGTGTGCACCCACGACCAGAAGACGATGGACCACGCCGTCGTGATGTGGAACGTGATGTTCTTGTCGAACTGGATGATGCCGTTGAGCGGCGTCTGCCGCAGCAGCGAGATGAGCGTCCGGCACACGGGGAACAGGATGATGCCCACGTCCACGTGCAGCACCACCGCCGACGCTCGCGCGATGACGTACGTGAAGCCGAAGATGTCGCGCGCCGATTGTAAGCTGTCCTTCATGGCGTAGTGCACGCACGCAAACGAGAAGATGAGCGCGTGCGTGAGCATGAAGACGAAGACGAACCTGCAAGGGGATAACTTGAATCAGCACACGACGGCAGCAGGGCCAGCTGGGTGGTCGGGGACCATCTGCTCGACCTACACTCTTCGGTAGCCCTCGTTGATCATCCAGCGGTCAAACTTTTCCCTCGCCGACAGCTCTTGCTGCTTCTCCTGCGTCATCTCGCCCGAGAGCAGCATCCGCGTCAGGGGCGTCCATCTTGACCGTTCCGTGGGCTTGTCGTAGCCCCCAAAATCGTAGCTCATCTTGGCCGCCTGCGAGGTCGCCTCGACTTGGTCCGCGTCTCGTTGTGGTTGGCGTCGGTTTGCCTGTCCCGCGGGCCCGTCGCAGCCCGTCCGCACCCAGGACAGCAAACGCTGTTGAGAAGTCTCTCCCCTAGTGTCGAGGTGCCGTCGCCGCTGCTGCTGTCGTCGCTATCGTCGTTGCTGCCGCCGTCCGTAGCCCTTGCTCTGTCCAGTCCCTCTCGAAACGCTGCTCGTGAATGAATGCGGTGTGTAATTACTGGTTGTCGGGCAACCCTTTTCGATTCAGAGCCAGTCTGAATTTCGCAACTCGGCAATAAGCCAACAATAAGGTGAAGTGAAGTGAAGTCGAGGCTGCCTCAGCACAGGAAGCGAACGAGTGGACGGTGCGTGAAGCCTGACATGGCCGAGGACGATCAGTTCAGGGACGCCATGCAAGGTAGGTAGGTAGACGGGCAGGTAGATGACAGGAGGAAAGACGCGTGGGCTGTGGCCAAACAACGAGATGAAGGCAGGGCAGCGCAGGACGACGACGCAGCCAGGCTCTGTCGAGGGTTTATGCGCCGTCCCCTTCCGCGGCCAGACTTGAAACGGCCCGCGGCGTGGCGCCAGGGAGATCATACATACCACGAAAATCAGTGGGCTGATGTAGAGCGGATAATTACTTATTAGGCTTGGCTCTGCCTCATGCGCGGCACGAAGAAGAGGCGGGCTGGAGGGAATGCGTTTGAAGAAAGGGTGAGGAAGCGAGAGAATGAAGACAGAAGGAGAGAGTTGCGATGGGGATATGCCAGCCAAGGACTCGCAAGGGCCGACCTGGGCAGACAACAAGGGACTACCACGGTTCTTGGATTGTCAGAGCGGGCGCCCGCCAGGGGACTAGCCGTTGTTATCTAGGCAGGACCCTTTGGTACGGAGCAGACCGAACGATTGAAGCCGTGCGGGTGGCCGTGCAGCTCTCATCGTCGGCGAGGGAGCCGGCACGCATGTGCACCAGGCAGCTTGGCGACCCGTCCAAGCAGCGGCTACGGCTCCAAACTGTGGTCGCACAACGCCGGCGGCAGCCTCCCACAGGGCGCCGGAAGTGTGGGGGCCCCAGCCGACCGTCGACCTGCGACACTGGGGCCGTTGGAGAGTGCTCAGGGCGCCTGCAGGCCGGCCAATCGAGCCCACCTGCACCGTACTCTGCCGCGTTCGACCATCCTATGTTTCTGTGTTCCGTCTCGCGAGACAGGCCCAGACGCGCAAGCGACAATTCTGCACATGCCGCCTCTCCCGGGCTCGTCATATCATAACCCATCCTTCTGCCCGTGACGACCCAGCGCTTAGGATTGCAAAGCGCCGCGGCGGCCGTTTTCAATTCTCTCGTCAACGCGGTTTCACCTCAGCCTGTCCACCCCCTGGCTACCACCGTTGCGGGCGGGGCCATCGACCCATCCGCCAACCCCCTGTCCGCCGCCCGTCTGAGCGCCCCCGTCGCGCGAAGAAATGCCCCGATGTTCCTGCACTGCACCGGGCCCCGGGGCCACCCACCACCAAGAGATCCCCTAACAGCGTGCACTGCCATCACCACCACCACCATCGCCGCCCGCCGTCCTTCCTCCCCCCACCGTGTCGGATGCACCTCCGTGAAACGCCCTGCGACGGCCACCGTCGCGCCACGCCGCCCAACCCAACCGCTAGCCTCCCCCAGGCCTCACGCAACCGTGGCTGCTCCCTCTCTGACACAAAACCTCCAACGGTGTGAAATGTAAGAGCGAGGACATGCTCGTATGCGCCAGGCCGTGGCAGGCTGCCCGCGGAATCCGTCCTCGACCATTTCCGAGCCGTCCAATCGGTATCCCACATGCGCCTCGTTTCCCGCGTCCCGTCGCCTGTGCGCCACGTATTCTGGTCAGCCTCTGCGTCCGCGATGCTCTCGCATGCCAGACCATGTATAGGTGGCGCTCCTCATCCCCGGCCCACAAGTATCACGGCAGGCCGTGGATGCTGCCGTTGAATCCCGGCCGGCCCGGCCAGCCGCGCTCGACGGCCAAACGCTGCTAGCTTCCTCGACATATGCAGGCTCGTCGCCTGCTGTAGATCTCCCAAGACCAGACGAAGATACATTCGCCTTCCATTGCCGGGCTTGACTCGTGTCCACGTCCGCTTCAAGTCTCATCCTGGCGACGCTCCTGTCATGCACGTCAATCCGCGTTGCCATGATCGCTGCAGCAGATGAGCCCGTAGTAACCACGCCATCCCGTATCACGCACTGTCACCGCCCAACCTACCGGAGCCGACATCAGAAAAGTCACATAAACTCTGCGAGCACGTCAAGTCCCGGGCCGCCACGTAAAGAGAGCGAGATGCAGTGTATTCGCTGCCTGTTTCTGCATGCCAAAAACACATACGTCAATGCAAACCAATAGCCCAGCCGCATGATATCCCTTTAAAGCTGATGTGTTTGTCTAGCCTCGCCCCTCGCCCCCCGCTGGGCTGCGCTTCTCGTTCTCAATCTCCCCAGATATCCCTGACCGATGTTCCCCAGCACCACCAGCCTCCGCCGCAAAAGTCGAAGTCATCATCGTTACACGTCCTCGACCTAGACAGCGTACTTCCTAGTCCACTCCCTGGCCGTGGCCTCGTATCGGGGTCGGTCCGTCTTGTACACGTGGGCGATCTCGGGCACAAGAGGGTCGTCGGGGTTGGGGTCTGTCAACATGGAGCAGATGGAGAGAAGGACTGCACGTCATATTTGTCAGCAGCCTGCACATAAGTCGCCATCGAAACACGAAGGGGCGGATACACACCTTTGCTAATGGTCAGAGCAGGGCTCCACTGGTCCCTCAGGATGTCAAGACAGATGCTGCCGTTGGAGTTGATGTTGGGGTGGTAGATGCGAGTCGTGAAGTTGACCTTGGGCGGCTTGAAGGGGTAGTCGGTGGGGAAGTGGATGGCAAGGAAGAAGACACCACCAGAGTACGGAGACTCGCCCTGTGCCAGTCAGTATGCGTGCTTGTGGAGGATCTCGAGCCCCGAGGCCCATCAACCTGGCGCAGCCCGGACGAGCCGACAGCAGTTCATTCTCGTTCCAGGTCGGGACGCGGGCGGTGGGCTGGCAGGCAGGCAGAGCGGCTGGGGGAGTGCTTACCGGTCCCATGATGGTTGCTTGCCAGTGAAACTATCGCAAGGTCAGCCATCAAGAACAACAAGAAGACGACGTGACCTTGATGGCCGCGACACTCGACTGGGCGACCCGGTGAGGGGTTGCCGCAGTGTGGCACGATCAAGTCCGGGGGTTGACATACCAGATCCTCGCCAACGGGTCCAGCGGAGCAAGACGACGGCGGGTCACTGAAGAGCGGTCAGCCAACTTTATCTTGCAAGGAATCAGTGCATCGTGAGGGTATCTCAGCCGAGTCTTGGGGGTGTTGCGGTCACGAGCGTCGCTCGAGTCTCGAGTCCATCCCCGAAAAAAGACCCCGCTCACACTCAGCCCCACCTCACACTTGGGCTGCAAACGCCCTCACGAGGCACTTGGGGGGGTAGGGGTTCTCACCGGCCGAGGTCAGTCAGCTCCTTGTTAATGCGCTTAAGAGCCATTTCTGTGGTGTGTGTGTAAAGGCGCGAAAGGTGATCGCTTCGTTGATGGACTGCAGGCTGGCAAGCGGACGTTAGCGGCGGTTGCGGCGGCGGGCGGACAGGCGGGTGCAGGAAAAGACGGGAGATGACGCACCTCAACGAGGGAGGGGGCGACGACTTCTTCGGGGAGAGGAAGAAGACGCGGGAGACGGAGACGAAGGGAGGGCCGTTCGAAAACTCGACGCTCGTGAGGCTCTAGGTCGGTTGCAGGAGGGCAAAACGTTGATCGCGGTCGTTGATGGTCGTGACGGGGTATGTGCAGCGTCGAAGTGGTTCAGGAAGAAAGAAGAGCCAAGTCACGGCGGCGCCTGGCGAAATGACCTGGTGGCTCACAGGCTGGGCAGGCAGGCGGGCGGGACGATTGGCGGTGGCCACTGGCCCAGCCGGTGGCTGCTGACTGTTCCAGGTCCCCGTTGTGCGCCCGTGCCAGTTGGCTAGGGTCCCGTTTCCTCCAGTGACGGCCGCCGGCCGCTTGGGCAGGCTCAGCCCGCCCAGCCCAGCCAGCCCAGGCGGACAGGGCAGCCTCAGTCAGGATTTTCCCGCCGCCCCAGCCTGCTCTGCGCCTCCGAGCTGGGCGTTGGAGGCGCCACCCACTGCCGTGGTCGGTGCTGGGCACCGCCACCAGCACGGCTCACCGGGCTGGCAGCGACACGATCGCCACGAAGCATTGACTCATGCACTAACACGGACCCGCACAATTACCCACGCTGAAGTGCTAAGAGTTTTCTCGCATCGCGGTACTGCGTCCTGCCGGGGTGGCCGCCCTTTTTTTGTTGTTTCGGTTGCCACGGCCTTCTCTGGCTTTCGACGCGCCCAGTTGGGCTGGGCTGCCCGGCCATGCCCTTGCCGTCGCGACATCCCCCGGCTCTTCCAAGGGCGTCCCCTTTCTGTCGACATCTGATCCATCAGATAACAGTCAGTCAGCATTAGCAACCGGGACCAACTGCAACTGTGATGACACAAGCACTGCCGAGGCCGTACGACATGGCCGGGCCCGTCTCACGCGATCCGATGCCGCACCCTCAGTGCCCAGCGGGCGATGCGCCATCGAGCGGGCGCTCCAAGCGTGATCCACTCTTGGTACGCCGGCGCCGCTGTTCGGGCCGTCCATGACGTTTCGCCCGCCGCCCCGGAACCGCACGCTGGCACTCCCGGTCTGGCCCCGAGATGCAGCGACGGTATGACAGAGACAGCAAGTCGTCCCGAATCACTGCTGTCGGACGTACATGTGCCACGTTTTATTATTTTAGGCCTGTAGATCTACATGCAGCTGCTGGGCGTCATATCCCTGTTTACCGTCCCCGCCGGATTGCCAGTCGGACATGCCGAGGCTCAGTGCCGGACATCGTGGTTGACCGTCTACACAAACGCCTGGATACCCGTAATGGCGCGCCCCAAAATCAGACCTGTGCAATGCTGTCAGCCGTGTTCAATCAAGGATAATCATCCATCGTTATGACGTACTGTGAATGTCGCTCTGGCCCTCGTACGTCTGCGTCACAAACAGGTTGGCCACGTGGCGGCCGATGGCATACTCGTCGCTCACCGCGTTGCCGCCAAAGATCTCCTGCAGCACGCGCGCGTTGCGGAGCGCCGTATCGCAGTTCTGCCGCTTGACCATGCTGATCATCTCGGGCGTCGCCTTGCCCTCGTCCTTGAGGCGGCCAACCTGGATAGACGCCAAGACGCCATACGAGGCGTCCGTCGCCGCGTCGGCAAGCTTCTTCTGGATCAGCTGGTACTTGGCCAGCGGGTTGCCCTTGAACTGCTTGCGCTCCAGCGCGTACGTCCGCGCGCGGGCGATGGAGTCCTCCAGCGCGCCCATGACGCCCATCGAGATGCCGTAGCGGGCGCTGTTGAGGCAGCTAAAGGGGCCCTTGAGGCCTTCGACGTCGGGGAACATGTTGGCCTCGGGCACGGGGCACTCGTCGAGCTGAATCATGCCCGTGATGGACGCGCGCAGGCCGTTCTTGTCCTTGATGGCCGGCGTCTCCAGCGTGCCCGGCGGGCAGTCCTTGCGCTCGACCAGGAAGCCGCGGATCTTGCCCGTCTCCTGCAGCTTGGCCCAGACGAGCAGGACGTCGGCGATGGGGCTGTTCGTGATCCACGTCTTGGCGCCGCTGAGCGAGTAGTAGCCCTTCTTGGTCGGGTGCGGCTTGGCGACGCTCTCCATGCTGCCCGGATCGCTGCCGTGGTTGGGCTCCGTCAGGCCAAAGGCACCGAGCAGCTTGCCCTTGGCCATCTCCGGCAGGAACCTTTGCTTCTGCTCTTCCGTTCCGAACTCGTAGATGCCGCCCATGACCAGCGAGGACTGCACCGACATGCCTGATCGGTAGCCAGAGTCCACGCGCTCCACGGCGCGCGTGATGAGGGCGCCGGCGACCGACGACACGCCCGCGCAGCCGTAGCCCTCGATGTTGGCGCCGAGCAGGCCGAGCTCACCCATCTCCTCGAGAATCTTGGGGTCGTAGTGCTCGTCGCGATAGGCCTCTAGACAGCAGCCGAGGTTAGCCATGGTTCGACGCAGGTGCACAGCCCAGGCGGTGGCGAGGGCGCTTACGCAGGACGCGGGGCTGCAGCCGCTCCTGGCAGTACCTCTCTGCCGTCTCTTGGATGGCGAGCTCCTCCTCAGTCAAGAGGTTCCGCGACGCCAGGGGGTCCTGCCAGTCAAAGGCCGCCTTGTTGCCAGCCGAGGCGAAGCTCCGCGAAGCCATTGGCCGCATGGGCGCCTTTGCGCCGGCTCGCGCGACGTTCCGCGCGACGTGTCTGAACATGGTGACGGAGCTCCTGCGTTGGCAGATGGATCTCGGGGCGTCCTCGGGTGGAGAGGGAGGTGTTTAAGAAGTCAAGTTCCGTATTAGCCAGGAGTCGGGAGAGAAGTAGGCCAGCTTGGCCGTCGGCTCGGCTATGGATCCATGCGATATCGCTACAGACCCCGGTCTCCCCCGCGTCAGGAACGGCCCCGAGCCACCGACGGAACCCGCGGGGGCACCCCACTGTAGCGGCGGGCTGCCCTGCCAGCGCTCCAATCCCAGCGCCTACACAGCGCCCCCAACCCATGCCAGACGGTCCTGGTTGCATGACTTCGGCAGTCCCAGCGCCTGTCTCTCCGTTTTGCAGCCTAAAAGGGCTAGCTGAGTCCTCCGGGTGTAAGTCGCTCGTCAAGATCACGACATCACGAACGGATTAAAAAGGGAGAACGCAGGCACCTCTAGCGAGGGAGAGTCCTTTGAGCGCGATGCATCTATCATGTGAAGCAATGCCGTATTTACTATCGCGTGAGGCAGCGGCGGTAAGGTATACATGCACAAGAGTCAGGTTAGGCAGCGCCATCACTCTCCTTGCTCCCGGCATCCGCCCGTCTTGCCATGCGACTTAGTCTATCGAGCTCTTCCGTCGCCACTGTCATGGCCGCCATTGCCAGCAGAGGGCTTGCTCCTCCGCCTCCGAAGGGGCTGTGCCCAAACGAGCTGGTCACGTCTGATGATCCGCCAATGCCCTGCGAGTCCCGCGCCCGTCGCCGTCGCTCTCGCGGGTCTCGAGACCCCGTCGTCGACGCGCCAGATGAACCCTTGGCCAGTTGAGGCGAGTCCCACGGCCGGTGGAAGCGGAACCGCGGGCCCCAGCGGTGGGAAGGTTTCGTCGGGGTGTCGGGCTGCGATTGGGACCGGCGACGGCCGTTGCTGAGGGGTGAATTATCAGAACCACAACTCGCCTCCTGCAGGCATGCGATCATCAGCCAACTAGCTGCACCTTCGGCGTCCGGGATCACGGTGTCCCTACCCATTCGCGCATTTGGCGGTTCAGTTCCGGACATGAGATCATGCAGCGGTTGACGCGATGCGGTGCCCTCTGGCCGGGCTTGCGACTAGCGGCACCCAGAGAGTGGTGAAATCTCTGCCCAGACCTGCCTCCCTCAGGATACAAAGGCAGGCGTGAAGCTGCCTTGGGTTCGCGCACTGGGTCGATCGGGTCGCCGGGACGAACTGATGCCGACCCTTCGCCGGGAAGTGCTGAAGCAGGCTCGATGCCTGAAGGGGAGCTGGTGGCAGCCATGGTGAAAGCAATAGCCGCGCCAGGCGTCGCATGCCGGCGCGGTAGAACTGATCAGGATGTTGGTTGGAGGTTGCGTGCGACTTGTAACTGTCTTCGATCGCTGTAGAACGGCCGGCTCACGTAACCTTGGCAACGCCACCCGTCTGATGCGATGCAACGGCAGCTGCAAGGCCAGGCTGCTGTTCCATTGTCGACTGTGGCTGCGCCATAGAAGCGGCAAGTGCATGGCACTTTCACTCGGGCGGGCCTCTTCTGGACTGCTTTTTCGCGCTCGCCTTTTTCTTGTGCTTGATTCGCTCCTCGTGAAAGCGCTTTTCACTGTGACCTTGTCAGCCAGTGCCTAGAGCCAGGAAAGCAAGTCCCTTACACTTCCTGATACTTGGACTTCTTTTCGGCGCTCGTCTCGGCAGGCGTCTTTTCTTGATACATGCGCGTCACCTCATCCATGAGCTTGCGCCTGTTTTCGTCCACGTTTGCCGTCCTCGAACGATGGGTCTGCGCCTGAAATGTGAGGGCATCGTTGCTGGCGGTGTAGTACTTGGACGCCCGAACGCTGCCATGCAAGAATGAAGGCATCACCGAGAGCAGTTCCTGGACTGGGTAGACCGTGGTCGCCTTGGTCTCGGTTCTGGGTGCGCCGTTAGCATCTTCTGCTGCCCTTTTCTTTGATCCGACGTATGCGCTTACTTGTTCACATGCTGACCACCAGGTCCACTGGACCTGGCATATGTCGTATTGCCTTTGGGCAGCTGAGATGCATCGAAGCTTTGATACCATGAGCGTGCCTCGGCCAGAGCATCCTGGTCGAGGTGAGAATCAAAGGCAGAGTATCGCTTGTATCTGACAAAGGAGGCCGGTATGATTACTATTGCTGGGGCTGGTTTGAATAGACGCAACGCCAGCGATGCACGCGAGATCATCATGGTATCGCGTGTAAATGTGTGTCGTCAGGCCGTTAAATCTGAGGCAGAGAATGAGAATGAGCATGGTTGATCACAGCCACGAAGACGGGGAGTGGCTGGAGTGGAGGTCACGTGGGGCCCGTTCCCCTGGCTACCCGGTGCCACTGGGTCTGACGCCGTTATCATTCAATTGCCAGTTCACAACAACTCCTACCCAACCCGGCTCAACGAGTTTGAAGTTTAATATTCCTTCGCATTATGGAATTTCTTTGCCTTTGAGCTAATCTGCCACCACCAGTGCCGGCCTCGTATGTGGCCATGTGTTGTCTCACCATGGAGGCTGACGCAGAAACCACACGTGTGGCAGATACCATGGGATTCAGGAGGACGTGTGCATTACAGGCATCCAAAAAAGCCCCTTCTATTGGTTCCTCTATAAACGGGCCGTGAGGCGACATCTTCCGCGCGCCTACTGCATCTCAATGGTGCCGGGCGGCTTTCCCGTGACATTGTACTCGACGTTGGCGACACCCTCAACCTCGTTAACGATGCGGCGAGCGACCTTCATGACGAACTCCATGTCAAATGGATAGGCGTCAGCGGTCATGAAATCGGTCGTCACGACGGCCCGGAGGCTGATGATGTATCCCTCCTCACGCTTGTCGCCCATGACGCCAACCATCTTGTTGGTGAGCAGACCGGCGTAGGCTTGGCTGATTTTGTTGTAGAGGCCCGCCTCCTTGATCATGCCAATGAAAATATGATCGGCCTTTCGGGCAATCTCGACGCGCTCGGGCGTGACCTCGCCGATGATGCGGATCGCGATGCCGGGACCGGGGAAGGGATGTCTCATAACGAGCTCCTCGTTGATGCCCAACTGGCGGCCAAGGGCTCGAACCTCACTGTGTTATGTGGTCAGCAGTGTCCTCGTGCGCAGGATGTACCGACTGGTGGGGTGTGGCGGCTCACTCTTTGAAGAGTTCTCTGAGAGGCTGTTTCGGTCAGCATTGCGTTACATGACTGTTGCCGGGTTATCTCACCTCAATCAGCTTCAGCCCCTGACCGTCCATCATGCGTTGCGGCAGACCGCCGACATTGTGGTGGGTCTTGATGGTGGACGACGGGCCTTTGAAGGAAATGGACTCGATCACATCCGGGTACAGTGTTCCCTGAAGGAACCACTCAACCTTGCCGGCATTGGGTGTGTTCTCAGCCGCCTTCTCAATCCTGACGGCCTCCTCCTCGAAAATGTCGATGAAGGTGTTGCCAATGAACTTGCGCTTCTTCTCGGGGTCCTCGACGCCCTTGAGACCTCCGAGGAACTTTTGCGACGCATCTACGACCGTGAGGTTGATGCCGAGATGCTCCTGCAGGGTCTCCTTGACCTGCTTGCATTCGTTGAGGCGCATCACGCCGTTGTCGACGAGCACGGCATGAAAGCGGTCACCAATCGCCTCCTTCACTGTAGATGGAGTTAGCATTCAGTGCGCTGGATATGTAGAAATTGAGGCTCGAGGCACGCACTCAGCTTGGCTGCGACAGTAGAGTCGACACCGCCAGACACGGCGCCAATGACCTGAGCCTTGTCGCCGACGAGCTTTCGGATCCGAACGATCTCCTGGTCGATAAAGTTGGACATGTTCCAGTTGGCCTTGGCGCCGCAGATGCCGACCGCAAAGTTCTTGAGCATGTCCTTCCCGCGCAGGGAGTGGGTGACCTCGGGGTGGAACTGAAGGCCAAAGATGGGCTTGGTCTCATGGGCAATGCCGGCATAAGGTGAGTTTTGCGTCGTGGCGATGGTGACGAAGCCCTCGGGCAGCTTGCCCAGCTTGTCGCCGTGGCTCATCCAGACTTGAGTCTCCTTCTCATGCAGGCCCTCGAAGAGACGGTCGACATTGCTGTTGTGGCGGTGGGGAACGAGTTCCTATCGGCTACTGTCAGTCTGGCGGTTTCACGCGGCACTCGGTCAGGGCTCTCATACCGCGTAACCGTATTCGCGCTCAGTGCCGGCAATGACATTGTCCTTGCTCAGTCGCCAGCCAATCTCCTGCAGGCCGTAGCAGATGCCCAGGATCGGGACACCAAGCTCGAAGAATGCAGGGTCCGCGTCTGGCAGAAGACGTCAACGGAGCGAACTCTGCTGGCGATTCGTGGATACTTACGAGGAGCGTCCTTCTCATAGACCGAGTTGGGGCCTGTTTCTTGTTCAACAAGCGTGCTCATGAGATAATTGGCTACGGCAGGATGTGTACTGACCGCCAGACAGAATGATGCCCTTGGGCTTAAAAGGCAAGTCGGCAAGCTTGGTGGTGCACGGCAGCATCTCACTGTAGACCTGGGCGGTGTGAGCGGCCAGAGGGCCAAACGGGGCGTTCCCTGTCATCGGTGCTTACATTGAGCTCGCGCAGACGCCTCGTGATGAGGTGCGTCACTTGGGAGCCAAAGTCGAGCGTCAGGATGGTCTATAGGACGAGTGTTAGGCCTCACTTCAGAATTCGGACGCAGCAGTGCATTGCCCCGCCATGCACGGCAGACGGTGCCCCGGCACGGGCAACGCAAACTGGACGAGGTCGGGACTCACGTCATAGGCCTGGTGAGGCGCCTCGGCCTGCTCAACGTTGGAAGACATCTCGCTCGAATTGGAGGACCTGCAGGGCCAAGAGTGCACTTTTGCTCAAGCGATCGAGGGTGCGATGTTGATGTCTCCGGCCGTCTCAGAAAAAAGTTGGAGGGGCTGCTCGCTTGAAGTCAGTCACCGGCGACAGGGTCGTTCCGAAAAGGGAATGGCGTCGCTCAGATTTTCCGGTCCCGCAAGGCATGCCTGAGGTGGTGCTCCACTGCCAGCGGCCCTAAGGTTGTCCTTTGCGGCGCCGCCCAAGGCCCCAGGGCCCCCCAACCCAACCCAACCCAACCCAAGCGGGAGCCAGCTCGTCGTCAATCCAGCTCGGCCCAGCCTCTCCTCTCTTCTCCTCTCCACCATCCACCATCTCACCTCACTGCCATCCATCGGAGCCCTGGCCATCTCCAACCCGACTCGCTCGCTCGCGCACACACTCGTCCAGTCTGCACCGTTGATCTCTTGCCAGCGCTCCCGAGGCGCTCTGCCCAGTGACGAGCGAGCCGCGCGTCTGTTCGAGATAGCCCTGCGACACCCGCACCGTTCGCATCGGCCGTGATATCCCTGCGACTTGTCACCCCCAAAACCCGCGGGACCTGCATCCTCGGTGATGGCAGCATCTGGCTCCTGCTGACTGCCACCTCCACACGCCTTCTCCTCCCCCACCAATCGACAAGCCCAGCTCGCCTGGCCTTTGCTCGCCTCGACCCGACGACCGAGCCCAACACGCGCGCCCCGTTTGACGTCTGCTCCTTGCGACCGTAGAGGCTGCTGATCGTGCTGACGCATCGACCGTCCGGGGTCCAGCCCAGAGTGTCTTTATCCCATCGCACCCGTCCTTGAGCCCTTGCTCTCCATCCGCGCTTTCATGACAGAGCCGGCCGAAGCAGAAGTCCAGGCCACCGCGAACCTGTCTCCAGTATCGCCTGCGCCTGTTCACACGGCTGCCCCCCTCGTGGTGCCTGCGCTGCAGGACACCGTCGACACCATCGACGCCATGGTCGCTGCCGCCGCGACGCTCGCCGAACCAAACGGCGTGGCCAACGACGCCGTTCCTGTCGATCCGGCCGTCCTCGGTGACGCTGCCCCAAGCGGCGATGGAACCGCCGACGTAGTAGATGATGACAGCTTCAACGACCCGTACGGCGACGACATCAACGACGCCGCCCCCGAAGCCACCGTGCCGCAGCCCCAGTCGGTAGCCGACAACGACGACTATGCCAAGACGTTCGACTCTCCCATCGAGCCGGAGGAAGGGGACGGACGGGACGCCGAGCAGAATGTATCAGAGCAGCTGGCAGAATCCAACGTTGTATCAGCTTCGCCGTCCGATCACTTGACCGCCGAGCACGCATCAGAACCTGTCCATGACGCCGTCGCGCATGTCCCAGCTGTCCCGACTGCCCAAGACGCCGCCGCTCCAACAGCGGATGAGCAGGCGCCCCTATCCGCAGCACAGCCGGACCCTGCCACCGGCCAGCTCGGTCTCACACTGCCGTCCGTCGGTCCCCAGGAGCAGGCCGGCACATCGTCTGCGGTCCCGTCCGACGCCCCAGCGCAACACGACCCCGCAAATTCGGAAACGCAAGATCCCGGAGTTGACATCCAACAGCTCATGGCTGACCTGACATCTCCTCCAGCCGCGCCCAGCGCCGATGCGGCTTCGGCCATGCCGCCTGCCGGTGTTGAGGCCGACCCGTCGGCGAGCTCTGCCCCCATGACCCCGTCCACTGCCTTGCCCTCCTCTTCTTCTCTCCCACCGAGACCCCCTATGCCGCTTCCAACGCCGCAGTCCTATGGAGCCCAGCAGCCAGCCCATTCGTCCACTCCGAGCGTCACCGCCGTGCCGTCTGCTTCCGCTCAGCCTTTGCCCCATGCCACTGGTCCCCCGGGATCGTCCACCGATGGTCCGGCCAGTCTTCCAGCCCCTCCGGCCGGCGGCGTGAATACTCATTCTCTCCATGCCCAAGCTGCTCTCGGACACCCAGGCGACGGTCGACAAGAGGGCGACTATCAGCGGCAGTGGGACCAGTTCATGGCCGACGAGCGCCAGTACATGTCCGAGGCCAAATGGGATCGCTTCCCGGAGGGATCCCGCATCTTCATTGGTATGGACTTGCGCCTCTCCTCGCGCAAGATGAAAGTTCTGACCGCGGTGATGTAGGAAACCTCTCCAGCGACAAGGTCTCAAAGAGAGATGTATTCGATGTCTTCCACAAATACGGCAGGCTCGCTCAGATTTCTTTGAAGTCCGCTTACGGGTTCGTCCAGTACCACACCGTGGATGAGGGGCGCCTGGCGATGGAGAACTTGCAGGGCATCGAGATCAAGGGCCGCCGCATCCGTAAGTTGGACCTCAAGCTGCGCGATTGGGTAGTCCCACTGAAGACGAAGCAGATCTTGAGATCTCTCGAGCTCAAGAAAAGTCCAAGAAGGAGCGAAACCGCAGCCCGGACAGAGGTAGGGGACGTCGAAGCGATAAGCGAAATCAAAATCGCGACGACTATCGGCCGGGACGCAACCAGTCACCCCGCCGCAGCGACTTCCACTCACGGGAAGAGGGATACGGCCGAGACGGTGGGGCCTTCGAGCCGGGACGTGGGGGACGCGGTCGCTCGCGCTCTCCGGGGTACGGGCGAAACGATCGTGACTCGTACCGGAGGCGCAGCCCTAGCCCATATGGGCGATCTCGACGCGAGCCCGAACTGGACTTGCCTAGGAGGTACGGTCCCGATGTCCCCGACGTTCAGATCATCATGCAGCCCGACGTCAGCCGTGACTTTGCAACCTGGGTAGAGGGTGGCTTCAGAGCCAAGGGCCTCAAGACTGAGGTAATGTATATTCATCCACGGATCCCCAAGGACCAGGTCATCCAGCGGCAAGCCGCAGAGGGCGTGCACGGAGTCGTAGACTTGGATATGCGCGCACAGAGCCTCGGACGAATCCCAGTGCAGGCCTTTGACCGGTCCGGCGGAGGCAACAACATTCGATTCGATCAATACGTGGATCTGGACCCCGGCACGGCGGCCGAGGTCATCGCGCGGGCCAAGTCATCGGCGGCCCCCAGCTATGGACAGGCGTACGGCGCGCCGTCTGGATACGGGCAGCCAAATCCCTATGGCCCTCAGCATCAGCACCCAGCGCACGCCGCCGGCTATCCCGGTCCGCAGCATGCCAACCCTTACCCGCCGCAGCAGCAGGGCCAGCCGGGCGCACCAGACATTGCCAGCTTGATGGGACAGGTCGATAACGCCACACTGCAGCGTCTGCTGTCATCGATGCAAGGAGGGCAAGTGGCCGTCCCGGGCGCACCAGCAGGGTACGGGGTCAACCCGCCCGGCCCGCCTGCCAACCAACAGGTGGATATACAGGCCATCCTGGGCAGCCTAGGTGGTCAGGCTCCCGCGCAGCCCGCTCCTCATCAGGGGCAGTATGGGGGTGCGTACGGCGCGCCGGCACCTGGCGCTCCCAACGGCGCGAACGCAAACGACCCTGCGGCTCAAGCACAGGTGCAAAACATTATGGCGCAGCTGGCGAGATATCGACAGTAGAGCAGTTGCTGCTGGGACACCCGGCGCCCACTATTCTTGCGGTTTAGAGCAGCGAGCGAGAGACATTCGGGAAGACTGTTGAGCTGGCGTTGGGAGAAACTGGGTATCTTTGCTGGTAATGCGTCTCAGGCATCTGCAAGTTGACGGCATGGCACTCTCCCATCTTTGCTTTACTTTACCACCTCGCTAGGTAGACTATCCAAGTTGCAATGCAACAACGCTGCAAATGCGTACAAATGGCTATTGTGATGCTCACCACCCGAAACTCTCGCCGTGCCACCACAGCCTCCTCCCTTTCATGACCCACGGCCTCACGCGGCGCCTCACTTCCAAAGTCATCTCGGTGGGGCCGCAGACAAGCACAGCAACCGGCTCCTCCAGCCCGTGGGAGAAGGCCTCGTCGACAATCTTGCCAAGGTCCGGCCTCTTGCGGCGGTTCTGCGCCCCCAGCCTCCCGCCAACGCGCCGCAGGGGTTCCATCTCTACAGCCCCAGCGTGACTGCCGTCAGCGTCGGAGCCCACGTCGCCCGTCAGGTACAGCTGCACGCTGTCGTCTTCGAGAATAGTCTTGTCGGGGGAGCCGGCCGAGACGGCCCAAGCGGCGTCACCGGCACGGCGGAGCGCCCAGACCAGCTGCACCTTGGACGAGGGCAGCTCGCTCTGCAGCGCCTGGAAGACGGGCACGGCAAAGGTCGCGCCGACACCACCCGCGACGACGAGGACCCGCGCGGCGCCCCAGTTGAGCAGGTCGTGGAAGTGCTTGGCCATGGATCCGTACGGGCCCTCGATGCCGAGGGGTATCGTGCGCGCCTCGGTCGCGGGACCGGGCGTGGCGGCGGCGAAGGCGTTTAGCACGCCGGTCATGGGCCCTTCTCTGGTGCGTGCGATGAAGGTGATGCTGCCGTCGCTCTCGTCCACGGACGCGACGGTGAAGGGGTTGTAGAGGTAGTCGAACACGCCGGACTGGGACACCGGGGTGGCGGCCGTGCGGCTCTCTGGCGGGACGCTGAGGTAGATGTGCAGGCCCGGGAACGCCTGAAACGAGGCGAGTTTCTGACGCGGGATCGTGGACGTGACTTTGACGAGGCCGGTGCCCGACATGGCTTGCAGCGTCGACGGCGCCTTGATGGTTGTGACCCTGCGCACACCCAAGTCGACGAGGAAAATGACAAACGTCTCAACAATGTACAGCCTCAGGCCCGGCGCATGAAAGAAGATCAACACGGGGATAAACAGCGAGGCCACGAGATGCGTAATGAAGAAGAGCCGGTACGAGTACCGCCTCGCCGCGACAGTCGAGGTGGTCGCGATGGCGAGGATGCCCGCCGCGGCGATGACGCCGCAGAAGACGATGGGCGCGAAGAAGCGCCGCAGCCAGATGCCCGCGTAGAAGAAGTAGCCGTTGTAGAAGACGATGTGCAGCGCGAGCAGCGCAAAGACGATGCGCCCCAGCACGCGGTGGTAGCGGTTGACTTCCTCGTGCGAGGAGCCCAGCGCCCACGCGAAGGGGTTGAGCGGCTTGAGGGCCAGGAGGTACTGGATAGGGAACTGCGAGACGGCAATGGCGCCGAACCGCTTGGTGAGGTGGAAGTAGTCTGCACGGGTGCGTTTTCCCTGTCAGTTTTCGAAGGGTGGAGGATGAGGAGGAGGTGTAGCAGGTTCATGGGATATGTGAGACGGAGGACGACGAACCTGTGCCCGTGTCGAGGACGCACAGAACCAGCAGCCAGGTCGTCCACGCCAGTCCGAGGAGCCACTGGTCGCGCTGGCCCCAGTGCGCGCCGCGGAAGAAGACGTCGTCGCGCAGCCACCAGACGAGCTTCTGCCACTGCTGCGCGAGCGAGCTGGACGAGGCGAGGCGCCGGGCCTTTGCGACGGGCGAGCTGGGAACCTGCTCGTACGCGGCTGTGCTGGCGGACCGTCCCACGCTGGGGACGCGGCGCGCGAGGCGGTAGAGCAGGAAGAGGAGCGCCGGGGCGAGGGCCGAGTAGTGCGCGATGCAGGCGTACAGGTCGATGGTCTGCCGGCGGAGCAGCTTCTCCTCGTGGGTGAGGCTGGGGACGCCGTACGGCCAGCCCATGATGGCGGTCGTTGGGAGATCTGGACGTTGATATGCCCGTCGCGTGACGCGATTGAACGGGTTACGAGCGTGCAACGATGAGCGGCGACTCGATCGGTCAACCTACGAGTCTCAGACCAGCTGCTTGTGGACAATTGGTCATCCAGAGCTCAGCAGCGTTGGCGGTTGGTGGTGGTTACGGGGGAAAAGCACCACGAGGCCCGGTCACCACGACTGTCGTGGAAGCAAGGCACGGAGCAGCGCGTCACGGGCCCCAGACGGTTGTCCAAAAGGAAAGCGGGTGGCGCTCGGCGGTGCCTGGCCCTGATCTGAGGCTGAAGCGGATGAAGATGCCGCGCATATGCAGGAGAAAGCGACAGGTGTTTGCAGCGAGAGACTAACACGGGCGAGCTTGGGACGGGCGGCGCGAGATAGGATGGAGGACCCTGGGCATTGGGGGGGGGCGTTGTGTGGCACATTGCGTTATGGGAGTTGGGCTGGCCTTGATTGGCGGCCGGCCAGAAACTACCAAAACGGTGTGGCTATCGGAAAACGGAGCATCTCAAACGTTGGAAAACGTGGTGACTGTGAGTGTTGCTGTGGGCGGCGGCCATACAACAGGACAATATGGGATGCACCAGCGCGGCCATCGGTCCTGCCTTGCCCCCTGCCACCAATGCTCGGAGTATCTCGCTGCTCGGGTGCTGTGCCGCTCTTCTCTTCCGAGCCTGCGATTGCGGGTGCAGCATCTCCGGCGAAGTGGTGACTCATGGAGCTGACAATGCGCGCCCAGTTGCGGTGTGATGATGATGATGATGATAATTATTTAACGTCCGGGAGCTATAATGACAGCTGAAAGCCCCTATTGGAGCAAAGGACGTGCTGGGCTAGCTAAGGTACAGGAACATCCCGCCTCTCTATCCAGCATCTCAACGGCACGAGGGCGCTCTATCGGCGAAGGGGCATTCCCGTCAGCGGGAAAGAACCCCGCCCAGTCCAGAATTCTCTTGCACAGGTAGACATAATCCAGCTCCAGGCCCCATAGCCCAGGAGCCGTGTCTTCTCCATCGCCAGTAGCTACGATGGTAGCTGCACAGCCGTGGGGAAAATCCCTCAATGGGGCCAAAAACCCACGGCAACTAGGACGCTGTTGTCTGAACGGAAGCTCGTTCCAATCCAGGGCCATCGATGAGAGCTCTGCATCATGTGGCCCAGCGATTTGTCTGTTATTGTGGTATTTGCAAAGCCCGGCGATGGCACGGGCGTCAGCCGAAGCTGCTGAAGAAGAAGTGTGTCTCTGGGCAACAGGTGTTGCAGACGTCGGTCGGGGCGGCTTTTCGTAGCCGCTGTGAGCGGTGGCATCAACATGATGCTGTCGGGGGGGTTCGGGGGCGTTTTGGGCCCAAGAAGGTCGTAGGCTGTAGAAGCCAGAGTCGGGGGGCGTATCGAGGCCCAAATGTCGCGGTGAGAAGCCGGCCAGTCAGGCTGGAGGCACCAGTGTTATCTGGGCAGCAGGTGCTGCAGATATTGTCGGAGCGGAGGCGAGCCGCGAAGGTAGCTGAGATCGCATGGTCCCAAGTGGTCGGAGGGCAGTCTTGCCCGGAAGGTCGCGAGCGGCGGTGAGCCAGACGAGCAGACAATGCTGCGTCCGAGCGGCCGAGGCTGTGGCGAAAGGCGCGAGCACAATGGCTCTGGTTGTGACGACGAGCACCGCGAGCGAAGGTGAACTCTCCAAATCCCTTCGTCGAGGCAGCTGTTAGGGCCACGATGGGCACCGAGCTGCAGGTGCTGTCAAGTGGCCTGTGGAAAATCCCATGGCTTAGCGAGGCGCTAACAGCGCCAGGCGAGCAGAGATTTTTACAGGGGAGAGTTGCCCAGTTGCGGTGTCACAAACTGCGGCACGGCCTCCAGGGTAGGCCACTTTCCCATGGCGGGGTGACACCAAGACACGCCAAAAAGTGCGAGACAGTGTCCCGCCACCAACAGCAGCAGCGAGAGCAGCACCCAAAATTGCCCCACGCAGTCCCGCCCCCCTCTGTCTGTCCATCCAGGGACCCCGCAGTCGAGCCGATCTCGCCCGCCCGCCCGCCAGTTTTGCTTGCACCATTTCAAGCCACGCCCAAAATTTTCTTGCTCCCGTCCCCGTCTTCCTCTCTCCTCAAAGCCCTCACCTCTCGCCCTTTTCCTCTTCTCTGCTCCTGCTCAGCTCGAGTCTCACTCATCTCTCAATCCCCTCCATTCCTCCCCAGATACCCCCACTCCTTCCACAACCGCCACAATGTCTGCCGACTACGCCCTGTCTGCGTCTCACAAGGAGGTTCGCCTTCCCCTCGCGCTCCCCCAGTCATGGACCTCTCCAGACTTGCTAACCCGGAGCCGCTTGCAGATGCTGGAGAAGTCTCTCCTGGAGTCCGACCCCGAGGTCGCCTCCATCATGGTACGTCTTCTCCATCCCAATGGCTTTCCGCCCGCAGCAGCTGACCCCCGCCACAGAAGGATGAGGTCCAGCGCCAGCGCGAGTCCATCGTGCTCATCGCCTCCGAGAACATCACCTCGCGGGCCGTCTTCGACGCCCTCGGCTCCCCCATGTCCAACAAGTACTCCGAGGGCTACCCCGGCGCCCGCTACTACGGCGGCAACCAGCACATTGACCAGATCGAGCTGCTGTGCCAGAAGCGTGCCCTCGAGGCCTTCCACCTCGACTCCGACAAGTGGGGTGTCAACGTCCAGTGCCTGTCCGGCAGCCCTGCCAACCTCCAGGTCTATCAGGCCATCATGCCCCCTCACGGCCGCCTCATGGGCCTTGACCTCCCCCACGGTGGCCACTTGAGCCACGGCTACCAGACCCCCCAGCGCAAGTGAGTCGAGCCCGATAATGCCGCAGCGCAATGCCTGCATGATGGAAGACCTGGGACCCCGGAAGCTAACGAGAGACACCAGGATCTCCGCCGTCTCCACATACTTTGAGACCTTCCCCTACCGTGTCAACCTCGAGACTGGCATCATCGACTACGACCAGCTCGAGAAGAACGCCATCCTGTACCGCCCCAAGATCCTCGTCGCCGGTACCTCGGCCTACTGCCGCCTCATCGACTACGAGCGCATGCGCAAGATTGCCGACCTCGTCGGCGCCTACCTCGTCGTCGACATGGCCCACATCTCCGGCCTCATCGCCGCCGAGGTCATCCCCACCCCCTTCAAGTACGCCGACGTCGTCACCACCACGACCCACAAGTCGCTCCGTGGCCCCCGTGGTGCCATGATCTTCTTCCGCAAGGGCGTCCGCTCCGTCGACGCCAAGACGGGCAAGGAGACCCTCTACGACCTCGAGAACCCCATCAACTTCTCCGTCTTCCCCGGCCATCAGGGCGGCCCCCACAACCACACCATCACCGCCCTGGCCGTTGCCCTGAAGCAGGCCCAGACCGCCGACTTCAAGGCCTACCAGGAGCAGGTCGTCGCCAACGCCAAGGCCCTCGAGAATACCTTCAAGACCCTTGGCCACAAGCTCGTCGCCGACGGCACCGACAGCCACATGGTCCTCCTCGACCTCCGCCAGCACAGCCTGGACGGCGCCCGCGTCGAGGCCGTCCTCGAGCAGATCAACATTGCCTGCAACAAGAACTCCATCCCCGGCGATAAGAGCGCCCTGACCCCCTGCGGCATCCGCATCGGCACCCCCGCCATGACCAGCCGTGGCTTCGGTGAGAAGGACTTCGAGCGCGTGGCCAAGTACATCGATGAGAGCATCAAGATCTGCAAGGACGTCCAGGGCGCCCTGCCCAAGGAGGCCAACAAGCTCAAGGACTTCAAGGCCAAGGTCGCCAGCGGCGAGGTTCCCCGCATCAACGAGCTCCGCAAGGAGATCTCGGCCTGGACCAGCGCCTTCCCCCTCCCCGTTGAGGGCTGGCGCCTCGACGCCGGCATCTGATCCGGCGCGGCCGTGTTTTGTCCGCCGAGGACAACGTGACGACCCACCTGCGAGTGGGCCGTCCGCATTGACGAGGACCAAAATGGGAGGGATATCAGCTCTGCATCCGCTGCATTTAACATGGATGAGGCAAATGGCGAATGTTCAACAACTTGCATTTCAACGGCTGGCGTTCTTCTTTGTTTTGGCTGAGGGAACCTATCTATGATCAAAAGGAAAGGGAAAGACTTGGAGTTTCTACGAGGGGATGTTTTTATCCATGGGTCAAGAGCCGACAAATACCTATCTGTTTGTCTATTTGTCTTGTCTTCAGTGTACTTTTGGTACATCGCGCACTCTTCCCTGTCCATAGCTGAGGCGCTCAACGCTCCGAATTGGACAGCGGTCAGGCCAGCCTGCTTCAACAAGTTTGGCTGGCCAACCATTCTATCATCATCACGATGTTCATTCACACACTGCCTTGCACAACTACTGTACGTGATTGCAATCAATTCTCGACTTTCGTGCCTGTGCTCCCGTGGTATACTTGTCGTCTTTTGTCATTTGCTCGCTTTCGATTCGAATGCCACGCACGCGCCCTTGCTCCTCAGATCCAGTATAACCCGAACAGCTTCGACAACGCCGCCGCCGCCACCACCACACCCTCCCACGGTAACAAGCCAGCCCGGCCGGCCTGCCTGCCGTTCAACTAAATAATAGGTAATTTCGTCCCCAGCGCCGAAAACCTCCAGTCGCAAAAGACGAAACAAAACACCCCGCCCAGCCTTGCCTTGCCCCGCCCTGCCCTGCCCCTTTCTCGCCAACCGTTTGATACGCTGTGGAATCCAATACACCACCCTCCCATCGCCAATCCCCAATCCCCCGGTCCATCTTGACGGATGTCATCATCCCCCCGCATCTAGAGTACAAAGGAGAAGGAAAAGAATAACAAGGAAATGCAAAAGAAGAAGAGGAAGAGGAAGAGACATGTCGCACCAGAGGCTCCTTCGGAGCAGCCACTGGGTCTCGCCGCGGCCAAGAAGCTCCTCCCCTGACCGTCCATTACATCCAATAACCGCCGAGGTCCGAGTGCGGAATGTCCAAGTCTTTGCGGGATCTCAACGGAGGCGCAAGGGGCGACAGGCCGCCAGCTCCGCCAGAAGAAACGTCAACGTCAAACTTTTTGAGCCGTCCGCGCCGCTCCCAGATAAGGTAGTGTGCCCGCCGCCCAAAAGCCAAAAAGAAGTACGCGGTGACCCGGTCAGCGACGCCGTGCCCAACACCAACCGCAACGCCCCAACCGCGTCATCCAGGCACAGGTTGGCGCGTAAAAAAGAAATCGATACAAATCATGACAGGACCAAAGCGATCCTGCCGGGGTATGCTGCGAAGTGGCAAAACGCGACCAAGAAAAACTATTTGAAAAACTGTGTAGAAAGACAAGAAGGAATACAAAGTTCGACATGCCTTCCAACCACTTTCGATCTTGTAATGCAACTCCAGACCTTGAATTCGTCTTGGCGCTCTTTCTGGTCGCTCGAAGCATGACGTGAGATCCAAAAAGGTCGTAAATGCGTCGTTGGTCGTTGCTCTGCGTAGGCTTTGTATGTACAGTCATCATCCACGCATCGCCCGAGGCTGAAATCGTCTCTGGTCCTACTGAGCGATGCTCTCCGGGCTCATCATGCCGATCGTGTCGTCCTTGTCCGTCTGGCTGGTGCCCGCCTGGCTTTGCATGCTGTCTGTCCGCTCCATGCCGGCGCCCAGCGCGAGGACGGCGGGGTTCGGCGCCGTCGTGCCGTTGGGCAGGTTGGCCGCCGACTTCTTGACGGGCGTGTTGTTGGTCGACCCGGCCGCCTTGTCTGAGGCGGCATTGGCCTTGGCCTCGGCCGCCGCCGCCAACTCCATCTTCTTCTTCTTCTTGGCCAGCGCCAGCTGTTCCTTGGGAGGCCGCTTCTGAGCAGACATGATCTTGCCGCTCGCGCCGAGTCGAGGCCGCGGCTTCCTCTGCTTGACGGGGAGATCCTCGTCCTCCACCAGAGGCTGGTCGCCGTTGGCGTGCAGCTTGGCGAGGAAGAAGTTCTTGACCAGGCCAATCTGGTCCTGGATGTTTTCCTTGGTGACGGGGTCGGCAGGCGCCAGGGCCTCGAACATGTCGGCCGTGTCCCCCGTGGTGGTCTGCGACTGCATCTGGTACTGGTTCCGTACTCGGCTGTGCAGCAGATGGAACGGTACGGCGAAAGAGTCGAGACCCATTTCCTTGTCGAGGCCAAGCGCGCGGAAGCCGAAAAAGTCCTCGCCGAGGTCGTCGGCAAAGTCGCCGCTCGTGAACTGTTCGCTGCCGTCGTTGAAGGCACCAACACCGTCAGCACCAGCCTCCGCCGAGAGCGCTGGCCGCAGGAGATCCGTCAGGTGCAACTTCATCCGCTCGTGCAGGACGCCGAGCTTGCTGCTAAGTCGGTCGACGTCGTCCTTGACGTAAGCATCCAGCGATGGCACGTCGTGACCGTTCTCTTCCAGCGTGTGCAGAAGCACCTCCTCCGGAGTGAAACGAGGCCGAACTTCGGTGCCCGTCGGTGTCTGCACCGTCATCCTCTCTGCCTCGCGGTAAACTTGGAACGTGCGTGTGATTGTCTGGAAGTAGTCGGCTGCGATGCCGGTCAGAGCGTCGATCGCCGAGGGCTGCAGCTCCTCGAAGCCGGTGTGGTACAGAATCTTCGCGACGGACCGCTTCAACGCGTCTTGACAGGTGTGTGGCGCCATGACAGGCCCATCGTCGGCAATAAAGTGAGGCTCGATATCCTGCTCGACAAAGGGCACCGTGTTGGACTTGGGAAACTGGTTGGTGTACACCTGCGACTGGACTTGCATCTGCTTGATGACAGAAATCTTGGTCGCGAGCTTCCGCGTCTCCTGGATCTGGTGAATGTTGTCGTCCATCTTCTTGGTCAGTCGGCTCTGAGGGGCAACAAAGGACCCCGCCGGAACAAGCCTCAGGAACTCCTCGTGCTGGTTAATGACCTGGCCCTCGCCATCCTCGATCCACTGCAGGTTCGACTGAATGTCAGGGATGCTGCTGAGGGAGTCGTAGTAGTCGGGGAGAACTCGTTCGGCCTCTTCCTCGATCCCCTCAGCCAGCGTCTCGGGCGCCTTGTTGTTTGCCCCCTTTGCCACGCTCAGGGGGCCGCCGAGATGCGGGTGGTTCGCAATGCCAAGCGCCTCGGCCTCCTTTTGGTTCTTCAGAAAGTGCCTCATGCCAGCCTTGCTTCGAAGAAGAGCGGGCGCATCGACGTTCAAGTTGTTGTCCTTGAACAGTTGATGCCGTTCCTTGGCGACAAGAGCGCGGTCCTTCTTAGTGGTCTGTTTCCACACCTTGTACTCGTCGTCTTCGTAGGCCTGCTCCACGGCCTCTCCAAAAGCAGAATTCAACGCCATGCCGTTCAGGCTCGGTCCATCAATGTCCATGGCATCGACATTGCTCGCAATTCCCGAGTGGCCGTTGATGGCGCCGCTCGGGGTGATGGAGCCGCCGATTGGCGTGGCAAAACCGTTGCTCCCGTCAACTGCCTCTGACCCTTCGCGGCCATGCTTTCCCAACAGACCATTGAGCTGCAGAACGGGCTTCTGATCGACGACCGGGGTCTCTTCCTTTTGGTCGCTGGGGGCCTTTCGAGACTTGTTGGCGCCTTTCGTGGCGGCCTTGCGACCACGAGACGACATTATCGGCTCGTCGTCGCTGTCGTCGCCATTGTCATCGTCGCCGCCGTTCTGCTTCCGTCGCTCCTCGGCTTCCACTTCGGCGCGAGAACGGATCGCGAGGTCGGGAATGAGCGGGATGAGCTTCTCGGCCTCCTTCCTCATGCCGTTCGCCATGCGGCGCAAAGGATGGTTCATGTCTTGGTTGTACTTGAGGCAGTTGTCCCATATTAGATTCAGGTCCGCGACAAAATCCACTTTGGACTTGTACGTAAGCGACTTGAGCTTTTTCGTCATCGTGCCCAGGTCCATTGGGTTCTTGATGACTTTTCACATTGTTAGTTTGCTATACCGCTTCTTCGCGTTGGGCGTGCGCTTACAGTTGTAGTAATCAGGGGCGTCCCTCTTGTTGACACGCGTCAAGAAGGGCGTCGAATACTCCGTGTGCGCCTTGAGCTCCGTCAAGACCTTCTCGAGAGCCTCATACAGCTCTTCCTGGTTGACATTCTCCTCGCTGGCCCATTTGCTTCGATTCTTGCGGACTTCGTTCATGAGCAGGCGCAGCTCGGCGTCCGAGGCCCGGACCTGATCGCGTTTCATGTCTATCCTGGCAATGAGGTGCTTGAGAGTAAGGCTGGACGCGCCGAGGTTCGCGCTGCTCAGAGAGCCCTGCCCGGCCGCCTGGGCACCCGCATTGGAGGTGTTGTGGTCCATCTCAGCCTGGAGCTGCTTCTCCGAGTCTTCTAGCCGCTGCTGCTCGAGCATGGCTGTTCGATCGTTTTCGAGCGTGTGGAAGATGGTGTGGAAGCTCTTGCGCGCGGCTTCTTCCGTGGCAAGCCGCGCCTCTTCGAGCTTCTTGATGCCATCGTCGCCAGTCTTTTCCTTGAACGGCAGGCCATCCGGCCCCTTGGTCTTGTCTCCCTGTTTCGGAGAGTTGACCGAGTGGACGGGGGAGCTGCCGGACTTGGAGGGGGAGAGCAGGGAACTCGCCGCCGCGACGGCCGCGTTCTGAGGCTTCACCGCGGACGCGGGCTGTGAGTCCTCCTCGTCCTCCTCATCATCATCATCATCGTCGTCGTAGTTGTCTTCGTCGATGGCGCGTTTGGCCTTCTTGCGCGGCGGCTCTTTGATTGGTTCGTGGTCGGTCGTGGGCGGCAGGGTGACGGTCGGGGTGGGGGGTTGGCGCCGGAGCGCAGCAATCGCGTCGATATTGTACGAGCCGTCATCAGCAAACAACAGCGCGACCTTGTCCTCGGTCTTGCGATACAGATCGGCGAAGAGAGCGCGCCGGTTCTCTTCCTCGATGTCGACTGGTGCCTCAGGCATCAACCCGATGATGTTGTCGACCGGGGTCTGGGTGCGCGCCGGGCCATCGTCGAGGTGATGCAAAGAGCGGCTGCTGTTTGTATGCTGCAAGGCGGGAGGCGGCCAGGCTGGCTGGCCGTTGGGGAGAGACATTTCGGGCCCGTGGCGATGAAAGCGACGACACGGCGCGTTGTCGCCATGCGCGGACGGGGCGCTCGCGTAGGGCCGGGACGGGGGGGGTTGGAGACTTCAAAGCAGCATCGGTGGAAAGAGCGGCTTCGACATAGATGGAGCGCGCGGTTTCGCGACGATCGGCGTTGCGCTGGCGGAGCTTTGATGGCTCGCGTCTGGAGCGATTTGGCTGCGTATCGACAGATGAGGTTGAGGGTGATGGTTTGGCGCACCCTGCTCCGTACAGGTGCCAGAGCGGGACTTTCCCACCCCCGGAGGGACAGAGGCCAGCGCTGGGCAGGGTACCCGTACGGCGAGGCCGGTACCTGCGCCAGCAGGACCGTGCGATCAGCTCGCAGCGACACGCGCAGTGATGAGAACTCAGCCCCGTGGTCGCGAATTTCGAAATCAAAGTTGCCGTTAGAAAATTGCTTCGATCAAATGGGTTTCTGTCAGTTTTCTCAACCAGCCGTGCTGTTGCGTTTCGTTGTGGACATCGGGAAGCAGGTACCTGGGGCCTGGTCAGGTACCTCTGGGGTCCGCCGGCACCGATGATGCGACCAGCAGCGCCGCCAAAGTCATGGGAGAGATCACGTGACAGACCGACCGTGAGCCTGCGCAGGGGCGTGGTGTCGTCGTCAAAGCAGCTGTTCCGCCGCCGCCCACACATCCAGACGCCCAGACGGCCAAAAATAGAATGAAAATTGCCAATAAACTCGACAGCAAACCGGCAACTGCTGGGCATTCGGCAGTAAGTATATCTGTCTATGTACTGGTGGCGCCAGTGCGACGTGGGCGGAGGATGAAGTCACAGGTACTGCCCTTGTACCCTCTCTCCACAATACCGGGCCACAGTTACCGTTCCGGTACAGAGCGAAGCCACAGAGACTCCAGCAGCTGATCCCTGCCCCGGCGCAGTGTCACAGCACCTTTGCCCAACGCGGGCAGCTGCTCTTGGCCATAGCTTCCCGGTCAGCCAACATCCATGACAGCTTGCTTGCGACGCTCCTCTCATACCGCCGTGCCGTCTCGTCTCGCCCATCTCTTCCTGCTCTGCCCATCCGTCTGCGCGAGCGACCCTTGAGCGGCTCCATACCTCACGCCTCAAACCCTGATCCGGGCTCTGCGAACGTCGTGGCCAACTTGCCGGCTGTGGCAAACATAATATTCCCGGTTCGTCGGAGGCGCCTGCGTTGCGGACACGTCAGTGCAACGACGTCGAGATGCGAATAAGGCTACCCTTTGCAGGTTCGTCGCCGGACGCAGGCCAAGTTTGTTGCAACATGTGGCACTAATGTAGCCATTCCAGGTGTCTTCCTGCTCCTGCTACTGCTCGCCGGTTACGCCGGTCTCTCCACGCTCCAGCTCGGCGACTATGTCAACGACAAAGTCCTCCACCTCGTCACCTTCTTCGCCCTCACCATCGTCTTCTACTGGATCGTTGACACGAACCGCCGGCGCACCCTCAACATGACGCTCATAGTATGCACCCTCATCCTGGGCGTGGGCTCCGAGTTCGTGCAGAGCTTCCTCCCCAACGATCGCGATTTCGACATGTACGACATCGTTGCAAACGTGGTGGGTAGTCTTGCCGGGCTGGGGCTGTGCTCTTGGTACCACAAGCGCATGCTGGAGCGGCGGAGGCAGCGCAAGACATACAACGCCGTCCCTGGCGAAGACGCCGACGATGTCGAGCTCGGCGAAGACCACGAGACGGGCGTGACCGATGGGCCATCTCGGGGCATGACGCTAGAGGAGGAGGTGGACAATTGGGACGAGAACGCACCCGACGATTGGGACGACGGCGACGCCGCCCAGCAGTCGGGAGTGACGGCCGCCAAAGAGCCAGACACTGTCGACATTGGAGATGCGAAGAAGCGAACGGACTGAAGGGCTGCCATCGCCAAGAACCGTAAAGACGGCTGGTCTTGCCACACATGATTACGACAATGCGACGCTGCTTTCGGGCGTTGGGGTCACTCATTTGCACGGATGGGAACTCACTGAAAGGATTGTATGATCAACGAATAAGCGAATTGAAAGCCATGGTATTTCTGCAAGTCCATACGCCATGCTAATGTCCGCCCTCTCATAACGCAGCTCCAGCATTATTTCCCCAATCCGCTTCACGGCTCTGCCAAGCCAGTATTTAATCCCCGTTTCCATCTTCAGTGCCCAAAAATGCAGCTGCTTCCCGAATGATCGGGCGTACCGCAGGAACACGGTCGCGGCGGCCCCATCTGTGGCCTGCTTCCGAGCGACTCTGAAACTGCATTGGCGACATGTGCTCGCTCCGCCTCGGTCGCCGGCTGCGGGGGCATGAGAACGCCGCTGGCCATTGGCACGGGTTGGTCTGGCCCGGCAATCTTGTTCGTCGTTCGAATCTTCCTGGCCCTTGCCTTTCTCTTGCCACGGCGGGCCATGGCCTTTCTTCCGAGAATCGCCTGCAAGGTCAAGTCCTTGACTCGGTGGATCCATTGCGGTGACTCGGAGGGGAAAGGTGCTGGGTGGTATTCGGGGAACAGCGCTGTCTTGTCGCTGTCATTGTCGTGGCCCCAGCTCCCAATGGTGTAATCTGTGTCACCTGGTTTGTCAGGGTTCACCCTATCGGCCAGGTACTCATCGTCCAGCGACCTTGGTGGAGTGCCGTCCTGCATGAACGCCGGGGCAGCACTCAGGGACAGTCTTGGGGACCCAGAGGCGTTGGATGCCGAGGAATCGAAGTAGCCCGAGTCGCGGCCCTCCTCTAGGCCGGCAGGTCGAGTCGGTTTAGCGGCGCCGCTCGGGGTCGGTCCGCTGGCAGCTACATCAGGCGTCGCATCCCTGCCAGACGGTGTTGCAGTATTCATCATGGGTCGAATGGACGACGCGAAGGGCGAGGTTTTGCCCGGATTGCCAAAACGCGAGAAAAAAAAGAAGCAAGGCGCTTTGTAGTCGTTGTTCCCTTCCCTATTTTATAACATCGCCCGTCTGAGGCTTTGTTGATCGTGGGGTGCATTTCCTGGCGTTTTGAACTTTCTGCAAGCCGAAAGGCAGTTGGCATAGTAGCCCGTCGGGTCGATTCCGTCTCACCTGTTTGTCCATGACGCATTGAACCAAATCGTAGCCAAAGGTTCGATTCACGAACAAGCCTGGCTACTGTTGATGGCAATGCGCAGGCATCGACCCGCCGCTAGGGCCTGGATGCTGTCTACAAAGTACCGAACGGGCTTGTTCGCCTTGTCCAACATCCTGTAAGCACAGTCTTGCCGTACTGCCTGCGAATTCACCGCTCGTGAGTCCTAAAGTCGGTCACATCCTAAAGTCAATCACAACAATGCGCCGCCGAGTCTGGGTTTCGGAGTCGCCAACCTGCCATCATGCGCCGTGGAAGCTTAAGTCGTTACCCTACCCTAGACAAGCGTAGCCAAGGTGAGCCAAGGACCTCGGTGTGCCTACCCCACCTTGACCTGACTCACCGAGGTGAGCAACCCACTGTCGAATGTCGCCAGCTGCAAAAGCTCCAAGCTGCATCCATCTCCACCGCGTCCCAAGGAGAGGTACGGCACCGACCATGGCGACCACAGACAAGTCGCCGGCCACGAGGTGAGTCTGCAAGCTCCCAGCGCCACTGGCTGCGTGAGGCTTTTGCTAACCGAGGGGGCCCCTTGGCAGTGCCAAAGATGCGACGCCCACAAATCCGCGGGGAATCCCCTACGCGCCGTTTGTCGACAACGTCGAAGACTACGTCGCAACCCGCCAAGATGTTGAACCTACGCTGCGGAGCTTCCAGGAAATGATTTCGTGAGTCCTCTCGCGCCAATCGACCCGAAATGGTAGCGATGGGAGCTAGGACAGCGTGGTAACCATGCGCAGGAAGTACCAGTTCATGGAGATGAACCTCCAGCGACGGATGGGAGGCCTGAAGGACAAGATTCCCGATATACAAAAGACCCTAGAAACAGTCCAGTTCTTGAAGCTGAGAAAGGTAAGACAGTTAACGGCAGGGTGTGGCAGCCGCTGACGTTGGGCGCAGGACGAGATCGAACCCATCGAATCCACCTTTGAGCTCAACGAGACGCTCTACGCCAGAGCAAACATTCCGCCGACAGACGAAGTTTACATCTGGTTGGGAGTAAGTTGCCCTCTGAGTGTTGGGACGACGCCGGAAAGCTAACGACGACCGCAGGCCAACGTTATGCTGTCGTATCCGGTTGACGAGGCCGAGACGCTGTTGTCGTCGAAGCTGTCAACGGCCAAGACGAGCCTGTCCAACTGCGAGGAGGACTTGGACTTTCTACGGGAACAGATTACGGTATGTCAACTACGGCGCATTCTAACCGATTCTCCTCCCGGCTAACTTTGTCTAGACCATGGAGGTAGCCATTGCGCGGGTATACAACTGGGAGGTCGTTCAGAAGCGAAAAGACAAGGTGACGGAAGAAGAGGAAAAGAAGCAGTCCAAGGACAGCGAGCAATGAGTGTGAGCGGAGGTTGTGCGAAGGCTGCCTTGGATGCACCGATGATATCCTGTCTTGTACGCGGCTACACACCAGATCTGCCCGATAGAGGCAAATTCACCTGATGACAAGAACTGGAAATGGGATCCTGTGACACTACACATATTTTGGAAAAAGCTCATCAAGCGCCTTTGTTTTGTGCTTGCTGACAGGGGACGACTGTGGGCAATGGGCATCACCGAACATGCTGTCGAGGAACCCGCTTTTAGCGTATACCCCGTTAACTGCATATCGATACAATTGATTTTCCAAGCTCCGTCATGCTCAGCGACACCAGCGACCACGACAATTCGATGAATGCAGACGAATGCTCTCCCTTTCGGCGACGCTGAAAGTATGAGGAGGTATGCTCAGGAATGCGACACGGGAGCTGGGGCGAAGGCGGCGCTTGCCGTGCCGTTCGCTCGCCACGTCCCTGGTAAGTCACCCGTGGCCGCGATCTCCGCGATTAAAGACCCGACTGACAATGCTCCTCGCAGACGCCGAAAGCACTGTCGCCGCATCAGGTGACAATTCGTGCTGCGACCTCACAAGCGGCAGTGGCTGCAAAAGATGACAGTCACGAAGCGTCTCGGAAACAGCATTTGGCTGGCTTCCACCCGGAGACTTTGTCGATCGCACTCAACCGCAGAGCCTCGAAACCTACTCGACCGGCGCAGACCTATGCCACGACCGATGACAGACCGCGTAATGAGCCAGAAACAAAAGATTTTGGCCATGTCGATGTGGCTGCACACACAGGCAGCGGTGCGCAATCGGAGAACAAGGCAGCTTTCAGAGCGTCGAGGCGTCACCGGCTCATCCAGAACGATGTCGAGGCGAACCAACCCGTGAACGAAATGACTACGGGCACGATACTGCGCAAGGTGCTTGGCAGTGAGGGCGACAAGTTGAACTGGAAGAAGAAGGTCGCCGAAGCACGGAGTTTGCGGCTACCCATCATTCTTCTGCAGATGATGATGCGGGACGAGGCTCAGCGCCATGGAGACACTGCGCTGCTCAAGCTGCTACCCGACGATCTCGAGTGGCGCCGCCTGTTGGTCCTCGTATGCAGGACAGGATACACGGAGAAGCAATTACAAGACTACAGGCATATTTTACAAGGGACATCGGACGACGAACGATGCCGCCGGTTGCTGCACTTGGGAGGCGCTGCGCCCATGTTTCTCTTTTCGTTCCTTGTCCGGTCATCATCTAGGCTGACAGACGTTTCGACCCTCGCCAAGCTGATCGAAAGCTGCCACGTATATTACGCGGTTGGCGAGCAGCAGCGGCGCGGACATGGACGCGATTCACCTACCGCTGGCTCGATTACCGAAAAGGCGCTCAACCTGGGCCAGGACAAGTTCGATCTGGTTATGCGCCTTCTCACACGGCAATGCCTACGGCTTGAGCCCAGGCTCATTGTCAAGCTAGCCGAGGTGGCCGCGCGGCACATCCAGAGCATCGCAACCTACGCGGAGGAGCCCAGAAAGCTGTTTCTGGTGCAGTGCGAGGTGTTCAACAAGTGTCTGCGGATATTCCGACCCCATGCAGGCGTCCAGCTGGCACAGAGGTCGTTGCCAAACGCGTACTTTTGGGAAGCGCAGAGGATCTTGCTAGCCATGTCCGACAGCCTCGGCAAGCCGCTCCTCCTCGACCGCGGGGGCTTCCGAGCGATTCGAGAGGTGTTGGCGGGCCAGCCAAAGAATCAAATTGAGATACACAGCTCCACAAGGCACGCACCTACGTGGCCGCCCTACCTGCAGCCCGGCGACGGCATGGACGAGCGAGCGGACCCAGAAGAGAACTGGAGCCGGACGGTGAGCGCCGGGATGCTAATGCAGGAAGCTGGGTTCGCCAAGGACGAGCACGACGACGCCCTGGACATTCTGCAAGGCATGACGACGGATGGCACGCCCACGATCCAGCAGCGGGCTCTCATGGGGCGCGGGCGACATGTCGGAGTTTGGGAGGCGTCCATTAGGGCGACCAGAAATGCCCAAGAGGCGTGGGAAAGATTCCAAAACCCGCCCGAAGCAGGAGCAAAGGCCGGGCCGCAGGAGTACGCGGCCATGTTGGAGAAGCTGGTGCTCCGGGAGGCTGACGGAGGCAGCCGACTGCTGCCCGGGGACAAGGCGCTCAATTTCCCGACTCACCACGAGGCCAACTTGGCGGAGTTTGAGCGAGCGCGGCTGCGGCCCCCAAGCGTGGCACAGCTCTACCACCACATGCGACTCAACGGCGTCAAGCCGCGCGACAACTGCCTCCGAATCCTTGTGGCCAACGCGGAGTCGCTGGACACGGCACACAGGTATCTGCGCGAAAGCACGGAAAAGGGCAGGGTCGTGCGGGCCCTGATGGCAGACGAGCCCGAGCCGGCATCGCTCAGGGCAGTGCCTATGGGCCTCTTTGCAGCCTACATCCAGGCGTGCTCGCGGACAGAGGGCAAGCGGGGTGGGCGGCAGCTGATGCGTGCCGTTCGCATGGCCGAGATGCGGCTCGACGCTGATGAGTCCCGCTGGAGCCCGTACATCTGGGGGCTCATCCTCAAGAACCTGTCCCAGCACCACCGGGCCCTCCGCATGTCACTCTCTGAGCAGGTGGACATGTTCCTTCACGTAACCGAGCGAATCGAGCACAGCCACGGGCTGCACCTGTCCACCTTTGTTCAGCTGGCCAAGTGCATCCGCAAGGCAACGCGGCGGGAGGTGGTCAAGCTCTTGGCCGACCTGGAGTCTGGTGAAACGACAAAGCGCAGCCACGTGTGGCAGTTGTACGACAGACAAGCAGCCGCATCTACAACTACCGACGGGCACCGTCTGCCATCTGGCAAACCGCATTCAGCCTCTGCGAGAACGCCTTTGTTCTTGCTCAACAGCGCTGCCGATCGCATAAAGGAGATTTTCGACACCCTCGTGGAGCGTGAAAGCAAGAGCCGAGCGGTTCTAGACGCGCAAAACGTGGCGGCGCTGGAGAGGATAAGCGCGCGGATGGATCCCGTGAGGAGCGACCACGTCCACGAGTACACGCTGTCGCTGGCGTTTGTTGGCGAGTTTGGCGAAATGGCAAGGACCTTGCGGTGGGTAATGGAGCAGTGGAGCCAGGAGGACGTGGTCGAGGCGATGGCCGGCCTGGACGAGCCGCCAGCACACGGCGACTTCTTTGAGGCGTTGTGTGTGTTCCGCCTCCTGGCAGAGCCGATGCTGGACAGGGAGACTGTGTCGACGGTGCGGACCAGCGCGGCGGGCCTCCCACTGGGCTGGACGTGGCCAGACGACGAGGCGGTGGCGGCGTATGCCGAGATGCAGCACGACGAGTCGATTGCTGCGCTGCGCCGCGTGCTGGACTGGGTGAGGGCGCGGCAGGCGGGCGGCAGAGGCGACGACGCGGAACAGGGCCGCGCACCCAATCAACGGTAGCCGGAAGGGTGTGCTATTCGCGGCGGCGCTGGCGTTTCAGAGCGACTGCCATTGTTTGGATCGAGGCCGGCGGCAGGCATGGCAGGCCTGATTCGGAGCAGTGGTGGTGGTCGGCTGTACAGACGAAGAAATGGGAGAGCCCTTTGAGACGAAGCGGCATTGTACCATACGGGAATGGTGTTGATTGCATAGAGAGAGAGATACCCATATGAAAGAACATGAAGAGTTTGGTCATCAAAGCGACGGCTTAAGCCGAGACAAAGACAGGTTGTGTCTGCGCATATGCGCATGCTGCAGAGGTCAGATGAACAGCCTCCTTCTTGTCTACACTCTACACCACCCGGCGTGGCCCCTGTCCGTAGACGACAGAACTCCACGCCGCAAGCTGAAGCAAGATGCCGCTCTGCCTGTTCGTCTCCCCCGGCTCTCTCTCTCTCAGCAATGGGCAAAGCCGAGCCAGTCAAGCTCGAACAACCCGACCGGCACTGCGACCGCGAGCGACAAGGGTTCTCGAGTCGTTTCGTCTGGCGTCGCGGCAGGTGAGGTTGGTGGAGAGGCGGCGATTGGCCAGCGACGCTTGCCGCCGGCCGAGCCCGCCCCTGTCGACTGGGTCGACTGGGCGACTGGGCGACTCCCCAGACGCGAAACGGGCGGCTGCGTGCCAATTATATCCGCCTCCCAAGAGACTCCAACAACCTACCACCTGGACCAGCGCAGCCGCCCAGGCCCGGGAGACGCGCGAGCGAGTGTAACGGCACGCTCACTCCTCCGCTGCAATTTCGCTGGGACGCTGGAGTAGCCCTTTGTGGCATTTTTCATTGTATTTTTTTTTTTTGGCCTGGTCCTGGCGGGTAGGTTGTTGCTCCAATGCCTGCGTGCTGGGGTTGCGCGGGTGCGAGAGACCCCGACTCATGAGCCAGCCATGCTACGATGACTAGGTACGACGCGATGGCCGCCGCCGCCGACGACAAACATGTCATGCAATGCACCATGCCATGCGGGAAGAAAGAAAGAACAGGGCAAGGTACGGAAGTACAAAACCAACGGCTGAGCGCCCGACGCCGATCATCTCTACCCTCTCGTCTCTCACTCTCTCGCCACCTCCTCCTGCTGCTGCTGCTGCTCCCGTTGCCTGTCACTTTTCTCTTTCCTTACACTTTCCTTCTCGTCCAGTGGTTTGGGTCGGTTCCAGTCTCTCTCGCACGCTCTAGATTTCCCTGCCCTTGCCCCCCTCACTCTCTGTCCTACACACACACTCTCTCTCTGCGCAAACGTCTTTGCGCCTTTCTCTATCCTCTCTCTCTCTCTCTTTTTTTCTCTCCTTTGCCTTCTCCGCTTTCTCCAGCGTTGATCATTTCCTCTTCGTATTTTTTCTTTCTCTTTCGTTTTCCTCTCTCTGTGTTCGTTGAAACGTGCGTGAACAACATCGTGACCTTTGTCGCAGCGTCGTACAACAACAGCGACAACTACCCGGCTTCTTCTGTCGCCACGGGATAAAGCAAACCCGCGAACACGTCCGCTTTGAAACGACGCGTCACATGGTCTCTAAGCAGCCCAGTCATTCATTCCTTCGGTTCATCCATCGTTGCCTCTTCAGGTTTTCTCGCGGCGGCCGGCGGTTGCTCGCCAGCTCTATCTACCTTGCTCCAACTTGGCAACCACCATCCTTTAGGCGTCAAACTTGCCTCTCATCTCGCTGTTCGAACCAAACATTATTATTAAAAAAAAATAAAAAATTAAGACGCTCGCATCGCCGACTGCAGGTTCTCTCGAAACGATGCGCAATATTGGCCCGCTCGCGGCTGTGCTTTGCGTCTTGTGGACTGCCCAGCCCGGCCTGGCTGGTCCGTTGAAATGGACGGGCAGGATGTATGGATGAACTCCCCCACCCCGCCTGGTGATCGATCTCCACTGACTTACACGACGCGCAGAGTTCCACGAGGCAACTCGACCTCACTCACCACCTCCGAGACTTCCTCGGTCCCGACAACCGCAGAAAGGTATACATCACATTCTATCTGCTCTCGTGTACTATCAGCTAATTTTACCTATAGCTCGATCGCCAACTCAGACAGCAGCAGCAGCGGCGCTTCGGGCTCTACTCCGCGACCTAGCTTCACGACCTTGACGGACTCCATCTCGATCCCCTCGTCGCTGCTCACAGCCACAAAAAAGGTTGCCGACTCGTCGGCGGCGGCGACACAAGCCTCGACTTCTGTGCCCTTGGTCGTCATTCCCATCGACGGGAGCGGATCGACCACCGTGCCGGCGACGACATCATCAACGGGCTTGGGAGGCACTGGTTCTGGCACTGCGTCCACTCCTGCGACGACGTCGACGGGGCGTTTCGCAAATACCACGTCTGATGCCGCTTCTGCGCCCGCAACGGGATCAACGACCGGCACCCCCTCGGAGTCATCTCAGCCAACAAGGCAGTCTTCGACGACTGGTACGCCAACGGGTGACACCACCGCACCGGCGTCCGAGACTAACACGCCCCGACCGACGTTCGTGACACCGTCCGTCACGATCCCCAAGATCACCGCAGGGAAGCCGCTGTTCACCAACTCCAGCACCACGGCATCGACGCGAACCCCGGCCGACTCTTCTCCCGTTGCCAGTGCGCCGACGACGAGTGATCCCCTGACGGCGACGAACGGCGTCACGCAGACCGGGCCTGGGATCCCTTCTTCGGACGTGGACGCGCCAGGAACCCGCGACTCTTCGCTGCCACCGTCCTCCTCGGTGCCTCCAGAGGGCGGCTCGACGGGCGTTCCCACTGTCGTCCTCCCCGCGCCGACGCATACCACGCAGACGCAGACGCACCCCCAGCTGACGACGACCACTGCACAACTACCGACAACGACGACTCAGCCGCGTACGCCCACCAGCAGCACCTCCTCTTCGCCCGCACCGCCCAACTCCTCGGCAGCATCACCTCCATCCTCTCCGACAGCAACGCGGCCCACCACATCCTCAACCACAACCATCACCGTCCACCCAACCGGCGCCCCCAACACCGCCCTCCCCACCGCCCTGCCCGCCTACCCAACCGCCACGACGAGCGTCCCCCTGAGCGTCTACCAGGACAACCTCGCGCAGGCGCGCCGCCTCAACGACGTCTACGCCTCGCTCTCCCCCTCGTCCGCCTGCTCCGCCGGCCAGGTCGCGTGCATCCAGGGGCAGATCGCGCGGTGCGGCGCCACGGGGGGCGCGTTCGTCCTCGAGCCCTGTGGGAGCGGCGAGCGCTGCTTTGCGTTTCCGATGACGAGCGTGCCGGGCGCGTCGATTGGCTGTCGGGGTTTGGACGAGGCGAGGAGGATATTGGGTGCGGGGGCGGTCGGTGGTGGTCAGGGGTCGACGACGACGACGACCTCCGCGGTGGGAGTGACGACGACAACAACGACGAGGAGCAGCAAGCCTGCTCGCCCGGTGGTCACCATGACGACAGTCGTGACCGTCGTGGACAGCCCATCATCCTCATCACCCGCTCCGCCGCCGCACCCCTCAACACCCAGCTCATCCACTCCCGCCCCCGTCCCAACCCGCAAGACCACCACCACCACCACCTCCTCAACATCTACATCAACACCACCTCACCACCCCCCTCCCGCCTCGCCGTCCACCTCCTCCCCGCCTCCCGCCCGCATCACCATCACCCAGTCCATCGACCGCTCCCCGCCCACCAACACCTTCAACGACCCCCCGCCGCCGAACCCGACCTCGCTCGTCCTCCGCCCTCTGGATGGCCCCTCGCCCTCCGCCGGTGGTGCGCGGGCCAGCGACAAGGCCAACTCCCCTGGTGGTGGTGGAAACGGTAGCGGCGGTGAACGCACCACGCAGGTCGTTGACGGGACGCCCACCGTGAGCGTCTACTTCACTGTGACCGTCACGGAAAAGGAGCGCGAGACACAGACGCAGACGCAGACGCAGACACAGACTGTCACCCTCATCGTGCCCGCGTCCAGCTGATCACCCCAGCCCGGGGCATCCACCCCAGCAGTACCCTCCGCCCTGTCTGTCTTTTATTGCAACTTGATTGGAAAACTACCGCCGGGTTAGCTGCGTTGTTCAAGCAGCGTATTGTTTTGCGCCCTCTTGCGAGTATGGGCTCACAGGTACCATGGAACTTATAACGTGTGCGTTTCACCGTGGGCAAAATAGCCATGCTTTGTTAAATAAGTAACTAGATAGGGAACCATAGTTTCGCGTCGCCTCGGTACCAAAATAATAGGAGGAGACCCCCACGATCTCTAGGAGTAATACATCGTACCTCGGCTCAAACACCGCACTTGAAACATGGCCGACGCACATACAAGTTAAAAAGTGGCCCCTCGCGGGACATTGATTCGGGCCTCGTTTGACAACGACGAACCCCAGTCTCGTCTATAAAAACCATGGTAGTGACACATTCAACGCCCAAGAACCTTCCGACATGCTCGGCGAATCGCTCCGTACACCGGCTTCGCCGCAAAGCAAAAAATCCCAACGTCAAAGGCCGGGACCAAGGCCGTAGCCAGCCCCAAGCCCTAGTTCCCCCGCTCGCTCATTCCACAAGCCGTGCCTGATCCGGTGTGTGCAGACACATGAATCCGCTCCTTGCATGCAGTGAAAGTAGAAACGTATAGTTACAGGGACAAAAAACAGTCCAATAGGGGGAGATCCAATCCTCAGGGTTCTTCAAGGTTTCAGAGCGTCCTTTACTCGCTCGCTGCGTTATGCGACGGTCCCGTGTGTGACGGTCCCGCATGCTTGTCCGTCATGCTCCTCAAGCGCAACGTCGGGCCGAGAATCTATCTCGGCACTCCGGGGCTGCTGCCAGCGCTCGAAGCCGTGCGCCTCGCGTCGTCGCCGTTATCCGTGAAAGGGTCCGCGACCTCGAGCCGCTTGGCGGCCGGCTCACCGCCCCCACCGTACCCGTCGTCCTCGGCGATGCCGTGCCTCTCGCGCCACAGCCTGCGCATGACGGTGTAGAGGAATTGATACTGGTTGTCGCTCTGGACCATGCCGCGACGCTGCTGACGGAGCAGCTCCACCGCATCGTAGATGGGGTCCTCCGACTTGATGGCCGGGTCGTACTTGTCAAAGGCACCAAGCTCGAGCTCGCGCATGAGGTGCTCGAGACAGATGAACGTGCCGGTGCGGCCGACGCCGGCGCTGCAGTGGACGATGCGCGGACTGGACGGCGCGGAGTAGTCGCGAGACAGCTTCATGAGCTTGTAGAAGCTGCCCATGTCGTCAAACGTCGGGACGCCAAAGTCTGGCCACTGCCGGTAGAGAAAGTGCCAGATAACCCGGGTTTCATTCTCGCCCTCGACATCGAGCAGCAGCTTGCGAATCTCTATGGCGCCATTGTCGACCGTCTGCAAGGATGTGTACGTCAGCTGGGCCGTCCATCCGTCGCCCCAGCTGTCGTCGTCGTTGAGTGTCCAGGTCGAATCCTCTTTTGAGTCCGGGAAGTACTGGTGGCATTTGATACAGCCGTTCTCGCTCATGGTCGTGAGTTGAACGATGACTGCGGGCGACGACATCTGCTCGGCCACCATGCGCCAGACGCAGTCGAACGAGGGCTCGGTCGGGCCCTGCATGGCAATGTAGCGCAGCGGGGGGAGGGTTTTGTCGGTAGGGGATGAGAGGGTGACGGTGGAGGCGTTGACGTAGTCATACTCGTCGGGCGCGACTTTTAGCTTGACGCGGTTGTGGTTCCACGGACGGATGTTGCTGTATCGGTCCATGCTTCGCTGGAAGGCGTCGTAATGCGGGTAGTGGCCCCATTTGTACTCGTCGACCTCTTGGTTTCGCAGGGCGTCAGCGACCCGGATGCGCTCGGCCCAGGTGATTTCCTGGAACTTGCGGTCGATCTCTGCGGCGCCGGGTTAGCATCGTCAACGTTCCCGCAGCCCGGGAGGGCTAACCTTGACTCGACTGCGCCAAGAATCCCGGCATCTCTGGCTTCGAGCGGCCCTTGGTGTCGGATCGGCCATTGTTGGCAGGCCGCGACGTCGAAGCATGCGGCGCGACGCCGCCCTGGCTGAAGACGGCGGCAACGGGGGAGCTGGGGGTGTGGTCAGCGGGGGAGATGCCACGAGCGCGCTTTGCCGAAGCGCGGATCTTGAGGCTTCGTAGAGGCGACTTTTTGGCAGGAGAGGCACCGGCGGACTTGTGCAGCGGGTGGTGAGAGAAGGCGGCCACGGCCGGGGAGAAGCCGTGGTGCTGATGGTGAGGGACCTCGGGGTCCGAATGGCCATCGCTGCCGGTCGAGTCGCGGCTGGTGCGCTCGACGGCCGTCTCGATGGCCGGAGGCTTCGGCTTGCGACGAAGCCGCGGGATCTTATCCATGGCCCTCGTGCTCGCTGGGGCGGCGGCGTCGAGTCGGGTCAAGTCGAGGTTGCAGATGGCGGTGGCGACGACCTGTCGGGCGGAAGGATATCGAAGTTGTCCGTGCGGCCTCTGACGTAACGCACGAGGGTGCGGATCGACAACGAACGGAAAACGCAAAGGACAAGTTGCCTTTCCTCCAGCCAGCAGAGGAACGGGCGCAGAAACGAAACAGGATATTAAGTAGCGTAAGGGGGGGAGAGGCGGCGGATGATGAGAAGGGGAGGAGGAGTGAGGAGGCGCGAGCGAGTGAGCGAGAGAGGGCAGGGCTCACGCGCACGAGGCCTGGCAAATTGAAGGTTTGACGGAGCCAAGTTTCCCGCGCCTGGGGGCTGCGTCCGCGGGGCTTGATTGACGGGCCTGACGGGATGGCTCCGTCTGCTGGCGTGGCGGGCCTTGCGGGCACCGCATGCGCTGCCGGCTGGTGGACAGGCAGTGGACACACGACTGGGCCCAGTGTAAGTCACTGCCCGCACCGGGGCCTGCCAGCTGATCCCCCACCAAGCCAGCGGGATCGATTGGATGCGACTGGGCGATCCACCGAAGGTAAGGTTAGCTGTAGGCGAGCGAGCCCTGGATGCCTGGGCCGCTGGCAAGCTGGGGGGGACCCTGGAACCCAGGCATAGGAGACAGCTGCCCGCAACACGTGCGCCACCGTCAGCGCCGCCGCCGACGGGACCCAATGGCCCAGCGCTCGCGTCAACGGTCAGCTGGTGCGCAGAGCGTGGCAAAACCCATCCCATGCCCGGACGGATCCATGTGTCTCTATTCTTGGAGCCCGTCCATTACTCGTATCGGCGCAGCTGTCGCGGCCCAACACGACAGGCATTCGCAAGCCTCGCGGCCCGTCTCTTCTATTCCCGTCTGCTCGACTCGTACATCCCCTGCCGGATCCCGGCCAGCGGTTCCTGACGCCGTCGATCATGACGTCCACTGCCACATCGCACATGCTTATGCATGACTGGACCCTGTCCCTGGACGCCGAGGACGTGGACGACCCTGCCAACACAAGATGCTTAACGAGCACGCATTGAATCAACCCGCGCGGGCCCGTCCCACAACATGCGCTGCGGTACTGCCGGTTGGCTGACGGGATGTGGCGCCGCTTCCGACGTGGCCCTCATCTCATCGCATCGCATCGCATCGCATCGCAAGCCGTCCCGCTTTCCAACGTGCACTGCCGACTCCGCGGCCGGTGAGAGCATGAACCGTGTTGCTTCTCGATACTAGAACAAGGGGAGTGTCGCCCGAGGCCCAATCACTCTCACGACTCCTCTTACATACAGCCAGCATCCCGTACGCCGTCCACCTCGTTTCCCGTTCCCACGTAGCATACTTCGTACATCCAATATAGTACAGTGCCGCCCATCATGCAGCAGCCACAACGCCACACATCGGCAACGCAGATGAGGTGCTCACACAGCAGAGTACACGCCCGTCACAAACTTGCCGCATTCCACCTTTTGCTCAAGCGTCACCTTGCGGCCCTTGCCGCCTTCGCCGGTGCGCGCCGTCGAGCGAGGCGTGAGGCAGAGCCGGTGCATCTCGCCCACGCGTCCTTTGCTCGAGTCCGCCGCACCTCCGTCCAGAGGACCGATGTATGTCGGCGCGTTCATGTTGGTCCTCTTGCCGGTCCCGAGCTGGTAGTGCTCGTTGCCTCCCCAAAACACGACGTCGGCACCCCAGTTGGTCTCGTTCTCCGTCGAGCGGTTCGAGATGTTGGTCTCGGTCACGTTGTCCATGACCGCCGAGCAGTGCGTAGCGCCGACGTTGAGCGACTTGAGCTTGATGGGCATCATCTTGTTTGTCTTCTCGTCAAACTCAAAGAGCGACGAGAGCGCCTTGACCTTTGTCGGCCCAGTAGACACGTGAGTCCACTTGCCCGTCCCCAGCGTCCCGGCCACGCCTTGGCCGCACGCCCAGAGATCCGAGACAGTTCCTGGCATTCTCCGTGCCGGTGCCGCGCCGCGCGTCTCCCTCTCGATTGACGGCGCCTTGGCGTCGACCGTGAAAAAGGTGTTGGTGCCGCCAGCTGCAATGGACGTCACCTTGGGCACCAAACCGCTGCTGTGGTACAGGCTGTTGATGGCCACCATGGTCGGTGCGACACTCTGTGGCAGGCCGCCTTCGGTGGCGATGCCGAGCTGTCCGTAGGTGTTGTCGCCAAAAGAAAAGACTCTGCCAATGGTGTCTAAAACGACGGAGTGATGGTCACCCGTCGCGATCTTGTCGACGTGGAAGCCCTTGAGAGTCAGGATCTCATGAGCCTGGTCGTATGGGCCCTGCGGCCGCGTCTCCCAGCTGAGGCCGGGGATTCCCATCTGGCCCTTTGACGGGAACGAGCTCGAGCTCGAGGCGGCGGCAAAGACTCGCCCCTTGGAGGTCAGCATGAGGCAGTGCTCCAGGCCGCTGCTGATGTCGGTGACCTTTTCGCCGCTGCCCAAGCCCGAGGGCGTCAAGCTCCTAAAGCTGATCTTCTCCTTGCCGCCAGAACTCCACAGTGACCACGAGCTCTTTTGCTCCTCCGGCTTGATGCCAGTCTCCAGGTCGTCGCGCGACGATGGGATGGAGTACACGGCCCCCTTGCGCGAGAGAGCAATGACGCGGTCCGCCGAAACATCGACCTTGACCAGGTCCTTGCCCTTCAACGTAGTCTCGGGCGACGGGTTGGCCTTGGAGTAGCCCAAGCCCCACTGCACCAGGTCCCCGTTCTCAGTGATGGCTGCGCCAAAGTCCTGGGTAAGTTTCAGATCTCGCAGAAGCTGGTCGTTGAAGAAGGCGATTCGTCGCGGCAGCTTGACGTATTTCTCGTTTGAGCTGGGGTCGATGACCTTGCCGACGTTGGACCCCCAGGCGTAGACTCCCGGGTGTTCCCAGCTGCTCTTCACCTGGAGATGCTGCGAGCTGATGAGGTCTCGGTTGTCCTCCTTGGACACGGGATGCTTCCTGGGCTTTTCGAACTGGAGCTCGGCCTTGGCGGGCTCGGCATCCTGGTCCGCGCCCGAGGACGTGAGCTTCGGATAGTAGTATGCGCCGGCGGCAGCTGCGGCAAAGACGGCGGCAAAGCCCACCGCCTTGCCTCCTCGGCGCTGAGGTCCCGGCCCGGCCGACGTACCGGCATGTCGAGCCCACTGGCGCGTGGAGGCGAGGGCTGTTCTCTGCGCGGAGCATCGCACGCGAGCCGCCCTCGCGAGGGCTCTGTGGGACAAATTCATACTAAATGGCTGGGCGGCTGGTTCAAAGCATCAACTGGCTGTGTCGGGGGCAAATGGCGGTGGGAATACAGAGCTGCGTCGCCGTGTGGCTTTCGCAAGGAGCAACCGCAGTGAATGGTAAAGATGGATGTGAGGTCATCGCCAGCAGAGATGATTCATGGGTCCTGAGAGCTTCGTCGAGGATGATTGGCGCCGGGCCCCACGCTGACCAGGCCAATTAGCCCCGCCTCCACTGGCTGACGGCCGCTGCTGCTCCAACGGCCGGCGCCACTACGGGCCACCATGGGTGGTGCGGTGGTCAGCGCAATCGGGCGGCGGAGCCAAAGGTTCCGTGCGGCTCGGACTTGAGCTCTCCAGCTCCCCCAATCCAATCGCAAGCGTGTCCGTGGCTTCTAGAAGCCAGACGCCCGACGCAAGCTACGTCTGCTCCCACGACCTGCCCCTCGCCGCCATGTACGAAGACTCTTGGTACAGCTTCGTCACCGACACGGCGCCCAAGAAGCCGGTGGCCAACGCCCAACCCCAGGGGCACCGGCGCAAGGAGTCGCTGCTGCAGCAGCCCAACGTTGGTGGCCCCCTCCTCTCTCCACGGTGACACGAGCTCACGCCATCCCAGGGCATCGGCAAGGTCGACGACGCCCCCAAGCCGCTCGAGAACGTCTACGAAGAGCTCGAGGACAAGAACACCCCGCCCGAACCGACGCTGACGAGACGCGCTGCCTCGTACTCCGACTTCTACCATGTCGTCAAGGCGCAGCTAGCCAAGGACCGACAGGCGCGCAAGCCTAAGAAAGGAAGCCGAAAGGACCGGTCGTGGGAAGCCTTGGCTGTGTCCCGCGAGGCTCCTGCGGCGGCTGCGGAAGATCCTGTCGACGCATTGGTGTGCGACGACTCGTATGAGGCCCAGCTGCTCGAGGCAAGCCAGCAAGACTACGTGTATGTGGATTACTGCGTGGTGGAAGCAGCACGCTGACAGGGGGACAGGCTGTACAAAGACCAACTTGCGCTGACGGAGCGCCACCTCGACGCCCTCATCGACGATGCCAATGGCACGCTGGCGCTCCTCACGTCCCTGTCCGACTCCTTCCAGGCCGTCGACGCCCAAACCTCGTCCTTCCAGGCCCAATGCGAGGGCCTTCTCACCGAGCAGCGGCGGCTGGAGAAGCTCGCAGACGAGGTGGGCACAGACCTACACTACTACGCCTACCTGGACACGGCAACTCGGCGGCTCAACGCGCCGGGCGCCAGCCGTTTGGTGGACGACGCCAGCTTTGGCGAGATGGTGGACAATATCGACTCGTGCATACAGTTTATGGACTCGCATGTAAGGTGGCCAGGCCGCGATTCGACTTTGCTTGCTGACAAGATCAGGATACGTATCGGGAGCGCGACTCGTATCTCGCTCGGTACAGCGCGCTGCTCACCAAGGCCCTGCACCTGCTCGACCACGGCTTCACGGCTCGTCTAGAAAAGGTATCGCCAGAGATATCGAGGCAGATTGCCGCGACCAAGTCTGATTCCACGCGACACGCATTGGCGTATGGCCGTTTCGAGGAGATGATTACAGACTCGTACTCGCTCCTGCCCAACATTCAGCAAGTCGTTCACCGGGCGTACGATCACTACGGCCAGCCCGTCGAGTCGACGTCCGACACGGGCGTGTACGCAAACACCGCGTCAAACATGTTCCGAGCGTACCTGACCACCAGAGACCGCGACCTGAAGCTGATGACGCAGCATGATCTGGAAGAATACCAAAAGGAGACAAAGAGCTTGTCGGTGGTAACGGCAACCCGCAATTTCGTCAAGCAGACGTTTGAAAAGGTCTACAACGAAGACGGCCTATTTTCCAAGGTCTTTGACATTGAGCCCATGTGGCACAACTCCCCCGACTCGGCGTTCCAGGCGATCAAGGCAATCAACACGACAATGGTGCACCCGGGGAACCTCGCACCGTTGGCCAGCAGCATTCAAAGCTCGTTGCAGGCCGCGGAGCTCCAAGCGGTCTGCGACGTCGTCGGCTGGCTTGCCAACGAGTACTCGGTCGCAGAAAGCGATGAGGAAGACTCGCCATCGTCGAGGAAGCACAGGGAATACGCTGCACGCCTCCTGGTAGAGAACCTTTGGCCGTTTACCGACAACGCCTTTACTGCGGAGATTACAAAGTCAATCTCTCGAGCGTCCGTCCCAGACAGCGCACTAAAGATTGGTCCCGTCGAGAACGGCGTCGCGTCGTCGAACGCGTATCCGCTAGTCAAACGAGCGGTGGAGCTGCTGGCCATGTTTGACCAGGCGATGCCCAAGGAGCGATCGGTAAGTTTGCGGTCTGCGCCCAAAGGTTCCGGTCTAACGCGTATGCAGACCAAGAACAGCACCGTTGTATTCAACATTGTGAGGGAGACGATCCAAGTGCTGCAGCGGGCTGAGAGCAGGATCAAGTCACTCAAGTCTGGCACGGACGCCGACTTGTTCATGGTCAAGAACCTCCTCATCGTCAAGAACGAGCTCGTGTCTCTCGAGATTGGGGACATCCGGAACCACCCGGCGGCGATGCAGCACTTTGGGCACATATGGGACACGCTCAGCCCGCAGCACCTGGTGGGCTTCGTCAGCAGCTTCATCGGCTCCTCCCTCTGGTCGCGTAGCGCGCCGACCGTGACGGCCAAGACACTAACGGCCGAAGATATGAGCGAGCAGCTGGACGAGCTGCTCCGGCAGTCCATCTACGCGTTTACGAAGCGCTGGGGCACGCTCATCAATGACTCACAGAACAGGAAGACCGGGGTCAAGCCCATCGCCAAGGTCGAGGCGGAGCTCGAAAGCCTGCTGCAAAACGCTTTCAGCAACCAGCCGGAAGTGGTGGCGAAGCTCAAGGAGGCGATCCAGCTCAACGTCCAGGCACAGAGCAAGGCGATGGATGAGAAGATGGGGGCGAAGCGGTACTGAAGCCGACGCGGCGCAGCTACTCGGATGATGAATCACACCGCTCGAGACACCGAGGTTGGGGTCCGGCAACGGTTTCGGTTTCGGTTTCGGAAGACGCGCCCGCGCGCGCGAGCATCGTCTGTTGGGACGCGCAGCTGGAGTTTACGTTGAGGCCGGTGGAGTGCCCCTGGCGATGTAGTTGTTGAGCTGTCGCGAGTGTCAAATGCCACGTGGCTTCGATGCGCGCCCCCATTATGAATCGTTTCACAGGGGTCAGGCTCTAGGCCGTCCACACGATTGCGAGTGGAACTCTGTACACACGGTGAAGCCGCAACATGAAGGCTCCACGGTGATGGGCCAAAGACGCAACACACTCTGGGACAATTGTCAGCAGCCACTGTTGTCTACCCTGGCCCACAACATTGGAGCGCAGCACGATGGACCCCAGCTCGTTCGTCGTCGCGCCGCAGACGACACCGTCAGCGCAGGCTCCGGCAGAACTGCGCGTTCAAGTTGGGGTGAGGTTGCTTACCGACGGTCTAACCCGCAATGGGGAATAGATTGGGGCCCCCAACTATTAGTCCGCCCCGGCATCCGACTCCTCATACGTAGTAGTATTGCATACGCAACTGTGTGCCTGAGCTACGGGAGGTTGCCAACCCTCCGACGGGGACTGCGTACCTGAGCTTTCGTGAGATTCCGAGAAACCAAGAGTTTCGGATTGCTCCGTCTCCAGGGCTGAAGTAACGTTAACTCGCTCGGCGCTCCGCATACCTTGCTCCCAGGTCGAAGGAACGGCGCAGCTCTCAACTCAATCGACGACATGGCACTAGATGCGGACACTTGTATCAAATATCGAGAGAGTGACTAGAATGTGCGGCACTTGGCTGGCGAGTCGGAGCCAAGAGCCCCCCAGCGGCAGCATTAAAGGCCAAGCAAAACGTTGAGTTGCGCGGTGCTGGGGTCCTCTGGGGGAAGACGTTTGCTGTCCGCGGTGCGTCCGAGGGGGATGAGAGGGGACAGAGAGGGGAGGGGGGGTTTCTTTCGTGGCGCCATTGGAGCCTGTCCTCGGCGACGCAGGCGATCGTCAGTCCGGCGATTGAATTGCCCCGAACATGCAGTATACGCCGGAACACTTATACCTTTTTCCGGCGTTGGGGCACGCTCACGCGCTGGGGCGGGGGGGCTAGGTAGACACGGTGAGTACGTCTTTTACAACACTGCCACCACAGCGCAAGGTGAGGCACTATACACGTCGCGCTGGGGTGCTATATAAGCCGACGGCCCGCGAGCAATTGGACTGCCTTTTCGTTTTCGATTCACCTTGATGGGTAACCCTCGGTGCTAGCTGAGCCAATCGTCTGAAAGCAACCTTGTTTGTTGTCTCTTGTCGAGTTGATATTACCCGATATGGCCACCCCCAGCACCACCAATGTGCCGCCGCCGCCGGCCGAGGAGCCGCTACGCACGTACCGCGGCAACTGCCACTGCGGCGCCTTCGTGTACGAGGCCGAGCTTCCGGAGATCAAGTCCGTGTTCGAGTGCAACTGCAGCATCTGCCACAAGAAGGGCTACCTGTGGGTGTTTCCCGGTGAGGGCAAGTACCGCGTCGTCAAGGGCGGCGACGAGACGCTCACGGGGTACACGTTTGGGCCGAAGAAGCTGACGCACAAGGTTCGTTTCTTCTCCGGACCCGTTGACTGCGTCGTTGGACTGAACTGACGGAGGGGGGTCCTTGCCCTGGGTGTTGGGTAGTTTTGTCCGACGTGCGCGACGCCCTTGATGGGGCATTTCCCTGAGGGGCCGCCGGGGAAGCAGCGTGCCTTGAATGTATGTCGTCCCTAGGCGAGCGGCCGTGTCTTGTATAAGATGGGAAGGGCTGTGCTGACGGTGGTGACGGCGAATAGGTCCGCGCGATGCAAGGCGTCGACACGTCCAAGCTGGAGCGGAAGCCGTACGTCGCCTGCATGACTTGGGTCTTTGACCTGCGTGACTGCCGAGTCCGGTTTCTAACACGCGCTGCAGATTCAACGGAGCCGCGCTGGGGGAGGCGTACGTGCCGCCGGAGTACAGGGGCAGCACGCCGGCCGAGATCGAGGGCCACCAGCTGTACACGGGGACGTGCCACTGCGGACAGGTGGGCGTTGCGCTCATGAGCAAGCCGCTGGACGAGACGTTTGACGAGCTCATGGTGGAGTGCAACTGCAGCGTCTGCGAGCGGGTACGTTGCCTTGTCTTGTCTTGTCTTGTCTTGTCTTGTCTTGCCTTGCTTCGTCTTCTTCTCCCGCTACGCATCAGCACAAAGCCCTCGCTAACATGAACTCCGTGTGCCAAAACACAGAACGGCTACCGGTGGATCTACCCCGAGACGTCGCGCGTCGTGCTGCACGCCCCGGACGCAGGCTCCATCGGGCGGTACAGCTTCGCGCGCGGCATCATCAGCAAGACGTTCTGCCGGGCGTGCGGCGTGCCGCTGACCAACGAGCTGCGGGAGCTGTCGGCGGCGGACGAGGCGGCGCTGCCGGAGCGGACGGCGCGCTTCTACGAGTACGCCAAGACGCACCACCCGGTGAATCTGCGCGTGTTTCCGGACGTTGACATGGGTGTCCTGCGGGAGCCGACGCGCAATGATGGGGCGAATAAGCTGGAGCCGGCGTATGTGAACCCGTAAAGTGTAGGATGGGTGCGGAGGAGGAGGACGAGGAGGATGAGATGTGGGTATGTGTGGGTGACACTGAGTGGTGATGGTGGTTTTGGTGTTGCGCGGGGGCTGTGGGGTGGCAGGCAGGGAAAGCAACATCAACTTGCTGCAGCCCTTGCCTGCTTGCATTTCATGTACGTATCCTATCGTACCGTGCTGCGGTCGTCTCGCAGATCCGTTCAAGAAACCCTTTCCCACATGCCGCATGCCACATGTGCGAGGACTGTACAAAGTCCATTCCAGATGCAACATGTCATACGAATTCCGCCCCCCGCGGCGGTGCATTGCAGGCGCGGGCGGTCATGGGACCCGACCGCCGCCCAAACGCGGCTGGTAACGGCAGATTGCGCGCCACGGTGGTGCGCGCTGCCGACATCTACCAGCCTAGCCATGGCGGTAAGTTGATCAAGATGGAGGCGCGCCGGCCGGCGGCTGGCGGTTAGTCGGACGGCCCGTAGGGGACCTGTGGTGGGGTTGGTGCATGTATGTTTAAGACTCAAGAAGCCAAGGCAGTTGAGGTGACCTGTTAATTTGCACGGCTCAAGGGCAATTTGCGGATGGTTCAAGTCTCGCTGGACCGGTTCCTTCTCAGCGGTGAGTTCTCAGTGGTGCACGTAGCACGTTTGCCGCGATATCTTGAAGCCGATGTCCGCAACGTAGACCCGTAGACTCGTCCACTCGATTCGTTGAATTTCTCATTATTTTCGCAGCAAATCTCTTGTTGCATTCGCGCAATACGTACGAGCAATTCACAACTGGAACAATACCCAAGGTACTCGGTAGGAAGTAGAGTGCACTGTGCTGCAAGGTTGTGAGGTACCTGACGGCCATCGTCAGCGAACTGCTCGCACATGGTGGCAGGAGGCATGCCTCGGAGCAGACCGGCCAACGACGCCGCAGCCCTTTGCTAACCGTTACCTAACCGCCCGCCATGCCCCCCAAGCCTTCCCCCAAATTTTCCAGGTCCCCCCCCCCTCCAGATCCTGTCCATCTTCCCCGCGGGTGCGCTAGCCCGGGGCGTCGCTCGTGGCGGGCGGCTGATGCCCCACGTTCGAGCACGACATCGGAGCCCGTTCTTTGCTGAACCTTGACTTCTCGGCTCGTCGCTGCCCGTGGACACCGCCGCCGCCGCCACCACTGCCGCCGCCGCGTTCCTCACCGTCGGCCACCAAAAAAAAGTTCCCGTCGTCGCTCATCCTCGTCGTCGTCCTCCTCCTCTCGCTTCCTGCCATCCTTTCGCATTCCCTCATTGCGCCATTGCGATTCCTGAACGGCGTGCGAAATCCCCACGAGCCCGTTTCTCGACGCCTTTGCCGACTTGAGACGAAACGAAGTAGAGCCGCCGGCCACTCAGTCGCTACCTACCGCCCGCGTGCGACCGCGTGCGCACCCTCGCGCCGTGCCCCCCCGATACCGACACCCCCGCCTCCGCCTCCCCATTCTTCGCCATGGAGTCGCCCGTCATCGACCTCGAGGAGCCGCAGCAGGGCGGCGCGCTGCAGACGGCCAAGGATCTCTTCTCGGGCGCCGTCGGCGGCGTCGCGCAGGTCCTGATCGGTGAGTGACCCTCTCCCCGCCGCGACCATGTGCCGTTGGGCTTCGTCCGGTCATCTGTCGTCGTCTACGCACGAGCTACACATTGCACACCCTGCTGACCACCATTCCCCACAGGCCAGCCCTTTGACATCGTCAAGGTCCGCCTCCAGACGACGAACCAGTACTCGGGCGCCCTGCAGGCCGCCTCCTCCATCTACCGCAACGAGGGCGCCCTCGCCTTCTACAAGGGCACTCTCACGCCGCTCATCGGCATCGGCGCCTGCGTCTCCATCCAGTTCGGCGCCTTCCACTCCGCGCGGCGCTGGTTCGAAGAGCGCAACACCGCCTCCGGTTCCAAGCGCCCCGACCTCAGCTACGGGCAGTACTTCGCGGCGGGCGCCTTCGCCGGCGTCTCCAACGCCGTCCTCTCCACCCCGATCGAGCACATCCGCATCCGCCTGCAGAGCCAGCCCCACGGCGCGGGCCGCCTCTACGCCGGGCCCCTCGACTGCGTGCGCAAGCTCAGCGCCCACCAGGGCGTGCTCGGCGGCCTGTACCGCGGCTCCGCCGTCACCGTCTACCGCGAGGCCGCCGCCTACGGCGCCTGGTTCACCGCCTTCGAGTACCTCATGAACGCCGACGCCGCGCGCAACCGCGTCGACCGCAAGGACATCCCCGGCTGGAAGATTGCCCTCTACGGCGGCCTCGCCGGCGAGGCCCTCTGGCTCTCCAGCTACCCCTTCGACGTCATCAAGAGCAAGATGCAGACGGACGGCTTCGGCGCCCAGCAGAAGTACCCGACTATGCGCAGCTGCTTCGCCGCCACGTGGCGCGCCGACGGCATGCGCGGCTTCTGGAAGGGCATCTGGCCGACGCTCTTCAGGGCCATGCCCGTCAGCGCGGGCACCTTTGCCGTCGTCGAGATGACCATGCGCGCAATCAACTAGGCGGGCTATGGGAACACAGGCAGTGCAGAGGCGCTGGCTGTGTTTGGACGAAGTGAATAGCGACGAGCGGGAGCGAAGAACGGTGCCACACGGGCGTCGGTACGGCATCACATCATTCAACGGGAGGGTCTGTTATTAGACGCAGGGCATGGGGTCAACAATGCGCCGCCCGAGGGCAGGACAGGGCAGGCGGGAAAGCTTCAACAGTGATTTTTGGGCATATTGTAGACATCTTTTCGCGTTGGCTTACCCTACGAGGTGCAAGGCAAGGCACATGCGCCGCGTCGCCATGACTGTATATACAAGACAAAAAAAGCAGCAGCCGTCTTTCTACCACCCAATGTTCTCGTTATTCTCGACGCGCCGCTGCAGAATGTGCCGCGCGTTGAGCGGCGTCAGCGCCTCGAGCCCGAGCTCCTCGAGCACCTTGCGCGCCGCGTCGTTGTCGGTAAAGGCCCGGTCGCTGGCGTCCTTGAGCGTGATGGTGCCGGCCGGCGCGCCTTCCCCGTCCGCGGCGGGGTCCGCCGACGCGGGGAGGTTGAGCAGCCGCATGCCCTCGCGCAACGCCTCGAGCGCCGCCGACCCGCCGGGGATGTACCGGTCCACGAGCGCGAAGATGGCGGCTCCGTCGTGCGCAAACTGCGCCGCGCCGAGCGTCGTGAAGGACTGCTTGAGCAGCACGCCGTTCCACAGCGTGTCCTGCAGTTTGTCGAGCGCATCGTGCCACACGCGCCGGAATGAGGCCGTTGACAGCGCCCGCGACAGAAAGTCTAGGTTGCGCTTGAGGATGCGCAGGGGCTCGTCGAGCTCCGGCGTGATGGAGAGTTGCGATGGATCGTCTGCTTCGTTAGCGGTGGTCCTGCAGATGTGTGTCGCTGCAACTTACCAAGCACGGCCGTCTCCCCGACCGTCGTCCACTGAACGTGGTGCAGATATGATCTCAAGGCCTTGACATGGGACTCGGCCAAGGCGCCGACGAGCAATTGCTCGGCGCCCTTGCGTCGCATGGTGTACGCCGCGACCGTCTCGTCAAAGATGCCGCTGTCTTCGCTCCCTTGTCCGAGGTTGCTGGACACACGGTTCAGCGCGCCGTCGTGCTCCGATGCCTCGCTCATCCCACTCAACCGCTTCCGTTTGGTGTCACGGGCTTGCAGCTCCTCCCACAGAGTGGCGAAGAACTATACTTGTTAGCTGGCCTGTTACAAGTTCCATGGCAACAGCGCGCCTTACCTCCTCATCACTCCATTCGCTCAGGGTGTTTGCGACGTGATCCGCGCTTCCAATCACCTTGCAAAGCGTCTCCAGGGCGCCCGTGCCCTCCAGAGCCGTGAGCTGCTCCCTCGTCGCGCCATGCAGCGTCCGCCCCAGCGTCGACGTGATGGACTGGTACGCCTCGAGCGACCCGCGCAGCCGATCGTGATAGCCGTCCAGAATGTCGAGCTGGATATCCGTGAGGAATCTCAGCTTGTGCTTGAGCCTGCGCAGCCGCTCGTACTTGGTGGTCACCGCCCTAAGCAGGTCCGTGACACGCACGGCGGCAAAGGTCGGCTTCATCTTCCCGTCGACGGCGTAGTCGTAGTCAATTTTTCGTGCATCCTGCGACTCGAGCAGCTTTTCGAAGCGCTCGATGGCGAAATCTCGCTCCATCTTGAACCAGGCGTCGAAGTGGTCGGCCAAGACTTCAGCAGCCAGGCCGGGCCAGCCGTTCTCGGGATCACCTCCGTCGTAATTGAACCGCGACCGGATGTTGTCGTCAAGGGTCATGAGCTGCGACATGAAGGTACTGAAGAACGCGGGGCTCTTGATTGCCTCGTCCACAACGCTGCGCACCTTTTCCCGCATGACTGGCAGCATGGCCGTCACAAGCGCGCAGACCGGGTCCAAGTAGACTAGCCTCGAGGCGGCGGGCGTGTTGTGAAACTTGGCCGCCAGCAGGTGGCCCAGGTTGTCCCGGAAGAAGTCCTCCCACTTTTCAATTGTCGTCAGGAACCAGGGAAAGCAGTGCGTCGACACCGACTGGAGGCTGCTCGTGGGCTTGTCGCTCAGAAAGTGGAAGCGGAACTCGGCCACAAACATGTGTGCCATGACGTCAAAGGGCAGCAGCGACACGACGTCTGAGCTGTGCACAATCTCGGGCATCTGCAGGTCGAGGAGCTTCTCGACGCACGCCAGCCACTCGTCGTCCATTTCCGAGTCTGGGTCGACCCGCGGCCAGTGTCTCTTGGCGAGCACGGCGTCTAACTCCTCCGACATGGTCTTTTTCATTTCGTCCCATAGCGATTCGGTGACGCTCTCGACGTGGTCCACGAGGTATAGCTGCTCAGGGCCCTGCGCGGACCGGAGCCGCAGCGCAACCTCCTTGAGCCGGGCGTACGGCTCCAGGGCCGCCTTGGGGTCCCCCGGCAGACGCGAGCGCGCCTCGGCGCGCAGCCTCTCCACATCCTGCAGCAGGACCAGGTATTTCTGAGCGAGCTCGACGGTCTGGAGCTTCTTCATGGGCTTTTGCAGGCGGGCGATTGCCTCGCTAGGGGCGTCCGACGCGGCGGCGATCTTGACGCGCACGTCGATGCTCTCTTGAAGCTTATTGAACTCGTCGATGCGCGCCTGCAGCGACCCATGGCGGTTTTGCGCCGTGTTGCGCGCCTCCTCGAGCTCCTTGGCGGCATCGTCAAGCTGCGACCGGAGCTGCGTGCACTGCGAGTCGACGCTGGCCAGCAGCTCGTCCAGGGTGTCGAGGTCGGCTGTCGATTGGAGCTTGTCGTCGAGGAAGTCCTCTACGCGAATGTCGAGGGACGTGTCCCGGGCTGTTTCCGGAACGGTCGCCATCTTTCCATGGCTCGGCGCGGTGATGCCAGGTGTTGAAGCTCAAGGTGACGTGGGGAATTGGCGCGCGACGACACTGGCCTTATCGATAGCGGGCCGGCCTGGATATTCTTGTATCCGATGCTTCGGCGCATGCAGTGCCTCGGCCTTGGACATTCAACTTGAGACTATGGAGGTTGATGATGATTTACTCCCAAATGCCTATTGGAGGCACATCTAGTTCTCAACCGTGCTGGTGATTTTGTAGATGCGGTCCAGTATCGATGTGAGATCAGGAGTAGTGGGCAGCATTGGTTGTCACCTGTTCGACCATGTTCAAGAGTCCTCACAGTGGGTACGAAGTACACCCGCGCCGACATTGTACATTTCGCACCACCATGAGTGTGTGCAAGAATAACGGTGCAATATGCGAGAAGCATACGAATTTTTCATTGGGACAAACAATGGGGTCTGCACAATGTTTTGGTGGAACAGGAAACGGCTTCGACAGCCTGGTGCGCCAGGGTAAGTTAATGCCGACGACTGCAACACCAGTTGCAGACAAGCCACTTCCAGCTTGAGGTGAGAAAGCGAATTGCGTCGCAGCGAGTGGCCTCGTATTCCAATGCCCCAAATCACTTTTATTGCACGCGCCACTTGCAAGGACATGCTGGCGCGAGCGTGGCCGCGTCACGACGCCTGCGCGACGGAATCACCAGGACAACCAGTCTAGAATACGGCCATGGGTGCAACCCTGGACCCGGACACGGAGCTGTGCCTTGGTTCGGCCCAGTGTCTCGTCAGCGCCAGCGTGAAAGCAACAACTTGGAAACGGGGTCACGAAGCCAGGGACATGCCAGACACCAATTGATGCGGCACTCGCCCAAACGGAAAAGTCGCAAAGACTGGACGATTGAAATTGTTCCAGAAGATGGATCATCGGGCGCCGTTTTATCCACAACGCTTAAGGGCAGCAACACCGAGTGAGTGGCTCGCGCCAGGCCAGTGACGTCGCCGGGTGCCACTCGCGCCACACCGTTTCGCATGAAGGAAGCACTACTTCAATCAACGAGACTCATTCAGCGCTTCCAAGCTTATCGGCTGATCGTTTCACGAATTCGTGAAACCCAAAGAAGGGCTGCCGAGTTGGGTTATCATGGGCTCGGACCCTCCCGGCAGAGGAGGACGGACGACTTGTGTCACCACCATGACACCGGCGACGCCATACGTCCGCCCAAAGCCTTGGATCAGCGACCTCGGTATCGAGCTGCGTGCAAAAGTATATACTCAAAATCGTCTTCTGAATGGGAAGGACTGCGTAGAAGCAATAATTTATCCAATAACGGTCTGCTCGTCAGTGAATCCGACGCTTACACCATGGTTTCTTCCGGTGCCAGCCCCGTTCCGGGTGGCGGGCCTCTTGAGCCTCAGAGACAAAGTCCACAGGAGATTCGCGCAGATGGCGGCTACACTGTGCGATGAGTGAGTGCAGGACGAGGCGGACGACGGGCAATGGCGAGAGCAGTGCTTGCTACGTTGGTGTGTCGACTCAAGGCAGTGAGTGGAAGAGGGATAACACGAAGCCAGTCGAGAGGGTGTTGAGAAGACCATATGAATTGCGTCTGTTTCGTCCAGAGGTGCTCCAGCAGATCCTAGCGTGCTCTAGTGAAATGATGCGCCCTTGGCGTCATGCACAAGTTCTTTGTCAAGCTCAGCACGGGCGCGCCGTCGTTGGAGCGATCCAAGGGTGCATGTCGATTAATAGGTGGTGCTGTTGGTTTGCGGATGATTCCCGCAGCCGCCGCTTCCACTCACCTCACCTCACCTCACCCTCACTGATCCACCACAGCAGCTCGCCTCAGCTGGGGGGCGCCCAGGTCCTTCCAGTTTAACTCAACGTACCGCGGGACCCTGTCGCTAGCGCCCGCTGCGCCGCCCGCCACGCACCCCTGGAAGGCACCCGCGAGGCCCCCCCCGCCAATCAGTCCCATCGGCGCCCCGCCAGCAGCGCCCTTGAGAGGACCCACCCCCAGCCGACGTCACCCAGCGGTCTCCCCGTCAACGCGCCTGCGCAGGCGAGTAAATAAAAAAGGACGTGGCTGGGCCAACCAGCAACGCCGCCAGTCCACATGCACCAGTAGGCCCGCTTGCCCGCCCCCGAAATCCAGAAGGTTGGGCATTGAGTTTCTGCCCGGCAATCGTCGTCGTCGTCGTTGCCATCTTTCCCCAGCCATCGACTAAAAAAACAGGAGACCTTCCGAGATCTTTGCGACACACCACGCGGACGAAACTGGCAAGAAAAAAAGAGAGTGGCGGGAACAGACGGGAACAGACCCTCCTCTCCTGTGCCTTGCTGTCTCCCTCTCTCTCACACCTCTGCCTCTTTTGCATTCCTCCGTAACTAAGTCCACTCTTGAACCATCTCACGTTTTTGACAGATTGACTGCCTCACACGTACTACACACCACAGGCTCTAGCAATCCCGCTCTGCCCGCATTCCAGTCACCATCATCCTACCGCCGCGGCACGCCGATAACCCCACGCTCGCTCGCTGTCTCTCTCTCCACGCACGTTCGTTCGCTCCCGTCAGTCTTCGTCGACGACGACATCCGCACCGCATTCCAGTCGTCCGCATTCCTCGGACCTGACGGGGACCCGACCGACCCGCGAGGCGACCTCCACCGTCCCGTCCTGTCCGCCGAGAACTCTCCACAGACGGGGCCTGCGGAGCCGGGAAATCAGACCGACGCCCGGAGATTCGCGCGTGGAAAAGGAGAGCCGAACTGCACGAAGAGAAACGCGCCCGCCGCGAGGCAGTTTCACGACAACCTCCACTGAGCAAAGAGGGCCGCCTCCTCAGGCAAAGGCCATTTTGCCACCTCCGGCGTCGACAGTGCCCCTTTTCCGCGTCGGTCCTTCGACGACGGACAACGGCCGGGCCTGACCTGACGTGTCTCGTCACCACGACAGACACACCTACTTGATCCCGCGAGGGACTCCGACGGGACACAGCGCCGCAGTATATGGCCTTAGCAAGCGGAAGCTCAAGTTCACATCGCGCGATGCCTCGTTTCCAGGTTGGGTGGTACCGTAAGTGAAGACCCGACGAAGCCTGCAGACCAGAGACAGGTTTTGCGGAGCGCAAGGAGAAACGCAACTTGTATGCTGACTGACGCTTTCCGCAGGGTTCATACCGTTCCTCGGGTACCACCATGTGTTGATGATCCTCATCGCCGTGGCCATCATCCTGCTGTCGCTTCTGCTCGCCGGGTGCTCGTCCTCGTCGCCGCTCATACCCGACATCTTCCTCCTGTCGCTCTACTACCAGCGCTACCAGGCCGTCCCGGACACGGCCCAGGTCGACTACAACGTCCACACCGCCATCGAGAACATTGCCGGCGGCGCCAGCCTCCAGGCCCGCGTTGGCTACTTTGGCATCTGCGTCAACCCCGACGGCGGCTCCTGGCTGTGCAGCAACAATGCCACGGCCCTGGCCAAGGAGGTGTCGGTCGACCAGGACCCGCTCAACCTCATCTGGCTGGCGTCGCAGTTTAAGGACATGATTGTCTTTCCGTACCTGATGTAAGATTTCTCCTTCTCCCCAGCAGCAGTGTCACCGTTCAGCGCTGACGTTTTGTGAATGCAGCATCATCGCCATCATCTTCGCCTTCCTCTGCCTCCTCCTGCTGGCCACGTTCCCCGGCTGGCACGAGGAGGAGGACTCGGAGGGCTCCGAGCGCGAGGTCAAGCCCTTCCCCTCGCGGCCCGTCTCGCAGATCGCCCTCGCCATCATCTTCATCTCGTCCATCTTCGTCCTCGTCTCCGTCCTGTGGCAGCACACCGCCTCGGTCGCCGCGTCCGTCATCGCGCAGGACTTTGGCAACGGCGCGGTCAAGAGCGGCGTGGGCACCAGCGCCATGGTCATGGGCTGGTTCTCGTTTGCCCTGCTCATTGTCGTCACCATCGGCTTGCTCGTCATGATATTGAGCATACGCGTCCTCAGCGGCATGATGCGGAATTGATCGCCCATCCGCGGGCAGGCAGGTGATGAGGGAGCTTAATATATGAACGACGGCGGTCCGCCGTCGTCGCCACGCATGAGACGAAGAAAGACCCGACGACGAAGAGAGGAAGCGTCACCGCGAGATGACCTACGAGCGGAGAGCAAGGGTGGCTGCTAGCTGTCCGACGACGGCCCACGCGCATCAGCATCGGAGTTTTTAGAGGCGTTTATTATCGAATTTGTGCTTTTTGGCCGGCCGACATGTCCCACGCCCGCCTCATCGAGCCGCTCTGCGCATATCGCGACCAGCCTCCCTCCACGTCCACACTTTCGAAACGCCGAGCGACGCGCGCACCAAAAAAACGAGCGGGCAGGGATAATGTCGTCGGCTTTCTTGTTTTGCACTTTGAACATATGTCTTCATCTCGCCCTATCGCAGCCAAAGGATGCGTGCGTGCGCTTCGAGAGAAACAGCGGGGGAGGTACATGATGCGGCACCACGTATTGAATGAGGATGGATGGATGGACGGATGGGATTGAGAGATGATGGGAACAAAGTACGAGGGACGTGGACATAAGGGCAAGAATACCAGGATGTCATTTCATGTTGCGACGACGAGTCATGTACATTACTTTACTATTTGGGAGCCGGGAACAAACCGAACGGGGAGGGGGGCTTGGATGCACACCGAGCCGCGGCCGGTTGGATCATTCGACGAACGCCTTTTTCAGAATGGAGAACCTTTGCTCGACTTTCTTTGCCGCTTGGCTTGTGCCTAGCTGTGCTCGTGCCTATTCATGCTTGTGACTCAGCCTACATGACTGCTTGTTGACATGTTCCATGACACTGAGAATGCAAGAAAGACGTTGCGTTAGGTAACAGAGTAAAATGTATTGATGATGTCCCGGGACTCAAACCAGACCCGTATAACGCCGTGCGTCTGCACAAACCGCTGTATATGTGTACGAAAATACACTGAGCCACCACAACCAGACAGATCTGGCCGAACCAGCCGCCTGGGCCACCCCACAAAGTACTTAATCCCATCACAGCTTAAACGGATGCGCTTCCGTATTGAGCACCCACTCGTCCAGGCTAATCACGCTCGGTTCCGAAAACAGCAGGTAGTAGTACTTGAGCGTCTCGGCGATCCAGAAGCTCTCCATCTCGTCCTTGAGGGCCGGCTCCTTGGCCAGCACGTTGGCGATGGCGCTGTTGGCCATGGCCGTGCGCGTCGCCCGCACCGTCGCCTCGAACATGGCCCACCCCTTGTCCATCCAGGCCGGGTCGCCCGTGATCCGGTACATGTACCACACGGACTCAATGGCTTCGGGTCTGTCTGGTGTCAGTCGTCCGACTCGGAGATGAGAGGCTTCGCGGGGGCGCTTACCTGAGAATGTACGAGGGCGACTGGATCGTCACGAAGCCCTTGGGAAACTTGTCCCTCGCCAGCTTCTGCTGAACCCATTCCTTGTGCGACAGTGGACGCCCGGATGGGTCGTACTCGGTTTGTGCTCTTGGCCTGTCGGCCTGCTGCTCTGGGATGTAAGGGACGTTGTCGAGAAGCTTCGCGTCCTGCGTTGTGGGTTTGGTGTCGTCCTTCGTGCTGCCTTTCGTGCTGTCTGTTGCGTCATCCTTTACTCGACTCGAGTCTGCACTGCTTTTATCCGACGCGTCCTTGGTGGGTTCCTTGGCAGTGCCGTCGGTCTGGCCGAGCTTCTTTCGCAGCGACTCGGGCAGCTTCGACCCTTCTTCGACGGTCAATTGCTTCCTCTGCCCCTGCGCAGGGACGGCAGCCCTCTTGCTGAGCGTGGAGGCAGAATCCGCGGAGACCCCCGTGGAGTTGCGCGGCCGGATCTCGCTGTCGGCTGCACCGTCGGATGGCTCGCGAGTGTTAATGACCTTTTGCTGTGACCGCTTGAGCTCCACCTGCTCTTCATCCCAAGCTCGGACCCGCTCGTCTCGCCAGTCCTTGGACGGGTCCAGGTACTCGTACCATCGCGTCTCGTTGAACTCGCACTTTTCCAGCGAGGGACACGGCGCGACGTGCGAGTACTCGGGCATGATTTTGGCCGGCATCATCTGATACGCCCACACGCAGCCGTCCGTCAGCTTCTTGGCCAGCTCGAGGTCCTTGTCCCGACCAAACAGCTTCCCGCCGAGCCCAAACATGCCGCCGACGAAGCAGCTCAGGTGCGTCACCTCGTACTCGGGGGCCAGGTCGGTCTTTGGGTTGCCCAGCGTGCCCACCTTGGCGGGAAACATGACGTCCCAGTCGCCAGTCAGCATGGGGCGGTAGAGAAGCCACTCCTTGACCGCGTCGGCGGAATCCTCGTACAGCTTCTGGTACTTGGGCTCTCGGCCGCCAAGCAATTGATATTCCTTTACACGTGTTAGTACGTTGCGACGGCTGCCGCACCGGGTTGCCCACCTTTGGGAAGTACTCGTACGCCGAGTCCTGGCCGCCGCCAACATGGTAGTTCTGATACCCGTAGCTCGACGGCTCCAGCCCTTGCGGCACGCAGTCCCATGCCGCCTTGTCGCCGTTTGCTGCCAACGGCCCACCCGTCATCTTGTCCGTGGCGGTTCTCAAAGACACGGCAGGGGGCGGGCGCCCATCCGGGCCAGTGGCGGCGATCGCCCGGCGGTGAACCTTGTCGTCCGCGGATGGAGGACGCTGCTTGCTCCGGTTGATGTCGAGCACGGAGTTTAACAGCGGTGCGCTCTCGTCATGAACGGCACCGTAACCCTGGGGCTCGTCGAGGGGCTGCGCCGCGGCCACCTGGTCCTTGGCCGCTTGGCTCGCGGCGTCGCGCAGGGCCGTCGCCGTCCGGTTGCAGCCCGACGCGTCCAGAGACTCGGGAAACAGGCCGGGGATCAGGGTGCCCCGCTTCTGCAGGTCGATCAGGGCGTTGGTGATGCGGTCGATGGCGTCGTAGTACTTGTGCTGGCCGGTGAGCTGGGCCAGGCGCGTAAACTCCATCGACAGGGTGCCGAGCTCGGCAATGCCGACCCGTCCAGCCATGTGGGGCTGGGAGGTATACTTTGGCTTCCACTGGTAGTACAGGACGGGCATCCTGTTGGGCGTGTCGAAGATGCCCATGAGGATCTCGGCCAGCTCCTGGGCCTTGTCGAGGAGGAAGGCGTGGGTGCCCTGAGCGCCCCCGCTGACATCGTAGGCGGCGACCAGACCGCCGAGATAGCGAATAGTAGTCTCGAAGACGGGGATGTCGAGGCGGTGCGTGTAGGTAAAGTCGATGTCCTTGACGGCCTTGGCGGCCTCGTCAAACTCGTCCTTCATGCCGGCGATCCACAGCGTGTCGAGCGAGTCGACCAGGGTGGCCGCCCAGCCGCAGAAAGGGTCGCGGTACTTGCCGGAGACGGGGGACAGCTCATCGTGCATCCACGCGTGCTTTCTGTAGCCGGACCAGGAGCGCTCGAGCTCGGCCTTGACCTTGGCCTGCCGCTCGACCCGCTTCGCCTTGGCAGACTCCGACTCGGCGCCGAAGCTGTACTGGATCTTGGGCAGCTTCTTGGGTGCGGCGGTCGGGAGTGTGATGATGGACGCCTTGGGCAGGGGGAAGTGCTCCTCGGGCTTGGTCCAGTGCTCCTTTTTCTCTGCGGGGGGCGCCTCGATCGTGGAGTCCTTGGGCGGATCCTTCCAGCGCAAAGGCTCCTCGTTGTTCTTGGCCGGGCGGGGGACCTTGCTCCCATGATCCGATGGTATCTCGCCGGCCACTGGGGCTTGCGACGTTGGCTGCGAAGGGGGTCTCCCCTTCTCGTCACCCTTCAAGGTCGGGACCTGGATGGGGAGTCGCTCGTCATCGTCCGGCTTCTTCTGCTCAATGGGGGCAGGTTTCGTCGGCTTGTCGTCGGGCTTGGGTTTCGGCTCGTCCTTCAACGGTTGTTGAGGCTGCGGCGCCGGGGGCTGCTGGACTCGGCCGTCGACCGGAGCTGGCTTCGGGGGGGTTGGGGGCGGCGGGACGCTGCTTAGGGTCGGCTGCTGATCCCACGAATTCTGCACGGCGCGATACAGCAGGAAGACTATGACGACGGCGCATATGACAAACGGCCGGTAGCGGCGCCTCAGCATGGCGGCGGTGTTTGCGGGCGGTGGACGCGCCGCCGTTGGGGATAGCGAGGGTTGGAGTGGTCGGGTCGTCTACGGCGGCAGCATCGCTCGCACAAGTACTCGGGCTGGATCGTCGAGCGGCGCGTGGAATTCAGGCGCGGCGCAACGGCGACGCAGCGGCGACGCGGGCGGCGATCGGGGGGCCAGGAGGGACGCACGTGGGATGCGTCGGGGGCGCATGCAGTGCCTGCAGCATACCAGAGCGACGCCGATTGCGCGACAGCAAGGAAAGCAACCGCCGATCAGCCGCCGGGAGATGCAATGGCCGGCCGCGGGGGTTCGCGATGTCGTCGGAGGCAATGGAGGAGGACGGGAGGCGGTGCAGCTCGGGGAGGAGGAGGGAACCTGGAAGGCCGTCCACGACAGGAGGTGCTTCGGCGCCACCAGACAGGCAGCTCAGGGTGCAGCTGACTCTGACTGGAGCCTTGATTGGGACGGGACTGGCTGGACCCTTATTAGCGGTGGTGGTGGTGGTGGTGGTGGTGGTGGTAGGTGGCGGCACTAACAATTCGCCCACCACCTGAGGTACTGTAACCTCCAGGTGCCTTCCATGGTTCCGACGCCCGCCCGCCTTTGTCTCCTTTCCATTTAGCCAACCGCATCACACGATGGAGGCCGGGCCTCGACCAGGCCAAGGCTTGCCGTCCGCCGCTAACGAAGAAGCCACCTCTGTCCCGGTCGATTCCATGTGGGCTCGGTGGGGGAACTGCTGCCCGCGGGCACTGGCCATCGTTCTCTGCTGCAGACTGTGGCCAACAGGGCGGCTGGTTCAGCTCTTGTTCCGCCTCGTGGGAGCCGTGGTCAGTAGACCGTCCGAGTTGCTAAATCTGCAGCTCACGCCACGGCACCACTGCAACTGACAATATGCAACAGAGGCCGCTGCAGGGGTGCCTTAAGGTTAATCTGCCACACAACAGCAATGGGACCTGAGATGAACGGCCCCCTGCTGCTCGAAATCGAGTCTCATTCGTTCAAGGCGACCATCACATCTCCATCCACCGAGTCGACATGCCCACGGTCAAACCTAAACTTATTCGACAGCTAATCTTGAACAGGTCTACGCGAAATGGGAACTGCTGATGCCCTTCCAGTACGTGGCATCGACCGTAACTAGGAGTCCGGGACCGCTTTACCATCGCCTCGCACATCATGCCCTAGCATACGCGATGCGGAACGCCTCCGACTCACTCGTGTCCCAGTCCGCATCGTTCGTCGCATCACCAAAGACCCGCAGCGCTCGGGCCGCAAGCTTGTACTCGCCCGGCGCGGCGTACTCTCCCCCCTTCAAGCGTCCGTTCCACGGAATTGCCATTGGGGTGCTCGGGAGGGACTGTTCCATATTCAACTGGGGTTCCCAGGCCATCGGGAACCCGTGAAGCTGACGGCCCCAGCCCTGGCCGTCGCCCGGGGACGTCACGGAAATCAGACGGGTGTCTATCTCGGCCAGGCCGCTCCTCGAGCGCACGCTCAGCGTCAGGTTGGTCACTTGCCCAGAGCCTCGCGGCGGCAGCACGACTGTGGCCCCGGCGCGCACCGATTCTCCCGCGTACGTGACCGATGCCGCGTCTACGTGCAGCACGCGGTGCTCGCGGATGGAACCGCTGAGGCCCTGGTAGGGCACCCTAAGGAGAGATCCGTCCGAGCCGTTGAACGCGACGTAGCCCGACCACAGCGGCAGCCGGCGCGCGTCGAGCCCCTTGGGAGGGCTGGGCGTCACGCTGACCGTCACCGACTGCCCGGGTCCGAGACTGACGCTGTCGTGGCTAAACGCCAGCTCGGCAAACTTGGCCGCCGTCTCGAGCTGCGCAGGAAATTGCGCAACCGTATCATTGGGGGTGAAGGCATACACGGAGAGGGCGGGCAGGTGGGAGATTTCGTACGAGACCTGGTCCTCGCCCCTATTCTCAACGACCAGGCTGAGCGTGCGCGGTGCATTCTCGGTGTCGTTGAAGCTGAGGCTGCATGGCTGGATGACTGTCGTGCAGTGGGCGGCATCAAAGGCGCGGACAAGACCGCCGCCTTGCTGGGCAACCGGGGCGAGGTGCTCTTGCGGGCCTGTTCCGTTGTTGTACATGACGGGCTCCGCCGTCATGACGAGCAGGCTTTTGATGGTGGCCGGGTCGAGCGGCCCACGAGCCTCGAGGATGAGAGCAACGATGCCAGCAATCAGGGGTGCCGCGGTGGCCGTCCCGAAATCCGGCACGCCATAGCCGCGCAGCCACGCGCCCGGGACGCCTTCCCCGACTCCCAGCAGCTCGGGCTTTATGCTCAGGTCCCAGCTGGGACCCCATGCAGAAGACGCCTCTACGGCAGGGACCGACGTCCTAGGCGGCGAAGGAACCAGGAGCGGGTGCGTCGGCCCATCGGCAGGCGGCAGCTGGACGGTGACGCGGGAACCGGACCCAAGGGCATGAAGCATGTCCCGAACAACGCGAGCGTCTATCACGCCAAACGCAAGGCGGGCTGATCCATGGAAATAGGGGACCCGCGGAGAGCCCCCTCCGCTGCTTTGGTAAAGGAGAGCTGCCCTCACGCCCCTTTGTGCCGCCTGACGGACGTTATCCCGGTGCGAGCAGACACCCGAGCCCATGAGGACAATCTTGTCCCGGAGGTCAGGAAAATCGTCTGGGAGCTGTCCACACCAGCCGTTTGTGGCGTCGGCGTCGAAGCTCAAGGCGTAGAGCTCCAGGCTCTCCTGCGGCAACGGCTGGGTACCCGTCTCAAAGGACGCGGCGGCATAGAAGTCGAACGTCGCTTCGTGATCAGGCATCTCAGCACTGCCACTGGCCCGGTACCGGCCTTGATGCACGTCGTCGATCCCGTACGTTACCCCGGCTTGAGCGTTGCCGACTGAGATGGCGCTACGGACCATGGCCGGGGCCGCCTGTGAAAACGGCCCCTCGATGCCGTCGTTGGATGCCCCTGCGACCACGACGGCACCGCTGGCGACGACGCGGTCCACGGCCTTGGCGAGATCGTCTTGAGCCGATACGCTCGTCCCGATCTGCGTCACTAGGATGACGTCGGCGCCGTCGGCGCGGGCGCGGTCCAGAGCGTGGACAAGCACATCGTCGGGCATGTTGACGCTTCCCGGCGCGGGATGCAAGCCGTATACTGCCAGAGTGATGCCCGGAGCTACCCCGGTGAAGCCAAGCCTGTTGGGTTGTGCAGCGAGGACGCTCGCCAGAAACGTGCCCTGAATGCTGGCGTCTGTCGGCTTTGCATGGCTGCCTGTCACGTTGGCGCCGGATGACACCAAGCAGCCCGGTCCGAAGCAACCACCAAGTGCCTCGTGCTCGTAGTCGACCTATGTAGACAGCAGTCAGTCCTCATGCGAGCGCTCAGCCTCTACGCCCACGACTGACTACGTACCCCGCCACAGATTATAGCAACCTTGACCCCCTTTCCCGTCAGGCCCTGGGCATGAAGCCTATCAACCTGCGTCACCACATGCGACGACAGCGTCACGTTAGCTCGCGCGCCAGAACCACCGCCGTCATCATCCACATCCACAGCGACCAACCGCCGGGTCCTCTCGCGAGCGTGCTGGGCAAACTGCGCAGCATTGCCCGTAAAAGCCGGTACATGGTCCCGAATCGGCCACCACTTGGCGATGCCCCGCGTCGCCCGCACCTTTTCAAAGTCGGCCTTGTCGAGCCGCACGGCGACGCCCCTGTAGATGCCGTAGTCGAAGCGCTTGCAGATGCGGCCTCCTTGGATCTCGATTTCGCGCGTGACGTGGGAGACATCCTGTTGGGCGGCGGCGTGGGTCGAGTTAGCAGCAAGGGGGACACACCATGGAAGGTGACGGCGTGTGAGAGACGTACCGCGTCGGGCTCCAGCTCGAAGATGTGTCCGTCATGACTGCAGTCGTCGGAGGTAGTAGCCACGGCCGCAGCCACCGCTGCAAGCAGGCCGAGAACAACGACCAAATTCCACATGGCAATGTTTCGTCTTGTTTGTGCTTCGTTGGGTTAAATATCATGGATATGAACTTTGGCAGCAAGTTCGGAAGCATCGTCGATGGCTTTTGTAGCGACGGCATGTTATCTGAGGCTCGCCAGCATAGGCATTGATACCACTACGACGTCGACGTATTCTGCATCTCTTACTCTCCATATCGCAGTCCAGACTCCAGAGTCCAGACACGGCCCATGGCCACGCCTTCGCGTCACATTGCGTGACATTCCCCCATGCGCATGAAGTTCGAGAAGCCGCCTGCGGAGCCGTGCCGCCGACTAAAAGGATTCCCACGATGAAGTCTATGCTGCCCTATCCGAGTGTAGAGGCCCTCGCATTGAGCGCCTGCCCTGCTAGAAGCGTTATTAGATTCAGCGAGTTTGCTCGACTATTAATGTCTTGCGTTGGATACATAACACAACTCTATAATCATACGAAGCAGGTGTCGAGGGCTTACAGCATAAAGAATGTGCACGCTTTCGCAGCACAGTGGGATCAAGCTTGAGGGCCCGCTGCCTTGCCCGCGGTTGGGCAGCTGCCCCTCTGGTCCAGCTGCATGAGTGCCAACATTGCCCTACGTGACGATTATAGCGAGCTTTTGGCGACAGCAGCTCGTCATCTATGCGTCCTACACACCTGGCTTAGACCAAGAGGGTACATTAACCCATCAACCTCGTGAACTCGTGACGACAGGCCCCAGAGACAACTGACGACCATGTTCATAAGATGCACCGCACGTTACGAGCAGTCGTCGCGTCCATTCACTGGCGTCTACTCCCAAGCCTTCGTGAGATAAGGTAGCTAGCATCGCGCAACCAAGCATTTCCGGCGCCGCGCTCCCAAATAACGTTCACTATGTGCCTCCCCAAGTGGATACCAAACGTAAAACCGACTTCCTCACAGCCTCTGCCTGTTATACGCACCCTTGTCTCTCTGATATAACGCCATGTCGCAAAAGCTTACACCGGGTCCAGGTCCAAGAGGGTGCTACTCGTCACGTGCTACAGCTACTGCTTGTTGTACGCGTGCTTAATCTTCTGATACAGCGCTGTGTCGTAAAAGTTGTAGTTTGGATCCAGGTCGCAGAACGGGTGCTGCGAGAGCAGCACGTCCGCCGTCGGGCGGTCAAACGGGTTCCTGTAATTGTCAGTCTCGTGTTGTTTGGCGCAGCCAGAAACACTTACACCTGGAAGCAATCCATCATAAACGCCACGGCCAGCGGTCCAATCGTCTCCTGGATGTCCTCGGGGATGGGCGGGGTCTCGCCGTTGGCAATTTTGTAGATGGCGCCCACCGCCTCCTCCTTGCTCCACGGCCGTCGGCCGGCAAACATTTCGAGCACCACGCAGCCGAGACTCCAAATGTCCACCTTGGCGCTGTAGCCTTCGCCCTGGGAGCGGATGACCTCGGGCGCCATCCAGAACACGGAGCCCTGCATCGAGTTGGTCTTGTCGTTGCCGTAGATGTTGTCCGTCTTCTTGGAGATGCCGAAATCGCTAATCTTGCATGTGCCGTCAAGGTCCAGCAGGATGTTGTCGGCCTTGAGGTCCCGGTGCAAAATGCCCTCGCGGTGCAGGTATGCCAGACCGGAGAGAGTCTGGCGCGTGAGCGACGACACCACCGACTCCTCAAACTTGCCGTGCTTGCGCAGGCACGATCCGATGCTGCCACCAGAAATGTACTCGAGGAAGATGCTGATGCTCGTCTCCTTGCGCTCGCACCCCAGGTACTGCACGATATTGACGTGGTCCAGGTGCTGCATCGTGTCAATCTCCTGGTCGAGCGCCGCCACCATCTCTCGCATCTTGGCCTTGTCGCCTGCCGCGGCCTTGGGGTTGACCTCGACCTCCTTGACCGCCAGGAACTCTCCGGTCGTGGCGTTCATGCCGAGATAGACGCGCCCGTAAGTGCCCTTGCCAATCAGCTGGCCCTTGAACCACCTGAACGTCGTCTGCCGCTTGGGTAGCGTATCCTGCGGTATCTGCGGCAGCACCATGCTTCCCCGCTGGTCCGGCCGGATCTGCACGATGTTGGCGTTGAACATCTTGGTGCTCTTGCGCCGCATGATGCTAGACTTGTCCAGGTTCTGTGACGCCGTCGTATATCGCTTGTTGGCCTCGTGCGCGCCGCGGGCCACCTCACGGATAGACTTCATTCGGCCTAACCCTCCCGACCGGCGCAGGCTCCTCTGGGCCACCGACTGCCCTCCACCGTTTGTGCGCTCCGAGGCCTTGAGCGTCGACTCGTCCGAGCCCAGCGTGTCTCCGTCCCCGTACAGCGACGGCTGCCGCGATGGCGGAACGGCCGCCGGGACCGTCGCGGCGGTGTTGGCTGGCAGAGGTGGTACGGCGGGGATGGCCGCGCTGCGTTGATCCCCAACCTCTTCCGCGTCCCCGCTCGGCGATGCAGTCGCGTCGCCACCCGAACCTTCCTCAAGGACGGGTTGATCCAGGTCTAGGTTGGGGAAGAAGTCGTCAAGGTTGTTGAGCAGGTCGTCAGTGGGAGGACGGTTCGCCCACACGTCCTTTTCAATAAAGGACTTGCGCCTGTTGATCTTGCTGTCCTCCGAGTCCCAGCCCTCGGACCCCGGGGTCGCTGGGGTCCTTCGGGAGCCGACCCCGGTGCGCGCGCTGGACAATGCCTCATTGCTCTCGCCAGTGGCCGCACTTTCGAGGGACTGCGGCGAGGTGAACGAGACCGACAACTGCTTGCTCCTAGGCCGGGTGTTGACCGTTAAGCTCGGACGCTGGGCATGGCCGGGCGCGCCCGATCTCCTGCTGCCGCCCGCGGGACCCTTGCCCTTGTTCCTGCCCGCGAGCGGAATGGCAAACAATCCGTCGTCGGAGTCGTCGCTGTCGTCGCCTGGCGGGGGCCTTTGCGTCGGCCGCGAGGGCCGCGGAGCGTTCGAGAAGCTGACGTCGGTGTCCTTAAAGTCCAGATCGGGGCCATGCGACTTGCGCTTGGAGGAGCCCTCCGTGGAATTCGTGGCCTTGGAGTGCGTAGATACCGGGCTAACATCGCCTGGCGATGACGGGCGCTGGCCCGAGTGCCGGTTGCTGCCACTGGAGACGGTCGCCGGTGACGAGACGTTTTGGCTCGAAGCACTCCTCGGGGCGTTGGCCGTCGACTGTCCGATGGCGCCCAGGTTCCTGCCCATGCCCACAAGCGCAGCGCCGATGCCGCCCACGGACCCCTGCGGAACAAACTTCGGCTTCCTATCCGCCGAATCGTCTCCCGGGCCGCCGCTCGTCTGAGGATGGCGCGGCGATGGATAGCCATCGGCACTGCCGGTGGACATCCGCAGGGAGTGGCCAGACCGCCTGCTCAGCGAGTTGGCCTTGATCAGTGTCGCGGAAGGGTCACTAGGCGGTGCGGGCGGCTTCCTCTGGGGGAAGAGCTGCTCCGGCTTCTTGTCCTCGAAGGGTGAGTTTCGCGGCTGGTCAAAGTCGACGTTGCGGCCCACGATGCCAAAGGCTGCCGTCTCGGGCGCCGTTGGGCTTCCTTTCTTGGTCGCCTGCTTGCGCTTTTCCAGATACTCGCGCTGCTTGCGCTCAATCTCCGCCCGGTACTCTGTCGCCTCCTGTTCCAAGCTCTTCTGGTCGATGCCAGACATGGTGTTCGACCTCGACGAAGGTGGCGACGAGCTCGACCGCTGCCGATTCTCGAGTCGCGCGTAGGCTTCCTCGTCCATGCCCGGAGGCAGGTATCCAGGAGACAGCGACGCTGGCACCCCGCTATTCCTCTGCGTCGTCGGGGAGGCTGTGGTGACGAAGAACTTGAGTGTCCCGGACGAGTCCGCCTTGACCCGCTTGTTGGTGAGCAGCTGCTGGTCGTCGAGGGGCTCGGTGTGGTCAAACTTTCCAAGCTCGGTGGTGTAGATTATGGAGTGGCCGTGGCTGTTCAGGCCGAGGTTCGCACAGATGACCTGACGGATCTCCGCTGCTGATTCCGCCTCGGTAATGTCACACATGCGGTAGTTCCAGTGGTCCATGGTGGCCAGCACATATGTCCGGACGACGCTGGCGCGCTTGGCCCGCTGATGCGAGGCAAAGTCGTTCTTGTCGTGGGCGCCGAAGCTCGAGCCGGGCCGGTCGACATGCCCGTCGCCGCCGTTGGCGCTACGCGACGACGGCTTGAGCACGGCCACGGGTGAGTCTGGCGAGTCAAAGTCATCAGGAGACGCAAAGGACTCGTCTTCCTTCTGCCGCTTCTTGCGCGACAGGAAGCTGAGGAAGCTCTTGGAGTCCTTGGCCGACGCCGGAGGCTCCGTGCCGGCCGACCGGTCGCCCGCCTCAAGTGGAGACTGCTTCGCGCGACCATCGGGGTGCCGCCCTGAGGCAAGAGCCTCGCTCAGGTTCAAACCCCGGCCCAGGATGGCCGCCGCGTCGGCAGGCACGCCGGAGCCGTAGATGGCCGCGCTTGACGAGACTGAGTCGGCGCTGTTGCGCGAGCGATGCCCGAACTTGGCGGATCCCGGCGTCGAGCTCGATAGCACCGGGGTCGTCGCCGACGGGAACAGCGCCTGTTGCGGGCCGGGGCTGGCGCTTGGGCTATCTGTCCGCGCCGACGTTCCCCAGAAGCTGCCCTCGAAGTCGTTGGTGATCGGGCTCAGCCGCAGGTTCAGCCGGTGCCCGGAGTCTGAGCTCATGGTGCTGTTGTTGAGCGTGGGCATCGTCGTAGCCCGCGTCTGGGAGAATTTTCTCGAGAGGAAGCCCGTCTCGGCCGAGCTTTGGAGAGTCTGTGTCTTTGATTAGAGGCTATGCACGGGGTTGTTTCAGCCAGAACACTCACGTTGGGGGAGTCGTTGGGATCGGTGCCGGCGCTCGGGAGGCTGCTCGCATGGCCGGCGTTGACGGACTGGTTGCGACCATGGGAGGTCGTCATCTTGGACGCGTCGACGGGCTTACCGGTGACGATGCTCCGTATGAGGCGCCGCATCCGCTTGCCTTCCTCCCTCTCGCGCGTCTGATCCCATCCCGTGCCGCTGTTGCTGCATTCTTGGGCCAGTCTGGGGTAGACCTTTTGGTGCATCATGCCAAAGTTGCCGCGTCCGCCGTGGAGGCTGCCGAGCTCGAGGAACTGCGCGCCGTGGAGGTTCAGGCCCTTGAAAGTCTCCTGCCAGTCCTTGGAGAACTGGTTCTGCGCGAGCCAGATCAGGACGGTGTCGAGCGACCACTGGGCGGCGAGCTCTGGGGATATTGTGCTACCGGAGGCGGCGCTCGAGGCGTTGGACAAACCCCTCTGCTGGGCGGCATAGAACCTATCCCTCGCAGCGGCGTCGTCCATGGGGTTCATCGTGTTGTTCGCGTCGATCGCGGCCTGCGTCGCGGCAGCCTGCCACGAGGCATGCATCGTTGACGACGAGTCGATGCCGAAGCCCGGGATGCCGACGCCCTCGCCGTACGTCTCGCCGGTCGGGATGTAGGTGGCGCTCATGCTCATGGCGTCGCTCGGGCGGGGCGGAGGGGGCATGGCGATGGTCTGGCCGGCAGCCATCTGCGCGTGCAGCTTGGGATTGTACGGCTGGTGCTGGCCCGTCGGGGGCGGCGGCGGCAGGCTGATGCCGGGACGGCCGTCGTACATGCGGCCGTAGTTGCCGTGCCACGACTGCTGGTGGGCGAGGGCGCTCGGAGGGGGCGGGCCGGGGGGAGGCGGCAGGACGACGCCGGAGCCGCCAGACGCGGCGGTCGGATACCGCAGGGGCGGCGGCGGCGGTATGTTCATGATGCTGTTCATGGGAGGGCCAGCCATGGGAGGAGACATGGGCGGCGGCGGCGGCACTTGAAATGACCGCGTGGGATCACCGCCCGAGACATGTCTCTGGCTGCCCTGATACATGGCGATGTCGGCGCCGGCGAGGCGGCGCGCGAGCTGCCCACCGCCGCGGGCTGCCTGGACGCTGCGGAATCGATGGACGTCGGGTTGGGCGTCGAGCGAGACGGGGCATCAAGCGGCGACGGGGGCGGGAAGGGGCAGCAGTCGCCGCGTCGCGGTGTTGGTGGAGGCGGTGGTGGTGAGACGAGCTGGCCGGAGACGTTTCGTCGTGGCGTGTCTGGCGACGGCGTCAACGTACTGGCAGCGTCAGTGTCGGCCGCCGCAGGCTGTTCCGGCGGTGCTGTCTGCGGTCCGATTGAGACGGCCAGCCGGAGACGGGACCGCGGCGCTGGATGCGATGCGTGGGCTGGCGGGTGGTCCCATGTGCTGCCGCCGTCGTTGCGCGACGGAAGGGACTGCGTGCGAGTGTGCGAGGCGAGGAGACGAAAGGCGTCGAGTCGAGGTCTGTCAGCGGAGCTCCGTCCGCGTGGTGGCCCGAGTGCAGAAGATGAGGTGAGGTGAGGTGAGGTGAGGCACCCGGGGTCAAAACAGCTGCGGCTTTACAGTGGGGACGCCCAGCCTCCACCACCGGGGCTGTGGCTGCTGCGTTACGAGGTGACGGGACCCGGGCGACTTTCAGGTGGACTTGCAGTGGAGGTCGACGGCACCACATGCCGCCCGCCCGCCGACGGTTTGGGGTTGGCGGCCGTTGCCAGAGCCTTTAGCTTGTCGCCTCCCGCTGAGCTCGATACCGGCCCCGGCCAGAGCTGCGGCAGGCGCCTGGCGCTTACAGCAGGGCTGCCACTGGACGCCTGCCAATCGCCGCGGTCTAGCCCCTGCAGTGTGGCGCATCCCACCACTCCACCTCGCAAGACCCTTTTTCCATCCTGAATCAACGACGCCTCGTCGACGCTGCAGGCGACGACCAAGACGATTTATTGTTTTTGAGTGTCGGCAGCGGTTCCCAGCATGTGTTCGATCAAGGAAAACGCGTATCAATTCTCTACGTGCGCACAACTCCTTTGAAAGCGGCCGCAAACATGTACGATCGCGGCTCGTGGACGCCGTGACGCTGGACGGATCATTCTCTCGCGTCATGCCGCTACTCGATCGCGAGAACGGATCTTGACCGGTGACAATGACCGGCCAACGCGAAAACAAACCATGGATCAGGTTGACAATTGCTGGCCAAATGCGCTTTCAGAACGGTCCCATTGGCTGTCCTGAACGAGAGCACTTTTGACCCCCGCGAACAAAACTACCCTCATTGATGGGCTGAAGGCAAAATCCGACACGGCAAACTATCTTTTCAAGACACCACCTGTCCCTTTGCAAGTGTTGGAACAGTATGCGCAAACTAGCCTTACTTTGTGAACTTGACTGATGAGGTGCCCGTCATGGTACTCCTGTATAAGAGCTCAGCCTCCGTCGAGGGATCGCGGATAGAGCGCCCGTCTTTGACATGTTTTACCCCTTTACCATCCTACTTTAGGAGAACCAAGCATGGATAACTCTACCAAACACAGCTTCGCAACGACAACTTCACGTCGCTTGATGCTGGATATCAAGCGTCAGCAAACTGCCATGAAATCACCTTTGCCGCGGGACATAATCTCCACACTTCCTTCCGAAATCATCGCCCTCATCATCACCCAGCTTGCTCCGAACCCATCCTCGCGTCAAAAAGACAACAGCGACGAGTATCCAGACGAAGATCCCTCAGATGATGACCTGCCGCGGGCAGAGGCAGATGTTCTTTCGCGGTCCAGGGAAGCCGCAGCCGAGCAGCGGCAGCGCGAAGGCGCGCAGGGACAGCACCGTCGTGCGCTGCACAGGCTCACACGGGTGCGGCCCTTCATGCGCGAAGCAGAGCGAGCCCTGTGGATGGCATACGCTCCGTCGGCTCTTTACTACGCTGTATGCGCCAACGACAAGCGTCTCGCCGACCGTTGTTTCAGCACTGTGAAACTTGCGCGCTTGAAGCTGGGCCGCAAGTTCGCCCACGGTGTTAGATTGAACCGGGGGACGATCCTCCACGTGGCTGTCATGGCTGGTAACGCACACGCCGTACGCTTGCTCCTGAGCCACGGCGCTGATATAGAAGCGAGGGGACATTTCGTGTCAAGGCCGCCTTACACTATATACACTGACCTGTCCTGGAACACCAAGATTACACCTTTGGGCCTGTCTCTCGTGCTGGGACGTGCGCGAGTCTCCAAACTCCTACTCGACCGGGGCGCCAGCCACGAGGTTGGGTTTCCGGCGCTGAGGCCATTGGTGCCGGGCGCGGTCATGGGCTTCCAAGCCCTGCACAGTGCCTCGATGGGTTCCGACCGCAAGGCGCTCGCGAGGCTGCTGCAGACGCCCTCTATCGGACTCGACGACATGTCACAATCCAACCTGACCCCTCTGCACTGGGCCCTGTTCCATGTCATCAGAGTTGACCATTTACAGATGCTTCTCGAAGCCGGTGCTAATCCCATCATGAACCCCAATGTCGCCGAGCCACTGCTTCATTTCCTCGTCCAGTTTCGCGCCACAAAGGAGGACCTCGGCGCCGCTATCAACCTTTTGGTAAGGCACGGCGTCGACATCAACGCCCGGAATGCGGACAACCACACGGCACTGGTCGGCGCCGTTCGCGAAACAAATCTCCCCTGTGTCCAGGCCTTGGTCGAGAACGGGGCTGATGTCAACGACGTCGTCAAAGAAGATAGCCCTTTGTGGTGGTGTCTGGCCATACATCGAGCGGACAACAGCGGCGTTTATTCTACCAAGCGCCTTACGCGTGAAACCGTTGCCATTGTCGAATTGCTCCTCAAGCATGGCCTCGACGAGGACCCCCAGGCGCTCTTTTTGGGCATACTCATGGCCAACATCGGCGATGATGCCAAGGGCCTGCTCATGCGGCTAGCAAGCCGATTCACCTTCTCCCCAGCTTGGCTATCCCTGACGTTCACGAGAGTCGGATGCCAGCCCTCGTTCTACACTAACAGGGGGCTATTTTTCTTGATGGACCACTTTGTACCTACAGACGACTCGACTCTTGACGAGTGTAACCTCTTCACGGGCCTCATGGGAACTCAGGCCGCCTCACATCCCAATTTCCACCGCGTCATGGGCCCGAGCTTCGACGTAAACGCACCTCTCAAGGGACCCAACTGGGATGCTGAGCTGGCCGTGCCGCCCATCGTCGCGCTTACTGGCAGCGAGAATTACTATCACGACACATCCCGCCATACGTTGGAGGCACTGTTACGCAGGGGGGCCAATCCTCAAGCCACGAACGAGCTTGGGCAGAATTGTCTGCTAGCGTACATTACCTCACACATCCGCTCCAGAAGCCTCGTCTTCGAAAAGTCAGATGCCGACATCAACGGAAGCTTATGCGCACTCGTGCACATGCTGGCAGAGCACGGCTTCGACTTTACCAGCGCGGATATCCAGGGCAACACGGCCCTGCACCTTATTGGGATGGCACGCTGGGCCGACCGGCACGTGTCTTGCGCGGACCTGCTCATCCAGCTTGGCGCCAGTGCGAGCCAGCGCGACAACGAGGGCCTCACGCCGATAGATGTGTACATAGGGGCCATGCAGAGGCAGTTCATGTACATTGATGGCTCATTCGGCCGCGCGCTGGCTGCGACGCTGCCGGATGAGGAGCGCAGGCATGCGGATGGGAGGCTTGCCGGAGTGATGACGATGGTGCGCAAGAAGCAGCGGATCAAGCGGAATAGCATTGAGCACAATCGTTGAGAGGGCAAAGACCTCGTAACTATTCAAGACTGGCGGCGCTCATCCTTAGCTATAGTAAAGGCTTCAACCGGCTATGCAGCTATCAGTAATATAAGCAACTCGTGTCGACGCGGAGGACTGGAGCATTTTTGCCCATGTATTTGCCCTTATGGCTGCTTGAATGCCCCCATGACTGCCCACGTTGATCATCTGGGCAGGACCACCGCTCCCAGACTCCATGTCCGCTGTTGAAGGTTGACTCGAAGATGGACGTGAGTGTCGATGAACGAGCAGGCACACCAGCTTGAGACGTTTCTGGCTTCTCGAGGCATACTTGTATCTACTTGAGCCTCAAATTCCTACGTTACTTTCCTTGAATCAGAGATTACCCACGTTCTAGTTACTACGCGCAGTCACGTTCTAACTACTGCCTTTTCCTTTTCAGCCCTCCAGTCATCTATGGAGGGCTGGGCTCCCCGTCCAAAATACAGAGCTCCAGAAGATATGGGAGAGCATAGACGTCGACACGTGGAAGACACGCAAAGGCTTGTGCCTGGCACCAGCACCGTGCCTCCATTGCGAAAATAAAGGCCCGTGACGCCATATCGCCATATTACTTGTTGGCCCTGTCGCTCCAGTTCTTGCCTCTGTTGGTCGACAACTCATCAACCGGAGTGGCGCATCTCATTTCGAAAAGCAGCCAGAGCGAGACCTGGCCCTGACGGCTTACACAGCGCTCCGAACGGGCCTCACCCTTACGCAAACCGCACCTGATTTAGACAAAACCATTTGAGATCCGGCAGGATTTGGCGTCGGAGCAGTCCCGTCGGGGATGGCGCAAATGTGAGGATACCGCGCTTATTCCAGTCTTTCACGCCATCCAGCGACTTACAGGGTAGACCCCTCCACCACCCGGATGCAAACACGTCAACACGAGCTGCACAGCAAACGCATGCGTAAATGGGATCCAACCCTGTAAAAGGAAGTTTGCCCGCATGGCATGAGAGCCTGCATACAGGTATGCAAACTTGCAGATTCCCTGGCTTATCCTCGTACGTCGTAGCTCCGGGCGTGTTCTCGACACCCCTTGGACGTCGTCGCACGCGCAGACTGCATCGCATTGCAGCAGGAATATCCCTGCCGCCAAAGAGCCAGGTCTCGGGAGCAGGCACGCCTTGCTGCCGTGCAACGTCGCGAATCCCTCGCGGTGGGTAACCTCGGCGCGCCCTCCCGCGGCTGCGACTCGTGGTCGCCCGGGCTTGGGTACGGTGTCGCGGCGCTCCGAGGCGGCGGCACCACCGCTGCAGGCTGGGATGATCGAGGTCTGCTCCCCTTACCTACTTGTACGTACCACCTACCTTATTCCCTGGTGCCGTGCCTCGCCGCTGCTGCGTCGCGCACCCGGAGGAGCGGAAGGGAGCGGGTAGGGGACCCCGGCGGCCGGCTGCGCCGCATGCCTATCCGACGCGTGCGTTGCCTGCACGTACCCTACCAGCTGCGAGGCGGTAAGTTAAACAGCCAGCAAAGTGCAGGCAGCCTGATATGGGCGTAGCGAACCCGCCCAGTCAGGCCAACAGCTCCCCTTGCCTGGCCACGACACAACCATCCGGTTTTGGAGCCTCGAGTCTCGCGCCGCACCGCAGGGGCAATGCCGGCGGTGAATGCGCAGGGCACAGGGCAGGAAGGTGTTAAGGCAGGCAGGCAGGCAGACAAGCTGGCTGCGAGGCAACGTGAAGTCACTCACCAGCCGTGGACAGCACAGCACAGCACACGGCGAGGGCTGAGCCTTGAGTCGGACGAGTCGGTGAGAGGCTGTGTGGCGTCCGGGCGAATAGGCAGGTAAGCGAGTTGCATACTTGCCAGCACTGGAGGCTTCCAGGGGCAACGAAAGGCTTCTTAGCGCAAACACCATGTTCGAAATTTCTGCGCAAGTTTCAGTGCTGTAAAAGTGTTTGCGCGCTCTCCACGTTGAGCAAACTTGCCACCGATAAGTCACTACGTACCGCGTTGACGCGCCGCCCGGCAGAGACTCAACCACCACGAGTGCACGAGTTAGGGATCCGGCCGGTCGGACCAACCGACTCGCTGCCGAAACCGACTCGAGCCGGTGGGGCCGAAAGAGCGGGTAGCCAAGCCAGCGCGGCCCACTTCGGCTGCCACTGAGCCGCAGCGTGGCTTGTCGGCGGCGGGAGTGCGTCATACCGCCAGGCACACCCGCCATATCCGACTGCCATTCATGCTCCCAGCGGCCATTCACATCACGGGCGGGCAAGGAGGATGCTTGTTCGGCTTTGTTGGTAATCTTGTTCAATTTCAATGCTAATGTAGAAAAATATGCAGCTTGTGAGCGCTTCCAGCTGCGGTATCCCAGTCTATAGTCTATGATGTGATCCCAAGGCTCCTGTAAGCAATAACAAGGACGGGATGCTCTTGCGTCCCGCCTCGGCGCTTCACTTCGAGTCTAGCCCGTTCTCTTCGCGTCTGCCGCGATGCTCTCGCGGCGCGCGTGGTGCAAGACGACTGCGCCCCTGCTTGGACCATGCTCTGGAAGTCGCACCTCTTATGGTTCATGTCTCGTTCAGGTCGTGATAAGTCGTTCAGTCTGCAGACTTGTGCATGGAGCCGGTGACGTAGTTCTCCTCGCCAAGAGCGTTGATGGTGTCAATGTCCTCCTGGGCGAGCTTGAAGTCGAAGCTCTCCAGGTTGCTCTGGATGCGGCTGGCCGTCAGGCTCTTTGGCAGGACGACGTTGCCCCGCGAGGCGTTCCAGTTGAGGAGGATCTGAGCGGGCGTCTTGCCGTACTTGGCGGCGATGGCGTTGATGGTGGGGTCCTCGAGCTTGTTGCCGCGGGCCAGGGGGGAGTAAGCCTCGATCTTGATGCCGTGCTTGTTGCAGAGCTCGACCAGGGCCTCGCGCTGGCAGAAGGGGTGCACCTCGACCTGGTTGACGGCGGGGACAACCGAGGCGTTCTCGAGGAGGTTGCTGATGTGGGCGGCACCAAAGTTGGAGACGCCAATCGACTTGACCTTGCCGAGCTTCTGGGCCGTCTCAAGGGCGCGCCAGCTCTCGAGGCGCTTCTGCTCGTCCTCGGCAGGGGAGTGGATCAGATACAGGTCGAGGTAGTCGAGGCCGAACTTGTCCAGAGAGGAGCAGAGGGCGTTGAAGGTGGCCTCGTAGCCGTGATCGGCGTCCCAGAGCTTGGAGCAGATGAAGACATCCTCACGGGGAGTGCCCGTCTTCTCGAGCCAGCGGCGGATGGCGCGGCCGCAAGCCTCCTCGTTGGCATACCGGGCGGCCGAGTCGATGTGGCGGTAGCCGGCGTCCAGCGCGGCGGTGACGGCATCCTCGGTCTCCTGGCCGTTGGGGGCCTTGTAGACGCCGAGGGCGACCTGGGGGATGGTGTTGCCGTCGTTGAGGGTGATGGAGGCGACGGAGGAGACGGAGCTGGCGTGGGAGCGAGTCTGAACGGCAGCCTTCTTGGCGAAGACCTGGCGCTCAGGGGAGGTCTCGGGGGTGATAGCAGAGGGGGCCATGGTGACGGTTTGAGGTGGGTAGATGAGATGTGGGATATTGGGGTATCAAGGTGGTGTAAGTGAGTGATTCGTGGGGGTGAGAGGAGGAGAGAGCTGAGAGATGAGGATCAAAGGTCGAGGGGCGGGATTCCGGGGATGCCTCGACGTCTTAAATATTGCTCAGACACGTCTCTTGTCTCTCGCGAATACGGCCCATGAATCGAAGTACTTGTCCCCTTGTCAGCACCGCAGCGTCTCTATCAACAGGTCCAACACCGCCTTCGTCATCCCGAGCCGGGCATGTGGGTCTCAGGACGTTGCGTCCAGGGGAGTGTTTGCCAGGCGAGTCAGCCCGAGCACCCTGGCGGCCGGCCAGCCAGACGCTGCAGATGTTGTTTTTACTGGGGAAGGGGTGGGAATTGTCGGTGGAGAGGCTCGCGATAACGCAACTGCGGCATTTTATCGGGGCTCCAGTGTTTTTTCCTCGTCGTGTCTCCAGCTGTGCAGCAGCGGCAGGGAACCGTCGCAACAGACTCCCTCGCAATGGTGATGGAGTCGTTGAGAGGCAGGATGACGATTATCGGTGGAGCCCAGGAGCGGCGTGAGATGCCCAAGAGATCCATCTTCAGATCCACCAGTGCGTAGCCGTGCGGCCCTGTCAATCTCGGAACCCGTGTCGGCGAGTAGGAGGGCAGAGAACGGGAGGCTCTGGTTTGAAGTTTGCGTGGGTTCGCCGCCTGGTGGAGCGAGCTGGAGCCGTGGCTGGCGCACTGTTGGGTCGTGTTGAAATCTCTTAACGGTACAGCGCTCTACTGTAGGCGAAACGGAGCGATTGATGCCGCCGTGGTCATCGCGGTTTCGCATATGCATCGACGCGCGAGGTTGATGCCAGTCGTCATGCGGCGCAGATGGCCATTGCCATGGCGATTCCCGTTCGTCTGTTCCAGCGCCATTGCGAAGTGAAGTGACCCCTGAAGCGCGTCAAGCGCCGAGCGGGCCCCTAGATACAGATCTCAGGGACCTTCCGGTCTGCCGTAGCTGCCGCACGCTTTGGTCAGCACACACGAGCGCACAGCAGCAAGAATTCTCCGGTCCGTGAGTGTGGTACGTACCGGGAGGCTGGCTGAGCCGGCCACAGCTTAGCACTCGCCGTCGCCGCCAAGAACGGACTCGGGCTGAGATGGATGCAGTGGGAGACACACGCACACACACACACCTTACGGCACATGGATGGGAGGCGGACGGACGTGGTGGAGGGCCAGAGGGCGGTGACGTCGCGCGTACAGTACGCAAGATGCGAACTCTGCACACCTCGCACAGTCCCCGCCGCCCCGCCAATGACCGCATCGCACAGTATCGGCATTGTCCCGCCCCACGCGGTTCCGTCGTAGCGACGTGCCCACTCCGTCCCCATTTTATCTTCTTCAAGTGCCCACCAACCGCCCAAACGGGATTCCGTCGAGCCACAGTTTCGCACGCACAGGTATCGTTGCAATTTTTCTCTCACGGGCGCCGCGCCGGCCTAACCTGGAACAGGGCACGTACATTACGTCGCGCCGGGACGGAGACGCGGCTATGGGCTTCACGGCAATCCTGGCCGCTGCCATTGGCCCGTCACCTCTCCCTGGCATCGTGTCGTCGGCCAAGTCCCTGTCCTCGATCCACCGTCTCGCAGCCTCGCAGCACGTCTGCCTGCCCTTGCTTGGGTTCCAGCGGCTCTGCTGGGTCTTACAGCCGCTCACGGCCTCGCGCTATGACACGTGACGGAGCCTCACAGCGTGCCATGGGCCCGACGCTCGTCTCCCCTTGACGTCAGCGTCTCCAGGCGAGATGCCACATCGCCGTCTGTCACTGGCCGCTTGACGGTTCGCGATGGAGACTCGGGCCCCTGATTTCGACGAGCCCAAAGGCCCGACTGGCCAAGCCCGAATGATGCTACTTGCCCATCGTTACGGATCTTCACCGCGGGCGTTGTCATAGCAAAAAGAGACGCAAATGTCTCAATGGCCTGCCTCGAGTGGACCCGTGTTGCCGCAAGCGCTGCGACGAAGGAACTTCTTGGGACGCTCCTCGGAAGTGCAGGGGTGAGAGTCGGATTCAAGCGGTCATGGCGAGCGGACTGTGCGTCATTGCCTCCCAGAGGAAGCAGAAACAGCTGCGTCCAAGCTATGCCGTGGTAGAGAGCCACGTGTTCCGCAAACGCCAGTCAGCCGGCTATCCGGCGTGCTCACATCCATCTGTCTCTGCAGCCCGGATCAACGAGATAAGGTTGGGGGAATACGGCGTAAGACGGCGGACCCGGGCTGATACCGGCAGGTCTCCTTCACCTTGCCAAGTCCGCTCGCCGCCAAAGGTCCCTCCGCGCGCAGCTGCAACTGGACCCGGCCGGGTTTCTGGCTATTCGGATGCCGCTCGTGCCAGCCCGGGCAAGGATGATCAAGTGTTCAACCCGACGCCATGCAGGGATGGGTGTGCTCGCCGCCATGGGTTACTTTGTGCGTCTTGGCATACCGCTTTTCACGCTCGAAACAAGCGTGAGCGCGAGATTATTGTGACTGTCGCGGCTGAAGATCATTTTGGGTCTCTATGTGGGAGCCCTTGCACTCGGTCCGCCTCATGTCTCCGTCGCCGTAAAGACCCGAGGGACTGTGATCAACGGCTATGCTCGGCGACCGCCGCCCGCGTAGTCTCTGGTCGGGCTTCGCGAAGTCGGGCACTTCCCCTTGCGCCGACGACGTCTGCAGCGTCGAGCAACGCAGGCGTGAATTCACGCGAGGCGCGGACGCGGACGACATGACTTGGCTTGATGAGAAAAAGAAAAGTGGACAATGATGCAACGCCTTGCTTGATGTTCGTCACCCAGCTTCGTATTAACTGGAGCCAGCAGGCACGAATCATTATCGGACCAGCGAGACTTGTCGAAGATAGCACTAGGCAGAACGGAAGCTGATATGGAGAATGCTGCGGCGCAGGTTTCATGCTTGCGCCACGGACAGTTGAGGCCGCCAACCGGCTTGTTCGAACCACGGGACTCGGATCTGCTCTGGACTGGACTGCGGAAGGTTTCAAGTAGCTAGGTTCCCCTCTTGACCTCGTGCAGCGGCATTCGATATTGCATCTTGCCTGGGTGAGACATGCTGAGTCTACATGATAGCGGTATCTGCCTCGAGACACGCAGACGAGCTAGAATCAACGGGTCTGGACCGCCACTCAGTCAGAGGTGCGATTGCGTGGCCGCCTGAACTGTCCCAATACTTGGCATAGCGCCCCGGCGACCGGGAAGCAGCCCCTTTTCATCACCATTTGTCGAGATTTCCCATGACTCTACTTGGCTCGTCATGAGCCGTGCCGCAGAATGCCCCTTGGCGCTGCTCGCGGAGCAACGACGTCGTGAGTGGGGTGAGCTGTCAAACGAGTGCCCACAGTTTGCTCCATCAAACGCTCAGACGGTGCATCGTGAGTTTTTACCTCGTGGTACGTGGAGTCGTGGCGGCGATCGATCCATTAAGCTGCAGCACTGACAAGAATACAACGCTCGATTTCCACTATTTCATGATCATACAAAATGGCATCCTGGCATCCGCCGCTCAAGTGAGAATCGCGATGGAGACGGAGACGAACGCCGCAAGAGCCAAAGACACCATGCTCGCCTGCTGACCGGGTGCTGCATTAGGATAGCTGCGGCTTGCGTCTTTGAACGTTTCCGCGCGGAGGCACCTTAGCGACCCTTCTGGGCCGGTATTTTGGCGGGCTGAATTGCGACCAGAGTCTGTCGTATTGTGGGCAAACCCAGTCACCACGACCCAGATCTGCCGGATTGCGTCGTCGTAGGCGGTGACGTTTCCTTTGTCGTGCCCCTCCCTTTCGGCGCCGTAGTAGAACCCTACAGATGTCCTGTTCGTGCCCCCCGCGAATGAGGTCTCTGCTGAATTGTGAGCAACATGCAACGCCAAGCTGACGTTGCGAGATAGGTTTTACTCACCCACTCCGAAGCCCTCGACTTCTCCTTTGCCCATATCCTCGACGCATGAACTTGGGAGCGAGCCAGTTGTGCTGCACACGCCGTTGGCACTCGCCCGTTGTTGCAACTCCTTGACGCATTTGTCGGGCAGGATGCCGTCGCACGTCGAGTCAACGTTCGCCTTGCCTGACTGCAGCTTGGCCCCCCTGTACACGCTCATGCACAACGACCACGACTTATCGCCGCGCACCGTCCCATTCCTTTTTAGCTCCCAAGGCGGACTCCAGTTGATGGCCGTGCCGGTGAAGAACTTGCCCGCCGGCTTCTTGGCGGGGATGTCGGCGGTGACGCTGATGGCGAGCTCCCAGAGGGGTGTTTGCTCCGGCGACTTGGAGTACTCGGCGCTGATGTTGTAGCCCGTGACCTGGGTCGAGTTGGTCGCGTTGAGGTTCGCAATCGCGTTGCGCCAGGTGGCCTCGTCGGCCTGCACGGCGAGGTCGCCGACGGTTATGCCATCGGGGCCCGAGGCCGCCACGCGCGTGACGAGCGCCGCGAAAAGCACGGCAGCGAACCGCACGAACTGTGTCGGCATTCTGGTCGGAGGTGTCACAAATGCTGCAAGGTGTTTGAATGTCGCGCCGGCGTGTTCGACAACGAAGCCAAAACGTCTGACGCTCTGAGTATCTGGCCGGCGCGAGCCCGTCAGCCTATATAAGGTACGTTACAACTCAGCCGACCTTGTCGCAGCCCGCCTCCCCAGATCGCAATTTCATCATCATGCAGCCAGCCCTGCGGGCCCTACCGAAAGGCCCTCCGCCGGGCAGACAGCCCTTGGCGAGGCCGTCCAATGCGGCGCCTGGCCATGCCACCCGGGGAGCATCGTCAATTTCCTATTCGGGCAGCGGCCGGCTGGGGTACAGATCCGTGGCGGCGCAGCCCACCAGCCGTCCGGGGCGGTGGCGGCCTTGGCCTGGATGGCCCTAGTATAAGCGATTTGCTCGTGCCTGGTTTCCTTGCTTGGGTGGGAGTGGGAGCGTAAGCGCTGCTGCGCTTGATGTGACGTCGTTGCGGCTGCGCGACCAATGGAGCTGCACTGCCGGTGCGGCGGCGCAGCTTTGAAGGAGCTTGTGTGGTCATATCAAGATCGGCATATGCCATTGGCAAGGTTGTCATTTGGGATAATGATCTGGGGTCTAAGCCAGAGACATCATCATCATCCTGCCCAGCTGCGTGGCTAGGAAGAGCTGACTAGTTGGGATTCAGGAACGCGAGTCGTATCTCGCTTCGAGAGTTAGGAATTAGACTTGTCTGTTAGTTAGCGCCAGCACGTCCGTAAAACAGTATCCATGGATCGAACCCAGGACCTCGCTGACCTTGACCCCAGGTCCAGCTCGCTTAAAGCAGGGCTGCCCGTTCAACGTCCTCTACCAGCAGCAGCACCCTCGTGCGCGCGTTTCTGCAACCCACCTCCCACAATCAAGCGTCCCAAACCGTCGGGTCCTCCCGCCCACGCCTCCACACGTTTTTGTAAAGCGAACCGCCTTCGTCACGCGACCGGTCATCTGGCGGTCCTTAAACCCCCATCTCCCCGACATCCCGCCCGTCTCTAGTCCGCCACTACACTACCGCACCGCTTCCGCTTCCGCTTCCGCTCTCGTGCTGTGCGGCGCGGTGCGGTGCGCGCACTGACCTGGTGAAGTGGCCCCGGGGGGGGGGGGGGGGGGCAGATGACGTGCATATGACAGATCGTCCAGTGCAGCACGTATCTAGATCTGGATTATGCGCGAAGGCACGCACGGTGGGACGGACGGTGCTCGCCTCCGGCGTGTCGGCGTTGGGCCAGCCGTGAGATCAAATGACCACTACGCAGATATCGTGACGGTACTGTTCATCTCCCACAAGGTTATTCTCCTTGGTGAAAGTGTGTCGTTCGGTGTTACCAGATTGATTATCCTGTAGGGTCATCTCCCCGACATGCGAGGACACTCAACCCGCAACTGGGGACAGTCACAGACTCACAGCAGCACTGGCAGCAGTCACAACAGCACGCATAAAGCCCAATACTGAGAATTGTTCGTCATGTCATCAGATAACATCTAGGTAGTAGAGTACTTTTGGGCCTTTGCAGGCAGACGTCTTGTAACAAAATAAAGCACAAATAATCGCCCTAGCGCCGTACACACACAATGACGAAGCGGTTTCGTGACCCAATGGACCCCCTTTGCGCCGTCGCTCGTTTCGCTCATCCAGTGAGCCTGTAAAAAGTCTCCATCTCGCTCTGCGCAGCAGCCGCGTCCGCATTCCACACAGCGTGCTCATCGTACCTCGCCGGGAGGAGCGCCCTCGGCGCATTCGCGGGCCCCAGGCGCCCGAGCGCCAGCGTCGTCGAAAGGGGCGGCGTGACGGGCAGGGCCGATATGTCGGCGCCCCGGCGTGGCGTGGTGGTGGTGACGGCCGCGTACGGGCCCGGCGATGGACACGGGGACATCTTTATCGAGAAAAAAAAATCACCCTATCAGAATCTGGATCTGACCGGCAAACGGGTGCGGGTGCTGGTGCTGGTACTGCATGCCGCCGGGGCCGAGGGTGATGGGCGAAGGACAGCGCCCGGCGTCAGCAGCACCAGCCGCAGCCATGAGCTGACTCACAAATGGGGACATCCTCTCGTGGATCTCGTGCCTCATGCGCGTCGCGCGCTCCTGCTCCTCCACCTGCCACCGCACGTCGATGAGCGCCGGCGCGTCCATGACCCACTGCCTGATGTCTGTCGACAGCGCGCGGTAGCCAGGGGCGTTGGCGCTCGAAAACTTGCACATCTGGGCGTGCGTCGCCTCGACGCCGTAGTACGTGACGCCGGGGAGCTGCGGGCTGGCCGAGTTGGCATCTACGACGAGCATCCTGGGTCAGGTTAGCATGAGCGAGGATGTACATGGTGGAGGGGGTGGCGTACTTGGTGCCCTTAATGTCCGTCTTGTGGTTCTCGTGTGCCATGTGGATCCTGAAGCGCTGGTAAATGTCCAAGAAGTGGTTGTTGATGTTGGACAGCGTCTCGTTATCCTTCTTGAGGGTCTTTAGCAGCACCGACTCGGACTCAAAGAACTTCTTGGGCATGATGGCGTCGGACATGCCCTGTAGTACGAGCCCCCATGTTGCCATGTCGGACCCCGTGTGAGGCGTGCCGAGAAACATGAGACCAAACGTCGACACGTAGATGGACCGATAATCCTCGTGGTGGGAGCTTCGCACGTCGTTGGAGTAAAGCAGAGCGCGCTTCACCAAGATGCCGCCCAGGCTGTGCGCAACCCAGATGATGGGGTTCTTGAAGGTGCCCTCGCTCTTGCGAAACAGTGTCAGGCTCGTCACGAGGGTCTGTGCGTGCTGGTGGATAAAGTTGTCGCTCGCGCTGCGGTCGTTGCGCCGAGAGTAGACGTCGGCGTTGTACCCGTACACCAGGATGTTGGCTTGCAGGCCCTTGAGCGACGCCGGCAGCAGGTCCACGGGCCAGAAGACTCCGTCTTTGGACGTCCACGTCTTGTCGGGGCAGCCATTCAAGCCGTGCACGAGGACAATGTCGACCTTGGCGTCAGGGTGAGTGTATACGGCGGTGGTCTCATACCGTGAGACGGATCGGTTGATTGTGGCCTGGTGAAGTCTGTTTAGCACAAAGCCCTTTGCCATGGCAACTGGGGGAATACACACCATGACGGTGAACGTCAAATAGACTGAGAAACTCTAGGAGCGAGGCGTGAACAAGACTGATGATGCTCAAGTCGTATTCTTGTCCTGTTTGACAGTTGTGGCTTGATGATTTGTGATATTGATTTTGTGATCAAAGTCGCAGGAAGATGTACGATGCTTTATACAATGAACATTGCAAAAAAACTCGTCGCTCCCCATTACACCGAAGCAGACATCTCCGGTATGGACTCGGCAGCCGTCACCAAATGCCTCGACAGAGACCATCACATGGGGTGTGGCACAGCACCGTAGGGTCGGATTCGCAACCGCACACCGAGCTGGGGGGAAACGGTCGTCACAGACAGAGCCTGGCATATGGGCTGGGGTGGGCATGACATCCGCAGTACCGACTTGGGTCTGCTGGCCGCGCGACTTGTGCGCCCCAAGAATAGAGTAGGCGCTGGAGGGGAGCCCAGAGGAATGCCGTCGACGACAGCCGGGGTCGTGGGGCGGTGGATGGCACCCCTTGGCATCGCGTATCGCCTCTCCGCTATCCCTCGATGAGGCAGACGCAAGCGGGCCAGACAAAGGCTGCAGCTGGCGAGAGCCGGCCCGTGGAGATGGGCTTCTCGGTCGACATTGAGCAGAAAGGGCAAGAGTCGCGTGTCCGCTTCTCGCTGTCTTCACACCGAGGTGGCGCACCGGGAGCCATGAGCCGATGCCGGCGGGTGGCTTGGATCTACGCGGCCACGCCCCAACCTAAACTGCACAGGGGAACCAAGGTCTGCCTCGACACATGAGCAAAGGCTCCTGCGAGTGAAGTGTCTCGCCCCGGGACGGCGTCGTATAAGTCCTGAAGTGGTGCTCGAGAGCTGTCGCATGCCAGCCGTCATTGGCCGCCTGAGGGCTGCGGGACGAACACGGACGGCATCCGGGGGTGTCAGTCGTCACGCACCGGAAACTTGGACGAGAGACGCGCCGAGATGATTGGCGCTTTGGCGAAGCAGGCTTTTGCGTTTGGGGTTGCAGGATGCAGAGCTTCACGGTCGCAGCGCGGCAACTTCCCCTCCGTACCGACCTAGGTGGGCCCCTGCCAGCGTCTTCACCGTCGAGACACCGCGTGAGTAAGGCAGGGCTGCGTGCGACGTCGACTTCAAGTCAGTCACGCTGCAACACGAGCAGCTGGTTGGTCGACGGCCTGTCGTCGGCGGCTAGCCGCGAACACCTTGAGGCGTTGAATGTAACCCTTCCGGACATTCACGCTGCTGCCAGGGGAGTGCCATGGCGAGGTGTTGCGATGGGACGTGACGACAAGGCAGCCGCCGGATCAATCGCCGGCCAATTCGTCGCCTCGACAGCGTTGTATGTATGACATGTGAGACCGGCCCGGCGTCGAAAGCACACTTTGGACGGCATGTGGCCTTCCAAGTTTCGACAGGCGTTCGGTCCTGAAAAGGCCAGAAGCGAGTCTGCTATTCGGTCTAGTTGGCACCGATCGTCTCATACAAGAAACGGCTGCATCTCCACGGACAAGGTGACAAAGTCACGGGCAGGGCCGGTCGGTGTTGGCGTTGCAGGCGATCGACGACCTTCTGAGAGAAGCTGAGCGTTTACGAAAGACGGTATCGTCGACCTGGTGCCATTCCTGCGTGTGGGTATGACACATCCCGTTGTAACCTGTCTACCTGATGTGCCCCTCTGTCCCGTGCCGTTGGTTATACCGAGATAGGACTCGGCTTCTGTGCTAGCGGTGACTCCCCCACGGTAGCGGCCATCCTTAATTGACCGTGGTTGGCGCATCGTGGAGATGTTCGGCATGGCCGACGCGCCACCACTGGACCCTGAAAGGGCATCTGGCTCTCTGAATGGCAAAACGCACCGAGTTTTCGAGTCCAGCGAGCTGTCGGGAATGTCCCACGGGCCAACAGAGCCAACACCTCATGGCATGGACCTCGGAGGCTGGTGCTTTTAACGTCTCCCTGACAGTCGAGACCGGGCTACCGTGAGTGGTCAGACGGCATCTCTGGCGCGAGCCTCGTAGCGCATTGTCGCACGCCGGAACTCGCAGAGTCGTTCTAGAAGGAACGTCGTAGCACCAAAACGCCCCATCGTGCGATCCAGCGCCTACGAGGCGGTATTTCCCGCCGCCAGAAAACTCTATTCCTTGGGGGCCAGCATCACCACGTACTCGCGGGTGCTGTCGCCGAACCGAACCATGTCCTTGTCCCTGAGCTCCAGGTACCGGCTGTCGGGAATCCGGCTGTCGTTGAGCGACGTGCCGTTGGCGCTCTCGAGATCCAGAAGGTACGGCTTCACCTTGCCAATGCGGTCGCCAAATTCGTTCCTCTTCTCCGTGTACCGGAACTGCACGACGGCGTGCTGCTTGCTGATGCTCGGATGCTCGGCCAGCAGGTCGACGACTGCGGCGTCCCGCCCCACGAGCCAGCAGCTTTTGAGGCCCAGATCTATCGTGTCGACAATGTCGCTGCCCTTGAAGACGTAGAGCTTCCACTGGTCTCTCGGCGGGGGCTTGCGCGCCTCCGAGGGCTCGTGGTACTTGAGGGTGATGGACGTGCCGTCCGCCTGCGCCACCGAGTTGGACATGGCCGCCAGCACGCCCGTGGAGCCGTAGTTGGGCTTCTCCTTGGGCTTCTCGGGCTCCTCGCCTTGATCGATGGCGAAGGAAGCGTCTTGCGAGGGCAGCGGGCCTCGGTGCTTCACGAGGCTCTTGCGGTCCTTTTGCGGGTCTGAGTCTGCGTCGTCTGCGTGCCGCCTCGAACGTCTGGAGTCCTTGTCGTCCCGAGATCGCCTTCTCCTTCCGCTCTTGCCATCGCGGTCTTTGCTCCTGTCACGGGTGCCCTCGCGACTGCGCTGACGGTGCCTGTCCGAGCTCCTGTGGCGTCGGCGGGACCTTGCGGGATCCTCCGGCGTGCGCGAGCGGCGCCGGTCGCGCGATCTCCGCCGCTCGCGGTCAGAGGCTTTCCGGCTGTCCCTTCGGTCGTCATCGTCGCGGCGGCGGCGGGGTTCCCCCGTGTCGTAGCCAGCCCCATCAGCATCGCGTCTCCTGCTTGATCTGGCCTCGCGTTCTTCCGGGGGAGGCATGGCTGCTTGCCGCTGCTGCCTCCTTTATGTGCAGTGGTTTGTCAGCTCGGCAGTCGCTGAGTATGGTTGGATGCCGGGGTCGGGGTCGCCGTTGAAATTGATGCTGCGTCAACGTGGTGTTGTCTGTGAACAGGTCGCGTTGGCGAGTGCGGAGGAGTGAGGTTCGGTGTCCCGTCGTCATTTTTTTTCCTCCGCCGGGGAGCCTGGAGCCAACCACGACAGGGGGTGGGTTCCACCGTCATGCCCCCGAGGCACAAGGCTGGACAGGTGCTGGACATGGGCGCCACAGCGCTGCAGGCCACTGGGGTTCCGGGCTGTCACCGAGAGCCGATGTGGAGGCGGCACTGGAAATGCCCTGTCGATCTGCCGGCTCGTCGTCATTGCGACTTCATGCCCATCGTTTCGCGGCCACGGAGATGTCAACATTGCAGGTCTGTTCATCTCGGCACCCTTTGTCGCGAGGCGAATTTGACTTTACGGTATATTTATCTGCCACTCTGTTCAGCTCAGAGCATGTGAAGCAACACTCGTGCAATGCGCCGAGGTCCCGACCAGCTCAGCGCGTCAATGCGATGAGAGTGACGCGTCGTCGCAACTTCGGGCGCATTTCAACGCATTCGAGAACCTTGCTCTGTTCTAGCCTCGGCAGACTCGTGCTTCTGCTCGCATATGGCTTGAACTCGCCTTGAGCCATGCACGTGCTTCATCGCTTGTAAGTCAGCCTTCCATGAACATTCATTGCCCAGGACCGCCTCACGATTCGCAGGCAATGGGCTCGCTGGCAGTCCTCACGATATCTCCGCGGCCCCGGCACAGCTCGACTCCAGGGCACACATCGTCGGGTTAACGATCGTGCCACCGGGCCGCGTATCCCCGGCACGACCTCCCGTACACCTTTCCCACTGCCGAGCGCGATCCTCCACGTGGGCCGTTTGGCCAATACGCGGTCGAAAGGTATGTCACTACCCTCCAAAGTCTATGGCCGACCCCTCTCCTCGATGACATCTGGGATCGTTTCTTCCCTCCATTGTCCAAGGGTCTCGAAGGCCCTCGGGCAAAGGCCGAGCGTGTAGGCCTGTCTCAAGGTCGATTATGCCGGCCATGCCGTCGAGCACGGGGCTGAGGAAGCGGACGAAGGCGTCGACAACTGGGTGTGGCTGTGCTTCTTGTGCGTTTCCGACCGAGTCGCGGAAGACATCGTGTGCATCAGCGCAGATAGGCGTTCCTGCACAGAAAGCATTGGGATTCTGACCCGATGCGCCATGGCCAGGAGCAAGAACAGCGACGTGATGGACGATGGCGGATCGGATACGACGGCATGACGTCTGCCAAAATGCCGACAACAGATGCCGGGGAGGGCGACCTGATGCCGAGCTGGCCGGTAAGCCCACGCAGCGGGTTCATGGATCCGGAGTAGTAAGTCGCGATGTTTCGAGGAGATGAGCAGGCGTGGCGCAGGGCCGACATTGGATTAATCATCAGTCATGTCATCCGCCGCCGGGGACGAACTCCTTTTATCTCACCAGCGGCTCGTTGGCTCTGCACCACGCGGCATAAGCTGGGGGCGGCACGATGGGCAGCACAGCCTCCACTGCCGGGTCACGATCACCCCCGGCCAGCGATCGACCCGTGTAAGCCAAGGTGGGCAGGCCGCGAGCTCACCTGTGCCGCAATCGGGGGAGCCCAGGCCAAGGCAAACCTTGGTTGAATGGCGGGGTAAACATCGTGGGCGACACGGCCGCGTGTGATGTGACGTGCCGATGGTGAATCGGCGTTGAGGCCCTCCACGATACCGGCCCGTCGCTTCAGCCCTGGTGCGGTGGGTGTGCCGCATGTGGCTGGCCCGCGTTCCAAACTCGTGCCACACCAGGCGATCCGGTGCGTGGTCGAAGACATATCGCACCCTATTCCCATTTATTCCCTATGCTTGCCCATTCTGTCAGAAAGCTAATCATCACACGTACCTATTTTGGGGGCTTGAGCTTGAGTCCGCCCAGCTGAGTCCCCATCCTGTCCGCCTTATTTCCTGGCCGGCCAGCTCAGCCAGTTTTGTTGACCTTACTTGAGACGGATATTCGGGCCATCACCCGTCAACCTATCTCCGATGCCTCGTGGCCTCGCCAGCTGGCCGCGTACCAACGTCAGCAGGCTCAGGGACAACATCAGGCCGACAGACGCAGAATCTGGCCGACCGCCTCATCCACGCCCTTGACTATCACCGTGGGCTTGATGTCTGTGGCGCCGCCCAGCCCGTCCACCCAGCCGCCTCCAGCCCGATCAACCCACGCGGCCTTGAGTCCTGCCGCCACCGCCCCCGCGACATCAAACGGATTCGAGCTCACGAGCCAGACACTGCCTAGCTGGCCCTCAAAGCCGGCTGTCTTGGCCATGTGCTGATATGTCCGCGGGTCCGGCTTGAAGACCTTGAGGGGGTCGACGCTGACCACCTTGGCCGGTGGCAGCACGTTGCTCGCGCGCGCCAGCGACGGGGACGTCTTGAGAGACGACGTGATCATGGAGACGGTGCCGTTGGAAAAGATGTACGGGTCTAAGGAAGGCGTCTCGGCCAGCGTGGTGAGCGCCTTGCCGACCTCGGGAAAGGTGTCGAGGCCGTTGTAAGCGTCCATGATCTCCTCTTCCTGCTCCGGTGTGAGCTGTACACCGGCCTCTGCGGTGGCTTGCCGGAATGACCACCTCGTCAGGTCGCTGAATGAGCGATATGCGCCTTGTCGGTGTAAGTGAGTGCAGAGGTAGAACGGCATGTCATTGCTCGTGTGAGCATCCGGCGTGCGACTCACCCATGCTGTTGATGCGCCACGTGTATTCGAGCTGATACCGCCTCGCCTGTGCGGCGATGGCCTTGGCCCTCTCATCTCCATACAGACGCGCGAGGTGTCGTGCGATGGACTCGGTGGACAGCAGGGTGCCGTACAGGTCGAATGCGACGGCGGTGCGTGCCATGGTGAGCTGGGCTCGCTGGGGGGTCCGGGTCCACCACTGACGGTCAGGCAGGGTCCAGTGAGGTCCAGGGTGTGAGTCAGTTCGGCCACTGTAGGTCGCAGCAGGGGTTCCAAGTTGGGGCGTCGTGATGTTGGCCCGCGCTGAGCAGCATGGCAAGACCAGAAAAATACGTATTGTAGTCGTGCAGATGCTCGACGGGGTTCTTCACTCTTCTGCGGCTCTTGATGGACGGCAGTTAAATAGCTTGGCGATCTGGTCGCAGCTGAGATGGGCATGTCAATTGCGCCCTCGACGACATGATTCCACATTCACAGCGACCGTCCCCATCCAATTGCTCGCCCACCACATCTGCAAACCCCACACGCATTGACGCTCGCTCCGTCCCTAGACTGGCAGCCAAACTGGGTCACCAATCGCAACTAATCCATCACGTCACCCAGCAGCAGCTTCCAGAGCTTCCGCCCACCCGCACCTCGCCCAGCCGTCATGGCCTCGATACCCGAGGAAGAGAGCCCGAGTCCCAACTACGCTGTCTTTCGCGACTGCTTCTCGACGACGCTGCTGCGCGCGCAGGCAGCTGATCAGGGCAGCGCTGGCGGTTCCAAGAAGCGGCGGCGCGCAAGGCCGGCGGCGCGGGCACGCAAGGGAGCGGCAAAGGCAGGGGATGCCCAGGCCCGGGCCCCGGACCCGCCGTCTCCGGACGCGGACCGGGACACCACCGCCGCCGGCCCGCAACAAGACGCCGAGGAACTGGCCGACTTTATCGACTACTTGGCGGGCAGCATCTTCGACAGCCTCCCAGAGGGCCTGAGGGAGGCAGACCACCGATCCTGGCGCGAGTCGGAGGCGCTGCAGGCACAGTTCGCGCTGCCGCTGACCGAGGAGAGCGTCTCGGCGCTGGACCTCGCGCCGCCCATCCCAGAGACGCTCGTCACGTACGGGCTCGTGGCGGCGGACCCGACGGCCGACTCGCCGCTCCCTTCCTCGACGGAGGCGTTCCTTGCCCCCATCCTGATGGCGTACCTCGAGTCCGTGACGACGGCGCCGCCCGCAACGCAGGCGACGCGGACAGAGGCGTGCGAGCTCTGCGGACGCACCTGGATCCCGCTGTCGTACCACCACCTGATCCCGCGCTTCGTGCACGAAAAGGCCGTCAAGCGCGGCTGGCACCGCCGCGAGGACCTGCAGAACGTGGCCTGGCTGTGCGGCGCGTGCCACCGCTTCGTGCACCACTTCCGCGGCCACGAGGACCTGGCGAGGGACTACTACACGGTCGAGCGGCTGCTGGCCGAGGACGAGGTGCGACGCTTCGCCGCATGGGCCGGCAGGCTGCGCTGGAAGGGCGGAAAGGTCCGCGGCAGATGAGAAGAGAAAAGGCAAGATTGGAAAAGAGGGCCGCAACTCAAAAATGTCGAGATTAGAGCATCCGTGCCGAGCCCTGCGGGCCAAGCAAAGGCCGAGGAAGCCTGCGCCTTTGCGCGAGCGTTGACTGGGCGAGCGCCTGCGGCCATCTATCCATCCGTCCATCCATCCAACGTAGGGCCCGGCGCCAGAGTACAGCCTGTATGATGCTGGCTTGCGGTATTATAGATGGGGCTCCGTTCGCCCTGGACGCCTGTACTACTTTGGACCTCGCAATACACGCATGCCTTGCTTCGTGCGCATTGAGATGGACAAGCGGACGTCCGGTCATCATCGTCTGCGCGGATAATGGCTCATGGCTGCGCACTAACGTCACTAGGCAGTTGCTAGAGAAGTGAGGCTTGTTGTGAGGCTGGCCGGCCTGATATCATATTAGACCGGATCGCCACCGAGGGCTGGTTGCTGCCCATCATCAGCTCGATGAAGTGAGGTGCCCGTCAGCTCAGCTGTGCAGTGCCTGCCTGTCCCGGCCAGTGAGTGAGTGGGTGGGGGGGAGCTTGAAGACGGTTGAGGGGGGTCCATTGTTTTAGGGCAGCCTGCGCAAGGTGAGACCTGAACGAGATGGAAAGGCTGCGGGGTCCGGCCCAGGGGCCCGCACATGGGATATCCGTCCATACAGCCCTCCATGATGCTTGAAACGTGCGCCGGGCGTCCCCACACACGTCAGGGCAGGTTGGTGGAAGAGGTGGCATGGTGGCCCCCGGGGACCCCCCAGCGGCGGCGCATCGGTCCATAGCCTCAATGGGAGCTCCAGTCCCAGGGCTGGCTGCCCACCCCTGTGTCGAGCGCCATTGGGCCCCCCCCCCCGCCCGCAGGAGCCCACAGGGCAATCACTAGGCTGCCGTGGTGCTGGGCCACCTATGGGGAGGTGCAGCGGGCCACGGGCATGCATGGCTAGGGCTTCCGTTGCGTCGACGGCGCGGACGGGTCCATCAATTGGGAGCCGTGCCAGTCCACTGGAGCCCTGCCCTGCAAAGCAACCTACCTATGCCTGCCTCTGTGCAAGTAAGCTTCGGCATGGCACTGGACGGGACGCTGCCTTGTCAGTCCTCCACTGCAGGTACCTTGGGTACTGTAGCATGCGGGAGGGCCCCCCCAACAGGTGGTTTGCTTTCCAGTGTGCCGGCGTCACCACAACAGCTGATGACCCGGGCAGCAGCCTCTCATCGCCCATTGCATTGCCTCCCGTCTTGCACCCGGAACCTTGAGCTCCAGAGCAGAGCAGAGCAGAGCGAAAGAGGTGCGCCGCCCATCCATCATCCATTATCCATCATCGCCCATTAACCTGTCTCTTATACACATCTAGATGTGTATAAGAGACAGCTCCAGAGCAGAGCAGAGCAGAGCGAAAGAGGTGCGCCGCCCATCCATCATCCATTATCCATCATCGCCCATTAACCTCGACGCTGAAGCTTTGCCTTCCGTCCATCCATCCATACATCCATCCATCCTTCCATCCCGCAGTGCCGTCTGTCCGGCGCCGTCGGCGACCACCCGGGAGGGTGAGGAGCCCGCTGACCCAGGGCCTCCTCCAACTTTAATATCTTTCATGGACCCCCGCCGCCATCGCTCGCCTTTATCAGGCACAGTCTAGACTCTGGACTCTAGGCCCTTTTCATCATCGTCTTTGACACGCCGGCAGGCCGCAGCGCAGCCTGACCGATTTTGACTGAGCCGTCTGCCTGCCTGCAGTCAAGGAATTAAAAGGACGCCGGGCGACGAGGCCCGCCATCACCATCATCAGCAGCCAGCACTGGCACCAGCCCCTGCACCACCACCAACACCACCACCAGCACTGGCAGCGGCATCACCGCAAACCTCCCGCCTCCCCCCCCACACGACCAAGCACATCGTCAACCCCAAAGCCCACCGTCATGAAGTGACGCGGACCCTGACCCGGTGCAATGGTCAGGCCCGATCCATCGGCCGAGGCGACGATGAGCTCGGCCGCCGCTCCGACGACAGCTGCGGCGGCGTCGACATCGACAGCCTCCTCCACCACCAACCCGCCCGCGCGCCAGCGAAAATGGCATCCCCGCGTCTTCACCGGCTGCGTCAACTGTCGCCGCCGCCACGTCAAGTGCGACGAGCGCACCCCCTCGTGCTCCAACTGCACGCGCCTGCATCTGGCCTGCAACTTTGACCGCCGCTTTGTCTTCAAGGCCGCCCGTCCCGCCAGGGCCGTCCAGCCAGAGCAGCAATCCCCGGGCCCGTCGCAGCAACCCCAGCAAACGCAGTTTCCAGTAGACGCCGCGATTGAGGCCGGCGCAGAGGCTCCGGATGAGCGCCCTGCCTCTGCCAGCTCTGGCGCTTCGTCAGGGTCCGGCAAGGCCGTCGACGGCATCGTCGCCGGTGAGCTGTCCCTGTCTGTGCCCGCCAGCAGCGTCGTCCCCGCAGGAGGCAGCATCGTCAGCTTTGCGGACGCCGACGCCGGGGGCCTGCGGATTTTCACCACCGGCATTGTGCCGTCGACCGGCCCCGTTACGGGCCTCGAGTCTTGCTTCAGGGTTACCACGCCCGACCCGGCCGCGCACATCTCCAGCTACGACGACTTGTACTATCACCACTTCCTCAACACCGTCTCCACCTACCTCATCATCTACGACACGCCGTCCAACTCCAACCCCTATCGGATGCTGCCCGCGCTCGTCGGCAACTCGGGCCTCTTGCAGGACACGATGAGAGCCCTCGGCGCCATGCACCTCTCCGGCCTGCCGCAAGCCCAGAACAGGACCATCCATCGCAACGCCGCCATGAACATGTACGGCAGCGTCGTCACGAGGGTGCGCAGCCTGGTCTCCTCCAGCCAAACCACCCCTAACCTGGAGCTCCTGGCCACCACGCTGCTGCTCTGCATGTTTGAGAAGATGTCCTCGGCCGACTCCAACTGGAAGATTCACCTGTCTGGGGCGGGACACATCTTCAAATCCATGTACAGCCCGCGCCCTGCGCTGCCCGGCGGGGATAGCTTGGACGGCCTGGCAGTCTCCAACACCCTCCCGTTGCGCCGCTTCCTCGTCTCGCTGATGTCGTATCTGGACCTGGCCGCGTCCTGCGCCACTGGCGAGGCGCCCCTGATCGCAGGTAACTACTGGGAGACGCTGGGAGGCGGATGGGAGTACAACCTGGGCGTCCCGAGCTTCGCGACGAGCCGCCAGCCCGCGGACCGCACAATGGCCCAGCTGCGAAACTCGTGGTCGAGGCTCATGTCCATCCAGCTCGAGATTTGTCGCTTCTCTGGCATGATTCGCGACGGGATAGACGACCGCCAGAAAGAGCTCATGCACAGCGACATCCAGTACAGAATCCGCAACTGGCACGAAAGCGCCCCTGACGTCTACCTGCGGCTGGAGGGCCTCAACGAGATGCCAGCCGACGCCTCGCCTGAAGAGGCAGAGACGCTAACGGCGGCGGCTTGCGTCTTGGGCTACGCCCTGGGCGCCACCGTCTACCTTGAGCGAACCGTTACGAGACGGGTTGGGAGCGCAGCGTTTGACCCTGTCATCAAGCAGGCCGTCGACCGCATGTTTACGCTCACCTTTAATTTCTCCAGCGGCATCACCCAGCTCGCCAACCTCTGGGCGTTGCTAACGGCGGGCATTGCCACGGTGGACCCGGAGCAGCAGAACCGCCTGCGCGAGCGGCTAATGGGAATGAGGAATTTTGGATTCAAGGTATGAACATACGCTCATCCTCCAGAAGCTATAGCTGACGAGTTGCAGAACGTGTACAGGGTACTGGACACGCTGGAGTACTCTTGGGAGCACATGAAGCTCTATGGAGGAGTCGACTATGACGAGTTTGAGGCCATGCTTGCCTCCAACCTGGTTCCTTGACGGGAGATGGCGTGAACGGCGCAGAGCAGAAGGCAACGGTGACGGGAAGACCAGACATGATACCAGACAGCGTTTGCAGCAGAGGCTTTATAGTGTTAATAGACCATTCGGTGCGTTTGCATCTATTTAGACTATGCCGACCCGTTTTGCGCCCGTGACAGGACAATCATGGTGTCGCCCGGCTTGACGAGGTCGCCCGGTGCGCATACGATGCTGTCGACGGTCAATCCGACTTGCGCCTCGGTTGCTACGACGTTGACCTCCATCTTCATGGCTTCAAGTACGACCAGCACGTCGCCTTCTTTGATTGTGCCGGCTTTCTTGGCATGCATCTTGTAGATGCTGGCATGCATGCCGGACTGTATCTTGAGAGAGTCATCTGGCAAAAATCATTTAGCTGACGTTGGGATGCGCCACGTTCGCGGCCAAGGAGTCAGAGACACATACCTATGTCGTCTAGCGACGGCAACGGATCTTTCTCGACCTTTTGCTCCTCCTGCCACTGCGCCCACAGCACCTTTTCCCTGCATGCATCTCACGCATCAGCACCGTGGCCGATTGCTCGGAACAACGCCGACGCTCTTTGCGCCAGCGGGCACGCGCAACTTACCTCTCGACCTCTCTCGCCGTGGCCGCCTCCTGGCGGGCCCTAAACTCCGCGGCCTCCTCGGAGACGCTTTCGCAGAAGCGCGCGTACGCGTCCACGTCGAACTCGGCGGGCTCAATCTCAAAGTCAAACCGGCCGGCCTGGAAGCGGCTGTAGATGCGCTCAAACTCGTCCTCGTCGACGGCGTAGAAGCTCAGCTGGTCAAAGTTGTCAAACAGCCAGGGCCGGTCGCCGAAGACGCCGTTGACGCAGAACTTGTCCCACCCGGGGAGTGTGCGCCCAAAGTTGACGTAGCCGCCTGGGGCGTCCTAGATTTTGCGAGCGGGCGAACGAGCGCCCTGGGCGTCAGCTGATGCGCAGCTGCCAAGTGAGAAGAGAGCCCCAAACAAGGGGGCTAGGGAGGGAGGGAGTGAGTGAGAGAGGGCGGGAAGGGAAGGGAGGGAGCAACGGCGAGGGGGCGCGCGCTTACGACGGGGTCGCACGAGAAGAAGCACCCGCCGATGCCGAGGCCGCCGGCGGGAGAAAACGTGCGCGAGGGATTAAACTTGGGCACGACGAGGCGCGCCCGCGGGTCGAGCGGGATGCCGATGGGTGTGCCGCTCCAGAAGCCGACGCCGACGACGAGGATGCGCGTGCCGAGCAGCTTATCGAGGATGTCGCGCTTCGAGGCCAGCCCGTTGGACCGCGCGATGAACTCGACCGGGTCGGGCAGGTACGTCGCGTACGGCCGCTGCGTGGCCATGTACCTCTCGATGGCGTCCCGGTTGACCTTGTCGTCAAAGACCATGGGCAGGCGTATGTGGCGGCTCGCGAGCTTGCGCGACGCCGCCGCCGCCGCGCCGGGACCCAGCTCGGCGGCGAGCACGGCCTTGACGGCGTCTACGAGGTCGGCCTGCGGGATCGCGCAGCCGTCGTACTCGACCAGGAGGCCTCGGAGGACGTTAGCCGTGAGCTCTCGCGACGCGAGGGGACAGATACGGGGGAAACTCTACTGCATCCGATGGGTGTGGTGAGGCGCACACCCTTGATCGCGGCTCGGTCAAGTGCCGCCGTCACGGCCTGGACTCGGCACCGGACGTCGAGCTGCAGCAACTGGAGGAGCTCCACCAAAACGTACGAGTCGCCGGCCTGTCTGATCGTGGCCTCCTCGTACGTGCCGATGATGGCGGTTGACTGGCGCGTTGCCTCGTCGCAGCACGGCACCGTCAGGTTCAGGGGGGTGACGTCGAGCGCTGAGCCGCCGCCGCCGCCGGACACGAGGGCAGCAGACACCTCGCCGATGAACTCTGCCTGCCGTTTCCGAAGCTCCATGGCTGACTCGATGCGTATCGGGGCAAATCGAAACCTATCCCCCGGCTTCAGCTGGCCGACCTTGAAGAGCTCCGCGCGCGGGACCACGTGCGAGGTGACGAAGCCTCCCAGCGAGGGGGCGTCGGCGGGGAAGATGACGGCCGAGTCGCCGGTCCAGTTCAGCGCGCCCATCGAGTACGGGTAGTCGAGGTAGTTGCTGGGATGGGAGCCGCCCTCGCCTCCTGTCTTACGCGCCCATTGGGGTTGCGGACCGTGGAGACGCACGCCGATGCGCGAGGCTTGGTGCGAGACGGTCCATTCGCTCGTGTAAATGGCCTCGACGTCTTCCGGGGTCATGATGTCTGGCGAGTCGTGAGGGCCGGAGAGGCAGTACACCACGGACGGGTCCCAGGCCGGGATCAGGGACTCGGGAAGCTGAAAGGGCTCAAAGACGCCTGGGTCGGCAATGCCGAGCATGTCGCCCGCGACGAGCTGACGGCCTTGGAGTCCACCAATCTCGACGACGGGGCTTGTCGCCTTTGATCCAAGATACTCGGGAACCTCAGGGAAACCCCCTTTTACCGCGATATATGTGCGGCACCCACCTGTGATGGCGCCCATCTCCAAGACCGAGCCCGCTGGGGCTTCGACACGCGAGTACATGGGCACTGGTTCGCCGTCCAGCCGGACGTCCACCGCCGCTCCGGCCAGTGCGAAGATGGTTCTTTGATGAAACTTGATCTTTGGGCCGGTAAAGGTGGCCTCGAGCAGCTCACATCCACTGTCATTTCCGACGATGCAGTTGGCGAGTTGGGCATGCAAAGGATCCATGGGGCCTGCCTCTGGGATACCAAACCCAACGCCAACTCGGCCAGGGATGTCCTGAATGGTGGTGTAGCTGCCCGGAGAGATAAACTCCATCACCTGCGGGGTGTACTGGAAAGTGGTGAGGAAGTTGGTCGTAGTCTGCCCCTGCTCAAACGGCCTTGAGCTGAGAATCTTGACTAGAAAGTCTGCGTTGGTCACGATGCCTTGAATCTCGCTATCCTGGAGTGCATGCAGCAGCGCCGCCGTCGCCGCCGCTCGACTCTTGCCGTGGCCCATCATCTTCGCGATCAAGGGGTCGTAGGCGAGCGAGACGTTTGTCCCTGTGCGCACCCAGCTGTCGATCCGGACGGATGGTGCGCTCACAAACTTGACGTGCTGCAGCTGTCCAGGGCTGGGCATGTAGTTCCGGGTAGGGTTCTCTGCATACACGCGCGCCTCGATGGCATGCCCAGATGGAACCATGCACCGAAAGTCGCCGAGCTCCAGCGGCGCCTCGGCCTGCCTGAGCATCAGCTCGACGAGGTCTATCCCGAACCGCAGCTCGGTAATGCCATGCTCGACCTGCAAGCGCGTGTTCATCTCCAGGAAGAAGAACTCTGCCGTCTCGTCGTCGACGAGGTACTCGATGGTGCCCGCAGAGCGGTAGCTGATGGTGCGGCCCAGCAGCTCCGAGACCTCGAGCAGGCGCTTGCGCAGCTGCGGCCGCGCCTCGACAAAGGGGCTTGGAGACTCCTCAATGACCTTTTGGTGCCGCCGCTGGATGGAGCACTCGCGCTCGCCAAACACGACGCAGTCGCCGCGCCCGTCGCCAAAGACTTGGACCTCGATGTGCCGCGACACGGGGTAGTAGCGCTCCAGGAAGACGCCGGGGTTGGAGAAGAGCGCTGTTCCGCGGCTGACGACGCTGGTGAAGGAGGAGCGGACTTGCAGCTCGTCGTGGCAGATTTGAAGGCCCTGGGTACATCAGCGCAAATCTGCATGTCCCCAAACATGCTGATGGACTCACCATGCCGCCTCCTCCAGCTGTTGCCTTGAGCATGACCTGACACATTATTAGCATCGGGCTCAACCGCTGAAGGAATCTCAACTCACTGGATAGCCGATGCGTGCGGCGGCCACCACAGCCTCCTCCTCCGACGCCAATATCCCTGACCCAGGGCATGTCGGGACCCCGACGCTCGCGGCCAGGTCCCTCGCCCGGTCCTTGATCCCAAACGTCGCAATGTGCCGCGGCTCCGGTCCCACAAACACGGCCCCGGCATTCTCGACAGAAGCTGCAAACTGCTCATTCTCGGAGAGAAAGCCGTAGCCAGGAATCACAAACTGAACGCGGTGCTTCTGGACCAGGGCGATGATCTCATCGATGTTGGTGTAGGATGAGACCGGCAGCGCCAGGTCCGCGTCAGTGACGTGCGGGCTGGATACATCGTGAGGCGTGTATATCGAGATGGAGTAGTAGCCCAGCCGCTTGGAGGTTTTGAGGATGCGATTTGCTATCTCGCCGCGGTTGGCGATGAGGAGGCGCCTACCCGAATCCTTGGCCATGGCGCGCAACGTCAGGTCGTGAATGGGCACTCCAGAGTGTAAGGGGACAAAACGAAGCCGAGACGCAGTGGAACGACCGGAAGCATTGGGTATAAGTAAATCAGTCACAATGCCAAGGCAAAGCAGCTGTACGCCTTTTCACTATACGGGCTTCTCCCCGAGCGATCATGAAAATTCGTCGTGGACAGAAGTCGCGCGGGTCGTCGAAAGGTTATCAGTACGTCCTTTGCCGCCGGACCGAGCCCGAGATAGGAATGGGCGTCGCATAGTAGCGACAAGTGCTCGCGGAGGAGAGAGTCAGTCCCATGAGTGAGGAAACGAATGTCCAATTGAGTCGCGACGACGAATGTGCACACGCTACGCGCAGGGCATGTAGAAGAGCGCGAGGTTGAGAATCGGCCCAAAAGGGGGCATCTCTACGATGTTGGTGGGGAAGCGCAATGATGCTCTCGCGATTGCCGGCCAAGCAGCCCGAGTCGCGCTTCAATTTGCGAGCCTCCGTGCCGCACGCATTGATTCGAAGCGAAAGCCGTCTTCGCACTGTAGGCTACTTGCAGCACACAGCCCGGGATGCTATGCTGCCTGACCTTGACACAATGTCCAGTCGTAGAGATGACCCCGGCGGGGAGCTGTCTACGACGACGGATTGATGGGCTTCAAGTGCTTGCTGCAGCGAGTTTGCAGCTTGACGGATTCGTCTGCCGCACGGCCGTCGCAAGCCCCAGACGAGGCAAACACGGCCAGACGCCCCTTGCTTGTGCCTTCGTGCCTTTGTACTCTGTACTTTGCAGACGAGGAATCCTGGACCTCACCTCCGAGGGCTTGGCGATGTGCCACGCAGCAGCCCGTTCCCGTGTCACCGTTACGCGGCATAGACCTGCTCCCTCGTGCTGTCCTTTGCTTCGCTATTACCCCGCGTCTGCTGGGATTCTCGGAGACGACGACCGGACTGACTGGGCCGTCTCGGCAGGATCCAGCCGTTTTCAACGCAGGTTCCCACTTCGCCATGGCCCTCCGCGCCATGCCAGGCCAGGGGTTCTTTTGAGACCATCGACGGCGGCACCAATGCGCGCGCGTTCAAGCTTATTTCCATCGCTGGGCCTGCTGAAGCGAGGGGCCCGTGCTCGGACGCGACGATTGTAGACCCCGTGAACACGTTCGCGCCATTTCATCCGCCCGTCCGGAGCGCCATGCATCGCGCTTTTGCGTAACAGAAAAGGAATTCGACAGCGGGGGCCCCTCCCGTCAAACAAAGTCACCCCCATGCCCCAGCCCCAACGTCGGAGTTCCCCGCAATTTCAACCACCACTGTCTCACGGCGGGCGAAGCGGGATGGATGGATATGCTGGCTGGCTGGCTGGCTGGCTGGCTCGCTGATGGGCTTGCGAACTGGATCAATGGGATCCATCATCCAACCGCCGCCGCTGCTGCTCCACCGCTGTCGCCGGAAGGCCTGGGCTGGACAGCGGTGCCCTCACTCAGTTTCCGGACTCCACTGGCTGGGCGGAGCAAGGGCCTCCCGTCATGACGTCTTGTGGATATTTGTAGCGGTCGCTTTCAAGCTCTTTCGTCTTGGCAATGTGAAAACGCGCTGTGCCGGTGTTGAGTGTCGAGACGACCGTGACGGCGAGTGCCCAAAAGCGCAAATCTCAACTTGGCGTCGCAGTGAGCTGTGCCGAGAGTAATACCTTGCGTGTCTCAGTGTGCCTCTTGGGTCGCTCTGCCTCTCTGTCTTGACTCACTCGGGTGTTGCACCGCTGGCTCTGCTGTACTTCTTCAACGCTTAGTGAACGTTGAGACGCAAGGCAAGAAGACCAAATTCGACCACCACCATGGAGGTCTCGTGGCAGACTGTGGCAGAGGTTGGTCCTCATCCTCTCCCTTTCCCTAGACCACGACAGCTTACAAGCATCACCAGCGCTTCCAAAAGAACCGCGCCGCCGCCATACCCCCCCGGTGGGTGATCCCGCCCAAGAAGCTCGAGGAGACGCAACGCTCAACCACCCGGCCGCTCGACCTCCTCCCGCGCCTCCTCTCCCACCATGAGCTGCAAATCACCTCCCTCGGGGCCGGCGCCCTCGCGCAGGCCATCCGCACCGGCGCCTTCTCCTGCCTGCAGGTCACCGAGGCCTTCTGCCACCAGGCCGCCGTCGCCCAGCAGCTGACCAACTGCCTGACGGAGATCTTCTTCGCCGAGGCCATGGACCGCGCGCGCCAGCTCGACGACCTGCTCATCGCCAACAAGGGCAAGCCCGTCGGCCCGCTGCACGGCGTGCCCATCTCCGTCAAGGACCACATCAACGTCAAGGGCCACCACACCACGTCTGGGTACGTCGCCTACGCGGAGAAGAGCACACCCCGGGGCGAGGACGCGCCGCTCGCCGCCGCGCTGCGCGAGGCCGGCGCCATCCTCTACTGCAAGACGAACAACCCGCAGTGCATGATGGTCCTCGAGACGGTCAACAACATCTACGGCCGCACGCTGAACCCCTGGAACACGAAACTCGGCGCTGGTGGCTCCAGTGGCGGCGAGGGCGCCCTGTTGGCCCAGCACGGGTCGCCTCTGGGCGTCGGGACAGACATTGGCGGGTCGATTCGCATCCCTGCCGCCTTCAATGGCCTGTACGGCTTCAAACCCTCGGCGAAGCGCGTCTCCACGGGCGGCTGGGAGGTGACGCTGACCGGGCAAGAGTCCATCCACGCAGTCACTGGCCCGCTGGGACACAATGTCGAGGACCTCGATCTCTTCCAGCAGGTCGTCACAGACGCGAAGCCCTGGCTCAGGGAGCCGCTGCTCAAGATGCCCTGGCAGTCACAAATCGAGGCCATGAAGGGGCATAAGCTGACGGTCGGCGTCATGCTGTGGGACGAGGTCGTGATGCCACACCCCTACATCACGAGGGTCATCAAAGACGTGGCGAAAAAGCTGGACGCAGCCGGCCACGAAGGTATGACTGTCACTCATCCCATGACATGCTTCGCATGCTGATTACGTTGCAGTTGTCCCCTTCAAGCCGTTTGACCACAAGCGGGCATGGGAGGAGATCCTCCTGCCGCTCTACTTCACGGACGGTGGGTTGGACATCAAGCAGACGCTTTTCGCAGGCAACGAGCCCATCTTCCCCGCGGCAAAGCGACTGCTGGACAACCCCATTGTGCAGCGGCGCATGGTCCAGGAAGTTTGGCAGGTAAGCCGCCAGCCCACCCTCCACCTTGGGCCACATATACACTCTTGCTGACCAGTCTCACCTCCCGTAGTTCAACAAAGCTCGGGACGCGTACCGCATCGCCTACCTCCGCAAGTGGGCCGAGACGGCCAAGGAGACGGAATCGGGCCGCCCGATCGACGTCCTCATCTGCCCCGTGGCGGGCCTCAACGGCATGCCGCACGACGTGATGCCGTGGTGGGGATACGCCGCGCAGTGGAACCTGCTCGACTACCCGTGCGGCGTGCTGCCCGCTGGCACCGTGCTGGAGAGCGACGAGTATCCCAACGGCTACGAGCCAGTCAACGATCTGGACAGGGAGAATATGAATCTTTGTAAGTCTCTGGGCTGGTTGCCTTCCCAGCCTCATCGCTGACCTTGGCGCAGACGACAACAAAATGTACCGGGACATGCCCGTTGCGATTCAGGTGGTTGGGCCGACACATGAGGATGAAAAGGTGCTGGGTGCAATGAGCATCATTGACGAGGTCGTGAAGGGGTAGATGCTTGTGCCTGCAGCTACATCTACCCGTCTGCGCTGGGCATACAGTCGTTGTTATGCGGATTGATGCTATATAGTCTGGCTCTTCCAGCTAATGAATTAACGGCAAGGCCATCATCATGAGAAGCACTCCTTGTTAAAGTCATCCACCGCCTGCCGGGTCGCCGCCGCCACCTCCGTCGCCCCCGGCGTGTCACTGTGGATGCACAGACTCAGCGGCGCAGCGCCCAGCTTCAGGTCCACCATCTCCTTCCTCTCCTTGCTCTCAATCGTGCCCGTCCGCAGCGCGCCCGCGAGCCGCGACCGCAGAGCCTGCAGGTCAACGGCCTCGTGGGTCCTCGAGATGATGCAGTCGCCGTTCTCATCGTACTCCAGGTCCGCAATGACCTCCTGCAAAAAGGGGATTCCCATCTCGGCGCAGACCGACTCCATGAAGGTGCCGGACGCGCCGATCATGGGCACGGGGGTGCCGTCCGGCGCGGTGAAGTGGCGGGCGGCGCGGCAGACGGCCTCGCAGATGGGCTTGTCCTTGCACATGACGCCGTAGAGTGCTCCGTGGGGCTGTGGTGACATCAGCTCGACGTTGCCTCATTGTTTTTGGAGATATCATACAAGAAGTGACAGACAGGTGGGGGCACTTACACTGACGTGGGACAGGGGGATGCCCTCGATATCGAGGAATGCCTTGAGGGCACCAATCTGGTAGATGACCATCTTCTCGCACTCGACCGGATCCATCTTCATCTCGCGGCGCCCAAAACCCTGCAGGTCAAGGAACGAAGGATGGGCGCCGATGCGCACGCCATGGCGCCGCGCCGCCTTGACCGTCTTGTACATGACCATGGGGTCGCCGGCGTGGAAGCCGCACGCGATGGAGCAGGACGTGATGTGCGGCATGATGGCCTCGTCGTCTCCCTTTGGCCGACAGTGTTAGCGCTCGCATCTTGGCCGGTGCCAGCCGCGACGGGCCCTCACCATGGTCCAGTTGCCGAACGCTTCACCCATGTCGCAGTGAATCTCCACGGGCTTGGACGCCCACTTCAGCGCCGTCTTGGCCATGGCGTCGGGCTGGCTGAGTCTCGGGCTGTCTGTGCGGTATCGACCCTGCAACGCGTGTGCGTACTCAGCTTTCTTTCACAACGAGACGAGTTGAAAAGCGCGAGTGCAAGTTTGGGGCTTGTTGGATGAAGCCCGAGATGGCTGGCTGCACTGGGCGGGGAGGATGGATGGATGTCGTGTAAGTGCTGCTCCTCGTGTACGAGGCCAGGATGCGGCTCGTTCCACGAGACGCAAGCGCTCAACAGCAAGCGAGGTGCTGCAACCTGCCAAGCAAGCAAGCAAGTCGTCGTCGCAGAAAAGCGAGGCTATCCGAAATGACGAGCCAACCCTTGGGAAATGGACATCGCAGGTCGTCTTGGAGTATATGATACCCAGCAGCCATCCCCTCGTGGAGATGCACCGAATTAGG